CCGTCTTGCCAGGCTTCCCATGCGCCAACACCGTTCAACCGGTGACATGAAACCCTGACCCAAAGGTAAGATCAAGGGGGATTTGGAATGCAGTTTCTGCCAGAGGAAGTATAGAAAAGGCTCTGATCTTGCAAGCATATTCAGGCTGCCAGACCTTTTTGCCTGCAACGCAGTGGTTGAGAGGCCGGCCAATTTGGTCAAGCACATCCAAATTTGAAGTAGCGCATGAGCGTTTCATTCTTCTGATAGGCAACAAAGCTGGCTGGCTGCAGATGTTGGACATTGGATGGTGGCTAAACAATTACCACAACTTCCTTGTTGTCCGTGATGTTCATAGGCTCACAAATTGTGTTTCATTGTAAACATAGAGGAGCTGCTGCCTTGTTTTTCGCAAAATGGATACTTGAGCTGCTGCCTTGAACTTTCGAATGCCGAAATTTGAGATTTGAGAACCACCCGACCGAAGACCGGCTAAAGCAAGCTTCGCATTTGACGGTCCAAAGTTGGCCCGACGTGTCGACCCCCCGCCTTTTCCCTCCCCGCATCCTGGACCGGCTCGAAGAAGTCTCGAACGGGGCACGGGCGTACCGGCGAGTCGACGAGTAACACTACTCCTCGACCAGTCCGAAGCTCGTCGCTTCTCTCCTGCCTTTTACACGCTCACCACACCATCCATCGCTTCTGTCTCCTCTCTCCACTTACACTTGGTGCGACAGCAGCACTTTCATTCTTGCAGCTCCGCGACGATACAGCACACGCCATTCGGCTATCTGCATCAAGCTCGCTCACGCTTCGAAATGCTGGCACGACGAAATGCAGGCCGGCTCGCCTCGGGCGCTTTGCGTCAAGCTCAAAAGTCGACCAGCGCCCCTGTCAGGTCGTACCGCGCATCGTCTCATTCAATCTTCCAGCAGCAAGCGAGCGTCCTGCCCAACAATGTGGATGCCTCGTCGGACGAGTTCTTGTCGAATAAGACCTACATGGACGGCCTCGTCGACAAGCTTGATGCCACGCATGCGAAGCTCGCGCAGGGCGGCAGCGAGAAGGCGAGAGCGCGGCATGTGTCTCGCGGCAAGATGCTTCCTCGCGACCGTGTCGCTGCGCTGCTCGACCACGGCTCGCCTTTCGTCGAGCTTTCGCCGATGGCAGCGTACGAGATGTACGGCAAGGACGAGATCCCGGGCGCAGGTATGATCTCGGGTATTGGGCGCGTTTCGGGCACCGAGTGTATGATCGTCGCCAACGACCCCACTGTCAAGGGCGGAAGCTACTACCCCATCTCCGTCAAGAAACACCTTCGAGCGCAAGCGATCGCTCGCGAGAACCGCCTGCCATGCGTCTATCTCAACGAGAGCGGTGGTGCCGCGTTGCCTCATCAAGCGGACGTCTTCCCCGACGAGAACCACTTTGGTCGCATCTTCTACAACATGGCTCAGATGTCGGCGCTCGGCATCCCGCAGATTTCGGTGGTTCACGGCATTAGTGTCGCAGGTGGTGCTTACGTGCCGGCAATGGCGGACGAGACTATCATCGTGCGCAATCAGGGCACTATCTTCCTCGCCGGACCTCCCCTCGTCAAGGCAGCGCTTGGAGAGGTGGTCGACGACGAGACGCTCGGAGGTGGTGAGATGCACTGCAGCGAGTCGGGTGTGACAGATCACCTTGCCGTCGACGACGCGCATGCCATCACATTGGCGAGGGAGGCGGTTGCCAACCTTGGTCTATGCGGTCGATCGAATGCGGCTCTCAACGACGCATCCTTCGACCAGCCATTGTATGACGCCTCGGAGCTCCACGGCATCATCCCGGAGAACGCTCGTAAGCCATTCGACATCCGTGACATCATCTCTCGTCTCGTAGATGGCTCACGCTTCCACGAGTTCAAGAAACTATACGGCAACACCATCGTCACCGGTTTCGCTAAGATTGCAGGTCAAGACGTCGGCATCATCGGCAACAACGGCGTCTTGTTCGGAGAGTCAGCCAAGAAGGCGACCAGCTTCATCCAGCTGTGCAATCAGCGCCAGACTCCGTTGGTCTTCCTGGTCAACGTAACCGGCTACATGGTGGGTACCAAGGCCGAACGCTCCGGTATCGCCAAGGACGGTGCCAAGATGGTTCGAGCGGTCGCGTGCGCAAACGTGCCCAAGTTCACCGTCATTGTTGGAGGCAGCTTCGGCGCGGGCAACTACGGCATGTGCGGACGAGCCTACAGTCCTCGCTTCCTTTGGATGTGGCCCAATGCCCGCGTCGGTGTCATGGGCGGTGAACAGCTCAGCCAGGTCATGGGAACGGTCAGCAGCGACAAGTCCAAGCAGGAAGGTCTTCGCGAGACGATCGAGAAGCAGACTCTGCCCGAGTACGCGAGTGCTCGCATGTGGGACGACGGCATCATTCGACCACAAGACACTCGCAGCGTGCTGGCTCTGGGGCTGAGCGTTGCAAACACGGGTCGATGGAGGAGCTCGCAGCGTGGCGATGCTGGCGGCTCGAGACACCCGGCATGGGACGGCAACAACTACGGCGACGGCGTCTATCGAATGTGAGCCTGCGCGTATCCGCTGCCTTACAGCGAATCCTTTTCAATCAATGCATATATACAGACACATACGACGATGCTGGTCATCCTTCACGAGAGGCTCAAGCAACTTGAGTTGCCAGCCGTTTCTGATGCAGTTCGAGGTTCTCACTTCGACTTGTTTTGAGCCGAGAGCCGCGAGAAGGAATCGTCAGCAGGAAGGCATTTGGGTGGAGCCGGTCGCTGGAAGTCTAACACTGCGAGACTCGGCGTTTTACGCGTCGCGCGACTGAGTTGAACTTTCTTGGCCGTGTTGGACTCGACCTCTTCGATTCAAGATTGTCTTCTGTAGACTCACGATCACGACCACAACCAACAGGCTGTTCACTTGACAACCTCAGGCTGCCTGCTCGTCATCGTTCTTTGACGAACGAAGGAAGCGCGGCTGTCAGTGACTGGCGCAATGGCGGAGTCAAGCTTGCTGGAAGGCAATGGCCTCCTCGACCTCGACACAGCCGCCACCGCCTCTCTCATGTCCCAAGCAAAAGCAGACGAGCTTTTCCCAAGCGCGATGGACCCCTTTCGCGAGCGCCACCTCAACCTCCTGAGCCCAGCTGGCTCGCAAAGTGAAGCGCAAAAGGCGCTCAATGCATGGGGCTCGCAGGGATCTGCGAAGCTGAGCCGTCCGGCTTACACTCATAGCCCAGATCGAGGCGAGCCCATGGACTTCGACGCCGACCTCGATCTCGACCAGCTGCTCGACGAAGAGATGCAGCTGAGGCAGGACTCGGCGCAGATGGATCAGGCACACAGCTTCGCCATGTCGACCTCGTTGGGTCAGCCCGATGATGACGAGCTTGAAGCTTTCCTCATGGCAGAAGAAGAGCACATCGCCTCAACCTCAACTCAACCGCGACAAGGGCGCCCACCTTCGCCACCTCACGATCTAGATTCATCTGTGGCTTCTTCTGCATCCGACTTCCTCGAGAGCAACGGCTTGCTCGGTGGCTCATCATTGCCGAGCTCCCAGCATTCCATGGCTCCAGCGTTAAAGTCACAGACAGAACCAATCGAGCCATTCCCAACATCTGCACAAGCACCATCGTCCAGAGCGATCGAGGCCATCTCGGCACTCGACATGCTCGAGCAAGAGACCGTTCCAGCCGCTGCCACAGAAGACGCCCGACCAGGACCGTCCCGACTGCCTGCTCGCGCAAAGCCTGCGAGCATCCCCAAGTACATACCCGCCGGATTTGTCAACGCGACCACGATGGATGGCACTCCGATCCGCTTTGAACGACGCAGACGCATGAAAGGCTGGAAGGCGCCGGCGATCATGTCGGACGTCGACGCTTCTCAGCTCTTGGAACGACCCATTCACCAGTTGCTGGATGCCGTCGAGGCTTTGAAGGCGCTTGATGTACTGGAACGCGACGAGTCCTTACAACGCGATTCGCGACGGGCGGTCAAACCCAGCGCAACGAGCGCGTCGAACGCGACGAGGCAGATGTGGGTGAACAAGCATCGACCCAACAAGTTCACGGAGCTGCTTGGTGACGAGCGCGTCCATCGCGAGGTGCTCGGCTGGCTCAAAGAGTGGGACGAGTGCGTCTTCAAGCGCAAAAACCATCGCAAGGAGCGCCATCGTCAGTACATACAGGCCAAGTACGGGTTGCCCGAGAACAGCTTTGGTGGCGACAAGGGCGGCGAGCACATGTGGAAGGACCCGTTCGGACGACCCAAGGAGCGCATCATGATGATCTCGGGTCCTCCCGGACTGGGAAAAACCACACTTGCACACGTCATTGGCGCGCACGCCGGCTACAACGTATACGAGCTCAATGCGAGTGACGCCCGCACCGCTGGGGCCGTCGAGGATGTGATCAAGATGGCGCTCGAGTCTGGCAGTCTCAAGGATCCAAGGCCGACGCTGGTGGTTATTGACGAGATCGACGGCGCGACGGGAGGCGGAGGTGGTGCTACGGGCGAGTCTCACGGCTTTGTTCGTGCACTGGTGCGACTTGTTGAGCAGGGCAAGGGTGCGGGCGCCAAAGCGGCCGGTCTTGCCGCTCGTGGCAAGAAGCAGCGGAAGGGCTCCAAACCTCTGCTCCGACCCATCATCTGCATCTGCAACGACCTCTACGCGCCGTCTCTGCGTCCGCTGCGACCCATGTCAAAGCTGGTTCGCTTCAACAAGCCACCTACCAACCTCGTGGTCAAACGTCTGCGCGAGGTGTGCGAAGCAGAGGACCTCTCGGTCGAAGCTCGTGGGCTGTCGCTCTTGGCCGAGCTGACCAACGGCGATATCCGCTCGTGTCTCAACGCGCTTGAGTTTGCAAAGACCAAGAACATCGCGCTCACTGAAGCGGCGGTCAAGAGCGCTTCCGTCGGCATCAAGGATACGGGTGGTACCGTCCACAAGGCCTGGGAGATGCTCTTCCGCCGGCAGAATCGCAAGCAGGCTGCTGCTTCGAACATGAAGGGTGCCAACGCGCACGCTGCCGACGGAGCGGCCTCACCGTGGAACTCGTCTCGCAAGGCATCTGCGCAGGATCTCACCTCAGACGGCAAAGAGAAGCAAAAGGACTTTGCGCTGATCGACACGCCCTCGGAGAACGTCAACCGCATCGTGCACGAGGTGACGAGCTGCAACGAATATGACAAGCTTGCGCTTGGCTGCTTTGAGCATTACCCGACGCTGCGTGCTGCCGACGGAGGGTGGAAGCGGTACCGTCAGGTGCACGACTGGCTGCACTTTGGGCAGAGCATTACAAGCCGGGCATGGTCGCAGGGCAACTTTGAGCTGCTCGGTTTCATGCCTTGGTCGTTTGTGCCCTGGCATCTGTGCTTTGCGCATGTCGGCAATGCACTCCCCGAGTATCCCAAGGTGGACTACGAGAACCATCTCAAGACGATGGCATTCAACGAGATTGCGTCGCAAATCGTGGCGGTTCTGCCGGCCCATGTGCGATCGCAGTTCAACCGGCAGGCGGTGATCACGGAGCTCGGCCCGTCGCTGATGCGCATTCTCACGCCGGAGCTGCGGCCGGTCAACAATCAGCTCTCGCGAGCCGAGGACAAGCAGGTGTTCGCCTCGCTCGTCGAGATCATGACCTCGCTCAACGTCAAGTTTGTGCAGGACAAGATTTCGGAGGAGGAAGCTGCGGCGACGGGGCAGACGGCCGGTGCGCTGGTGTACAAGCTCGATCCGCCGCTCGACATCTTTACCCAGTTCGAGGGCAAGAGGTCGAAGGAGATCGGTCCGTCGCGCTTTGCGGTGCGACAGCTGGTGGCGAGGGAGATGGAGCGACGGCTGCTGCGCAGGAATGCCGGCGTCGAGGCTGGCGAGGATGATGCCGGTTCGACGTCCAAGACTGCTACCGCCATCTATCGGTCCAAGAGCGAAAGTGCGAACGCCGTGCGCGATGGCATCAAGGGCAAGAAGGACAAGATCGCTGTGGACTTCTTTGGTCGACCCATCGTGCAGAAGAGCGCGAGTGTGCCTGCGGGCTTGTCCGTCGTTCCAATTCCAGACGGAATGGGCGGCAAGAAGAGGAAGGTCTCGGAAGGTCGCTCTTCCAGCACTTCCGACTTGAAGAAGACGACGGACGACCCGATGGCAGCTGATGCCGACTCGTCCGCAGCAGCAGCGGCCGAAAAGGTGGAAAGCGAAGACAAGATCAAGGTCTTCTATCGCTACCACGAGGGCTTTTCGAACGCTGTCCGACGGCCCATGAAGATCTCTTCGCTGTTGTAGACTTCTTCCCTGCCCGCATCGTCACCATCGCATCGCAATCTGTAGACCTCTCCTCCAATTTCTTCTTCATGGAACGCTTGCATTCAGAATCAATCTGTGTCGGTCAAAACGCTCACGGGCAGCTTGCTGGCGATGATGGGATGAGGTCTGTTAGTACAAAAGGTGTGAGTGAATGATATGCTATCTAAGGGTGAGGAATTGCGATCGGCTGTATGGATCACTTGTCCTTGTCGCGGCCAAAGGTGAGACCGTAGCCAATGACTTTGTCGCCGCTCTCGAGACAGGGCCAGCTCTGGCCCTTTTGCTGCTTTACGAGGACGAGATCGACCTTGAACTTGGTGACGTTGAAGGACGAATCGGTGGGGTTGATGGAAGCGAAAGGCTTGAGCACCTTTCGAAAGCGACGACCTCGAGAAGAGCCAGTTGCTGGTGGCAGCAGGAGCGAGAAGACGACGCCGTCCTCTTTGAACTCGATCGAGCTGTTGGCCGCATCCACCGACTTGGCGTAAACGGTGAGGCGAACATCGTTGGGAGTCTCGTAATGGTCCATCCTGCAGTCTACGCTCTCCTCTCCATCAGCACTGCCATCTACAGCAGCCTTGGGTGCGCCAACGAACAGATGTCCCGATTTTGCCGTGGAGCATGGCTCAATCTGGAGAAAGTCGTTGAAGTCGAGCACTCTGCGTTTGCAGCACGACCAACCCTTGGATCCTTCGTGGAAGATGGGAGAGCCCTTGTGGTGTTTGCACGTCTCCTTAGATCGATCGCGAGCACCACCGTCATGCTTGAAGCCACACCCTCCGCGCTTGCAGACCAGCCCGGCAGCAAGGTTGGCGTCGGCGTCGGCGGGATCCTCCTCTTCGCCCGGCTCGACTTTGGCCGAAGCTGCCTTGCTCCCTGAGCTTGAGGATTCTGCAACGTTCTGTGCACTCTGGGCGTTTTGTGCTGCCAGCAAGGACATGCCGGAGAGCGGCTGAACGATATCAGACGAGGACTTTGCAAGTCCAAAGGTTTCCTTGCCGTCGGAATCCGTCGACACAGCGACTGAAGGCGCTGCTGGGGCCTCTTCATCTGCGACAACAGCGCCGTTCTTGATGGTGGGCAGCGCCTGCTTTTCTGCCGAGTGCGCTTCGGCCGTGGTGCAGCCTCGAATGGCGAGGAACTGGTCAAACTCCATGACGGGCTTGTTGGTCTCCTTGCAGCATGACCATGACTTGAGACCTTCGTGGAAGACGGGTGCGCCAGGATGGTAGCTGCACGACGCCGCCGCTGAGGTCGAAGAGGCAGGGTCGAAGTCGGCGCCGCAGCCGCGTCGCGTGCAAATCACCATGATGTCAGACAAGCTCCAAGCGAAAGCAGATGAAAGCAAGGTGGAGAGGAAGATGGAGTCCTTGATGGGCTAGCTGCGCTTGATGTCGTATGGGCGCAGTCCGTCCGTGCGGTGGGACAGCGGAGAAGGCTTTCTTCTTGGCCGTTCGGCAATTTAGGCGTTTTGTCGAAATTTGTAGAAGCATCTCTTCGGTACATGGATCGGCGATAGGCTCACGATGCAGCGGGTATCGGGTGATTAAATCAAACTGGAAAAAGACGCGTTGCTTGAACGCGCGAAGGGTTTTGTGCATCTCGGACATGCTCGAGCAGAGCTCACAGACAGGGTGGCGAGCGAGACAGTGGAAGCGAGGCAGTCGGAGTCGGACATGTCCGCAGCGCATCGATAGGATCGATCGTCGGAATGCGAATGTCTGCGTTCGGTTCAGGGTCTTGTTCCTTTGCAAGCGAGGGAGTAGGATCACCGACAGTTGCGCCGAGCTGAATCGAAAATAGAAGGGCGGTCACGACGCCAAGCACGCTTGCTTCATGCTCTGTATTCCTGAGCGAACAGAGAAGGAGGCGCTAGATCCACCCTTACTTCTGCGTAGAAGCCCTCGCTTCTTCTGTACTAAGTCCTTGCGGGTGTTGTCGAGCCTTCGCGACGAGAGGAAGTGAGCGAGCGAGAGGTCTGGTCAACAATTTTGGAGGACGGTCGGTGTGGCTTGCTATTGTGCGTTGTGCCAGCATTCAAAGGGTCAGCCACAACAGAGCAAGCCTGGAGCGCGGTAGAGTATCTCGAGTCGGTGAGCGTTTGCGTGACCAGATTCAGGTTACCACGCCGTCCCTTGACGTTCGGATGCTACGGTACCGCTCTGAGCAATGCTCAAGAAAGACGCGCTGAGGGCTCTTTGTTCCTGTCGGAGCGATGATTGTCATTGGGAAACGGTCAGCTGAATCCCGGAGCGGGTAGACGCATGCGTACAGGCTGCATGCTGCAAGACGAAAAGTCTCCGAGGTACGCGATCAGCTGGCGATCCGGTGCAGCGTGTTGTGGTTGCGTGCGCGTGTGGTGCTGTTGTTGTGAGGCACGGTTATGGGTCACGTTGTCGTCGTGCGCTCCTTTGGAATTCGCTACAAGTCAGAAAAATCAATTTATCACGCCTGCACCTGTCGTTCTGCTTTGACGGGTTTGACGCCTGTCGTGACGGTGGTACGATGTGGCCTGCCGAGACCAACACCTGCAGGGATCTGCATTCGCCTGCACGTTTTGCATCACCTCGCTCACCACCCTCGAGCTTTCAGCTGATTCCACACTTTTTCGCAGAGATGCGCTGCACGCCTGCCGAGGAAAAGTTTTGAGGGATGCTTCCCGCTTTCACCCTTATCATACTGAAAGGCTGCGTCTCTCTTATCACGAAACAATGGCGACATTGGCGGGGTTGGACAGTGAAAGCTCTCTTGTGAAAGTCGAACACGCTGCGTGCCGATATCTGCCGCGTCGGGGAACACAGGCTACTATGTAAGCTGACTCGGTCAGAAGCTTGAGCCAGCGAGTCTAAGATTGTGGCTTGGCCCATATCAGGACCCGAGCTCTTTCATGCGTACCATCGTCTTTTCTACACAAGCGCTCGCCTATAGAGCCAGCAAGCCCATCCCTCTCGTCGATGAACACGGCGCTTGCTCGAGAACGAGCTTTGTTTCCCCAGGATATGAAGCGCGCCAACTCTGTTTTGGAACAACACGCCAAGGACCCTGTCGCCTGATCGTCTTTTCCTGCGGCACCATGAGCATGCTCGTCTTTGAATAGAGTTCGATCGCACTGGCACCTCAACTGGCAACACAGTCATGCTTCAATGCTTCCCAGGGAAGAGAGACTGAGTATCGTGTCCGCGACGCCTCGTTTCTCGAGAAATAAATTTAAGAAGCATAAAATCTTTTTTCTTTCTGTCGTTTGAAAGCAACACAAACCTTTCGGAAGGCCCCGACCGACGCTGACGAAGTCAGTGCAGGGCAGAGCCGAAGAGCCTGAGTAACTTACGAGCCGCCGCTATCCGTAGCGTGGGCTTGAGGGTTGGACCCTGGTTGCCCTGCTTTTAGACGCAAAGTGCAAGACGCAGGTGTCTCCTGAGCATGACAGAACCGCCTTTGCTGCTCGTCACTTTTCACTTTCACACAATCACATCACTGGATCGCTTCTTCCGCACCATCGCTCCGTCTCGACTGCGCCATCATCTCTTCTCTTCCTATCATCAACCCCAATCACGTGCGGCGGAGCCATCATTCTCCCAGAGGCAGCCAGCGCGCATTCGTTGCCAGCCTGCGACACTACAGCAACCGCTTCATCTAGCACTCTTCTCAGTTCCGCCTGTCCGTGCTGCATACAGTCCGCCTCCTACACCAGCTTTCATCGCAGCCACGGCATCCTTTGAGACTACGCATATCACCGATACGACAGACCTTGTGATGCCATTCGTCTCGGCACTATCCTATCCGCAATCTCGATCATAGCTGCGGACGAGCTGATCTGGACGAAATGCTGTCCGGAGGCGGTCGCAATGGCCCGCGCCCGCGTCCTCCAGGCCGTTCGAGATCGTCATTATCGCCGCAGCCTCAAGATGCCAATCCATCGCCTACCTCGAAGCAAGATAAAGTAACGTCTTCCGGCCGCTCTGCCCTGGCCGACATCAACAATACTCTTCACAGCACCAATCACCATGATCATCCGCATACAGCCAAAGTGGACACCAAAGATCTTCCTGCAGCTTGGCCAAGTCAGTCAACTACACCTTGCGAGCCAGCCATGCTCACGCCATCCTCCAGTACAGACGACCTCGATGTCGCTCTGCTCGAAGGTCTCGAACGTCATGAGCTCGAACAGCTTTTGATCGAGGCAAGCCGCAAGATGCGCGAGAGGGAACATAAACTCGTCGTCGCTGCCAACATTGGCAAGGCACTACTTGAAAAGAATCTATCCCTCCGCAGCGGCATCATGACCAGCATGGAATCCAGCTCCAATCTCTTTGGTCTCTCTGACATCGAGGCCATGATCCACGACTTCGCTTCGACCCAGAACACCGACGCCGCACACATGCTCCGATTTGGCGATGCTCGCACACAAACAGGACCCTCGTCGCCTCAACCCATGAACTCGCCTCCCACCACCGACATTGACATCAACTCACAGTGCGAGAACTCGCCAGAACGGCCTGGATCCGACATTACGCCTCTCGCTCGTCCCGTCTCGCTGCCCGACACGGATGATGATTACTTCAGCAGACCGGCGGACAGCACAGCGACGCAGAACGTCAGTGCCTTGGCAGCAGGCACCAGCTCTTTAGCTGCTGATGGATCCATGTGGGTGGCAAGCGATGCTGGCCTGATCGTGTCGCAGCCATGCTCGCCCAGCGCATCTGTCTCCAGCTATGCTTCTCATGCTCTCTTTTCACCCTCAGCCGGCACATCTCGCATCGTCTCGAAACGCGACACTGCAGGCAGTCGACATCGATCTCGTCCGTCGCTCTTGCAAATGCAAGCTTTGGAGGCACAACGACAGCTCGCCGCCCTCGGAGAACAGAACGACGTCCTTCATCAGCAGATCTCGGAGCTTCAGCACGAAGCCGAGAGCGCTCGATTCGAAGGCAGCAAAAAGCTCAGCCGTCTCAACAAGGAACTTCGCGGCCTCAAAGCCGAGCTCGAAGCGGCCACGACCCGCAACGTCGAGCTCGAGAGTAGTCACCTTTCGGCACGATATACTCCGGCGCCGCGATCTCCTATGCGAGACTTTGTGGCGCGTGGTCATTCAGATTCTCCGTCATCCCGGCTCGTCGTATCGAGGGTCCGGTCTGGTGAAGGTGGGTCATCGTCAGACTCAATCCGGAACGCCTTGTCGAAGGACCAGCCAACGTCGGATCATCCCGGTCTAATCCCGTCCACGTCGAACCTCGAGGATCTGGTCCGCTCAGTACACGCCGCAGATGGCGAGAGCGCGCTCCTGGCCCAGTTGCTAGCCAAGATCAAAGAGCTCGAGGAGACAAACTCGGCCATGGCAAAAGCCGAAGAAGATTTCGGCAGTAGAATGGGTCGGGCAATGCAGGAGGACGAGCGTCTTCGCGATGCTCTCACCACTGTTGGCCAGGACCTTGGGATTGCGGCGACATCATCCACCACGGCGAGCCCAGAAAAGGGACTTCACAATGTGGGCGTCTCTCAGCCGCCCCCCGATCGACCCAGCTTCATCACGCCCTCCCACTCGCTTCGATCTCTCGGCTCTCTGATTTTGGACGATGTTTCCAGCCTTGCATCTCCTGTCTCTCCGACACAAAAGCGAAGGGCGCCCGGCAATCGCCATGTCATCGAGCATCGCAAGACTGTGCGCAAAGCACTGCGGCGGGCTCAAAAGGAAATCGCTGCTGACGTCTGGGGTCTCAACAGCGATCCCGCACCTCCTTCTACCGAAGACATGTCGCGGTCTTCTACTGAGCAGTCCTTGGGAACATACTCGATCGACCTCAGTGCCAGCGACAGCATGTCTTCGTCGCCGCGGGCAAAGGGTATGTTCCGAATAGCTTCGTCCCACTCGATCGGCCTCAACGCACCACGAAGGCCTCGCATTCGCATCACTCCCTCGATTGAGGACCTGCGTGCCCGCAAAGGCATGTTCGAGGAGGTCATAGACGGACCACAGCCTGACACCGCTACCGCTGGAGACTGGCAGGATGTCGACAGTCCCATCCGATCTGGCTTTCAGCCAAATGGATCTCTCAGCCCCGCCGACGCAATGCAAACCTACTCTGCGCGCTTGCGGGTCCAGCCCCGAGGCAGATCGGCACAACAAGAGAGCCCGACCCGCAATTCCCTCACGAGCAAAGCTGTGCCTCAGTCCAGCGGCAGTGCAATGCTGGTACTGTCACCCTCTCAGCAAATGTCTTTCCGTCCCACCGCACGCGTTCGCAGGTCGAGGTCAAGATCGCAATCCTTCGGCTCTGAAGCTAATTTCGGACAGCAGGCGCCCTCTGTGCAGCAAACTCCGGATCCCTTCATGAGCCCGTCCCCAGCTTGGCACCGACCTGGCTTAAGTCGCAGTCCCACTTCGGTCTCTTCCCAGCGCGGTCGGACGCTAGGCAGCGAGCTTGGCAGCATCTTCGGTGGCGATGATCGGAAGCACGACTTCGACGACGACCTTCCGCAATCGCGCAGGCTGACCGCCACTGACAATGCAGGATTGGCAGACCGTTCTCAGTCACTTGTCTTGGCTTTCCCTGGAGATGTGACAGCCCTCGCACCACGGTCGAAGTCATGCTCGCGGATCGAGTCCGATCGACCCACTGCACACGTGGGTCGATTGGTGCCCCGATGCGACGAAGAGCACGAGGACGATCTGGAATGCGTCCTGACCCAATCTGCCTATGGTCAGATTGAAGAGGCTTTCCTCGACGAGTCTCTCGTCCACCCTCGCGATGCGGCGCTGTTTGCCCGCGTCGAGGACGAGGAGCAGGGTGCTTGGCTGGCCGATCAGCCAATCATCGAGACTGGCGGCTTGCAAGACGAAGATGAACCTCGAAGCTCGCAATTCGACCTCATCAATGCCGTTGTCGAGCATCAAGCCGTTGCGTGGGCGGATGATGACGACTATGGACGCAATATTACCCAGCGTGAAGCTGCCAAGCTCGGTCTCTTGGCAAGGTCAGCTCTGCTACAAGCAGGTCGAGGCGCTCGATTGCTCACTGGCGCCACGAGGAATAGCAACTCGGCCTTTGGCACGATGACGAAAGCGCACGAGCAGCGACAAGGCGCCGAGAAGCCCCCGCCGGCGCGTTTCGAGATCGAATCAGCCGAGCAGGTCGAGCATCGGCTGCGCATCGAGGCGTTGCTGCGCAGGCGAAGGCAACAGTTGCTGCGAGAGCGTGGGTACCCCGAGCAGTGGGAGCCTGCTCGGAAGGAGGAAGACGAGCTGGTTGCTATGTACGCTCCAAGCCCACAGCGTCTGCAAGAGAGGAGGATGCAAGCTCTTGTGGGTGGCCGAGGCAGCTCAACCGCAACTTCACCTGGCGACGCATCTCCCTCTCAACGCGACCCTCGCCGATCCACTCAGCAGTGGGTGCGTGAGCTCGCATGCGTTTCTCCGACCGTCAAGAAGAGAAGCGGCGGCGTCCGGGATCAGAATCTCGACCTGACGACTCTCGACGATGTCCGGCCCGAGGAGGCCGAATTCGAGCTGCTCGACTGCCCAACCTGGAAGAAGCAGGGCGGACGTGGGACCGACTACTTCCCCACCTCGTTCCGCGCGCGCTACCGCCCGACCATGGTCAAGCAGAGGGTGGCGCACGTGTCGCAGCTCACCTACGGCTGGGTCGAGGAGTGGATCCAGTTCGCATTTGTCGTCTTCCTCGCCTTTGTTGTTATGATCGAGCAAGGGCCGAATCGCAACGCGCGCCGGGGCAAAGCCGGTGCTGCCCCACAGCGTATCATGAACTAGGCAGGATGAAAGCCAACCGGCCTACAACCCATCGACGACCGTCTCAGCCCGTTCGCTTCTCTGCTTTCACTACGTCATCGCAGCTCTTACACCTCAGATACCCCAGTAGATCAGATACCCTGTACCGCCTTTCTCGATCTCTTTCCCTTACATCCCAGATCAATGTGGCTTCAGTCATCGCAATACACTCTTTCGACCAAATTGAATCTCGTTTCGTCCAACGCCGAGTCTGAATGAGGTTAGTGGGATGTGTGCCACGCCAAATGACGAGACGGAATGGCTGATCCGAGGCTCGTGTGGGGATCCTTCACTTTCCGAGCCTACAACTTCGTGGGTGGCAAAGCGCATCACGAGCATTACGATGACTTTTGCGAAGCCGCGGTTGGCGCCGAGAGAGAGCCCCCGTGGCTTGTTGTTGGTGGGTGTCCAGCGCCGTTGTCTACGACAAAGCGGGACGTGTAGCACGGTGATGTACGTGCAGATGAAGGTGTTGCGATTCCGCTGATCGCCGTGATGCATTGCGAAAGGTATAAAGGGCGTTCGCACGACCAGGAGCAACCTTTGACCACACACACCTCCGAGTCAGCCCATCGGCACAGTATCAAAGTCTCGACCGATCGGGGTCCTTTCATCGACATGTGGTTTCGATCTTTGCCCCTCTTCTTGCTGGCCATCCTGGGCCTGGCCCTGTCCGCCGCGGCCAACAAGCCCCTTGCCGCAGTCGCCTTTGTCGACGTGAAGTTCGACGACAAAGCCGCCATCTGGACCCTCCTGCTTGATCCTCGTTATCGCAAAGTGGTCGCCATCACCTCGGGCATCAATGCGCACGATCAAGCCGCGTACGAGCTGTACCGTTATGTGCACGATCAGAACAACACGCCCTACCGCAAGGTGGATATGAGCAAGCTGGAGATCTTGCAAGGAACGAACGCGCTTGGACGCGCAGCTCCGCACGAGGAGTGGTGGGCGGGCTTGCCTCGATGGGTCGTGAACGCTGCGACGGAGCAGACGTTGGTTCAAGGACTTCACGGGTATCGTCTACGAATCTTCCAGCTGGCTCCGACGGCGCCGTACCAGATCGAAGCGGTGCTGCAGGCAACGCAGCCAGGCGACGTCGAGAGCTTCATGCTGCTCCACGGGTACAACTCCGGTCAGGCGAGCAAGGCGCAGGAGACGGCATTCCTGCGCAGCCTCCGCGCCTCTGTTCGAGCAAAGAACCCGCAAGCAGAGGTGTTTTTCACCTCTTCGCTGGACAGCTATGCGCGGGGCGATGGGGGTAAACAGCCGTACGCGGCGATTCGACACATATTCCCGCAGCGCGATCTGGATCAGGCGATGAGGGATCCGTTCTGGTCTCGCCAGCTACTTCGTGCGCATGAGGCGGGTGTAAACATCCCCCCTTTCCCCGTGCAGGACAAGCAGCAGCTCGACGAGATCATCTACAACGCGAGGGTCCACCCGGAGTACCCTACGAGCGCGCAGTGGCGGCGCTACATGACGGACTACATCCAGAGCGCGCTGAGGGCTAACCCGAATGCAGATCATATGACGCTGACGAGGCTGAAGTATACGCATCTGCCCGAGTTCTCGGGCGCCCCGACGCTGGAGCTCGCCGATGCAAGTCACGTCGCTGCGTTTCATCGGTATCTAGACGAGGGGTCGCGCAGTGGGATGCACGTGCATCCGGTAGCTTACCCCCCAGGTCCGCATGAGGCGGGCAAGCGGGTCGGGTTTGTGTCGGCTGCGGGCAACGAGCTGCACGGAGTCTTGCTCAAGGGCGCAGACCGAGATCAGGATCTGGAGTACATCAAGCGTCTGGCTGGCATCCCGCACTGACCGTCTCGTGACAGCTTCATTAGATCGGCGACGGCATCGATTGACGTCTATTTATCCTGTGCACAGCAGATCGATCCGCCCAACTCAATGTGTTGACATCTTCCGAAGACTCTCCGATGAGGCCGCACATGAGAGGGGGGAAGCCACAAGAACCCGACCCTCGTAGCCGCTTTCCGAGACGCGCTTTGCGAAACCCGCTGTCCGATTTCCACTTGCCGCGACCGTCGATCTCCCTGTTCGCCGGTTGCTTCCGCTTCAAACCTTTGCATCGAGATGTTTCGACGCCTTGCACATTGCAAGGGAGTGCTGACAGAGGAGTGGAATGTCCGTGGACAAGTTGCAGTCTGAGGTGGGCCGATGCCCGCATTGGTAAGCGGCATGGTGGTTGGAGCGGCCGCATTTTCCTGTGCGTCCAGTTGCGCCTGCACGTGCCGGGCAGGGGCTAGCTCAAATGCCGTTTCTGAAGCAGCGTGAATCGGTACATCGTTCAGGAAGCGGTTCGGGGCCCCTTGGGGACGTTGGTGATCCGTGGAACTCGGTCTCGTCTGCTTACCAATTGGTCGCGATACGCGCACGAAGCTGCGCAAGGGTTCGTCCTCCGACGGGACTTGGTCCATGTGGCTTTCCACGTGTTCTGGCAGCGCCGACGGTATATAATTCAGCGAACCGGGGCTCCTATCTGCTCGTCTTTCGTTGTGTGTCATCGTCTCCTCCGTCATCATCGCGATCAGATCAGATTTAGTCCTTATCGCCCCTAACACGCACCTTACGACAGAGCGTCATGGCCGACCAGATGCAGGACGTCGAGTTCGAGCCCATCTTCCCTCCGTTCGAGCAGCAACCGTGGAGCCAGTATGCAGAAGCACGCAAGTTCAACACGCCCGGTCGGCCTGCGCCTAAGAAGGGGAGTAATGTATTCGTTCCCATCTTCCTTCGAGACCAATTCACGCTGAGCACGTGGATGCTGATGGGAGCGAGCATCCAATGTCTTCTGGTCAGCGTCCTCGGTGCTCGGCTCTGGATCGTCGCGCTGCCGGTGCTGATGCTGGGCCTGCGATGTCTCCGGACCATCCTGCAGGCTCGCGGTATGCTCAAGAATCCCTACATGGAAGGGGTGATCCCCGGCAAGACGACGTGCCACTTCCCCAACAGCGACGGCTCGTACAGCGGCGCGACCTCTAATAAGTCGATGGCGGTGCTTCTGATCTCGGTCAAGTCCAATCATCCCCTAGGCGCGCTTGCACCTGGCTTCAAAGAGCTCGGCGAGTTTTTCAACGGCTGTGTCGAGTGGTTGGAGGAAGATTCTCATGCTCGCGGCTTCTTGGGCATGACCACCTGGCTCAACGCCAACGACCGCGCGACAAGCAACGAGCTGCTCAACATTGGCTACTTTCGCAACGTCGAGGACATCCATGCGCTTGCCCACCACGCCATTCATCGCGCTGGGTGGAAGTGGTGGAACCAGCACTCGAAGAGCATGGAGTTTTTCACGCTGACGCACGAGATCTTTGTCGTCGACGCCGGGAGCTGGGAGAACATCTTTGTCAACGCCAAGCCGACTCACCTGGGTACAACGGTGGTCAAGGGCGACGATGGACTGTGGAGGTCGCCCCTGATCAGGCTGGGTGCTGCTCATAGGAATTCAGCCAATCGTCTGCGGAGGAAGCAGACGGAGGACGAGAAGAAGAGGCAAGATGAGACGGATGCGATGGCTGGCGAGGCGTATGAACCGCTAGCTTGAGCTCAGCTGGCTGCCAAATCTCTGTCCCTTTGTTGGCTATTCACCGCTCTTTACTTGATCGACAGCTCCACCGTAGGTCCCGAGTGTTGTCCGCGCATGTGAGCCTGGGAGACGTGGGACGATGGACTGCGGAGAGGAGGCTCGACGATCGACTGGAACGCTCGAGAGGATGATGTTGATCTGTGCTGTTTCGGCTGCTCCGCCCGAAATCAAGGGTCTAAGCCTAAGCGAGCGTAAAGGCGAGTCAGCCGTTCGGGTATAAGCCTTGGATCGGGGCTCAGTTTCGGTTCATAGAGCCATTTCGAAGCTGGTGACTCGGTTCCTTGTACAATTTTCTTGCTTGGAAATGAGATCGGGCAATTGGAGGGGAAAGCGTGAGTAAGAAGAAGCTCAAAGCCTCGCAGCCAAGATTCAGGGTCACAAGGCACTCAGTCACCGGCGTTCAATTCTCGCTCAGCGGGACAATAGAAAAATCGCAGGCGTGACGGCTCGCTTGCCGCTTTGGCCTTTGGCTTGGTACACTTTTGGGTTGACCGACGAGAAGGCGAGGAGGGACCTGTGATCAAGACCCTTCTTCGTCCACCCCCATCTTGTGCTGCGCTTGACATCCACCATCCACCGTTTGACCATCTCTTCATCCACCTTCGCTGATTCTGTCTCCCATACTCACTTGATTCAGATTCAGTCTCTACAGAGCATCATCATCTCAGTGCCAGTCTTTGCAGCCATCGTCGCCAGCACCAACAAGGTGGCTGACTCACAGCTTTGCTTGGCAGTCGGTCGTTCCGAATCCTGGCCGCAAGCTGGCTTGAGGCAGTCGTCGACATTGCTCCCTCAGCCACATCATTCCGACTTGAAGCTAGCTCACTTCTAGTCAAGCTTGATCGCGACAGAGATGCAGTCGAAATCCATCGCATCGCATCCAGGCGCATCCAACGTCGGCCATCCCGAGCTCGACAGCCCTTCCAGCTCAGCGTCGCCTGGGCCACGCTCGCCCTCTGGCACCGCCACCCCCGACCGAGCTTTTGGCACTGGCAACGGCTCGATTTCAGCTTCTGTCTCGAAAGCAGCCGCGGCAGGCGCAAGCGCAGGTCCCAGCCGCCCCGCAACAGCCGCCCTCGCAGCCAAGATTGCAGCATCCCGACAGCACGGCACCGTCGCAGACGCCGTCGCCGCTTCCCTCGGCAGCAAACGAGAACGCAAGAGGAAGCGCATCCACTACAGCTGCGCAGAATGTCATCGTCGCAAGCACAAGTGTGATCGCCAGACACCGTGTCAGCCCTGCATTGACCGAGGTCTGGGCGACAGCTGTCGACCCTTCGAGGATGGCGATCAGTTCGGCGACATGCGCGACCGCGTACAACGACTTGAAGACATCGTCGAAGGTCTAGCTATCGCGCATGCAGAGCTCGCCAAGGAACTCAAAGACTCCCGCGGTCAGATGGCCGCCTTTGTCGAAATGGTCTCCGACGACGACGACCAAGATGCCGACCCTGACGATCCTGCTGCTGCATCACGGCCCAAGACCAAGAAGCGCAGAAGGATCATGCGTCCCAGCACGGCGCGAGGCATCGAGAGGGAGGAGCTCTTCAACTCGGAAGCGCAAGCCATCGCTGCTTCCAAGGGCGAAGTCGTTGATTCTACAAACGGCAAAGGAAGCGCGCCACGCTACGATCTCGGCGGCAATCCGCTCGAAGGTGGTCTCGCTCGCGACGGCGATAGCTGGTTTGGCGCTCTCGCTTTGCCTTCTGTCAGCCGTGGTGTCATCGAGACAGAGATCAATGGCGAGCGTCTCGAGCTCGGTGCCAACTTCCCTCGCTTCCCTGCTTCGGTCAAGCTGCATCGTCTCATTCACGAAGGCGGTGCTCCCGAGAACATCCTCAGCGATCTCATGAACTCGCTTCCTTCCAGAGCCGACACGGACCGTCTCCTCGACATCTACTTCCGCGACATCAATCATACCCGTCTGCCAATTCACGAGGGCACCTTCCGCCAGTCGTACGACGAGCTCATGGACTTCCGATGGGGCAATGCAAAGGAAGAGCGAGGCGACGACGGTGCGAGGCACGTGCCCTTCCTCGCTTTCCTCTTTGCTATCCTAGCAACTGCCATGAGGTCCCTGCCAGAAGCGCTAGGCAGCGAATCCGAGGCCAAGAAGGGCGCTGTCCGCCTCTACCACGCCTGTCGACGCACCATCAACATTGCCTCGACCATTCGTGTGGACCACATCGACCTCGTGCTCGCGCATCTCTTCGCCGCTCGCTTCTTGATCTGCCAGCGCCAGAGCGCAGAGAGCTGGTCGCTGCTCGGCAACGCTATTCGCGCCGCACAAGCTATTGGTCTCCACCGCGATGGCAGTAAGCTCGGTCTCGATGCCATCACCACAGAACGCAGGCGTCGACTCTGGGCCATCATCTTTTACATGGACAAGACCACCAGCATCCTCCTCGGTCGTCCGCAAGCCATCCAGGAGTTCCACTGCGACACGCTGCCGCCTTCCGACATCGACATCGACACCATGCCGCGGTCTGCTCGTCCCTACGTCCCGCGTACCAGACCGCGTCCCAACACACCACCAGGAGTGTTCCTCTTTGTCGCCATCCGCCACGAGCTCACCCGACTCACGGGTAAGATTGTTGAGCATTTCCAGAATCTTGCCAGTCCGCGCAGATATGCCGACGTCGTGGCACTCGACGAGGAGCTTGAGAAGTTCCGCAAAGACATTCCGGACATCTACCGCGTCGACAAGGTGGCCAACGGCACAGGGCCGGACACCAACAAGGAGTTCGATACCGTCTGCCCCTGGCTGCCGCTTCATCGATACCTGCTCAACATCGAGTATCACTACGTGCGCATTGCTCTGCATCGACCGTACGTGCTGCGCAACTCGGAGAAGTACTCTCATTCTCGGACGGCAGGTTTCGAAAGCGCCAAAGCAGATCGCAAGGTTCGCCAGGAGTACCGCAAGGACGTCAAATGGGAGCCCGAGCGCGCGCGCAAAGTGCACATGGGCGGGCTGTACCGTCTGTTCAACGCGACCATGATGATCGGCATCGCGCTGTTGCTGGATCCCAATGGTCCGGAGGCGCCGGACTTCCTGTCGTACCTTGACGAGTTCATCGAGCTGCACAAGCACCGTGAAGGGGAGGCGGACCAGTGCAGCAAGCGTGAGGTCAAGATCATCGAGCTGTTCCGGGCCAAGGCTCGCGATCCGACGTGGTGCGCGACGTCGGCGACGGGTGCAGCGGGTAAGAAGGCGGACAAGGACAAGGCCACCAGCAAGGGACGCGCCAAGGACGCAACGAAGCGCGAGAGCGAGGGCACCGCAGGCGTCGGCACGGCCGCTTTCAGCTCCGCCATGCTGCTCGGCAACACCAAACCCTCGCAACTTGCCCGTGCCAACTCGGTCAACACCACGGAGAGCATCACGCCGCCCCCCTTTGCGGGTCTGTTCGGCGGTCCCACCGCAGCCGCATCCGGTCTCTCCCTCGGGACCGTGTCGACCGGCACGACGAGCGATGCAGCCACCGATCTGGCGCAAAGCATCTTCGACCAGCTCGGCGGCTACGAGCCTAGCTTTGGCATGCTCAACCCCACCCCCAACGATGCGCTCAACTTCAACGCCGGTAGCGGCCTAGGGTTTGGACCGAGTCACACGTCCAACAGCATGGGCTTCGATTCTGCTGCAGGGTTTGACATTACGAGCTACTTCAACACGCCTCCTGCCTCGGGTGGGGAGCCGGGGGTGACGGCGCAGGCAACGTCGGCGACGCCCGCACGCAGCGGCGCAGGATCGATCAACATTCCAGCAACGACCTCGGAGCATAGCGGACTGCCCAACTTTCAGCCGAGCGCACACCCGCATTTGCGCGCGCTGAATACCACGGGTGGATTCAACGGTTTCCCCACGCCTCCCCCCGGTGCAGGTGCAGGTGCAGCGCGTGGTGAAGGGGGCGCACCGAATGGCACGGGGGCAAACGGCGTTCCCGGAGACTGGGGTTTGTTGCCCTGGGGCGGACTCATCGAAGCCATCGCCCAGAGCTCGCATGGCATGGAGCATGGGCAGAATGGGTCGGGCACACCGGGCAGCGGGGTCGAGTTGAAGACTGAAACTCCCGAGGGCGGGGAGAAACATTGATTTCATCGTAGAAAGCAACTGCAATGAATCGTCCATGATCGTCTTCTGTCGTTTTTGAAGCGTGTCTACTACCATCTTGTGTGTCGTCCCGTGATGCCATCTAATGCAGCGGATCTAGAGCGTGATACTCCCACCGTGATTGAGCGCGACAAACGTCTTCCCTTTCTCCCCGATCGCATCCTCCCCCCTCGCAAACCGCACGCCCATCTGTTCACACGCCCACTTCAACTGTCCCAACGTCTTCAACACTTCCTCTGGCCCACTGATGAACGTACCCCAATGAATGGCCATGCACGTCGCCTGACCCGACGTCATTTCGTCAAACACACGCACGGCGTCCCACGGCGGCATGTGGTTCGCCGCTGTCAAACCCGGTGTGAGGCGTGGGAAGGGGGAGATGCTGTCCGGGAGAGGGATGTAGCTTCGGAGGAAGGAGATGGTGGCGCCCACCGAGATGGGGAGCATGAGGAAGGACGGGTGGCCGAGACGAGTGATGATTTCGGAGAAGGCGGGACAGGGCGGGTAGGGAGAGGAAAGCTCGTCGTCGGGTGAGAGGTGCGCACCGCCTCGGTAGGTGGGGTGCGAGCGGAGCGGTTGGTTGGGGAAGAGCGAGTCGCCGGTTTCGGAGGCGGGCGTGGTGGGGACCGAGGCCGGGGCGAGTGGTGGTGCGGGTGGGAAGGAGGGGCCGTGGAATTGACAGCCCGTGTCGCCGCCGAAGTAGAGTTTGGTGGGTGTACCGTCAGCGTTGGAGTGGGGATGCTCGAGGTACCAGGACGACCAGAGGGCGCAGTTGGTGTCGACGCCGTAGCGACCCGACCCGTGCTGGGCTGGAGTGCAGACGACGCGCAGCGCTTCGCCCTCGTCAGCATCGGCACCAGCTTGTGTGAGATGCACCTCGGCCCACCAGTCTAGCTCCGTCACTCTTTCTGCTGGGATGGACAACGCCGAAGTGGTCGCTGCCGACGGAGTGAAGCTCCAAGACGACGAAAGCGATTCCGTCGATGGCGATGTAGCGGTGCTTGGTGCGGGCTGCTGAGCTTGAGCTTCACCAGCAGCGGACCCAATGAACCAGTCCTTGTTGCCTAGCGGAACGACGAATCGAAGCCGGTCCTTGTTAGCAGCCCAGAGATCACGGACGGTGTCGTAGTCGAGATGGTCGTAGTGATTGTGCGAGATGATGACGAGGTCGATAGGCGGCAGGCTGGAGATTGGGCATGGTGGGGCATATGATCTGATGGGACCAGCGACTTGGGTGGGAGAGCACCTCTGAGAGAAGATGGGGTCGAACAGGACGCGGATCGGTCGGCCCTTGGGAGTAAGCGGCGGTAGCTGAACAAGAACGCCAGCATGACCGAGCCAGGTCGCCTTGAGTTTGGCATCGGAATCGAAGTCGAACGAAGGCTCTTCGATGGTGAGAAGCTGCTTGGAGGCCATCTTGATCTTTTGTTGTCGGGTATACGATGTGGGCACGGTCTGTTGGGAGAACCAGCTCGTGGATCGGCCATCTTGGGTTACATCGTGCGACTGTGGATCAGGTGAAGCACCTTCGAGGTCTGGCGTGCCCGGTCGACTGTCCTTGTAGGGGTCGGTCGAGTCGTCGCCGTCCTTTGACGCTGAGTCGAAGTCCGCGTCCTGCATAGCATAGTCTATCGCTGTGTCCTGATCCTCGCCCCATTCGAGTCCCTGCCACACCTCGGCCACCGTGGGCTTATGCCAGCTGGGCCATGGATTGCGGAAGCCAGTGCGGACGACTTTGGTCGGATCTACGAGGGCTATCGAGTTGGGCAAGCAGGCAATGTTTTGCGAGTTGTCGTCATCTTGAAGCTGTGTACTTTGACTCGACTCTCCGGATTGCTGCTGCGATAATGTGCTTGGCTGCGGGTTCCAATGGGGCAAGTAGGAGGAGAGGGTGGTGCCTGGTGCTGGTGCTAGGACATGGTGGCTTGGTGGAAGACCGTCTGCTGTGGAATTGTGCTTGAACTGCACAGCTAATGGCTGAGCTTGTGAAGCGCCACCCATCTGTGATATCTATCGGAAGTGTTCCGCGGTTGACGTAATGGTGAAGAGGGAACATCATACATCCATCAGCGTGGGAACATCGCTTTTCACGAGATCCGGAGCAGCCGAGTGGGAGTGGAAGCTGCAGGCCTGCATGAACGCACGCGCCTGACCCACAAGCGAAGAGACCCCTTTTTCGGTCCTGAATTCTCAACCTCGATTTCCGTGTCTGTTTTGTGTCATGACACTTTTACAGATCCGAGCTGTCAACCTCCTCGCTCTGCGATTACCACCATCGACTACTATCACAAGTCCTTTGCGATAGCGCGGCACAGATGAGCGCATCTCAGCGTGGCTCCATCGACGGAGGCGTCATTGCAAATCCGCACGACGCACCACCAGAACACCGCATCCCTTTGGACCATCTTCGATCGCTCTACTATCGACCCGCAGCAGGATCCGGCATCCTTGTGCCGTCATCCGAGGTTTCTTCCGCCTACTCATCACCGCAGCAGCCGCAGCTGACAGCTCCGCAAGACTACCGCACTTCCAGTCCAGCTCTTCGATCCGGTTGGTCGTCGCACAGCCGCGCAGACAGCATCCCTTCCCGAAACGCAAGACCGAACAGCTCGTCCTTCTGGTCGCACAACGTGCCCAATGCTCATCCCGGAACACACGCTAGCATCCTCGCTCAAGCACAACGACAAGCACAAGACAGGCGGTCTCCCTCGCCAGCCCTGTCCCTCTCCGAGCATGGTCATCGTCAGCTGAGCTACATCCATGCGGCCCCTGGATCGTCAGCATCGTCCTTCGGTCTCGACCTGGACCGTGCAGATCTCAACCGAGGTCTCCAGCCTCCTGTCTCGACCTCATCACGGCGGTCCTCCATGTACGGCTACCTGCCAACACGTCTCCTCCCGGTCGCAGAGAAGAAGCGAATCCTAGTCACAGGAGGCGCCGGGTTCGTCGGTTCTCACCTCGTCGATCGCCTCATGCTCATGGGCCACGAAGTGCTCGTCATCGACAACTTCTTCACGGGTCAAAAGAGCAACCTATCCCAATGGCATGGTCATCCAAATTTCGAGCTCATCCGACACGACGTTGTTCAGCCATTGGTTGTGGAAGTGGACCAGATCTACCACCTGGCATGTCCCGCCAGCCCCATCTCGTACCAGGCCAACCAGGTCAAGACCATCAAGACAAACTTTATGGGCTCGATCAACATGCTTGGGCTGGCGAAGCGGACCAAGGCGCGCTTCTTGCTGGCCAGTACCTCGGAAGTGTACGGCGATCCGGATGTGCACCCGCAGCCAGAGACGTACAACGGGAATGTCAACCCCGTGGGACCGAGAGCGTGCTACGATGAGGGCAAGAGGGTTGCGGAGACGCTCACGTATGGATACTACTATCAGGATGGGGTGGATGTGAGAGTGGCAAGGATCTTTAACACGTATGGACCGAGGATGCACCCACACGATGGGCGGGTGGTGAGCAATCTCATTCTGCAAGCGCTGAGGGGGGAGCCGCTGACGGTGTTTGGCGACGGGTCGCAGACGCGAAGCTTCATGTTCATTCACGACTTGATTGATGGGTTGATATCGCTGATGAATGCGGAGCCGCCGGTGGACGTGGGGTCTTTGCAGACGCCGCTACCACGGCCACCGCAGGCGCAGAACACACAAGCGGCGTCGGCAGCCGACATCCTCACCGACGCACCCGATTCGATCATTCCCTCCGAGGCGACTGCCACCACCCCTGCTGTTCCCACCGCTCTCAGCACCTCTTCAAACGCTGCTGCGAGCGATGGGTACTTTCACCCCGACGCACACCGCTTCGACGTCCACACACCCGTCAACCTGGGCAACCCGGGCGAGTTCACCATCATGGAACTCGTCCAGCTCGTCCAGAAGTGCGTCGCCAAGGTCAAAGCCCAGGATGCTCGTCCTACATCCGCCTCCTCGTCGTCGAACCACAGCGACACTATCGATGCCTCTGCCTCGCCACCCAGGGCAGAGTCGGAAATCCGCTTCTTCGCCATGCCCAAGGACGATCCCAAGCAGCGCAGACCGGATATCACCCGCGCCACGAGCTTGCTCGATTGGTACCCACGCTGGAAACTAGAGGACGGACTGGAGGAGATGACGCGGTGGTATTGGGAGCGCATCAAGGAGGGTTCTGTCTGAAGTCGACTCTCAACACAAGCATGAGTACTGGACACGGTTCAGGCATCTGCTGCCACTCTTTCAGACCAGATCGAGCGTTGTGCTTTTGAAATATGTGTTTGAGTGAAGTTAGTAGCCGGTGGGGCCCTGAATATCGTACCTCTTGCCCCTGACCGCCCACAGTCCCCAGTTCGCCTTGACCGCAACTCTCGGATCAAAGTCCGCGACAGCCCACTGTTGACTCGCAAAGACGTTCTCACCAGGGGTGATCAGCCAGTCGAATTCGCCCCTCACACCATCGACACTCTCGAAGGCGAGCACGTCGCGCTCGACATCGGCGGGCGAGAAGCCGGTGGCGATGAGCGCACATCGGGTGGAGAGGATCTGGCCGATAGCGCGGGCCCATTCGCGTTGCGCCTGCACAACGGGCGCGGCGGTGAGGGCGGTGAAGGTGTGTCCGTCGGGCGAGGCGAGCACCGGCGCGGGCTCTTCTGATGGAATGTCGCCGCCTTCCGGTGAAGAGGTCGCGTCGACTGTGTAGGCTGCACGTGGTGGAGCGGTGGCGTTGTCGGCTGCGCTTTGTGCGGTTGACTCGATGGAGGCTCCGGTAGCATTGTATGTGCTCTTAGCCCGAGCAAAGTGCGCTTCGTGATCGCGATCTTCTTGCCTCGCTTTGTCCGCTTCCTCGACAGCAATCTGCGAAGGGAAGCCGAAGCCGGGACTGAAGGCGAAGAAGACATCCGTGTATGCATCGAATGGTTCGAGCTGCGCATGAATGTCTTCGTACTTGCTCTGGATGGTCGTCACCGTCAGACCCTCGGAGACGACGACCGTCCGAGAAGGAACGCCGTAGTTGGACTTCCTGACCCTGCCCTTGTGCATCGAGATGCTTCCGGACCCAGGTCCCGCTCGCTCCTGCATCTGCACCTGCTTCTCGCTCGGAATATGCGCCTCGGGTCCGATGAGGAACAGATGGAACGGCACGCCGGGGAACATGTAGGTCAACTGATCCCACACGGCTGGTGGGAGTGTCGACTCGGCTCTCGCGCCCACGACAAAGATGCGCATCTTGTCGAGCGACGGCTTGTCGCCTGCCTTGGGATGCAGCGTTTGTCGGAGTGCGATCATGCTCCTCAACCCCTCGTGAGTCAACCTCCTGGACTTTTTGGTGTACGGGCTGTTTTCGTGGATCACGGCGCCCATTGTCGTTGGGAACGTCAAGAGCTTGCTGACGTGCCGTCTGCTTCGATCCGATTCTATCGAGTTGAAGTTGCGCGTGTAGAAGAATACGTCCCAGTTGGACATGTTGATGGTCTCCTCGAACCCCTGGGGGCCGGGCAGCTTGAATTCGGACATCTCGCGGCCGGAGCGCAGGTCGTGCTCGTCCTCGTTGGACTCGCGAAGACGGGCGACGTACTTGCCGTGCTCGGTGTCTTCCGACCACTCCTTCTCGCTGTAGTGCGTAGGCCAGCCGCAATCGGGACATTCAAAGTTGACGAGTCGACGCACTTTGTACTTGGACATGCTGACGGGACAGGGGGCGAGGGAACGGATGCGCTCGCCGCGCGCCCGGATCGAGGGGATGGGCGACTTTGAGAAGGGGTGGAAGAGGTCGTCCTGGGCTATCAGCGGCTTCTTGGCCGCGCACGGTGGGAGAGAGAACGGGTCATTGCGCTTGTCCTTTTTGCCTCCGAAGAGCGAGAAGCCGAAGAGGGTGCGGTGCTGCCCGAGGTGTGATGTTGCGGTTGATGCGACGTGATTCGAGTTGAAGAACGATGCTGACAGGAGTCGCTGCGGAGCGGCCGATCGGACCAGTCCGCTGGCGTGGGAAAGGTGCCGGGACGTCGCTGCCATCGTGGCACAAGTATGCGACTGCCAAGATCGAAAGCAAGACCGATTCGACTGATGTAGAGCTTTAAGTAGGATGCCAAGATGCGATGCGCTTGGCCGAGCTTGAGAAGATGATCCTTTCCTAGAAAAAGTCGAAGTGGAGATTCTGGCGTCTTTTTGCGCTTTCCGCTGCCCTTCCTCGGATCACCTCAGCGAAAGGAAAAGCCGGATCGCCCTTCTCAGCGCTTTTGCAACCCGATCCGCCAAGACATCGGCCCAGCACCGCTCCATTTCCAGGTGAACGGACCAGCGAGCCTGGTTTGCCGAGACCAGCACGACCCCAGACCCTGCTTCGAGACACATCCACTCGTATCTCGTTTCCACCACTCCAAGGCGCAGCTAGCCAACAGCGACGATCACGCGCACGCTCGCCATGGACCATGCCGTGGTGCAAAAGTGGCTGCGCAGCGTGCTCGGACCTTACACCGATCGCGACCGCGTGTTCGCCGACATCGATCGAACTCTGATTGCTGTCTCGTCCTTGTCACCCAAGACAGAGGTGTTCACCTTCAACGATGGTCGCACCCAGCTGCTGCTCAACTTGGACGGCACAATCCCCGTCAACTTTCGCGGCAACACGTACAACATTCCCGTAGCATACTGGATCCCGAGGGACTACCCGCGTGAACCACCCATGGCTTTCGTAGCGCCCACACCAGACATGGCCATCCGCAAGGGTCCCAACGTCGACCCGAGTGGAGAGATTGGCGGAGAATATCTCAGAAGATGGCGCAACAAGCCGGAAGCCTGCAACCTGCTTGATCTGGTTCACGACTGCCAGCAGATGTTTGGTCGCGAACCTCCAGTTTATGCCAAACCAAAACCGACACCTGTGTACGCGACAGCTGCTTCCACTTCAGCTGCTGCACAGCAGAGACAGCCATCTCAACCTTCGACACCCCAGAGGCAGGCCAGTGTGTCTCACAGCTATGCGCAACAGCGACCAGGCCCCCCGCCTCCAGTCCCAGCCTCTCCACAATCACTGCAATCGGCTGGTGGTGCAATCTTTCACGGTCGCAATGGTCACGATCCACGCCAAAAACCGCCTCCACCAGCGCCAGCGACGCCGACTAACTCGCAGGGTGGCTTTCCACAGGGACATGGCCAGACGACACCGCATCGACCTCCAAAGCCATCGTCCTCATTGGGTCCAGATGGCGGTTATTCGGCCAATCCGCACCCTCGGGACTCGATGTCCTACTCGGATCAGTACGGCTCACCCGCACCTGCACCGCTGCCTGGCACCCAAATGCAATCGCCGCAACAGACGGGCGCACCTCGCTTCGCACCCAATGAGGAGGCTTACAGACGCTCTTCAGGGGCAGGTCTCCCTCCCGCCGGTTACGGTCGGCCTCCTCAACAGTACGTAGGACCACATCAACAGCAATATGCTTCTCAATCGCCTGCTGGGGGACCACAATCTCCAGCACAAACGGCGCCGTGGCAGTCGAATGCATACGATCCGAATGGCGTACCGGCACAGCGTCGGGACTCACAGCAGTTCGCGCCTCATCACCAGCATCACAATCAGCATCAGCGCGCTCAGACATACCCTTATCCAGCATCCGACTCGCATCGCGCGACACATTCACCGTACAACGGTAGTCCAGCTCCGCCTCGACAGAACGGACAGCCGCCATATCAGCCTCAGCATGGCCCATCATCCACCCAGTCACCACTTGCACCTGGACCGCACCCCTACCAGCATGCCATCAATTCTGCTGCTGGCGCAAACGGCCACTCGAACTCGCCAACCCCAGCGATCGTGCCCAAACCAAAAGGCTTCAACCTGCTCGACGAGGAAGACGATTCTAGCGTTCATCCTCACACGTCCTCCGCTGGGCCTGCACCTGGCAACCCGTCCGTCGCTCCGCCACCCCGCCCAATCAACCCGGAGCTGCTGGCGCTGCACGATCGACTCTATCACAAGATCGATTCGCGCCTTACCACCCTCTCCTCCACACTGTCGGCCTCCAACGCGCGCCTAGACGTGCTCTCCGCCGACCTGGACCGGGGTCTTCCCGCCATCGAGGACGAGCTTTCGCGACTGAAAGCCGTGCGCGACGTGTGCGCTACCACCGGCGACCGACTCCAGACCTCCGTCACCGAACTCACCGACCAAGTCCGATCACTGCAGTCGCGCGAAGATCCGGACCCAGACACCATGGTCCTCGCCACCAGCATCGTCGGCAACCAACTGGTGGATCTCGTCGCGGAAGACAACGCCATCGAGGATACGCTCTATCATCTCGGCAGGGCGTTGAACGCGGAGCGCATCGATCTGGAAAAGTTCTTGAAGCAGACGAGGGTGTTGGCGAGAGAGCAGTTTATGAAGCGGGCACTGGCGATGAAGATTGGTGAAGGGATGGGGTGGGCTTGAGCTAGACGATGCAATGAAGCCAATTGAAACAGTGATACTGCTTCGTTTGAATGTGTGTCTCGTGCCCAACGTCGAGGCGGCAGTTGTTGTGAGTGCGATACGATGCTGTAGAAAGGAGCTCTAAACGCGACCCCCTCCCCCACGCGGGTGGTTCCTGCAGCTGGTGTTGTTGTGGAGGGTTTTTCCGCCAAAAACTCAGATGTCACTTTGACCGCATCCCCGCTTCTCTCCATGATCTCTACCATCATCCTCCCCTTTCTCATTCGCTATCTGCGACAGAGCACGCGACAATGAGTGCGCTCAAACGCAAGCGCGATCCCTCCGGCACCGCATCGCCGGTCATCCACCCGGACGGCCAGAGCAGCACCATGCGCGCGTCGCTCGAAACATCCCTCTCCGAGCTGCGCGCTACGACGGCTCGATTGGAATCGCTCCTTTCCACCCTGCCTTCCACATCCCAACCTCGAGTTGCGCTAGGGGAGGTTCTCGCCCCCGCTCAACCCCTCGTACCCTCCCCGCGCGCATCAGCTGAAACAGCAGGATCGACGAAATCTTGCGCGTCATGCAGCCAGCTTCAATCGCAGCTCGACACGCTGCGTGCCCAAGCGAAGGATCACGAGCGCGAAAGGGAGGCTTGGCGAGCTTTCAAGAGCTGGTGGCTTGCGTCGCTTGAGAGACGCGAACGGAGGCGCTCCCAGAAACGCGCGCGACCTTCATCGAGCTCCACTGGCGAATTGCGGGCCAAGGAGGGTGCCCCTGGATCGAAGCGCACACGAGGGCAGGACGGGAAGAGGAACGAGGAAGAGCGAGGGGGCGAGGGGGAAGGGGAGAGGCTGAGAACGGTGCTAGGTACTTTGGATACAGAGACGCGGCGAGTGTGGTGTGAAGCAGGGATCATAGATTCCATCGAAGGGGCGTCCAGGGAGCTGGAAGAGAGCGAGGTGGCGTTGCCCCTGCATGCCATGCCGAGTGTCGCTGCTGTAGGAAAGACGGGAGGAACGTCAAATGAGGACGTGGACGGCACAAGGTCGAATATCATGGCTGGTGAGGCACGAGAAGGGGAGGCTAGGAGGGATGCCAGTGTCGTCGATGCTACGGCGTCCGCAGATGCCATTCGAGCCAGTCGCATCGACGCTGCCAATCGCTCCAACGGCACGGCCAGTCCTCGAAAGGGCCATATCGCCACCCTTCCCTCAACCAGCACTACTGCTCGCACACCCATCACACGCCCGAATGGCACCTGCTCCTCCCACAGCGCTTCCTCGAGCACCGCCAGTCGCCCAACTCCCACAACTACTCGCACACCGAGCACCAACAGTCGCACACGTCCAAACGCACCTCCCCTCGCAGCGCACATCGACGACCATCCCATCCGTAACCCGCACCATCGTCGCACCCTCCTCTCGTCCGACTGTCCCGACTGCAGTCTCTTCTATAGCCATCTCAATGCTGCCACTTCCACGGGGCAGGGGGATGCCGAGAGAGCAGCGTGCAGTCGGCATCGATCGACGTTTGCCCGTGCAGAGACGCCAGAGGGGTATTGGAACATTGGTTTCCCTGATACGCAGGAGGCGGAGCGGGTGAATGAGGTTGCGAGGAGGGGGAGGGGCGGCGGAGGGGGCTCGGGGACAGCGGGAGGGAGAGATGGGTGAGTTCGGGACCAGCGAGGGGAAGAGGGCGTCAGAAGGGGGACTGGAGCCTCGTCTCAACTGCCACCTAGGAGGCGGAGCGGGTCAACGCTGTTGCTAGGCGCGAAGCGGGCGGATGGCGCAACACGAGAGCGATGCCGAGAAGCAAATGGATGATGGGTCTGTGGGAAATCGTGACGGGGAGATGTCAGGCGAGGAGCAGGCTGGCCAGGAAGGCAGCAAATCAGGAGTTTGATGTCCTTTGGAGCCGGGCGGAGGTGCTTCCTTCTCCAGCAGACGCTTTTGACATCATGACGGTCGAGGCTCCAATGCGAAACCTTTGCTTCGACAGACCGGAAAACAAGCTCCATTGCCGCGCAGATCATCGATCCTCGGATGTGTGCGAGCGTGCTCGTCTTCAGACGAAGCAGGGCCAAGTGTGTGCCTTTGCACTGTGGTTCGTCTGGTCTGCCCGGGATCGTAGCGTGACGGCTGGCGCGCCGGCCAGACACCTCGTGAGCACAGAAACAGTCGTCACTCGCGCTTTGCCACCGTTGCAGGTGATCCCCGTTCCCGCGATTGACACACTTCGCCATCCGCTCATCAACACGCGATTTGCCCCATGCGACTCATCGACGCAGTCTAGGCCCATCCACTGATCAAACCAGTCTTGAACGGTGATGAGCACGTGGCACTTCCACTCTGAAGCGCCAACTCAGCCCAGCCACTGGTAAGCGCACAAAGAGTCGTCACTCGCACTTTGCCGTCACTCATTGTACAGCTCGTACACTTGTCATTCTCTCCCTCTCAACAAGCGATTTGCCCCATGCGACTCATCGACGCAGTCTAGCCCCGTCCGCTGATCAAACCAGTCTTGAACGACGATGGAACACACGGTACGCCCAACTCAAAGCGCCAGCCCAGCCAGTCGTCAGCTCACGCAGTCGTTGCCCGCAAACCTCCTCAATTTCTCTCGCTCGAAAGCACGTCTTCACCACAGACGACCCGCTCGATGTGTGGGGGATTGCATTTTCTGCCTACAAAAATCCACTCTCCTGCAACAAGCGTGCAATCTTCTCGTCCTCCCTCTCTCTCGGCTCCAATGCCAAACTCTGATGATATAGCTCGTCGGCATTGCTCGCATCGACCAGACTTTTCTCGATGAACGCCTCGAGTGCTGGTACCACGGCGAGGTTGTACGGTGTGGACTGGTGGATGGTGATCTCGCGAATGACTTCCGACGTCTTTTGGCGTTTGCCAAAGTTGATGAGCGCATCGTTTTCCTTCAGGCGATCGCGGTTGCCGTCTTCGATAAAGGTGAGATCCCCCAAATAGCGGCCGAGGAAGGGGACGCAGGGGGGATTGAGTTTGTGGATCAGCTCGCGGTAGTTGGCCCAATTGCGGCTGGCTGACGTCAACGTCTCGAGCGATTCGAACATCAGCACGTGTTTTTGGGATACGGCATCCCAGGTGCGACGCAGGCGGTGGATGGGTGCGGTGGAGAGGGCGGAGACGATCGCCCACATGCCCGAAAAGTTGTTCAGCGCCCGACAGCGGTCGGCGATGCTGATAAAGTGCTTGATGATCGCAGCACGTTTCTTGAGGTCTTCCTGCGCTAGAATCGTCTCGGCCACCCAGCCAGAGATACGGTTGTGCGTCGTGATGCTGTCCATGATGCCCTTGGCGTGGACATCGTTGCCCGGCTTGGTCCATTTGAGACCCAGACACTCGGCGGGTTTCACCTTGTTGTACAGGCGCGACTCGATGAGCGTCAGCTGCCGTGCCAACTCCAAGGGGTCGATCTCGAGGAACTTGAGCTTCTTCATGTTCTTTGGCAGGATCGGCGCCGGTGCCGAATCAGGGAGGACCATCTTGCGGATCATCTGCTCGCCATCGCCCTGTCGCCTCTCCACCAACCGCTGTAGATGTTGGGATGGCGCCTTCATCGACGCCGCCTCGCCCATCTCTTCGATCGCGAATCGTCGCACCTGGTCCAGATACGGCTCGTCCTCGCCTTCGTAGAAGTACAGCTCGAGCCACATCTTGAGCACGTTGAACACCCTGAGTCGGATCGGGATCTGCTTCTTCTCCGTCCACAGCACCAATTCCTCCTCCGTCAAGTCTTCGGGTGGTAGAATGCGGAATCGCTGCGCTAGCAGATCCAACAGCGTCTGCGTCGTGGTAAACGACCGGTACGTCATGAGGAATGTGTTGTTGAACGAAGCGTCGAACGAGTTGTGCATTGTCAGCCGTGCCAGTAGCGCTTCCAGCGTCGCGCCCTTCACCGAGCCGTCTTGGGCAATGACAATGTCGTCGCCCATGTAGTCCGGCTCGAGGAACCATGGCACCTCGTCCTCCCGACGCCGGGCCAACGTCGACGTCGTGCCGGCGCTGTGCTCGCTGTCGTGCGTCGTGGTGTGGATGAGCGGCGCATCATCGCCAAGTAAACGACGCAGCTTGGCGCTGTTGGTGCGGTAGGCTTCCGCGTCCTCGTCGATGCTCTGACCAGGAAGCTGCCCGTCGACGAGCGTGCCCCGGCGACTGAGGATTCGGCTCGCACCAGAGCCACCCGTAGCGACCGACCCAGACCGTTGACGATGGCCGCTTGGGGCGTAGATCGAGCCACTACCGCCCCGACCGGGAGCAAGACTTGTGACGGGGGAGACAACGGCCGTCGAGCCCGAGGTGGCGCGGCTTCCTGATCTCGCCCTGGGCCCATTGGGCACAACGATGCCAGGGCCGAGGTACATGAAGTCAGTCTCTTCCTCGGTCTCGTCCTCGTCGCCTTTGCCGTAGCGCGCCATCTGCTCGATCTCCACGTCAAGACCGTTGCTGGTCGTGTTGACCTTGCGAGAGAAGACACCCGTCGCCGGCATGGTGATGCCATCCTCCGTGCCGTGCACTGATGCGCGTGCGCCGAGGAAAGGCGATGCGTCTTTCAGCTGCTCTTCGCCCACCTTGGCGAGTTTTACCAACGTCTCAACGACGGCTGAAGACAGTTTGACCAGCTTCACAGCCTCCTTCTCTACGATTGCCGCGTTTGCAGGAGAACGAGCGCCGTCGTGCTCTTGCACAGCAATGAAGAGGAAGCCAGATGCATCATAGGCTGCCTGCTTGAGCACCACAAAGCGTTGCATCAGTTCGCGCGCCTTGACGGCATTTGCGGCATTGCGTTCGTTGATCGGCGAGGAGTCTGCGTCCTTGGCGTCCGGCCCGTCGACATCCAGACCCGAGGCAAGATCGATGCTTTCCACGAGTGTTTCCATCGAACCAAATCGGGAGAGCAGCGACGTCGCTGATGCGGCGACATGTCTGCCCTGTGTCGCCTGTGCGATCGTGTCTTTCGTAGCATCGAGCTGTGCCAGGATCTGCTGGAGCTGCGCGATCATCTGCTGGTCCAGTCGCTTCTCCGGGACCCGTCGCAGGGTCAGTAAGCCCCGCACCACTGCAGATTCCACATCCCTTCGCTGATTGAACGGGTTGCTGCGCGCGCCCTTGCTCTCTGCCTTGATAAGGCCAATCTCGTATTTGGATGGCAGCACAAAGCCGTTTCCGAGCCAGCCTGCGGCCATGCCGCTGCCGAACGACGCAGCACCGACCCCGTTGAGCCCCAAATCGCTCTCGAGACTGCCCTCGACCCTACGTAGCCAGCCTCGACTGTGTGACGCTCCGAGTGCGGTGCTCCTGGCCTTTTCAGCTTCAGAGCTCAGGCTCTGCAGCGTGCGCATTAGCTCGAGGGCGTCTTCGCGAAGCCGCTGCCTGCACTGGTAGAGCTTGGAGAAGACGTCTGCGTCAAGGTCGGTCATGGTGCTTTCCATGCTGGAGGTTGGCGACGAGGCAAGGGTGACGGTGTGGTCGATGACCTGGCGCGAGGATAGCACGAGCTTGGAGACGACTGCATTGAGCTTGCGCCCGATCGGATGCAGGGTCGCCGGAGTCGGTGCAATCGAGTCCTTCGGGTTGACGCCGAGCAGATGCAATGTGGCAGCTTCGGCTGCGGGAGTCGAAGTGTAGAGCGTAGTGAGGATCTTGGAATATGCATCGAGATCGACTCCCGTGGTAGGATCCGCGTAGTCTGACAAGGCTTTACTCTGTTCCATTCGATGTGAATCCTTGGTGACGAGTTTGGAGATGGGCGCAAGATCAGTGTTGGACAGTGAGAGCGAGCCGGTGGCATAGAGCACCTCTCTGATGGCGGTCACAACGCTGGCTGTGGCGTGTGCCAGTCTTGGCAGATAGACACCGCCAGCTGCCGCACTCTTGTACGACACGTCCGCCTCTGCGAGGCCATTGGTACCGATCTGCTCTGTAGCGATGGCTGCCAGCTGGCGGATGACGTCGTTGGCACGGCGGACCAGCAGATTGATGGGTTGCGGCGGCGATGGTGCCAGTGCCTTCTGCAGCTCGTACGCTGCTGTCTCGTCTTGCAGCAGCGTCGCTGGCGAGACCGACGGCTGTGAGAGCGCTGGATGCTGGAGCACGGCGGCGAGACTGGAGGATGTGCTACCACGGCGACTGAGGTCGGGACGAGGCGGTCTGGGCGGCTTGCCTGGCAGTCGAGGATTCATATCGCCCTCGATGTCAGAATCGTCCGAGTCAATTTGCAAACTCGACAGGCCGCGAGATACGTCGAGGCCGGCGCCCGAACTCGCAACTCCTTTCTCGACTGGCACAGTGTCCGAGATGATGGGATGTCTCGGTGAGCGACTTCGAGGAGTGACGCTGGATAGGAGGGTGAGCTTTGTCTTTGCATCTGCGAAGTTCCATCGAATCTCGTTGGTCGAACTATGCACGTAGAAGAAATACTTTTCGTCGTCTGTGACGCGCAACCTCCAGGGCTTTGGCACAGTAGCAGGGTTCGGCATTCGATCGGCCGTGTTGGTGATGGGAGCTCGAACCGGGGCGGACCCATTCTGAAAGATGGCCGTGTTATTGCTGCTGGTGGAAGATGGCCGCGATCCTGACGCGGCGCTCAGTGATGTTGGTCTGCTGCGATCTGAAGCGTCGAGTAACTCTTTGCGAGAGCTCGCCGAGCTATTCTGGCTGGACGAGACTGAACGGAACATGGGCTGTGGGTGCAACTTGCTGGACGAGGACAGCGTTGCGGCGTTGCTTTGTGCGCCGATGCCGTTCGTTGGCACTTGTGAGGCTCCCGTACGGTGGGCCTGATCTCGCAGCGATGCCTTTGACGCCAAGACGTTGCCGCCCGTGCGGTCGGCTTGCGAGCCCGTGGCTGCTCGCGGTCGAGCTGCAGCTGCAGCCGCCAAGGATTGGGAAGCAAAGGAGCCTCCTTCGACCGGATTCGAGACGGTAGCAGCTCTAGCACGTTCCCGGTCATGCTCCAAGGCAAGCTGCTGAGCTGACACGGACGTGGCACCGAAATTGGGATTTGTTGGGTGAGAACGGGACGAGCTGCTCTGTCGAGTGTCCAGAACGTGTTGGTATGGCGATGCATGGGTGAGATGCATGGAAGCCATGTCGCCGAGTTGCGGGCTCGCTGGGTTCAAGCTGCGTCTGTGAGGATCACGCATAGCCGCTTCAGCGAGCTGGCTGAAGGCGTCACTGTTGCCGATTCCGTCCCCTTTGATGAGAGCTTGCAGGCCATCGAAGCCCGAACCAAGGCCGAGACGTGAAAAGGTGTCGGTGTCGGTGGTCAGCTGAGGCGTGACGCCTAAGCTGTATTGTGCGTGCATCTGCGCCCTAGCGAAGAGCTCGGCTTCTGCCTCCTGATCCGAAATAGCTTCGACATACTGTGATGGAGAAGTGAGACAGGATAGGCCAAGAAGTCAGTCAAGTAGCCTTGTCATGGAAGTTTCGAGGGGCGCAATTTAGACTCACGTTCGAGGGAAACCAGCCGCGAACCTGATTATCGAGAAGACCATCCCACCATCCTGACTCGAGCTGTGTAAGAACTTCGATGAGAGCACCTTTCTGGAAGGACAGGGAGCTGGCGTCATTCGACTCAAAGTCGTAAAGGGCGCGTACGAAGAAGGAGGGTGGGTCGTCCGACTCGTCTGCCGTGCTGGGCGTTTGGTCGTCTGATCCGAAAGGATAGGCCATGCGAGGCTGCGAGGTGCGCGGATCTGAGTAGGTCAAATCGCTGCTAGAAGCAGCTGCGGAAGTGGACGCCATGGTGAGTTCAGAAGTCAGACTGCTAGACAGTCGCACTGATTCTGGGCCAGGGAAGGTGGCTGAGCGATCCTTTTCAATGTGGGCCTCTGTCTCGGGCCGAGTGAAGCTGCTTTCAGCGGCGAAGGCGATCGTCTGAAGCGCGAATGACCGTTATCATGGATATCTAGACGTCGATAGAGATGTTGACAGGCCAACGATGGGGCGAAAAGTCTGACGAAGAATGTGTCGAGATAGTGGGGTGAACGCGACCGTGCGTCAGGATGGTGGGGGAAAGCGACGAGTCGGCCTCCGAGGAATGACTATGTTGATACTGCAGCGAATGACAAAAAAGTGATGATGGCGAGGGTGACAGAGTGGGATGGTGGCGCTCAGCTAGCCCCCTGCTAGCGAGCGGCGGCGAATCGGAGTAAGGACGACGAAGGTGAATGAAGACAGGCAGAACGTGTCTGAAAGCAAGTGCGACGGTTGTGAACGAGGTGACGATTGTGCGCGCTCGAGCTTGTTGCGTGTTTCCGCGCTGCGCAGGAAGTGTGTGATGCAGCGTCAAGGAGGCAGCAGCGGAGTTGGTCCAAATGAGGTCCAGGTGGGTTGGGACCCTCTAGAGCGTACTACGACAGTCCATCCGTCGGAAGCGGGAGGTGGGAGACGATTGGCGAGCTGATGCGCAGCGAGATCGGACTGTGGTGACAAGCTTCCCGCTTTTGGAAGAGATGAAAGGAGAGTCGGGTGGCGAGAGTGGGTTGAAGGATGAGAAACGAGAGAGATCAAAGGGAAGGGGCAAGCGAGGAAATGATTGACACCTGACAGACAACCTTTGACCCTTAAAGAAATTAAGCTTGTCAGGCGCGTTTTAGGCGGGCGGTGCGTGGGTGCGTTGGGTGTGTGTGCATGTGCCGGCGCCGGTTCGGGTGCTGTGGCTCGGTCGTGTGGGCAGGCGTGTGCCAAAGCCAGCCTTTTGAGGTGTGACGATCTTCGCACACGATGAACTCCAAGGCGACTCTCGTCCTTGTCGCAGCGATAGGGACCGTTCATCTATAGCAGATGCTGACAACCATTTGCTGCTGAGAGTCGCTACAGTCGACCTTGTCAGCCTCGTTCGCTAATCCAGGTGGCCACCTTGCGCTGAACCCTGTCATGGCTATTCGGCGTAGACGAACCGGTATCACTCGGGTCTTAAGTATCGTGGAAACAAGGATGCCAGAAGGATCGTGTGGTGCGCCTTGAGCCAAGCTTTGGGCGCAAAAATCACTCAACCTTGATCGAGGCGCATGCCGCGGTACCGCAAGCGATTCTATTTGTCGGAGACGGCAGCCATCGTGTGCTCGAGCCCAGTCCGAAGACATGTGCTCGCTCATTCGCTTGTACCATGGCACTCGGGCCTCCTCTCGAGAATGTCTTTGCGAGAGCCGAGTCTCAGGGTCCCCTGATCAGCACAAGTTGCCGTCTCTGAATCATCTTCATGATTGCATTGCGCCAACACGGTCGGGACGGTATACATCTTCGATCCCTGATCGACCATCTGATGAATGCGATGCTCCTCTTGCAAGCATCCCTTTATGCCTCCTCGCCATCCTCCACCGACGCTGTCTTGGCTTTCGATGCAGCGCCCGCGCTAGCCACCTCCTTGATCCCCGTCTCTGCAGCGACCTCGATCTTCTGCGCCTCGCCTCCCTGTTGAGCCTGTGCTTGTGCCTGTGCCTGTTCCTGCAGCGCTTGCAGCTGGGCGCGCGCCTCCATGATCATGGCCGCCTGCTGCGGTGGCATGTTGGGTGGCAGTGGTCCTTGCATCAGCGCCTGAAGCTGGGCGGGATGCACCTGCAGACCGTTTGGCAGGGTGACTCTAGCGTCGGCTCCCGATCCGGTCATGGGCAGGTTAATTCCTGGACCATTTGGTCCGCCAGGTGCCGGGCCTGCTTGGCCACCCGGTCCGCCCTGAATCTCAATCTTGGTCCCAGGCGGCGTAACCAGCGGCGGCAGCTCCACCGTCGGCTTTGGCACCGGCTTGCCCTCATCCTCCAGCCTCTTGACTTCCGCTGCTCGCTGACGCTGAATATCGTAGTAGATCTCCTTATGCTTTAGATGTGCGACCATCTCGCTCGCTGTTGGGAAGATTAGTTGTCCCCATCCTTCCCTGAACGTGTTTGCCTCGGAGACGACGTCGAGGATCTCTGCCTCGAGCTCCTTCTCTGCCAATGTGAAGCGCGCCATGGTCTCGTCGCCGATCGATCCTTTCTGGAGAAGAGTGCCAAGTGCCTGCTTGTCGTCGCGCATGCGCATGATTCGGCGCACGTCGGTCATGGCGCGGTGGAGCAACGCCGCCTTCAGCACCTCTTCCGGGGCAGGCGGGTCGGCTGCTACGAGCGTCTGGTAGATGTCTCTTGCTTCGTGGCCTTCGGCGAACCATGGCTGATACGATTTGGCCAGGTTGAGTGCCGATCGTCGTCGGTAGATGCGCGAGAACACTAGCATCGACACGACTAGCGTGGCCACATAGCCGATGGGTACAAATATGGACAGCGCCATCTTGTCCGATCTGTCTGCCTAGCGGTTTGGTTGTGGTGAGGTGTGCGGCTCGCAGACTGCTGCACTTCTGCTGCGTCGGTGTTGCTTGAAGCGTTCTCGAGCAGGAACGTGGTGTGTGTGCGCCGATTGGGAGTGCTTGCGGCCTGTCACTGTTGGTCGCGCTTGATGGTCAGAGGGAAGCATCTTGCAATTGCCTCGGTGCAGCTTTGACCTCGAATTGGACCGTGACACGACAGCTGCCACCTGTCGCTCATTTCTTCTTCTCGCCCGACAATTTTCTCGCGATTTTACACGTGTCAAGCACGCAGCTCCTCCAGCTCCTTCTCTTGAGCCGAGATGGCACCACAATCAACGACAAAACACGCACAGAGTTCAGCGAGTGCACGCTCCGCATAGCAGGTGGAAGACAAGGAGTCGATTCGGTAGATGCAAGACGACGAAATGTAGGAATGATACAGATGCAAGTACGAAAGGGGACTGTGATGCTAGGGTTGCTGATTCGAGGCCATTACGACCTCTTGTTATGGGAATTGGTGTTGAGTCTGGACGGCTGTTCAGGCCTTGCCACTGCGAGTCGAGCTACCAGCTGCAGCCGTCTCCTTCTTCATCTGGATCAGCGACTCGAGCTCGGTGCACACCTCGGTCATCGTCGGCCGGTTCTTGGGTGTATGATCCCACATTCGGTCCAGCAAGTCGACGATCTCGCCGCCAAATTGACGTCGAATGAAGCCCGTGTAAGGACGCTGCCTCTTCTGCCCGACGTCCTGGTAGATCTGGTGCTCGTTCATACCCTGGAACGGATATTTCTTCTCGGGCTGGTGCCACTGCAGCGCCTCCCAGAACGTCATGGCTGCCGACCACACGTCGACTTTTTCGTTGTAGTGAGGCTTGGGGGTCCACAGCTCCACCGCCTGCCAGTTGACCGTGCCGACGAGCGAGCGCATCATCGAGCGCGAAGTGTTCTTGACCCGTGCCAGGCCAAAGTCGTTGATTTTGGCCGTCTTGCGTCGCGTGATCAGCACGTTAGTCGACTTGCAGTCGCGATGGATGATGGCAGGCGTTCGCGTGTGCAGATACTCGAGTCCTCGCGCCGTCTCGAGCAGGATGCGGAACACCTCGGCATCGCTTGGCGCTGTAGTGTTGCGAATGTAGTCGAAGAGATCGCCGTTCGAGCACAGCTCGCTGACGATCATGCAGGGAACGTGGCGAGGGTCCTCGGGAATGCTGACGCCGATGAAGCGAACAATGTTCTCGTGGCGCAGATCACGCAGCAGGCTGAGCTCCTTGATGTCCATCTCGGTCAGCTGATCGCGGATGTCGGCGATGGCCACCTTGTTGACGCGCGTCTTCGAGATGCGATACTTGCCAACATACACGTCCTTGAAGCCGCCCGAGCCGATCTTTTCGAGCTTCTCCAGCTTGGAGGGAGCGATCTCCTTGTCGGTGAGGTTGAGGCTCTCCAGGTCAAGACCGTTCAGCTCGTCGACGCCGTCGCCCACTTGCGGGGGTTGCGCCTCCTCATTGCGCAATGTGAGCGGAGGCGTAGGCAGCTTCTCCGACGAGACCAATTTGCCGCGTGCTCGCAACAGCAAGGGCTGGTCGCTATCGGTAATGTCGGGATGTGTGTTGCTCGCAGCTCTCGTGACTCGCCTTCGCGTAGGTGTACGCTGCCGGGTCTGTTCCTCGTCGTCCTCGGCGATGGCAGTGACGCCAGAAGTATCCGACTGCATATCGCCGGCGTCATCGCCTTGCTCCGGTTCGGCGACAGGGTCGATGCCCTCGGGCTGAGTGAGCTGATGCCAGTCGAGCAGCTTCTTGATCAAATTGGCCTTCTTGTCATCCTCGTCCATGTCGATGTTCCGGAGGTGACACAACTGCTCGAGCTGCGACTTGCGGAGCCGCGAAAGTGAAGAGAACGAAGGTTGCGTCATGGCGTCCTCGATGCTCTCCGAGGCTGCTGCATCGCTCTCTGGAGATTTGGAGCGCCTATCACGACCGTTGTCATCGGACGCTCTGCTGCTCGCGATGTCCGTGAGTTCAGAGGCGCTGTCCATGTCGATGTCGTCCATCAGCGAGGGGCGAATCTCACACGGCTCGCCATCTCCGTTGGATGAAGCGGCAACCAGACGCATCTTGCCGTTGCGCAGCTTGCGGAACTTTGTGGGCGTGGGGCCATCGTCATCGGTGGCCATGTCGGCATCGTCATCATCTTGCAGAGTGGTGTGCGCGTCGTCCGACGGCGCTTCAAGTGATGCGCTGCGACTGCGAGGCTGGTGCGAAGTGAGGCTAGTGTCCGAGCCCGCCGTCGAGCGCCTCGTGCGAAGCGTCTTACGGGACCCCGCACGATCGCGGGCTTGTGCCATAGAGACGGACTCAGCTTGCAGGGCCGCAGCCACCGCGTCGCTGTCTGACGAATGGTCCTCCATCCACTCGTCCTCGTCCTGTGCGTGTCCCTTGCTTGGACTTGCCGCATTGACCTTGACCGACTTCTTGGTTCGCTGCGTCTGACGATTGCCGAGTCTCGGTGTCGCCATGGGGTCGAGTGCGGCCGTGTCGGTAGCACCAAGCCCTCGTGTGCGTCTGACTGGCAAGCCCGCGGTGAGGCGCGCGGCTCGCGATCGTGTCTTGATGGGCGAGGCAGCGACGAACATGTTGAGCTGGTGTTTGTGCTTGAAGGGAGATTGGGATGCGTTCGAAGCGCGAGAGCTTCGTCCTCCAAAGAGAGAAGACGAGGTGGATGCAGAAAGCGCGTCCATGCCATTGATCATCCGTCGACGACGAGCTGGGGCGCCACGCAGGGTGTTGAGATCGCGCAAGGGACGACGCGGTGCCTGATTTGCCTTAGACGGCTCAAAGTCGTCGAAGGTACCCGAGTCCATGCGACGAAGTGTCCCGCCATTCTGCGCCTTGCCGCGGGCATGCGTCGATTTACCTTGGGATCGTCGGCGCGTGAGAGAATGCTGAGGCTCCGCTTCGGTCTCTTCGCCACCTGCCTCGTTGGAAGCGTCTGTGAGATCGTCGTCGCGATCATCTGCCGAGCTGGAGCGTGACGCCACAGGCATGCCGCGAAGGAGACGCTGGGAAGGCTTGCGAGTTGACGAGCCCATCCACAGCGCATCGCTCTCGGCCCCATCTTCAGTGATGATGTCATCGGATCGCTGATCATATGAGCGAGAGGAACCGCGCCTCGTCGAAGATTGTCGGTGGGAAGAGGCGGAAGCCTGTCGGCTGCTGGACCGGGAGCGGTCAAGACGGGAACGGCAAGTGATGATCTGATTGACGAGGTCGTGTTTCGTCAGCAGCTCGCGCTCGTCTTCGGTGGGAGTGATCTCCCAGGCGCCTGATGTGAAGCAGAGCTGTATGAGCTCGTCCCTTCGCAGGCGATGAAGCTGCCAGGTGGGTGCAGTCGAGACGAGACGTGCATGCTCTGCTTCCTCGTCGTCCATGTCCGCGCTTCCCTCGCTGCTAGGATCCGAGTCCGCCGCGGCCTCAGAGCGGACGAGGCGGTGCGAGCTCGCACGCGAGGTTTGCTCGACCGTGCTGCCAGCTGTGTGATTGCTGCTCTGCCTGCTCATGGAGCGAGACTGGGATCTGGAGATCCTGCCTAGGCCAAGCCCAATCGGCAGCTCGTCTTCAAGAGTCATGCCGTTGAGCGTCCTATGCAGCGAGTTGCGGCTCGAGCGACGAGTCTGGATGCCGGGACGGGTTTGCAATACATTGGAAGCATCCTGAGTTCTGGAAGATGGAGCACGAGATGTTGTTGGCGAAACGGAGAGGACAGATGACCAGTCGGAAAGTTCGCTTGCAGATGACGACGGTTTGTCCCGAGGCAGGTGGGGCGAAGTGACAACGTTGAGATCCTTGTTCCTGCGAATACGAAGTGTCGATGAGCTCTTGCGGCGGACGTCAGTCGATGAAGCGGCATCTAGGCTCTTCGATGAAGAGGCACTGTCTCTATCCATCTGGCTGCCTCTGCCAAGCTCGCCGTTGGTTGCTTTCTTTCGCTTGAGGCCCGCGCGGGCTTGGGGCAGAGGCATGGTGTCGAAAGGTGATGCGGTGACGAGTGGCAGCTCGATGAAACAGGAAGCGTGAGACGAGAAGGATGGGGAATGCAGCAGAGCAGAGCTAGCTTTGGCCATCCTGGCACGCAGGCCGGAATGTCTGGTCTTGTCGTTGCCGGTGACGGGTTGGGTAGAACGACCGCTTTTGCTGGGCCCGGCGGCCGAAGCACCGTGGCCGGAATGATTCTGAGGAACCGGAGACAAAGCGATGCGAGCTCTGCTAGACATTACTGTGGCGGAAGCACGGAGATGTGAGTGTCGCGGTTGGTGTCAGCAGCGGAAGGCCGCGCAGAAGCAGGAATCTAGCGGAGGATTGGCTTGGCTAAGCGACCAATAGGTAGACACAGAGCTCAGCAAGCGCCGTTCGCCATGTTCGTGTTGACTGCTCGGTCGATCGTTCCAGTACGGAAGATGGTTTGAGCAATGTATGAGAGCAGTCGCAAGGGAACCTGTTGTCACCTCGTGCAGACAAGAGCAGGTACGTTCTAGAGACCGAAACGGGAGATGAGAGGCGAATGTGGAGCAGAAGACGGGGAGGTGCAGCGCGACAGGACAGCACTATTGTTGCAGGTAGCTGAGCTCGACGAGCTCGACGAAAGATGAGTATTGGGCGGGCTGTATGCTGGCCCAGACAACTCCTGAGCAGGCGGAAGGAGTAAGAATGTCCGGACTATATGTTGTCGGCCGACGACAAATGCTGGTGATGTGCGAGAAGTTGCGCAAAGAAACGAGTCAAGAATGCGGGACAGGACGAGGGGAATGCTAGGGACCAGGTTGATGAGAGAGGATGAACAGAGGGCGATGTCGGCGATGTGGGATGGGGGTGGTGTTGGTGTTGTTCTTGAGGCTTTGAGTCGTATGCACTGTCAAGCGGTCGGTGAGCAAGGTGTTGGTCGCTGTTGCTGTTGAGCGCACTTTTTTGCGGAGAGAGGTCAGCAGCTGTCAGCCACAGAGAGGGCCAAAGGGTGCAGCAGCAGCGGCGGCAGCTGAGCGTCAGGTTGCAGCAACAAAGCGTGTTCTGCTTGACTGAGCCTCAATCGTGCCTCGCGCCGTGCCTTTCGCCCTCTTGCGATGCGCTGCATACACTGCCGCACAGAGCTTTGTGTTTTTTAGACTTTCAAGCCAACTTTTTGGGAAATTGTTATGTTTACTTAGTTCACGCCAGCTCTCGCGCGAAAACGCCTTGGAAATCACGCGTAGACTACACCAGACCGCGTCGCGTTAATTGAAGGGCATTGAAGGGCAAGGCAGGCTGGCAGTCCAGAAAGGAGCAAGAACGACGAGACTTGATTCGGGATAGGCTTGCGGATGCTAAGGATACAGTATAAGAGACGGACAGAGATGGAGCTGAAGACGCTGAGCTGATGCTGCGATCGGAGATAATGCAGAGAGGCGATCGATGAGAGAGAGAGAAAAAGGGTATGAAAGAGAGAAATCCATGACAAGTGCGAGAACAAAGCTGCGGTCGCGAGACGAGACTTGCTCATCCCAGCGGCCAGCTAGCATTGAGATAGACAAAGCTTACATGCGAACAAAGAAGCGCTCTTCGCCTAGGCATCGGAGCTGAAGTCCTGACTTTCGACGCCGATCGACGCCAGCAGGCCGTCGAGGTACTCCTGCGTGATAGCCTCGTTGCTAGGGTCGCTGCCTTCATTGAGCATCTGCTCGAAGCTGCTTGGGCCCGAGGTTGTGCCAGTGTGGGTCTTGCTGCCCATGTCGAAGCCAGCAGGGGAGAGGAGCGGCAGACCGCCGGTGATGCCGGCGCTAGGCACCGTGAGTCCGAGCGCAGACACGCCAGGACTAGCTACAGCCGCCGCGACTGCCATGCCTGCCGAGCTCGTCGAAGGGGCATTCATGTCACCATGGTTGAAGCTCATATCCAGAGGCGAGGGGAGTGCGCCACCAAGCGGGTTGACTTGGCCCGCCCAGTGCCTCTCTAGTCGCTCCTTCTGCGCTCGGGCGTCGTCACCCGTGTTCAGCGGAGGAGGCTCGAACAGACCGGCGCCGGCCTGCGGGAACGGTGTGATCGGCGTGTGCACCGCACGTTGCTGGATCATGCCCCAAACCGCCGGTGTTGGGCTGACGCCGGGCGAGAGCTGTGGGTGTGGGCTCAGCAGGGTACCGTTCGGGGTCCTCTGCGGTGTGAGATACGCTGATGCGGGCGGAATGTTGAGCATCAGGTTGGGCTTGCTCATCGACAGGCCGCGCTTGCGCAACAGAGTGGGCACCTGCACGTTGCTGTCCGAGCTAGCCGGCTGAACGTTGAGCCCGAAGCTGGGTTGCGTCGAAGGCTGAGTGTGCACCAACGACGGGGCAGGGTTGGCGGGCGGAATGCCTCCCAGAACAGGAGCGCCGGGGAGCATGTTGAGCTGTGCTTGCTGATGAGGAGCCATGGACTGGCCTGGCTGAGCGGCGCCGCCGAGCGGTAGAGCGGCGGTCATCGGAGACAGGCCGTGAGGGTTCACTTGCAATCCAGCGAGGGCAGGGTGATGCAAAGGAGAAGCCAGTGGTGCAGCTCGTCCCAAGGGCGAAAGTCCCGGTCCAGCGGTCAGCAGGGAGACGGTCGGAACGCCGGGGGTGGCGCCGAGCGCCTCCACACATTCGAGGTCCCAGGCGACGACGAGCACCACATCTCCAACTTTGCTGCCAGGGCTCAAGCTGGACCCAGCATCGTTGAGCACCGCAGATGCACCGTCACGACTGCTTGTCGCAGCGGCTGCAGCAGCAGCACCTTCGCCAGCCACCACCAGCTCTTGAATGATCGTGACACCCGAAATAGCCATGCCGAGTGCGGCACGCTCACTGGGCTCCTTGCCGAATGACTGCAAACTGTCTCGGCCGCTGTACACATTGACAGGATGGTTGCGGCTGAGGAAGTCGGCGCAAAAGTCGGTCGCAAACGGAGCCTGGTGACACCAACGATGGCGCAGGTTGCCGTTGGTCTGTTTGCTTGCATCCAGGGGAGTGCATGGCGATGCGGGGCCGCTCGAGGTGTTGGAGGTAGGGCTCAAGGATCCGAGGCTGCCGTCGCTCACGCGTCGCTGGGCGTTCTTGTTCTTGACAGGTGTCGATGTGGTGACGTCGTGCTGTGATGCGATGCTCTCATCGACTGTGCTCGAAGACACGGTGTCTGCAGCCGTAGCAGCACCACCAACAGTACTGGTCGAGCTGATGTCGACGCTGCTCCTGCCCGAGATCTTTCGAGGTGCTTCGAGTGGTTCCACCAGCGACAAGACACGCTTGCCGTGCGAGTAGACGGTGGTGACCGACGTGAGACGCAGATCCTGTGCCGACGTCAACGAAAGCTGCGTGCTGAAGCTGTCGTAACGGGGCATCATCACGTCGTGGCGTGGCACCGAAAGCGGCACGTGAACGTGGATGAACTGACAAGGCATGCGGTGATACATCTCGGCAAGACGTGGGAAGCGGAAGTGACCGAGGCGCACCGAATCGAGCGTCATCTGAGGCAGCGGCGACTGGTTGTTGGCATAGGTGGTCATCGAGTTGCGGTCGAGGTTGGTGTAGACGTGCTTGTCGTCGGACTCCGAGCAGTGCGCCCACATGGAGAAGCTGGCCGGAAGAATGGGACATGGTGAATTGCCGCTGTTATCCTTCGTGCCAGCCTGCTGAGGGAGGTGGAGTTCGTTGAGACCGGACGTGATCTGGTGTGTCGCCGACAGCGGTGGTGGGCAGGGCGACAAAGGGCTAGCAAGACCCTGGCCGCCAGCCAGCCCAGGGGTATAAGGCGAAAGCAGTCCGCTGTTGGCATTGTCGACCGACAGGAGTGGATAGGCCGCACCAAGGTTGCCGTAGCCGTAGCCGGCCAGCGTCTGTGCGTACATCATGCCGCCAGCGGGGATGTAGAAGTCCTCTTCGGTGGTGGGCTCAGCGATGAGCTGTTGGAACTCGGGGTCGCCCTTGCGAATGTTCTTGAGCACCTGAATATGGCTCGACACCTGCTTGCGAGAGCGCTTCTTGTTGGTCTTGCGCTCAATGTAATCGGCAATCAGCTCGTTGCGGCCACAGGGTTTGCCGTGCACCAGCACCTTTCGACGACCGAGTTTGGGAATGAGTCGGAGCGCTGTTGAGATAGATCGTGAGCCGGCACGAGGGTCGTCACAAGAAAGGCGGAGATGTTCGGAAGGAGTGGATGTTGGGAAGATGAAGTAGTGGAGAAGATGGAAGGACAAGAAGAAGGTTGGTCAAGGATCAGGCGACCAGGGAAAAGGGAAGCGAGGCGAGAGGGTTAGCATGACTTGATTCTCAGCCCCACTTTAGCGCGGATCGTCCAGCCCAGCATTCGCTACCGAGGGCCTGCACCCGCCCTGGCATGCGAATGTCCGTCTCATGCGCCCAGAGTTGGCCGTGCTCAAAGCTCCCCGTCGTCTTTGAAGCTCGGAGTCTGAGGTGCGGAGAAGCGAGACAGGAGTGCTGTGGCCAAGACTCCCGGAGCAGAATGACCATCATGAGGAGGCTGCTCGGCTCGCTCGGCGTTTTTGACAGCAGGCCAATTCAAAAATGGGCTCGAAATACAAATTGGGCCCAAATCGACACTTTGGCAGCTGCATGCACGCGTCTCTGTTCGGAGATCCAAATTTGACCGAGGAGCGAGGAGGCGGCTGGCTGGCTCTCTGAAACAGCAGAGTTGACGCTGGCGACACTTCCAACAACGCCAAAGCTGCTCGAAAAGAAGCCGTCGGCGCAGGGGCAGGTCGAGACTGAGACGGAAATGCCAGCTTGGGCTGGGTACGATGCACGGGACTTTGACTCACCTTCCCAAAATGCGACCTCGACGTCATCGGGCCATACGTCCTGGTTCTTGCCGTTGCCGGTTGAGGCTGTTGCGCTGCCACTGAGGCTGCCCTTTCGACTGTTGGACGACTTGCCCGCTGCAGTTTTGCCATCCGAGCCCTTCTTGCCGCCGCGAGGCTGCGACTGCGACTGCACCTGCTGCATGGCTTCGGAACCCGCAGCACGTGCCGGTGCACTTTTGGGCGGCTCTTCGCCGCCAAACGCCGGCAACCCAAGGTTCGCCGTGAGGTGAGCAATGTGGCTTGCATGGTCCACCGCCGTGAGCGATAGACGCCGACTTCGACAGGGCGAGATGCTTGACTGCACCGATGCCGGTGTCTGCAGTCCAGCTCCGACGCTGGAGCCGAAAGAGAAATTCGAGTGCTGCTGGTAGGCGAACATGTTGGGCGGAGTCTGTTGTGGCATGGAGCCGTGCTGCAGCTGGGCCGCCTGTTGAACAGCGCGCTCAGGGGTAGCATCGACCAGTGACGTACGACGTCTCTTGGCATCGTCAGCTGCACCGTCAAAGGGAGTCGGTGTGGGGCTGCTTCCTGACGATATGCTGACGGTGAGGCGGGGCGGTGACATGAGGAAGCCGCTTCCTGACATGTCGTGCGGGCCTATGCTCATGTCTCCGACCGTGTACGAATGAGCAGCGCCATGGTAGGAGAAAGGAGCAAAGGGATCCACAGATAGACTCATGCTCCTAGGTCCGACGTTGGGGCCCATCATGCTGGAATAGTCTGACCAGGTCGGGTCGATCTCGGTCGAGTGAATCAACGGCTGAATGCTGTGACGACGTCCCGAGTTCACGTCAAGACGTGAGCGCAGCATCGAAGCATAGGATGACGCCGGATACGAAGTGGTGGGTCGTTTGTCCAGAGTGGAACTGACATCCCCATAGGCAAAGGCAGCCTGCATCTCCGCGCTCGCGTAGCCAAGCTCGAGCGCCTGAGCAAGCGACGAAGCATCGCCGCCCATGTCGATATCCATGGTGCCGGGTGCGTTATACGCAAACACAAGGTCGGAGCCGTCCGTCGAGTGAAGTGACATTTTCGGATCTTCGTTCTGAACGACAGACGCAAAGGCCGTGCCAGCGGCATGTAAAGATGTTTGGTGAAAATGGAGGGGATCAGTGGTCATGTTGTTGTCCGGGGTATGCAAGAGAGACGAGGCCGATGAGGTCGCAGCGGAGCAGATAGGTGAAGAGAAGAGGTGCTGAAGGTCCCCAAAAGGAGAGTGAGACTGGTCGATGGTCATGTGCGTTGCTAAACTGTTTTTGAGGTCAAGGGATGGCGTTGGACAGGCTCCAGCGCGAGACAGTACCTACGTGCCGGGCAGTGTTGAGTCGAGGCTGATCAGATGGAGCTGGGTTGACACGAGCTGAGTGAATAGAGTGCCGGTGCGATATCTGGTGCGTTGAGGAGCTGAGAGTGATAAGCGGGAGCGTGGCAAAGGTCAGAGTCGTGACCGGACGTATCCGATGCTGGCTGTCGCGATGCAAAGCTGATGATGGATACTGCAATGATCAATGCAGTCGAATGTCGAAGAGTGAAAAGGACAGCCTTGCTCGTGGTGGAGAATAAGACGAGGAAAGAGGATGAGATTGCGAAGGAAGGGGGATGGACAACGAACGAGTACCTTATAAGGAGGAATGGAACTTGCCAGAACAGGCATGTCTCGAGCAGCTGAAGCTGATCTGCAAGAGATGTGGATCTTCAGCACAGTGTTCGAATTGCCTCGATGTACCTCAAGAGTGCCTCTGTGTGCTTCTCGGTCAGTTCAATTGACGCTGAAGGAAGCGATGCGCCCTCGTGATAGAACGCGACAACGCAGGGGCGATCTCCAGCAGAGCAGTCACCAGGGGCGTACATGAAGGTGAGCTGATCGTGTCGTGTTACGAGGCTCAACTATGCAGGAGGGTTGGCGGGAGTGATTATGCTGACTGCTGCGCACGAGGGCTTGCAGGAGGGGAGAAGGGAGAGAATTGCAGGCAGTAAATGCGGGGTGCAAGGGGTCACGTTAATGCATTCGGGTCGTTGAGATAGGCGAGGCGCTCTGCAAACAACACCTGCAGCCTCATGATACTTCTCCTTACACTTGGGTGCTCATGACACGGTGTGTCTCCTTTGATTGCCTGTGAACTTCGAACAGAAGAAGAAGTGGTAGCAGCTGCTCTGGGGCTATGGAAAAATGTCTCGTCTTCTTTTACGGGTTCAACTATTCGTTTAGGTGCACCTGCTTTCCGCAGCTGCCTTGCCTTCAAATGGGCATGGCTTGACCAGGCACTGTCATCGATCGATCGACGGCGCCGCGATCAGCCATAAGAGATCGAGCTTGGTGCAAAATGGCTCGAGGGACGAAGCGAGGTTGTTTCTCAGAGGCGGCAGCATGGGGTATCTGCAAGCTGACAGGAGAGGGCAGAACCCGAAACACGAATAAGCCTTTCAGGGTCGATCTGGGCTCATGGAAGGAGCATATCGACAGTAGGCAAACGTGTCTCACTGCGAAGCGGCGTGGGTATGGCTTTTCTGCCAAGCCGCAGGCATACGAGAAACAGATCGAGGAGGACAAGGAGAAATAAGGTGGCTGCGACAGCCCAGCTGCACGCCTCTCGCTTAATCCTTCGTTGGATCTGAGCTGGATCTTGGCGGCGTGAGAGACCATGCTGCTGTATACATCTGCACCGGGCTGCTCAGACTCGACAGTGATGCAAGCTGCTCGTATTGAGCATGACGGAGAGATTTTCGGTCCCCTGTGCAGGGTGCATGATCGCGAGGGGCTTGCCTAAGCGACACGTCGGGACGTCGCCATCTCTTGACGCCACACGAGTACTCAGTTCAATGCGTGCAAAGACCGCTAAGCTCGAAACACGACCTCTGTGTGCCGAGATGCTGGCAGCGGCAAGAGCTGACGTAAGTCCTGGTAGAGACCCAGCAAGGCACGATGGTCGTCATGGATAGTCGGTGACTGATCGCCTTTTCGCTCTCGAGCAATGTCGCGCGTCAAGACTTCAGTGACCGGTCCAGTGCGTGCAAATAGGGAGCATCTCCGCCAGACGCTTAGGGGACCGCAAGAAAAGTGACAGGTCAAAGAGCTCACATCCTCACTGTTGCATGTATGCTGATCTGCAGTCGCACATTCCATGCTGCAGATCAATGCTCGAACAAGGTTGAGCTGCAGGAGATCTGTACCACTGCGAGTGGGCTTGCCTCTTGCATCACAGCATTTCGTATCGCAGGGATGTCAAACGTGGCGTGACTCTTTATGTGACTCGCCGATCCTCATGCTTGTCCGAGGCCGCAAACAAGATAGAGGAGAATTGTTGAGACCCCGCTGAGCGCCTCGACAGATGCCGGCAGCTGACCCCTATGCATGCTCGACAAGGCTTCCTGTGAAGGTGTAAAGTGGGCGTCACCTAGTAGAAACGAGGCTGTGAGGCGAGCTGCAGGCGATGCAGCAAGCAGCGCCTCCCCCATCTTTGCTGTCGGGAAGCAAGGGGTAAATTGACAAGCGAAGCCAGCTCATCAAGACCAACACTTTTTGCGCCTCCTCTTGACGCGTCTCGTACGCGTCTCGCCTTCTACTTGAGAGCCGCTACATCGATCCATCTGCCATCGAAGCAAGGCCTTGCACCTCGACTGATGGTGTGTGAGATGCCAGCATCTTCCTCGCCTTCTTTGTGTTGCATGACTTTACCGAGTCGACTTGTCAACGTGAGAGGCCGAATTGGACAACTCACATTCCTGCATTCCTCCCTTTTTGGCATCTCAGTCATGGCTTGTCACGCCAAGCGGCCGAGAAGCCACGAGGACAGCGTATGGCCATCGAAAGACGCCTTTGCCCGATCTCGATTGCAGCTCACGGTGAGGCTCTTTCTGAAGTGATGCTGCGCTCCTCGCAGTCTCAAGCCGACCGTCGTGTTCTGAGATACAGGAACTTAGCTGTGACTTCTTTGCGAATGATTTTTGGTGCCTCCTTTTTTACGCTTCTTTTTGGTCTCTATTTTTGAGTGTGAACAAAACTCGACTCGCCAAGTCTGATCGCGACTGGACCCTGAGTTCTCACCGTCCTCGAGTCGCTCAGCTGCCACCACCACCACCATTACTGCCTTTCAAGGTGATCAATGTCGTACCTGCCGCCGATCACGACGCTGTGGGAGCACGCCTCCCATCCATCAAAGCGGGCGTGGTCGCGCTCGCCTTCGCCCACGCACGATCCGTCCCCGTCCACCGCGGCAGGACCTTCCACCCTCCCCCCAGCCCGCGCAGCGGCCATCCAACGGCGTCTCATCCGTCAATCTACACGCGGGGACCATCTCCCTGCCCGGACACGCAGCGCAGAACACGCACGAACACTCCGAGCGCTCAAAGGCTACCCACCCATCGGCAGCACTGCCGACGCAGACCAGCTCAGCGACCTCGAGGAGTCGATCGAGGTGGCCAAGTACCAGACTGTGCGCTTTGGCGAGCGGTACATCGTGCAGATTGGTCGGAGGAGGACGATGCGCGAAGAGGAGATGAGTGAGGAGGATGATGGGAGACGAACAGCGATGGATCCTACGATGGCGAGTGGGATGGAAGCGGGCATGACGGCTGAGGATGAGTCGATAGCGGAACCAGAGCAGGTGCTTGCGGGAATGACGGTGCCGGTGCCGGCAGAGCAGGAACGGAGACAGGTGGCGGTCGAGGCGGAAAGGAGAGCAAGAGATGCGGAAGCTGAGGCGAATCGGGCAGCGGCGGCGGCAGAGGCGGCGAGAAGCCAGGCGGAGAGGCAGGCGGCGTTCCAGGAGGAAGAGGATGCGGTCGATTTGGATGGTGATGTCGAGGATCTGGATGAGGGCGAGGACGAGGTCGACTTTGATTAGTGCTGACCAATACATACAGAAGACACTCACCGTTGCACCGCCTCCAGCTGTCTGCTCTGCTCATACACTGTACGACAGCATGCATCACGTTCTTTCATATCCGTCCGTGTATGAGCATAGTAAGTGTTGCAGAGGGCAACTAGGACGAGCTGAGGAGCGAGAAGTGTGAATTTCCTTCGAATGTTAATCCGCGGCCGTGTCGGAAGACGAAATTCCAGGCGCACAGACCGATGGCTGTGCGGATTGGGGATTGGAATTGCGAGCCATCCACGATCGACTCTCTCCACACACACGCTCGCTCCATCAACCAACCCTTCTTCCACCACCGTCTCCATCTCTCATCTCTGCATATCCGACATTCAGCCTGCACTAGAGATCGAGTCATTCAGTGCGGCATCCACAACCCATCTTCTTCCGCTCAGGTATCAAATCCTTACCATAGCCCAGCACTTGAAAGGGATCTCGTCGCAAAGCACCACATCTCTGCAAGATGATCCTGCTCGGCACGGAGAACATCATCATTCGCGATGTGTTGACAGAAAAGTTCGAGCGACCCGCCTCGGTCGATCAGACCTTCACCGACTTCGATGGCGTCGCATACCACCTGGAATCGACATCCAAAGCGGGGCCACTCACCCTCTCGATGGACATCCGATGCTGGTCCGAGCTGGTGCAAGCTGGTGCTCTCGATGTGCTGAAGCGCGAGTACGGCTCTTGGATCCGCGATAGCGTCGAGCCGGAGTACAGCGTCACTCTTGAGTTTGATTTCGCCAAGGTGCCCGCGGCAGGACCGGAACGCGATGCCCTGATCGCCAACGTCTCGCTGCTCAAGCGCAATGCCATGGCTGCTCCCTTCGAGCGAGCGTTCGCGATGCAGAAGCAGCTCGAAGAGGCTTCGCAAACCGACATGCCCAGCAGCGGAACCGAGATCATGCCCATCAACTACCGCGACGACGAAGCGATCTACATCATCCCGTCGCACGACCGCGTCACCGTCGTCTTCACCACCACGTTCAAGGAGGAAACGGACAAGGTGCTGGGCAAGGTGTTTCTGCAGGAGTTTGTGGATGCGAGACGTCAGCCCTCCATCCAGACGGCACCCCAGGTAATCTACTCGAACCGCGAACCACCGCTCGAAGTGCGCAACGTCCAGGGTCTCAACCGCGGCGAAGACGTGGGCTATGTCACCTTCGTCCTCTTCCCGCGACACTTTAGCACCGCCGAAGTCGCAGCAGGCACCATCTCGAGGATCCAACTCTTCAGGGACTACCTGCATTACCACATCAAGTGCAGCAAGGCTTACATGCACAGCAGGATGAGGCATCGCGTGGCAGAGTTCCTCAAGGTGCTCAACAGAGCCAAGCCCGAGCTGGCTGAGAAGGAGAGGAAGACGGCTTCCGGAAGGACTTTCCGTCGTGCATAGACGTCCAATTGCAATGCTCAGATTGTCATCATGGATCGTGGTGTGTGCAGAGTGCGGGTATACATTGCCGAAGCAGGAGTGACTACAAGTACAATTGACTGGAGTCGTGGGATCTATTCGATGCGGATCGATTCGCCAGGAGCCAGCTGTGTGAGCGTACAGCTCTCGCTCTGCTCCGGATAGCGATCTTTGACCAACCTCTGTGCCAGTTCCAAACCGAACACCTCTCTCCTGAGCATCCGACCAACGATGCCCTCTCCTTTCTTATTCTCATCATGTGTAGCTAGCACCACATCCGGCCTCCACGCGGGTATCAGCTCCAACACGTTCGGAAAGCCGCACGCCACGATACCGATCAGAGGTAGCGTCTGTCGGTCGAAGCTGTGGATCAGCACACGTTTGCCCTTCCCAGCCTCCTTGAGCTCTTCTGGCAGGGAAGTGGGTGTGACGCCATGTGGCGAGTATAGGATGTCTACAGGCTGCTCGCCGTTGGAACATGAGACCAGGATGCCGCCGTGCAGCTTGTTCCATGCGGGACTCACCGCCCAGTCTCTCGCTTTGAGGTGCTGAATGGCTATCCCCTCTGGCAACACTTCGCCCTGGTCTGTACCCTGGCGAAATGCATACGAAGAGAGGTTGACGACCTTCTCAGAGTCGAGCCCGAGCTTGAGCCCCCGCAGCGCAGACAGCGAGTCGCCCGTTGTAAAGACCATCACCCGCCGAAGCACGGCTAGCGACTCCGCATCTGTCACAGTCTGAGGATGAACATGATCGCTGAACGGATGACTGAAGAGGATTGCGTCTATCTGTCCGCCTTGTGTGTGCAGCCACCTGTCGAGCTGGACGATCGAGGCAAAGGCGGCGGGCTCGATGCGCGTCTGGCGCGAGAAGAGCGGCGAGCCGTCGATCTGCGGTGTCGGATCTAGCCAAGGATCCAGTAGGAGGTTGTAGAAGGCAGCATGACTGCTACTGTGCGCATCAGGGTGCTTCCGGGTCGACCTTGGCAGACGGACAAGCCACGAGGTGTCGCCGTTGAGCTTGTGCAGTTCGACGGCTGTCATCTTGACGTTCTATGTTGGCTCGACTGCAGCGCAGATTCCGTTACGAGTCGTCTATGAGTGGGTCATGAAGCGACTTCCTTCATGCTGTCCTGGCCTTTTGTTGATGCGACGCTCGCACGAGATGATGGAAGGATCAACGAGAGGCTCGGGAGCGAGTGGGTCATGAGTGGAAATCAAGGGTTTAATGTTGCCAAAGCACACTGACGTTGCTGAGCTGCAGGTGTGCACAGACGCGAGTTGTGGAGGCGAAACTCAGCCAAAAAACAGCGCTTTGTGGCGTGTGACTTTGCTTGGTACTGACTCGAGCCAGAGTCACCTTTCCTCGTCCACCTCCTGCTCAGCTTGACAGACCCGTACAGTAAAGATCAGTCACACGAGTGCTTATCACAATCTACAACGCGCTCGTAGCTTCTTCTTTCAGCACTATCATCACTGACACCAGAAAGATCGCGGCACAACGAACATCTGGCCCTCGGCAAGGAAATAATTCCTATCATCTCGCTCAGCGACCTTCAAACACCTGCATGATGTCGAACCTCCTTCAAAGCGTGCTCAGCTCGCGGCTTGCCAATGCGACGCTTGGCGGCTCCTCCAGCGAATCCTCCTCCGAGAGTCCTGCAAAGGAAGGACTCAACGACTGGGAGCAAGTCGACACAGACGAGGAGCTGGTCGCCGTTCAATCCGCTACCGGCACCCCACTTGAGCGCAGTCGACCCGCCTCGCCCACCCGCGCGCACTCCTCGTCGCGTCTCGCGGTCGAAACAGACACAACCGACTTTGACAGCGACACAGCCTCCTCCTCCAAGCCGTCAAGCCGACTTCGTAATGATGTCTCCAAGAAACGCTCCTCTGCGAAACGCAGCAAGACCGACCCCCTCCGTGCGTTCACCTCCGAGATCGCGCAGCACATCTTCCTCCAACTCCCCGTCGAGTCGCTTCTATCCTGTTCCGGCGTAAGCAAGCGTTGGCGTCGCTCAGCGACCCTCAACTATTGCTGGTATCGTCACTACCAACATGCTTTCTCCGCCACCGACTCGTCGCTACCCGCACTCCCGGCATGGGGCAGCGGCGGCGCCAAATGGACGCGCCGCGAGAGCAAGACCGATTGGAAAACCCAGTTCGGCCGCCAGAAGAGGATCGAAGCGAGAGACGCAGCGAGGGCCGAATCGCTCCCTGGGTCTGGGACGACCACCCCTTCGAGAACGCAGAAGATGCAGGATGCGGGGATTCTGACGACCCACGAGGCGAGAATGCAGCAGTGGAAGCAGGAGGAAGAAGCGCAGTGGACCAAGCAGGAGATGCGCGATTACTACAAGGCCGGTGCGAAGGGAGGGAAGTTCAAGGGGAAGCGGGAGAAGGGTGGAGTCAAGACTGGCGCAGCGGGCGACGGAGGGTTGTGGGAGTGAGTGGCAGCAACACTACTACAGCAATGTAACTTCACGATCAAAGTTTGCGTACCTTCAGAATACCCATATGGCTCCTTCCGATTGCTGCACTCGTCTTCTCTGTGTGAAACGATGCTGATCAAACGTGTGAAAGTGTCTGCGAAAGTTGAAGGCAATGTTATGGTTCTACAGACTGAACGACGAGTTTAATACGAACGTCTCTCCTCCTCCTGCTCGTCATCCCCGTTTGGCCCTCCTAGACTGACCTCGTCCATCTCGCCATCCGCATCCTCCTCTGCACCTTCTGTGGTCTGCGTCTGCTCTACCGCATCCTCCGTCGTGCTCTCGCCTTCTGCAGCTGCCGCGATGCGGTCGGACGACTCGCTCGATGTGATGACGACTTGCGGTGGCGCTGGGGTGCTTTGCGGTTCGGCATCGCCATCTTCGGACGGCGCCGACGTCGTGATGATCGGCGGCGGTGGTGCTGAGCTCGACACCTCCTCTACACCAACCGACTCCTTGTTTGACGGGGGTACGTCGTCCGCTGCGAACGGTGTCGATTTCAACGGTGCGTCCTGGGTGGTGGTTGCCGACGAAGGCTCCTTCTCCACGGGCGGTGGTGGCGACCCGGACGTGTCTGCCTCCGTCGCTGACGATGCGGGCGCCTGCTTCCCGAGCACCTCTTCCACGCTCCTCTTGATCGAGCTGGCATTAGGCGGGTCCTGGTCCAAATAAAACGGTGAAATGCCCACCATCTTCTTCTGGTCGTGACAGGCAAAGATCCAATGCGGCAGAACAGCGGGAATGCTCAGCTGCATCGCCTTGGCATACCCAGCACCCTGCGAGCCCTCTTGAGCCCCTGGATTCCTCGGATCCGTACACACGTAGTGCGTCGTATCAATCTGGATCCGGTCGCTCCACTTTGCCTTCATGTTGGTCAACGCCTGCTTACTCGCCTCGAGCAGCTCCGGCTCGGCGACGTGGCCAAAGCAGACGCTGATTCCCGAAGTGTCGCTGATGGTGTGCGTGCGCGTCTTGATGAGCGGCGACGTGAGCGTGCCCGCGGTCGTCTTGAGCACGAGGTGGAAGGTGTATTCGGCGTTGAGGTCGAGGCCGGAGAGCTTGGTGGAGGTGTTGTGGAGTGGGTTGGGGATGGGAGCTAGCCTCTCGCCATTTCTGTATATGTCCAGTGAAAGCAGCGTAGCTGTTGCCAGCGAAAGGCGGTCCCATTCGAGTGTGACGGAGGTCTGTGTGACGTTTCGCAGTCGCAGTGCAGGGGCTTTGGGAGGCTGCTGACCAAAGGTGTGAAGGATGTCTTCTTGCAACTGGTCGAACTCGTCCTTCTGTCGTCGTTCTTGCTGGTCGTTGCGCATTACGCGGATGTTGACGACACTTCCTGAGGATACGCCTGATGGCAAAAGCAGCGAAGGAAACTCAATAAGGGAAGCCTTGTCGCCAATGAGGATGGCCATGCCGGCATCGAGCTTGCCGACGGTGAATGTAAACGAGTCATCGTCGCTGTTGGCCTGCATGGTGGAGTGAACGTAGTTGGGTGCGATCTGGCCTACGTAGTGAGCTGACATGCCGTTCGATGGCGAGTCGATGATAGTTGAGTGTAGGGAGGTGGGATCACTGATGGAGGAGAGGAGAAGGACCAGTTTCGGTGTTGGTTGCAAGAGTCCGAGCGCAGCGCCGTGTCGCTGCCAGCCAAATCAACGCAGCACGCGTTTCATTTCGGTGGATCACCCGATTCCATTTCTTCTCACGCACAGAGCACACGATGTAAGGAGGGTCTGCTGCTCCCTTTTTCGGCGGCACCGAAAGTTGAATGTTGACCTCACTCATCATCGTCGGAACCAACTCTTCCACCATCACTATCCAGCGACACATCGAAAAGAGCAGGGAATGATCACATTCGTCCCTCTCTCGGTGCCCTACGCCACCGGACCCGCCGCGCCTGCTTCGGCAGCGGCGGGAAAGTCGAAACGGGGCGCGCGAACCAAGCTTGAATCCACCGAGCAAGAGCAGGAACATCCGCGTGCCCTCGCCTACCTGCTTCAGATGGACGATGTGCGCGTCCTTATCGACTGCGGATCCACCGAGGACTTCCTTTTTCATGGTGACGCCGCATCGGATGCTGAACAACCATCATCACCGCAGCAGAATGGACAGCCCGAGTCATCGTCAATGGCACAACAGCGACAAGCTGCTGACCTCGACATTAGCCATCTCAAGGCAGCGTCGCTCGACACTTTACTTCGCCAGCTAGCACCCACGATCGACCTCGTCCTCCTCTCTCACTCATGCCTCGATCACTTAGGTCTCTATGCTTATGCCCACGCCAAGTTGGGCCTCCGCTGCCAGGTCTACGCAACGATGCCCGTCCAGAGCATGGGCAAGCTCACCGTCCTCGAAGCCATCCAGACATGGCGCAACGAAGTCGACATCGACAAAGAGCCCACCAACGGCTCCACACGCCGCTGCCTCGCTACCGCAGACGAAGTCGAAGACGCATTCGAAGCGATCAAAACCGTCCGCTACATGCAGCCCACCCACCTTGAGGGCAAATGTGCCAGTCTCACTCTCACCGCCTACAACGCAGGCCACTCGCTCGGTGGTGCAGTCTGGAAGATCCGCAGTCCCACCTCTGGCACCGTCGTCATTGCTCTCGATTGGAATCACAATCGAGAACGACATCTCGACGGCACCATCTTGCTCTCCTCGTCCTCCGGCCCTGGCGCCCCCTCCTCAGGCAGCGGCTCCGACGCGGTCCGCCGCCCAGACCTGCTCATCACCGAGATCGAGCGCGGTCTCGTCGTCAACACCCGTCGTAAGGATCGTGATGCCGCCCTCATCGATCTCGTGCACACCACCATCCAAGCAGGCAACTCGCTCCTCTTCCCCATCGACGCCTCTGCGCGACTGCTCGAGCTCATGGTGCTGCTCGACCAGCACTGGGCGTACGCCTACCCGCACGCCCGTTTCCCGCTCTGCCTCATCAGCCGCACGGGCAAGGAGGTCATCGAGCGCTCGCGTACCTACATGGAGTGGATGACGCGCGAATGGGCTACCAAGGCCAACGAGACCATTGAAGCCACTCAAGATCAGAAACGCAATCCCCAGCAGCGCGGCGCTAGGAACGCAGTCGCATCCAGCCCGCTCGACTTCAAGTACGTCAAGGTGTTTTCGAGCGTGCAGGCGATGGATGAGGCGATCCCGCAGGACCAGGCGAGGGTGGTGCTTGCCGTGCCACCGTCCATGACCCACGGCCCGTCGAGACGATTGTTGTCGCGCTTCGCGTCGAATCCGAACGACGTCGTTGTGCTCATTGGGCGGGGTGAACAGGGGAGTCTGTGCCGGCAGCTGTGGGACGCGTGGAATGCCAATCAGACCAAAGGGTTCGCCTGGACCGCTGGCAAGCTCGGCCACCCCGTCGTACCGAACACGAAACTTCGATTCGAACTGCAGAGCAAGGTCCCCCTGGAAGGTGAAGAGCTGCGCGCGCATCTCGAAGCCGAGCAAGCGGAACGCGATCGTCTGGCCCAGCAACGCGCCCTCCTCGCGCGCTCCCGTCGCCGCCTCGAGGCGGACGAGGACGATTCCGATTCCGACTCGGACTCGGACGTCGACGCTGAGAACGACGAGGCCGTGTACGACGTGGCGACCACCACCGCCGAACCAGGCGGTGCGCTGCGTAAGCGACCCTACGGCGTAGCGTTCGCCGAACCCCCTGCCGGAGGAATGGGAGACACCAACCAGTTGAGCTACGACATCTATCTCAAAGGAAACGCTTCGCGCGCCACGTCCTTTTTCGGCTCCTCCTCCACCGAGGGTCCCTTCGGTCTGGGTGTGCGCTACCGTCTGTTTCCCGCAATCGAGCGCAAGCGCATGGTGGACACGTTTGGGGAGGTTACCGATATCGCCCGTTGGTTGTCGCGTCGACGAGCGGTGGAAGCGGCCGAGACGGTCGATCCGCTCTCTGCCGATGCAGCGTCGGCCGCCGAGGCGGCGCGGAAGAAGATGGTTGCTGAAGAAGCGGCGAGGGCAGCAGCGATTCCGTCCAAGTACATCACCGAGGACGTGACTCTCAAGCTCAGCTGCAGGGTGGCGTTCATCGAGATGTCCGGGTTGAACGACGGGCGGGCGTTGAAAACGCTCATCCCTCAACTGCATCCGCGTCGGTTGGTCATGGTCAACGGTGACACGCGCACCAATGAGGATATGACCGCCGTGTTGGGCGCGATCAAGTCGCTGACGGCCGAAGTCTACGCCCCTCGATGGATGGAGAGCGTGCAAATCGGTCAAGTGACCAACGCGTTCACTGTGCAACTGGGCGAAGCGCTGCTGTCGGGATTGCAGTTGAGTCGGTTCGAGGAGTTTGAAGTGGCGCATGTGCGGGCGCTCGTTCGACGATCTGCCACCGAGGACGAGGTGACGGTGCTCGAGAGCGAGTCTGCTATCGCCGCCGCAGAGGATGGCGAAGAGTCTGGCTCGAAGGTGTTGACCGATCTCACGGAGTCCGGGATTGTGCGATCCATCGAGTCGACGGTGCAAGCCTCCCGCGTCGCCGTTCCAGGGGCAGGTGACGTGGGAGGAACGCTCTTTATTGGCGATCTCAAGCTGTCGACGCTCAAATCGCTGCTCGGCCACCCGCCGTACAGACTCAATGCGGACTTTGCAGGTGAGGGCATGCTCGTTTGCGCTCCGGCGGGGGCCAAGGCGGGTACGTTGGGTAGCGAGGCGGTGACCGTGCAGAAGCGGGGCAAGGGGCGCATTGTTGTGGAAGGAAATGTGGGGAAGTCCTTTGGGTTGGTCAGGGGCGCGGTGTACGGATTGCATGCGAGGGTGGCCGGCGGAGCTGCTGCGGGGACATCGAGTGCGGAGGCTGCGGAGGAGGCGTAGCATGACACGTTCGCGACTCAATCCAAGGACATGCAACAAGAGACCGTGGTCTGCGAGCGCGATCTGAAGGTTTGCACGGTTCCAAACGGCTTCTCCACGGCGTCTGATGATGTGTCCACCCATTCGGCGCTGAGGCACGAGTCAAGGTGGGACCGATCTCAAAAGCTGGGCTTGAGAACCCGAGTGCGTGTCTGGCAGTGAGAGGATAGAAGCGGTGAATGCTGTGCCCGCGTGGACCGAGGAAGTGAGCCAAGCGTGACTGGTGAGTCGCATCGCGCGCTTCTTCCGCGTCGGGTTTGTCTTGGCCCACTCGCCCGGTCAACGCCAGCCCACAGCATTCACCCTTTACCGTCCTCTCACTGCCAGACACGCACTAGGAATCTGATGCCCAGCTCTGCAACGGAATCAATTCAACCATACTCAGAACCTTCAAAGCGCAACCCGGATGTTGATGCATTAGACGCAAGCTGGTATTGAATAGACACAAGCACATGGATGGGGTATGAAACAGAGGTAATTTGAAGCAGATGAGGTATGAGGTTGACGCACGACGTGCAGTGGCGTCATGTCAAATAGCGAAATGAAGTCGGCGGTAGCAAAAATGAAGCACATTGACGGTCCATCCAGCGTGAAAGATCAGACGAGGACCACCAAGCATCGACATCTTCGAGCCCTGCTTCCCAAATTCGCAAATCAGGCAGTGCCGTTGGGCACCGAGTTGGGACCAAGGTCAATGGCAGCCGCCTTCTCCTTGTCCTCTCTCGACTTCTTGACCGCCTGAGCGGCCGTGATGCCGTTGGACATGGACGAGTTCGACACGACGGTGCCCTCGTTGTCGGAACGCATGGCGGTCTGCTTGACAAAGGCAAACTCGGAAGCGGCCATGGTCTCGAGCACACCAATGACGTTGCCATAGGCGTCCTTGAAGACCTGCCTCGAGTCGTCCGCGTCCTGGCCAATGTTGGCCGACTCGTACTGGAAGTATTTGAGGAGCGTGTAGAAGCCGGAAGTGATGATGGCGGCCGCGTAAGGGGCGATCCAGTAGATCCAGTCGTAGCCGTTGAACTCGCCGCGGACAACGTTGGGACCGAGCGTTCGGGCAGGGTTAAGCGAGCCACCGGTGTAGTTGGTACCGAGCAATTCGGCCAGGAAAAGCGCAAGACCGATACCGACAGGGGCAAGGAAGGTACCTCTGTGCTTCTCAGCAGCGAGAAGGAAGATGGCCAGAATAAGCTGCGCAGTGAGGAAAAACTCCAAAAAGAAGCCTTGTGCGACAGTAGTGCCGTTTGCGAGCGTAGTACGTGCGTTGACGTTACCGGGGAGGATGCCTGCGGTGAGGGCAGCAGCCGCAATACCACCAAGGAACTGAGCGATGGTCAAGTGAATAAGCTGGAACCAGCCAAGCGTGCCGGTCAAGAAGAGCGCCAGAGTGACGGCAGGATTGAAGAGACCGCCGGAAACACGGTAGAAGGTCCAAGCATTGACAGCCAGCGAGAAACCGAAACCGAGCGAAGAGTAGAGCAAGGCCTGAAGGTTTGGCTGACCAAAGTCCGGAGAGGCGGTGGTTTGCGAGTTGGTGGCCTGAGTAGCGATACCGAAAGCGAAGAAGAGGAAGAGGACGGTACCGACAAACTCGGAGACGAAAGCGATGGCATTGTTCTTGATCTGCAAGCGGCGTCGGAGCTCGGCACGGTAGTGGTGACGGTGCTTGTGCTGCTTCTCGTCGACCTGCATGAAGGCGGGGAGCTGCTCCTCGATCATAACACTCTCTGCTCGTTCGACCATGGCTGGACGCTCTCCATCTTCATTGGCCGAGAAGAGGGAGGGCTGGCCGACCATTTGACGCGGATCCTTGCTGCCTGTGTTGACGGGTGCGCCTGTAGGAGCGGTGGCCATTCCACCGAGCTGCTTGTCGCCATCGTTGGGGATGCCTTTGGGTGCGTCGTTGGTCACGGCGGTGTCAGTGGATCCGGGCTGCTCGTGCTGCTTCTTGGCAGCTTGCTCTGCGGCTGTGTCGTAGACACCTGTGCCAGCAGCAGGGAACTTTGGGTTGGCTGTTGGAGGGAGAGAGAGCGAAATGAGAATGTGGGGTCCATTGTCAGTCAAGAATCCAGATGTGGTCATGTATATCTGAGCGCCCATCGACGCACCGCCTGCGTCAACTATTTCGATCCCGGCTGCTTCTGGGCGCGTGACAAGAGACAACTGGGGGAGCAACTACAACCGTGCTCCATCCAATTGTGAAATGAAAACTTACTCAGATTGGTGGTGGGCGAAAGAGCCTGGTCGTTGTCGGCGGATGACGACATTTTGGAATATGGATCCGCTCCTCTGCAGTGTGATTGGGAGATAGCTCTCTTGGTCGAATCGAAGGTGGAAGCTGGACTGAGAGGAAAGCCGGATATGGTCGAGCTCGGCGAATCAACGAATCTGTGCCGTGAGGGGGAGACACGTCAAGGTGATCAGAGGATCCAAGGATGGAGGGATGCAGTTGGTGGGGAGACGATGAGACTCGCGCGTGATTCGGAAGCTGGTTTAAGAAGGTCTGCTCATTCTGCGTCTCTGCGGGATGGGTTCTGATCTCGAACGGCTACTTTCACCTTGAGCGTGACGCGGAAGAGCGGGGCGCATCGATCGAGCTCAGTCTGGCGTAGAGCAGTCTGTTGAGCGAACAAAACTCATGGGCTGCCCAAAGTGAATGCTTCCAGAGATAGAAAGAAGTGGCCCCGTTTCACATCGGCCTAGCCGACCTCCATCACATCACACCAGCGCTCTTTCGCTCGACCCCGAACCACTCCCTTCACTGACGGCCCTTCCGAAGTTCTGCTCTGCCTTGTTCGCTGCGAGCAACAGCCCAGATCGATTGTCCGCAGCAGTCTGTGCCTGTGCGTGGGAATACGAAGGTCATGGCGTGGGCTAGCTAGCCAAACCTTTCAGCTGCCTTTGGATGCATCTCCTTTCCCCCACCCGACCGCATGACAGCTCTGCTGCATCGAAATGAAAAATTACCTCACCTGCAGGCAGGTCACTCCGAGAATTCACATTTGACAGTCGAACTCCGCAAACGGCGATTCCGCCTGCAGCACACGCATACCAGGTCAATCGCGTACCTGCGCTCTCGGCGGAGAATTGGGCCCTCTCGTCATGAGTGCAAGCGGATCTTGAATCCAGACAAAGCTCTCTCGAATCCAACTTGGCAGCATGCCTCCCTGATCATGGTGTCAAAAGTGGCGCTGCATCGTGGGCCGTTCCACATTTGTCTGGACCCATACCGAGACCCACTCTTTTCATGTGACATCTCAAAGGCAAGTCGGATGCTTGTCATCAGCTGCGAGACCGTGAGATTTGTTGCCAATCATAGAAACTCGGCATGGGATTTGAGCACTTCCTTGCAGGGTCGCAAGCTGAAACCGTGCCGCAGCACGAGTTGCTTGTCTCGCTTGCCAGCACACAAACCGTTCTCAGCTTGGATGTCTTCCGAGTTGATCATGCCTTCGCTCGAGGTTCGCATCAGACTCTTTGCTGAATGGCTGTATCGCGAGCAAGCTTGCTCTTTGCACTGCGATTCGGTGTAGTGGGCGACAAACTCGGACAGTATCAGCCGTCGCGCACACCCACCATCGATGTGTACCTCTTCCAACGACGCCGAGCGCGCGCGCGATCAAGCCTTCATCTCGCGACGCGGGGTGAGAATCAGGCGAGGACCTCTCCCACACCAAAGGCCGAAAGATTCCTGCCCTGCACGCCCTTCTTTTACCGATGCAGCGGCTCATGCGGAGTCGCGACGCGTCATTACGTCACTTTTCATCGATGCATCGGCGAATTTGGCCTGCAGTCAAAAAAGCCCATCTGCTCTGGCTCAAAACCCCAGGGCCGCTCGCTCGCCTCTGGAGAAACCGAACGGCGAGAGCGAGATGTCGATCTTCCTGCTCGAGGCAGCGGCCATCTCGGCTGCTAATTATACACCCATTCTGCTGCAAACAGGGTCAATCGATGTGTGCCGATTGCACATCAGACTTTTCACCATTCTCCAGCGCCGAACGTTTCTATATTTAGGAGCTTTTCTCATATCACTTCCAGCTCTAACTCTATCACCGATCTTGAAGTGGTCTCATGTTGCAATGACCGATAGCGATCGCAAAGAGCATGCCCTGATGCAAGAGATACGATTGATACGCTGCACGCGATAGTGCGATAGTGAGAAGAATGAGACTACTTCTGTTGACCAAGTCCAGCGATCAGATCACGACCCTCAGCGGCGTCTTGCCAGCTACCGTCGCCCGCCGAACCCGTTCCAGAGCCAGTGCCGGGTCCACCCGACCCACGATCGTCCTCGTCGTCAATGTCGACAATGGCTCCTGTCGCCGGCGTTGTCTTCCCAGCCAAGGCGGGAGGAGGTGAAGTCTCGCCATCGTCCTCATCCTCGTCGTCGTGCAGTGCAAACCGCTGATCGCCATCGGCGTCGTCAGCATCGAGGTGGTCGCGGTACGGTTCATCGCCCAGTCCGCGTCCCCGGCCCAGCAGACCTCTCTGATCTTTGCTGTGCGCACCAACGGTGCCTTCGAGATCGTCGTCGTCCTCGGCGTCCGAGCCCTCGGCAAAGGCGTCGTAGAGCTCTTTCGTTCGGCGCGACTTTTGATTGGGTCCACGACGCGAAGATCCGCGTGCGCCTTGGCTGAGCAGGCCCATGGCCACTTCTTCATCGTCGGCCAGCGATTCGTATGCACCTCCGTCGCCACGACCACCTCCACCGCCCGAACCACGCCCCATCTTTCGTTTGCGCATCACGAAGAAGGCCGCAAGCGATCCGGCAAAGATGACCACCAATCCACCGGCAACCATCACCCAAGTACTGTTCTTCTTCAGGCCAGAGATGTAGCCCGTGTCGGCTTCGGGCTGTACCGTGACAGGAGGGCTGGCGTCGTGGTTGGTGAAATCAATGTGCGACTCTCCTTCGGCGTTTCCGTGGTCGGCAGGTAGGTGGTCGGTCGGCTTCTTCAATTGAGCGGTAGAGGTGGCACTGGGCGGGAGCTTGATGATCGTCGTCTCGGGCGCACTGGGCAGCTTCTCATGAGCCTCGACCGAATTTTCAGGGAAATCCCAAGGCACCGCTTTGGACGGATCGATAGACGCGCCCCACAGCGACATGCTCCATGCGTAGATGTTGCCCACCTGGTTGGGATGTGCCGGGTCAAAGACACGCAGCTTCCACTCGCCGACCGGCGACTCGTCCCAGTGCTTGAGAGTCATGAACGACCAGCCAGGGAAGCCCGTTTTAGCATCGTCGTACCGTCTGGACCGTGCCAACGCCGACTTGGTGCCATGAGGCGAAGTGAACTCGATGTTGACATCGCCACGACGCTGATGCGTGATCCAGACCCGAACCGTCACATGCTCCACCGAGGCCAAATTCGCTTGCTTGAGGTGCTCCTCTGTGATGATGAAGGTCGACTCGGTGCCAGACTCGGAGATGAGCGTCTCTGTTGCTGGGATCGTAATGTTGGGCGACTCGTACCAAGCCTGCGGGTTGACCAATTGATGACGCTTCGCCTCCTCGACGAACTGGTAGGCGTCGATGAGACCGTAGCCGTACTTGTGGTTGAAGTGACGACCTGCTTGTGTTTGCTGCCAGTCTGGGTCCTCCGCATTGAATTTGACAGCGCTGCGCACAGCAATGTGCTGCACGTCACGCCAAGTCAAGTCAGGTCGCACACTGAGACCCAGCGCAATCACACCGGCGGCGAGGGGAGCGGCAGCACTCGTGCCACCATGCGAGCTCGTGCATCGGTTGACTCCGTTCCAGGCAACGTCGGTGGTGTGGATGTGGTCCCCACTGCCCGAACTCCAGCTGGTGGCGATGATGGCAGAGCACATCTCGGAGTACCAAGGGTGCTGCCCTTCGCGATCGACAGCTGCGATGGTCATCGAGTAGATTGAGTTGGTGTAACCATCAAAGTTGCACTGATCGTCCGAAGCACCTCCGTTGCCGCCGGCAAAGACGAATACGCTGCCTTTGCCATCGCGGCCATTCTGGATTCCGTTGAGCATAGCCTTTGCGATGAGACCTTTGGGCGCGTCCATGCTTTTGCCGTCATCGGGTGGACCCCAACTGCAGCTGTAGATGTCGTTCTCCTGGTAACCGAAATTGAGCGCCGCGGCTTCGTCCACGTCCGAGATGGGACCGGAGAGGATGCGGACCCCAGAGACCTTGGCCTTGTAGGCGACACCTACACCACAGACGTCGTTCTTGACAGCGGCAATCTCACCAGCACATCGCGTGCCATGCTGGTCGTCTGTCTCGCGTGGTTCGGGAAGGTCCGTGTGGGAATTGAAGTCGTAGCTGCCTGGCGCGTAAAAGTTGTCCTTGAGGTCGGGGCTGTGCATGTCGAGACCATCGTCGATGAGGCAGACTTTGATACCGTCACCGAAGATATTCTGGTCCCAAACGGCGCTGACATTGAGGTCGTTACCGGGTTTGCGGTCGTTTGCCAGATGCCATTGATTGACAAAGATGGGGTCTTTGATGCCGAATTGAGACATGAGTTTGGACGTCTTGCCGGCTGGGATGACGGCGGGTCGTGGTGAAGGGTCGGCCGACCTCACATGAAACGGCCAATCATCTGGACTTGCTACTGGGTTCCGAAGTTCAGGGTACAGGTGCGGCATCTCTGCGGGATCGTAGATGATATCGCGCTTGTGCCGCCGCCTGAGCTCTTGACGCTCGACGGCCTTTATTGAGAGAGCAGCGGAATGCTGACGCTTAGACAGATTGTGCTGCGTGGTGAAGCCGGGTTCGCGGGCCGAGTGGCGGATGTGAGCCCATCGTTGCAAGACTGGATCTTGCTGTTCTGGAACATCAGGGCGAGCCCCAGATGAGGACGATATGGACGTAGCGCCATCACGCTTTTGGAATGCCTCCAGCTGCGCAACAGGCTTTTCGGACCGTATCAGCCAGTGGTTCTTGAGTTCTCCTGCTCTTTCGACAAACTCGGCGCCTAGCGACTCTGCGACGTCGCGGGGGTCCACCTCTTGACCGGCACGGGCGTGCACCTCCACCACATAGTAGTGGTGAGTGTCGTACGATCGCTTAGCGGGGAGGGGGACTGTTCGTTTCTGATGTGACCATGGATGATGTGCTGATCTCTTGTGTCGCTGTACGAGGTGCTGAGGCGATGCTGCATCCGCACAGCTCCTTACAATGAGAGAATCATCACTGCTCGCGCCAGGCGAAGCAGCGGCCACAGCCAGAATGCCGCCGAGGAGGAGCGAGAGAGAGCTCGAAAGCTTGGTGGCTTTCATGGCTGCGGAGTGTCGCCGGGCGTGATCGAAATGAGGCCTGGGTCCGGATCAGGCGAATTGCGACTTGACGAGACTATGACCGATGGCGAAGAAGATGGCGGAAGAGACTGGCGATGGCTCGCGCAAAGGCAGTCGCAGACCGTTCGAGTCCGGACTACGTGCGAGTGTGACCGAAACAAAGGTCAGAGATTCGGCAGGGACGCTAGGACGATAGAAGCATTGGCAAGGGGGATCGTAGTCGATGCGAATGGGGTCCTCGAGGTTGGGTATTGAATGCAGTTGAAACGAATGTGAGCTTGCTTGTGGGAAGCGATGCTGTTGAACGGGGATTTGACGGATAGGCTTAGTAGGCTGATGAGAGCAGCGAGCAGATTGGAAGAAAGGAGAGGAGAGGAGGGCGTGACAAGATGGCTACAATAGATGGAAGCGAGACCCTGTGATGGATATGATGGCCATGGCTGAGGTTGAATCCGGCGAGTGTTGCTTCGCCTCTTGAAGACTGTCAATTTGAAGAAGAAAGCGTGGAATTTGGCTGCGTGTCACCTTCTTGCCTTTAGCCAGCCAGTCAGCTCGACCCCGAAGCTCAGACCCCACACAGCATCACATACAGTACAGGCGCTGCTGCCTTGATTTTTTGGCTCCTTGAAATTGCCACCGCACAGCACGGCATAGCGCGCCCTGTTCACCCCACGCGCTCTATGCAAGGGTCCGTGTTGGCTCACCACACGGCACAGCGCCGTGACCTGCGGCTCGTGCGATACTTCTCAAGGTAGAGCATGCGGTCATTGGTACCAACATGCGGCGGGCAGGCGGGTCATGCGACAGATGAGAAGAATGTCCATGCATAGCATTGCGAGCGTATGAATACAGTAACGCCAGCTTTACAGAGCGTCGTGCTGATCAGCGAGCTTTGCCGCGCCGCCCGAGCTCAACGGCGAGTAGCGTCGCACGAACCCATCCGCTGCAGCAGCAACAAGCTCGACGGCGCTCATGTCGCCCTTCCAGTTTGCCAACTCGACCACGTCCATCTTCTCCAGTTGCCTGCGTACGATACCTTCAGTCACACCTTCGCCTTCCGTTGCTTTTCCAAGAATCGCTCGGCGTCCCGCACCCAACGCGCTTCCCAATCCACTCAGGACACCCTGCAGACTCGTCCCGCTCAAGGGGCACGGGAACGAGACGTTGCGGTTCACGTTGACCGGCACCGTGATGCTGAGCACTTCCACATCCACCTCGATCTTGAACAGGAAGCTCAGATCGCCCGAACCGCTGCTGGATCCGCCCAGCAAGCTGAGACCGCAGTCCGAGGCAATGTTCCTGATGATGCTCAGATCCGAATCCTGGCTTTGATCGTACGAGATCTGGAAGGGGAACACGATGGTAGTGTTGTCGTTGGGTTTGATCTTTTGGTTGGTGATCTCGCCGTGGCCGAGAGCGGTGCTCTGGTCTTGCGAATCGTATGCGGTGGCCTTGAGCTTGCTGATGCTGGCTGAGATCGAATTGGGGTTGCTGATCGAGATGTCAACGCTGACATTGAACGAGAAAGCGCCATTCTGGTAGCTGACACCGTTCTGACTGGGGACGCTCACTCCAGAGATAGCGACGTTGGGCGGGCGGAGGAACGTGACAATGAGCAAGATGATCGACACGATAAAGATGATCGCGAGAATAAGATTGCCAATGATGATTCTGAAGAGCTTGGCAGGACAGCTGCGAGATTGAAAGGCACGCTTGTCATCCTTGGTCCAGATCGAGTTGCCGCTCGCCCGCTTCGAAGCGTAGGGGCTTCCATAGCCCGCCTTTTCGGAGGTCATGTTGGGGTCGGCGACGGCAGCAGCGCCAGCGCGATGGTCAGCGTACGTGTCGATGTATTGGTCGTCGCTGTCTCGGTGCAGTCCTCTGGATGGATTGCTGTCGTGGCTGTCACCGTAGCGTTCGTGAGGTTGGTCCCAAGAAGCAGAGTAGGGCTCGTACCGTTGCGAATCGTGGGAGTAGGGATCGTGAGATGGTGGCAAGGAAGTAGAAGCCTGTTGTGCTCGAGGGCTTTGGAAGGCATACGACATGGTGGCGGATCGAGAAGCCTCTATTTTGGCCCAGGATGGAGAGGATACACGAGAGGAGCAGAGAGTCGAGAGACGTCACCGACCGAGAGGCAAATTGAGCTTGCCGAGCGAGATGGCGCTCAGAAGGGCTCCTTTTACCGACGTAAGGGTCAGCCTTCGATTGATGGGGTCTTGGACTGGCAAGCTCCCAAAGCGCCGTTTGTGAGTGCAAGCGAAGTCGAAGCGGTGAGGGTCAAAGGTGACAGGGCAGAGTGAGAGCAACTCTCCTCGTCGTTGTGTACCACGGCTGTCCAAGACGGTGTTTCAAAAGGAGAACGAGAGCGAGAGCCAGCCGAAAAGGCCAAAGTGGAGTTTAGGCATCACTGCTGTCTCTTGGCTCCCCCACACAGCCTTTCTCAAGGCGGTTTGGCGGCGGTGCTGCGCGCGCAGATTTCGACTGTCGCAGACGCCTCACACAGCGCTGCAGAGCCACACGGTCGCTCCAAGGCGGTGCTTATTTTTAAACTTGGAATTTCCTCGCTGACAGGCCAAGTACCATGAAATTTCGAGGGCTGCCGATCCTGTGTCGATCCCAAGCTCGCCTCTTAGCATTGTCCACCCCGTCGCGGCGCGGTTGGGAGCCGTCAGAAAGACGGCTTTGCGATCAACTGCCGTCGGAGAGGCTTGCGGCATCCACGAGCCACGACGTCGATAAAGGTATGCTGTGATGCTTGTGGTTTGCGGCGGTGCTCATCTTCATTGTCAAGAGTGTTTGCCGCAAGCTGTGTTAGTGCTAGGTGCCAATCAAAGTTGACCGTGCCGTCGGCGAGTTTGGCGAACCGAGGCGCTGACTTCTTGATATGGCTTCCGCTTCGAGGGAGGTGCCATGCTTTCCCTTGCTCAAAGGTCGTCGTTTCGCCTGACAGACACTTATGCTAGAGCGTCCATGGCGTCGGGCAGCGTGGGCAACACAACGACAGTGGGTTTGAAGAGCGAATAGCATTGCTGTCCATGTCCTTCCGAATGCAAATGCAGATCACTTCTTCTTGCCCTTCTTCTTCTTCTTCTTGTTCTTCTTGCCGCCTGCACCCGACCCACCTCCAACGGCCGAGTCATTGGTTCCTTCGTTAGTGTCTGCCTCTGCGTCTCCGTCACCGTCTGCCTCATCTCCATCTCCGTCCCGCTCGGCGCTTACTTCTGCTCCAGGTGTGGCGATTTTCAAGGCACCTTCGGGTGCTTCTGTGCCATCGACGGTGGAGGGAGTCGTGTCGATTTCCGCACCGGCAGCAGCCTTGGCAGCAGGTGTGCTGCTCGCAACGTCTGCAGCCTCTTCGGCGCTAGCTCGAGTGGCTCCACCTGCGGCTTCCACGAGGGTCGGTGCTGTCGTCTCCACCGTAGCGGCCTTGTCTGACATGCCTCCGTCGGGAGTCTCTTGTGTGCGTGCAACATCTTGCTTTTCTTCCACCGAGCCGTTATCCGCTCGATGAGCGTTGGCGCTCCTCTCGAGCGAAGCACCTTGTTCGACCACTGGCTTGGCATCTGAGGCGTCGGCATCCTTTGCAGCGACGGCAGCCGCAGCCTCGTCTGTCGGTGCGGCAGTGGCATCGCTCGCAGAGACCGTCTGAGACGCTTCAGTCGTCTCGGCTGTCGAATCCTTGGATTCGGGTGGATGAGCAGTCGGATCACCTTTGACTTCGTTGTGACCTTCCTTTGCTGGCGTCTCATCAGGGGCGGAGGGAGCAGGTGCGACGGGCGCAGTAGGTCGCGGCTCGACTTGACTGCCACTTCGATCCAAGGGTGCCGACTGCTGTGCTCGTTTTCGGGCTGCTTCGGCCAGACGCTCCTTGAGAGACATCCTGCCCGGCTTGGACGGCGCTGTTCCTGTAGGTGTCTTGGGTGTTGCAGGCGCTATCGGCGTGGAGGCGCCGCTACGGACCGGAGACGCTTCGCTTGGCGTGCCAATGACGGCCGATTGAGCGAGGGACGGATTGAACCCGCGCGCGTCCTTCTGAGGCGTCGAGAACTGCGGCGGTCCTCCTATCTGGGCGGCTTCCGATGGTGCTGCTGGAGCGTCCTTCGGCTGAACAGAGGCGCGATCCTCTCGTGCATTCTTGACCGCTTCCGAAGTGTCGTCCATCACTGCTGCGTCGGAGGCCCCAGCCTTCGCGTTCCCTTCCTGTTGCTGTTCGCCAGAGACAGCCTTCGCCCCTTGTCCGTCCAGTTCTTCCACGCATTGACTCGCTTCCGCAGTCGCTTCGGTCTCAGTCCTGGCTGCTGTAGCGTCTCCGTCACTGCTGGCGGCTGCAGGAGCGTCAGAAGAGGTCGAACTGCTCTCGCCAAGCAATTTGGCAACTGCTTCCGGCGCGGGGACAACAGGTGCCACGAGGTCTTCAGCACCCTCTGCGTCCGCGTCCTCATCCTTGACAATGATGGACGAACCAGTCTCCTGGCCTTTGGACGGTGTTGCTGGCGGAACATCATCCACTTCCTCTGCGATACTGCGAGCACCCGTGGCGGCCGACTTGGCAGGAGTCTGCGGACCGGATTCGTGAGCTTGCTGCGGCTCTGCAGTGGTACCGTTCTCGCTTCCGGCAGGAGGCTGTTGCTGAATCTGCAAGCTGGACCGCGGCGTCGTCTCCAGCGACTTCTGTGATTCCATTGGAGTCGAAGTGCGTGCCACGTCTGTGGAAGCCCGAGGACTGTTTGTCTGGCTCTGCTGTTGCTGCTGACGACGTGCAAAGATGTTCGGGATTCGCGGCTTGTACGTGACGGGTCCGAACTGCGACGCTCCAGTTTTGTCAAGGGCGGGCGAGCCTGGCGGCAGCTCATTGCTGCCGGCAGAGGTGCCCGCAGTCGCGGATGCATTAACCGGGGCAGGCGGCACGACGTGCTTGGATGCCATCACCTGCTGCAAAGCCTCGTCTTTCCATTCGACGTGCTTCAGCACGGATAGCTTGGTGCCAAGGTAGCGAACGTCGGCCTGCATGCGATCGACGGCTTGTTGCTTGCTGACATCCATCTTGTCGAACTCTTGCGCGATGCGGTCATCGATGGCACGGAGCACCTGGCCGATGACATGCTCAACAACGACACCTTGAAGATATTTGCTCAGGACCTTGTGCAGCGTGGCAGTCTCCTTGACCAGGTCGACAGCGTACTTGTTTGGCTCGATGTCCTTGCTGTCAGCATTCTCTTGACCTTCGGCAGCTGACTTGTCGGCGTTCCAGTCGATGCCGCTCAAGGTGCGGCAGTGCACGGTGAGGCGATCCGACATGATGGCGACCAGCTTGGCGTGAATCTCGTACTGGTGCTCCTGGAAGTCGCGACGCAGTTTGTCAAACTCAGTGAGCATGACCGCTTGCTTCGGCGACAGGTGACGACGCACCGTTTCGCGAATGTACGGGATGAGCGAGATCATGACAGACAGGGACTGAGATGCAAGCGCCAGATGCTTGGCAGTGATGTTCTTGAGGCCAGCCGATCGCATCGCTCCAGCGCCAAGCACGACCTGACACGTGCGCGAGTTAAACTGCTTGAGAAATTCCACGACCCTCGCCATAGCCTCGGTGGTGAGCAAAGGCAGATTGATGATGACCTTGAGATAGTCGACGAGTAGTGCGAGGACATCGAGGCTGGCTTGAACGACAAAGTAGGGGCGGTCCTCGATGTCGAGCGTTTTGGCTAAAGCAGGAGCTCCATCATCGCCAGCATCGTCGCCTTGAGCTGACGTTGCCTCTTTGGCGTTGCCTGAATCAGCGGAAATCCCGCCGCCGGTGACAACAAACTTGCTGGGATCTTCGACGGCACTGCTGACGATCTGTCGAATCTGGTCTTGGATCTCGGCGCCAACATCAGCCTGTGCCCATGTCTCCTCCTCGACGGCCTTGGCAGCGCGCTCGATGCGTCGACGATGAAAGTTGGCCAAAAAGCCTTTTGCCTGACCGAGGATTGTGCCACGCAGACCCACGATCATCTTGCGGCAGAGCTGTTCGGACGACAGAACGAAGCTCCAGCACAACTGGAAAACGACGAGGAAAGGAGGCAGCTCGAGGGCTGCGTGCGTTGTGGCTCGCAGAGAAAGGAGACGAGCGCACAGGCCGTGAGCCTTTTCCGCAGAAGCGACCACCACGTCGGAAAGCTTGGCTGGAAGATTGGTTGGAACCCCTGGCGGCATGATTGGCGGAAGAGGGAGGCCTGACGAGGATCCGTCTCGTGCCGCACCAACCTCGAGGTTGCGATCGGTGTCGACCGTCGTGCTTCCCGCGGACGAAGTGCGTGCAGCCAGTCCGTCCAAGATGCGAGGCACCAGTTTGCATTGAGCGTCGATGGCCTTGAGACATTCCATCAGAGTGTCGAAGAGCTGCCGGCACATGCCGAGGAATGCAGCATGGTCCAGGTCACGGATGCGTGCGGCAGGGGCCGGCAAGTTGTCGTGGCCGTCCAGCTTGGACGATTCTTCGGAGAGTAGCCATCGGACGGTCTCGATCATCTCGGAACCTGAGTGTGACAGCGTCTCTCTCCATGCCTCCTGAACTGCCTGAATGGCTACGTCTCGGTATGTCGACACCGCCTTTTCGATCCCTCCGGTCTTCGCAAGTCCAATGACGAGTGGGCCAATGCGTGATGCCAGCACGGACTCGCTGGATGACAAGGCACGAGCAGAGTGACCGAAGGGTGACAACGGAGGTTTAGAGGGCGTGAGAGGCGACTCGATGATCGCAGCGTTTGGATTGAGAGAAGGTGGTCCTGGTTCGCTGGCGCTTTCCTTGAAGTAGCCATTTGTATCGGACGGTGAAGAGGACGCACCACTCTGTCGAAACGTCGATAGTCGTTCTTCGATGTTGAGTTTGAGCACGGCGGTGAGGTCCTGCTCGAGCATGCCTGACAAGGTCTGCTCCATCTCCTCGAGCTGCGCAGGAACGCTAGCCAGACCTTGCAAGTCAGACAAAACGATTCCACTGTCCGTTGGAGCAACGCGATTGCCGGCCCTTGGTATGGTTTCGACGCCAGTTGCAGTTGGTGCTGGTTGATCTTCAGCGCGACGCAGTGTCGATCTGAGCTTGTCGAGAAGATCGAGCGCTTCTTCGGTCTCGCCCTGCTGCAGGAGCAAGCGCACAAGGTCGCGTCGCTCGATCACCTGGCGTACGTCCCGGACTGCGACCTGCTTACGTTCGAGCTGACGTCGGTGCTGCTGCTCCCGGATGACGCGAAGACCCTTCTTAGCCTGCTTCTCGTCGATAGAGTCGAGCTCGGACTTGAGCTCATCGATCTTGAGCAGACAGCTTTCCGCCTCTGCGTTGAGATCGTTGAGGTTTTCGAGAGCGGCGAAGAACGAAGACGATTGCTGGCCAATCTCGATGATGAGGTGCTGTTCGATGACATCCGAGTAGTAGCTGAGCTTCTCCTGCAGCATCTGATTCAGAGCAACATCGTAGGTAGGAGACGATCCATCATTCGTCTCTGTCGGTGATGATGATGACGCAACCTTGTAGCGTTCTGTGACCTGATCGAAAGTGTATGGGTTGCCGAGGTCAAAATCTTCTGAGAAGAAGACCTGCGGCACGGCACTGAGATTGGGGAGCCGTTTGCGCGGCTGTGGTGGTGGAACAGCTTGAAGGTCAGCCGTCAGCTTAGCGATGCTGGGAGTCGAGCGATGCCGCGGGCCTTGCTTGCCTAGCGGTTCCGAGTCCACGGAAGCGTCACCAGCAGAGCGCTGCTGCTGTTGCTGTTGCTGCTGCTCGATGGTGGCCTTGCCCTGCCTGCCTATGCTTTGATTGCGCATGAAGCGATCCCATTCTGGGCGAACTGATGAAAGGTATGGATCGAGCTCGGACTTTTTCACCTTTGGGATCTCTGCGGGGGTGTGATTGGGAGTGATTGAGGGGAAGCGAGACGACTTGGGATCGATGGGATGCTGGCGTTTCGAGGGATTGTTCAGGACGGTCGAGATAGCATTGAAGCCAGTAAGCGCGAGAGCTGGTGAGTTTGAGCCCGAGCCAGACAGACTGAGCATCGATTCTGCAGCACCTGCAGAGCTGTAGATTCCCCTGCCAAGGCGAGAAGCGAGAATGCTGGGTGCGAAGGAGGTGCTGTTGATGGTCGAGTCGGCGTCCGAGGCTGGACTTCCTGGACTCATGACGCCATTGCGAAGTTGCACTGAGCCCGCCGTCTCATCGGCCGCCGTTGAGGCGATATCATCGGCTGGCCTCGCGGATGAGGAAGAGGAGCCGGCCGCCTCATCGATGCCGGTAGACATGGTGCCGACCTTGCGAGAAGCCGCTTTGCTCGGTACGCATCGAGCGCGGATCACGAGGCGGCTTTTTGTTGATCTTCGGCGACCAGAGAAGAGAGTCTGCACGTCGCAGAGCTTTCGGTGCTGTTGTACAGTGCGATGAGATGGTGTTGTTCTCGACGAGCCAGAGGAAGTGTTGGCCGTGCGTGGAAGTCGAGATCTCCGCGTGGTCTGGTCGGCGTGTGGCCCTTGCTCAAATTGTTGCTCTGTTACGTTGTGGTACCCAACAATATGATGCAAATCTCACTGCACGGATCATCAGAAGCCTGAATTGAGCTGGACAAGGGTCTCTCATCTCGGCCCTTTCCGCGCCGTGACCGAAGAGGGTCCGACCACGGCTCTCTCCCTGCAGTCAGTCAGCATGACACAGCTGAAGGAGCTTGGCGCACATTCGACGCCTCTGTGCTTCGGTCAACCCCGCCGGTCAAATCCTTATATGGTCTCTTTCGCTGTTTCCCTGTCGAGCTCTCGAGCTCTCGGACTGGTTGCTCTTCGGCTCGTCGTATGCTGCCGGATTGTTCGCTGACGACGAGGTCTCGGATGATGCGAAGGAGTGTGACTGATGTCAACTTGTCAGAAGTGGACCCGACGGGCGGACCGAAGCACGCGGCCCAGCCGAAAGGTGCTTCAGCGAGTCCTTTCTATTCAATTTCAGGCAGAACCCTTGTCAAAGACGCTCGATGATGGTGATTCGCTGCTGCACCCTTTCGCTACGCCTGCGCCTCACCTTACCAAGCCCAACAAAAGGGAAAAAAGCGGGGGGCGAGCGGGCCGAAATGAGCATCATGACCGTCTTCTTCTTGAGCTTGACGGGAGATCCGCTTGCTTGACTCCGTCCCGTCCCTCAGTCAGATTCCATCTCGACTCTCGCTTCTTTGCCTCCTTCACTTGCCACCACGAAGCGCCGCAACTTTCCACATCGCGACCATCGACTCGGGATCGCAGCGAATTTGCCCTCCTCTGTCATCTTGGCTGACTGTCATCGGCACCCTCCCGCTGAAGCTGCGCTTGAGTCAAGCTAATCATCGCTTCACAGCCACGCAGTATCGGCGTGAGGAGGCTTCTCCACCATGGCCATGCCAATGGCGTTTCCCGCCACGGCCATCCGACCGTTACCTGGCGCTGGGACCACGCTCGTATCAGCGCAGCAGCCCGTGAGTGCACCTGCTGTCATGACCACCGAGTCCTTTGACGCTCCCGAGGGAATGTACGTCTGCACCTCTCGCTTCACATCACCACCGCAGCCCATGATCCATCTCAATCCGGTACCTACAACACAAGTCGGCTTGTCAGCCATCTACCCTACTCCTCGTGTCTCCACCGTCAGCCCCCGAATTCCAGTCCCCTCCAAAAAGGCATCGGATAGCAATGACACAGCCACCGCTCCAGCACATGGCGTCTTGCTGGAAGCTCCGCTCGCTTCTCAAGGCATAGACGCACCTTCGACCAGCTTGACGGGTGGACTCCCGCCAGGCAGCGCAGGTCCATCAGCAGGTATCGCCGGCATCGGTGGTCCCGGCATGGGCTTCTCCGGCCTTGGCGAGACCATGGGCAAGCTGAGTGCCAAACCTACTCGGCCCAAGAACAGTCTCAAAAACACCTCAAGCAGCTTTGTCAACCGCATGATGACCCATCCAGACCTCGCAAAGATCCTCAGCGCCCGCACCGAGAACGAGAACTTCACCTTCTTGACCAACGCTCGCTCCTTGTTCTGGCTCGCAGACACCACCGGCAGGACCAAAGAGAGTCTCGGCCGCATCACCTTTGGCGCTTCTCCATCAGTTCACGACGTCAATCAGTTCACCCGCGCACACGATCGTCTTGACCTCATCATTGGCTTTGTCACCGGCGATCTCATCTGGTTGGATCCCATTGCTGCCAAGTACACCCGTGTCAACAAGGGTGGCTGCATCGCCAACTCGGCTGTCACACAGGTTCGATGGCTGCCGGGAAGCGAGAACCTCATCATGGCCGCGCACGCCGATGGTAGCATTGTCGTCTACGACCGCGAGAGGGAGGACCCCAGCGACTTCAGTCCCGCGACGTGGGAGGCTCTTGCTGGCAGCACCGCTTCTTCGTCCAGTGCCGCGCTTCAATCGGCCCTGGGTGTGCCCGGCACACTGTCGTCAGCAGCCATGTCGGCAAGCCAGACGTCCGCTTCCAACGCATCGTCCTCTTCCAATCCGAGCACATCGGCCGTTGGTCCAGGGCTCGCTTCGGGCATCACCGAGTCGCGTCCCATGCTGGGCAATCGGACGGTCACCAGCTCGACCGCCACCACCACAACCCAGGCCGACATCGGCGACACCAATCTCTCCACCAGCTCTGGAAGCGCGACGCATCTGCCTAAACCTCGCAACGGCGTCGCGCCAGGCACGCTCTCTCAGCGTCGTCAAGCCGCGGACTCCACCTCAGACGGCCAACCACTGCTCCTGGTCACCAAGCCAGGCTCGGTTCCCATCGCCTCCGGAATTCCCTCTGGCAATTCCCTCCACTCGCGCGAGTACCAGCAAGCCGCCGCAGCCGCCGCCGTCGCCGCTGCCAACGCCAGCGGCCTTTCCGGCAAGGGCAAGGAAACCGCCTGGTCCCGACTCAACCCCGTCTCGCACTGGGCGGTCTCCAAAACCCGAATCACCGACTTTGCCTTCTCGCCCGATTACTCGCACGTCGCCATCACCGCCGAGGACGGCATCCTTCGCATCGCCGATGTCAACTCCGAGCGGCTGCTCGACACGTTCGAGTCGTACTTTGGCGGTCTCAACTGCATCGCTTGGTCTCCGGACGGAAAGTTTCTGCTCACCGGTGGCGAAGACGACCTGGTGACGGTGTGGGCGCCGAGGGAGGGTCGCATCGTAGCGCGCTGTCAGGGACACACATCGTTCGTCACTGGGCTAGCATGGGATCCATGGCGGTGGTCGTCCGAGGACCGCACTTATCGATTTGCATCTGTGGGTGAGGACTGCAAGATGATTCTCTGGGATTTCTCAAGTGCTGCGCTCAATCGGCCGAAGACGTATGCCCCTCATGCGAACGGCCCGCGCCGAAGCTCGGTCGGGCTCGGATCGACCTACTCGCTCGGTGCGGACAAACATGGCGTCTCATCGATCAGGTCCCCCGCCTCAGCCAGGCGGGTCAGCACCAACCTCGGCAGCTACGATAGGGACGGTCTGACGGACGACACGATTCGACACCCGGCATTGCCCAGATCGGAAGTGGCGATTTTGCAGCCTGTAGTGACGGTCGAGGTGGATGGTGAGATCCCAACGTCCCTGCGATTCAGTCCGGACAAGGTGGTGGTGGTGAGGAAGAACGCGGCGGTGGACACATTTACCAGACCACTGCCGAAGCGGCCTACGAGCGTGGTGGCCAGCGTTGGAGCAGGAGAGAGGACGAGCGGCGTGGCAGGCGCGAGGTCGAGGATGGGACTGTTGGGACGCGGAGGGAGAATGTTGGAGCCATTGAAGATCGGTGAGCCCGGTGCGAGGGTGCCGTCGTCAGTGACGACGCCGACGACTCCGAGAAATGCCACCGCGGCCAATGGCAACGGTATCACTGCATAGATCCATTACAATATCAAAGCATTAGAGAATCAACCTTCTATCTAGAAGAGTGTTCCTGTCGCAGCTTGATCTGCGCTCGTTCTCGACGCAGCGCCATTCTGCGACGGTCGCAAATGCTCCAGCTCCAACTCGATGAGCTCCATGACCGTCCTTAGTGTGCGCTTCTCCCACTCGCCCCACACGAGCGCGCTGTACAGCATGGTCGTACCCGCCCACCCCGCGACGACAGCTAGCAGCACGAATACCGGATTTACCCCGCCCAGAGGCTGGAAAATACTTGCTACAATGAGACTGATGGCGAGCAGGAGCGCGGCGCCAAAGACGTAAAAGTGGCTCATCTGGGTGGAGCGGCTGGCGGCGAAGCCGCCGGACAGGGCGTGCAGCGATGCAGTGAGGACGCGATGCTGTCCGACTTTGCGAGCAGCATCTGACGTGGATGGAGGAGGATCTGAGATGATGTCAAAGATGGACTCGACACCAAAGTGGTCGGAATAGGAGCAGTTGAGGTCGGGAACAATGTCGGTGACGACGACGGAGGACGATTTGCACGCCAACTTGCCGCGCGAAGACGCCGATGCTGCATAGGACAGCGCAGGTCCAGTCGTCGAGTCGGCGTCCACAGGTCCACGGAAGAAGACGTAGTCAAGTCTCTTGCCGGCGCCTCTGGTTGCCCTCTCATCGAGCGGTTTCCCGGCGGTCCAAGTGTTGAGCGGTGAATCGCATGTGACGCCGAGCTCCTGAATCGCCCTTTGCGGGTCTGGTCGGTGTCGGTCTGGTCGGTGTCCCGTATTCGCTCCAGCTCCTTGCATTCCCGCATCCAGCGACGTCGCTTGCTCCGGGAGCTGCGGATGTGAGTCCAAGAAGCTATCAAACAACCCACCCACATGCCGCAGCAGTCCAATCGCGATCGATGGCGGTGTCGAATTCAGATCCCCAACGCACACCACGTGTCGTCCTCTCGCCGCGCTGTTCCTGCAATGTGTCGCCAGCTCGTACGCTTGTGTGATGCGATGCGACCTCTTGTACTCCGGCCCATCCTCGCCGCCCGCAGCCACGAAGTGGGTGTTCCATACGTCGACCAGCCCCAACCTCGGATGGTCGACGGTGACGCACCCGCAAGCCTTGCCCACAAACCAGTCGCCCTGTCCCACGTTGATCGGCTGCCCGTTCAGCGAATAGGGTTGAGTATCGCTCTCAAGGATGGGCCACCGCGAAAGGATGGCCAGGCCAGAACCGAAGGCACCCGAGTAGAAGAATTTCGAGTGCGGATAGCGTGCAGCGAGCGCGTGCTTGAGGAAGCGCCAGTCTTTGGATTCGTACCAGATCTCTTGCAGGCACACAAAGTCGTAGTTCGGTGTAGAACGGGACGCGAGATGGGTGGCTATGGCTTTGATTCGGGGCACGCGGAGCTTGGAGATGTAGTTTAGACCCCAGACGTTGAGCGTGAGGACGCTGAGTTGGCTATCGTCCGTTGGCTGGTCGGGTTCGGAAGCGTCGGTCACTGGGGGGAATGCCGGCGCGGCATGACCGACAGACGAGCCCGCCTGGGATGATGGCAGTCTCGGCATGTCCTCACGAGTCCGAGACGAGGCTTCTATGAAGGATGTGATGGTGTGGAAGTCATTGGGTGAGCTCTTCAGAAAGAGTGTTGGTCTTTTCGTGACAAACCTCCACCTTTCCCTTGTGAAGTCACATCGCGCTGTGCTGCGTGAAAAATGCTGAAATGAAGCGGCGGTTCCGATGGAAAAAGCTGAGCTAGCCGGTGTCGGGGTGTTCGGCGTTATCTTCCAACCTTGCCTCCTCTTTCTCATCACCCGCCTCGTTTCATCCATCGCACGGCTTCAACGCACTCGGCACCAACCGGCATATCATCCGAGTCTAGTTCGATTCCGTAGCATCGAACGACGCTGGAACGCAGGCATCGAATACTGGTCTCGCACACACCGACAATCCTCGCATAGACTTGACCTCAGCTCCAGCTGCGAAGCGCTCTCCTCATCATGATCAAGGTATGCTTGCTTCCGAATGCAAGCACGAAAGCTTGTTGCGATGCTGACGGTCAACTCTGCTCACCTATTGTCCCGCCAGATCTGGAGTATGAAGAAGGAGGAGGATGCGGCAAAGAAGAAGAAGCCAAAGACGTCACCAGCGCAGCTTCGTGTGCAGAAGGGTGAGTCGAGCCAACGATAGCGGCAAGCACGAAGGACGCAAGCTGATCCATTCACGATTTCTTCTTGTTTAAACGCTCGCTCGCCCACAGATCTGACCGAGCTCGAGCTACCAAAGACGATGAAGACCGACTTTCCGGACCCGGCAGACGTGCTCAACTTTACTCTCACCATCGAGCCAGACGAGGGTAAGCACGGGGTTGACCTTTTGGCAGCAGCATCAGTCTCCGTCATATACTCATACAGCTCCTTGTCATCTTCTCAACAGGCATGTACAAGACCGGATCGTTCAAGTTCACCTTTGCCATCAACAACAACTACCCGCACGACCCACCAAAAGTCAAATGTACACAAAAGGTGCGTCTCAGTCTCACCGACGGCAGGGACAACGCCTACGCCTTCACTGACTGATCCGACTGCATATTCCGGCTTCGCAGATCTACCACCCAAACGTCGACCTGGAAGGCAACGTCTGCCTAAACATCCTCCGCGAAGACTGGAAGCCCGTCCTCAATCTCAACTCGGTCATGGTCGGCTTGCAGTACCTGTTCCTCGAGCCGAACGCTGACGATCCGCTCAACAAAGGTGCGTCCAACACGTGGACTTGTGCGACAACTGTGACAGCATACTCATCCCTCCACCCTCTCATATGTATTCTTCCAACAAACACAGAGGCGGCAGAAGACCTGCGAAAAGACCGATCCGTCTTTGCCAGCAACGTCCGAAGGAGCCTCGCGGGTGGTGCCATCAGTGAGTCTCTCCCTTCATGATCCTGCCCGCCGAGTACACACACTGACACGTTTTCATGCGATTCTGACGCGATGCAGAGGGCACAACGTACGACAAGGTGGTTGTCAAGTAAGATTCAGCGCCGCGGACTGCCGGTAGATTTGATCCCACTTCACGAGCCGCCACGTTTCTGCCAAACTCTGCCTGAAGCATTGTAATTCTATCGTCAAATCAGGCGACAATGGTCTCATTGAGCACAGTGTGTCAAGCAAAGCGTGAAGGCGTCCGGCGAACAAAGATTCGATGCCGCGTGTCGATGTGGGGAGGAGGGGAGGTGGGGAGGTCGTGTGAGGGCGGAGATTTTTGAGGCGCAAGAGAGCCGGTTGGACCCTGCATAGCGTGCACACACCACATTTTGACCCTCCCTTCCCCTCATGGCTTGTCATCCTCCCTCTCTGCCTACTTCCCCACCCTTGCAGCGTTCATACTAATCCCGCTACCTATCGCAGCAGCGATCCTTACCGCTATTGTAGCCGCAACCATCAGCACGCCGCTCAGACCGAACATCGTCACGGAAGCAATCTGCCAGCCACCCCTTTTGGAAGCGCACACGTTCCGCCTCATCATTCGACCCTCGAACATCCTCGAGATGGCGTGGCGCTGCAGTGGCAGCACCAATGCCGAACTCATATTCAACATGCGTTCTGCTTCGCTCATAACCTCTTCCCTCGTGTGTTCCGCCATGACGTCCGTCGACCGCGCCAACTACGTCCCAACACCATCGCGCGCCTACCAAGACTCGCCGCAACCCATTGGATACGGAGCGACGATCAGTGCGCCTCACATGCACGCGCATGCGGCCGAAAACTTGTTGCCCTTTCTGCAGCCTGGAAGCAAGGTATTGGATGTCGGCAGTGGCAGCGGTTACACGCTCGCCATCTTCCACCACATGGTCAAGCCCAGTGGCAAAGTAGTCGGGGTGGATCATATCCAGGAGCTTGTCGACAAAGCGAATGCCAACCTCCGAAAAGACGGGTTGGGAGAAGCGTTGGAGGGAGGCAGCGTATTCAATGTGTGCGGCGATGGAAGGAAAGGCTGGGAGAGCGAAGCGCCATTCGATGCTATTCACGTAGGCGCCGCGGCACCAGGCATCCCTCAGCCGTTGATCGACCAGCTCAAGGCACCCGGACGAATGTTCATCCCCGTCGAAGAACAGGACGGCAGTGGCGAACAGAACATCTGGCAGGTGGACAAGGCGCCAGATGGCTCAGTCAGCAAGGAGAAGATTTGCGGGGTCATGTACGTCCCCTTGACGGACCGAGAGCGTCAGTGGAGGACGTAGTGCACAACTCAACTGCTTCGAGCAACGTAATGATGAAGGTTCCGATCCGCGAGTTTGCATTAAGTTATGCACAGCTGTCGGTCTACTGCTGCGACTTCTCCCACTCCTTCTCCTCCTCGTCCATGTCTGGCATCTTATCGTCCTCTCCCTTCTTCAGCGTCCCATCGATCGCACGCTTGAGCACCCCATACGCCCGCTCCAGATCGTCATTGATCACCACCCAATCGTGCCCACCCTCGCGGGCGAACTTCATCTCGCCGTGTGCCATGTTCAACCTCTTCCTCACGCTCTCGTCTGTTTCCGTTCCCCTGCCGGTCAGCCTCTGCTTCAGCACGCCGAAGCTTGGGGGGCCGATAAAGATGTAGATGGGGTTGAGAGAGGGGTGGTTCTGCTTGATGAGCTTGACACCTTGGGCATCGATGTCGAGCACGGCGCGGCGGGCGTTGGTGCTTCCATCGGCGCCCGAGACGCCTTCCGTCGAGACGTCGGCGACGGCTTTGGCAGTGGTGCCGTAGCGGTTGCCGCCGAACTGCGCGTGTTCCAAGAAGGCGCCGGCAGCGATGAGATCCTCGAACTCGGCGTGCGAGACGTAATGGTACGACTGACCGCGCGTCTCCCCCGGACGCGGATCACGGGTCGTGTCTGTGCAAGTTTTCGCCGCAAAGGACTATCAGTATCGCCGAGTTAGACCGGTCAAAGAGTAGGAATGAGGGACATACGAGAGACGGAGAAGCCAAAATCACCTGGAAACTCAGCAAAGAGCTTCTTGAGCAGCGTACTCTTGCCGACACCAGAAGGACCGGAGAGAACGATGGGACGCTTGTCGCTCGGAATGGGCGGGGTGGAGGCCCAATTGGACGTCGACATGCTGACGACTCTTCGGAAGAGGGATGATGATGGCAGGAAGGAGAGAGTGAATCGAAGTGTCGGGAGCAAGCGATTCATCCGAATCCGACGGCTGAGTCTACGGTAAGGTTGAGATGATGGTGCACCTCAAAACTAAGGTTTCGGTTAGGCCGAGCTTTCTTCGAGAGCACGTTCGGAGACGGCCGCCGTCTAAGCAGCGATTTCCGAGAAAAGAAAACAAAAAGAAAGGAAAAAACACAAAAGAAATTTACAAAACGAAGCCCTGGACCCTGAGAACCCACAGCAAAGCCAATTTACACGCAAGTCACACCAGCGCGTCCGCGGACGGTGGGACCCTTCCGTGTGACTGCAGCGAGCAAGATGAGAACAACACAAATGAGAGAACAACACTCGAAGCCTCGACTCAGCCCGTTCCGCACCCCTACTCACCACCATCACCATCGAAGCCCTTCGAACGCTGCTTCGCTATCGTCGACGAACCTGGACTCAGCCAGCTATGCCGGTGCGTCAATACAATGGAGCGAACGACGATGGCCCTAGCAGCTCATCCAGCTCGAATCGAGGATCGCAACAGGGCGTCAAGCCTCGAGTCAAGCCGGAACCCTTCAACGACAATGTGATCGACCTCTGCGACTCAGATGACGATCAAACACCTCGAAAGCCCTCGCCTCCGGCGTCAGCATCCCGACTAAAGCGGCCCGCAGCCCGTGGCGGCAAGCTCAAACACAATGACGATGGCTCCTCATCTCCAGACTCCAGCACTGATTCCGAGGACGACTTTCGAGGCAGCGGCGCGAGGCGCAGAATCACAAAGTCTGCATCATCATCCTCAACCACCGCCAAGCTTTACGCACTCGCGCGCATCGTCACACTCGCAACCGATGGCGTGGCCTCCACCTCCGAGTCCACGGTCAAACTCGCCTCCGTCAGCTCGGGCATCCTCTCTCGCATCCAAAAGTCACTCGCGCTCGCCAAACACCCGGGCACAGGCGAAGCAGAAGCCCAACAAGCCCTGCGACTCGCCACCCGTCTCATGTCCTCCCAGAACCTCACCCAAGCCGACCTCCTCGCCTCGTCCGATTCCTCGGAAAACCAAACCCACGCCGGCATGTCGATCGTCGAAATCGTCAGCCAGACGGGTGCCGCCCCGCGCAACGAGAGCTGGGTCAACCAGGTCGCGTGCGCCATCAACCTTTTCTTCGACGTCAAGGCGTACTCGACCTCGTATGCGAATCGGACTAAGCTGAGCTGGACATTCTACGGGTTGGCGGTCAACACGGTTGCTGCAGCGCACGCGTTCGAGATGGTACACAATCAGGTGCTAACGTGGGCGACGGAGAAGGCTGCTACGAAACAGGTGACGGGTAAGACGGGCAAGAATAGTTATTGTCAGGGCGTGGCCGCGGGGTTGATTGCGTTGGCCAAGGGCGAGAAGAAGGAGGAGATGAGGTTGGCGATCGAGAGTGAGAAGAAGCGGTTGAAGGATGCTGAGGTTGAGGAGAAGGCGCAGATCAAGAAGGAGAAGCAGCGGCTGAATGATCCGCCAGTCAAGCTTGAGGAAGAGCGAGTCAAGCCTGATCCAAGGGACGATGGTGGGAGGAACGTCAAACTGGAAGACGTCGCAGACGAGGCCGACATCAAGCCCTTTCCCAACGGCGTCAAGCGATCAGCCTCGGCAGACTTCGACGGCTACAGCCGATGGACCGACCACGACGGCTCCTCCGACACTGAAGACTTTCACGACCCCTTCCCCCCTTTTGCTGGAGACGACATCAAGCCGCACTTTGACGAGACGCTCGAGCGCGACATTATTGATCTCACCGACGACCTCGATTCCTCTCCTGAAGACGTCAAGCCGGACGTCAAACCCAAACCCGAGCCTGAGGACATCAAATCCAAACCCGAACCCGAACCTGAGGAAGGCGCGGGCTGGCACTCGTCCAACCAACTCATCCGGTTCCGCCAGGACGCAGAGCGCATCGCAGACGACTACCTCGCCTCGCAGCACGCCGATCTCAAGTTCAAGAAGCGTGCCAAGTCGACGTTCAAAAAGGACTCGGGTGCGTTCGAGCAGGGACGTGCGGATGCGAGGAAGATCGATGTCAAGCGGAAGAGGATTCAGGCCTAGAGTGGATGGTGATGCTTTGTTGACTGGCGACGTCGACAAGGTGGTCGCCTGCTTTCATCTACTGGCGCCACCAATGGTGTGCTTTGATCTGCCGGCGCCCGTCTAGAAGGGCATCATTCACTGCCGTCTGCGCTACCAAGAGAGTGCTGGTGCGAGCCGAAGAAGGGCCTGTCACCGCGCACCGTCCCCTGCTCGTCCTTCACACCTCTCCTCCACCCCTCCCCAACCATCTCTTCCGCCTCTTCAACCGTCATCGGCTCTGGCACACCCTCAAAGTCTCCCCTCCCCACGTTCCGCACCCACCCCAAATCGGGCGTGACCCGGTCCCACCTCTCCGCCCACCCTCCCCTCTTAGCCTTCCGATAATGCATCTCGATCAAGCGATCCACACTCGGTCTCAGATACACGTGGTGTTGGAGCAGGCTGCCGGGTGCGAGGTGGAGGATGGCGTCGTCCACGAGGACTGTGTCGCGCGTGAGGAAGCCGGAGTTGAGCCCGCCGGTGCGCAGGAAGTGGTCCAAGTAGGGCCAGTGTTCGCGCTGCGACCAGGCGGGCCTGCGGAAGAGGTAGCGCAGGGTGATTGTCGCGCGTTTCTGTTGGGTTGGCGAGGAAGGGTAGAGATCGCGGGTGAAGAGTTGGATGGTGTGCAGCGCCGAGCGGAAGCGTACGGCTTGGACCGCGCTGATGGCTAGGAGAGCGAGAAAGAGGAGAGGGAGCTTCATGGTTGTGCGCCTTGGAGAGGGGGGAGGGCAGGGAAGGTGCAATGGTGCGAGAGAAGATGATGCGAGAGAAAGCGATGCGAGGTATCCCTATATAAGCATCTTCGTGCCGAAGGGTAGCACAGGCTCCATCCGGCCATAGGACACTACAATCACGTCAAAGCAAGGCGTCGTCGGTGGCGACGCACGCCGACACCCGACGCCCTCTTCATGCATGATCGACCTTCCGAGCGCCGCTTGGCGCGGATCGCGTGTACCGGCTGTGATTGGGCACCAGAGGCCAGATGAGGGTGGGTTCGAGCATCGATGCCCGAGCGTGTGGCTGAGGATGACCAGGGTTGGTGGGAGGGGAGGGAGTTGCCGCTGAGGATGACGAGCGACGCTATGGGGAGGAGACCGACTCGCGAGGTTGACCGCGAACCGTGGATTTCAAGTATACGAAAAAGACCCACTAAAGAGACGGCAGCTCTAAAGGCCACACGTGGACGAGGCAACGGCTCAGCATCACACACCCTCTCGCTCCGACGCGGCACACAAATGGCGGTAAGCGCGCCGCCATGACAGTACGGCGCTTCATGTGGGGGCAAGCAATCCATTTCCTCATCGTCTTGGCGACGAAGGCAATGAACAACATGTTTGCTCGCGGTGCATAAGCGCACATCGATGCGAGATGAATTCATGTTTCATTCGACGTCGACATTTCCCTTTCAGGCGCAAGGCACGGTCTGTTGGTTTGATTGAAGGCGATGGGTGCGCATCTGATCACGCACTTCTCACGTTGCTGAGCTTGATCGTGTGGGAGGATAAAGGTCAGATTTCGTTCAGAACGACAAGAGACGGAGAGACGCCGATGCGTACGCGGACCAAACGTGCTCCGATGCCGCGGATTGGCCAGAGGATGCGGTTTTGAGGTAGGATAGTGATGGCGCGACTTGCGTGATGAGATTTGGCCTGCCTTTTGAGGAATATTGAGGATCTCATGTGGCTATTGAGGAGGATGATAGGACTTCTGGGCCGAGGCGGATCTGTTGCGGTGGTGACGATGCTGCGATCGGGGACTTGACCCGGTGAGAGGGACATAAGGGCGGAGAGCTTGAGGTGTTGTACGAGGAAGATGATTACGATGTGGAAGATGGCCGAGGGAAGAGTCGACGACAGTAACGCATTCCAGAAAATGCGCGGAATGGTGATGATGAATGGCTGGCAAGTTAGGCCGACACATTGCTGCACGAAGCATGTGTGCTAGGTGCGTGTCGGCGCTTTGCTACATTTACTCGTGGTGGAGCGCAGAGAACTGCGGATGTTGTCAAGTGCAAGATGCTGTTGACGTTCTTGGTGAATTTTATCTATTCGTTTGATGTTGGAGAGGCGGTTAGCTACCGAGTGTGCGCGTGGCGTCGGATGGAGTTGCTCTTGAGCTTCTTTCAGATGGGTGTGGTCGGACTGGGTGGAGAGTTTTCGTGGCTCGACAGGTTGTGTCATGGATGGGTAAGCCTTTCTTGTAAGCACAGAGTCGTGCCACTGTTTCGTGCGATGAGGGTTTGAGCTGATGGAACCTCATGGGAAGATTGAGGTGGATTGAAGCGATGAAAGTCCACCCAGCGTGGAGCTTGATGATAGCGATGGCGTTGTACCTTTTCAGTCTAGTTCAGTGAAGCGATTGCTGCTGCAGCCGGATCTGGACGGGCCCGTCCTTCTATAGTTGCGCTCCATACGCTCGAATCTCTTCATCTTTTCGTCGAGCTCGTCGATCTTTGCCTGCATGGCATCAGTCTGGTCGTTGTTGCAGTCCAAGAGCTGGTGGTATTGCTCGAAGGACATGTCCACCAGAGCGCTGCGAAGGGCCGCGATGGTCTCACTTTTGTGTCCCAACTCTCGTCGCAACGGGGCAGGCAGAGCTTGCCAGGCTTTGTCTACAAGGATGGAGTCCGGGACCTCGTATTCCTCGATCTGGTTGGCAAGATCCTCGAGGTGGGACAGCCAGTTCCAAAAGGTAGACTTGGGCTGCGTGTCCGCGACCGTGAGCCGAGGGCTGAGATGCTTGTCGAAATTGGCCAATCTGTTTGCAGCGGTGAGCTGGCGAGTGCGCGAGAAGTCGAAGCGAGCCATGAAGGAGTTCTTGAGAGCCACGAAGGATGTCCGAACCCAGTTTGGCTGCGCATCGAACCAGTCACGGGAGGTGCCGTGCATGAAAGTGCCCAGATATCTGGCTGCTTCACCGTCGTCTTTGTTCATGTTGTAAAGGAAGAGCGATCGCTCAAAGCGTTGCATCCAATCTTTGGCCTCGAATCCCTCGGATCGACCCCAGAACTCATTAGGAATAAGAGCAGGGATCCTCGCGACTATCTGGTTGCATTGGTTCTGGTCGATACGTCCAACGGAAAGCTGAGAGATGGAGCTTCGCTGCTTGCCTCTAGTCATTGTGACTACGGTGACCGAGACGGATGGCGTCAAGGCTGAGATATGTTGCCAGTGGTGAGCTGTGGTTGATGAGCGACTGCGGCGTGGAGGTGGAAGCAGGGATCGAATGGCTAAAGCAAGGCCCCTTATATGCACATTTGTCATCGCCAGGTTGGCGGGATGATTGGCAACGAAAGGAGGTTACGGGCACTGAGATTGATGCGGATCCAAACATCACCATTCTGTTCAAGCGCTGCGGGAGACAAAGCTTTGTAGCGCGAGAAGAGATGCTGCGGAAGCAAGCCGAGCGGACATCTCCGTTCCGCAGCGGATCGACACGCGTCGTCGTGACACCTTCGCACGAGTAAAGTATAACTCGATAAGGTTTGAGTTTATACAACGACATGTCAGCACGCCAATCACTGGCGTTGACGTTCACCTAGTCTTGCAGCTTCGGCATGAGTCTCTCGAGCTGAGCGAAAATAAGCTTCTCGATCGGCCCGGAAGCGCTCGATCTCGCGAGGGTACCAGGCGTTCCACTCCAGTCCAGTCAGAGGATACTCTGCGCTTCTTCCACCTTGATGAAATGAGATCAGTAGAGCTTAATCTTGTCAGCGTCTGTGATCTGCATGGCCACATCGGATCAAGGCAGACTTACTGAAGCGACCGATCCGATGCATGTCGTGAAAGAAACGAGAGATGAAGTCCAGAGGCACGCTGTCCGCGAGCCCTGTTCGAAAGAAGGTTTGAATCAAGGTTGAGCTTTCCCACGGTCAAATTTGAGATGCAGCGGTTGCGCCGTCCGCAATCGGGTGGACTCACTGGCATCTCGTTGGAGGCTTTCAACTACACGCCGATGAAGAGCCACATTGGCCGCCTCGATCGGCATTCCCGCCCGCCAAATGATTTCGGCATCATTCAGTCTCGAGGCGTCCGAGGGGCGCATGAGGATGATTGCCCAAATGAGCGCTGAAAAGAGCTGGTTGAAGGAAAGCATTTCGAAAGGCTTCTGCGGCAGGATGCGATGCGATGCTTGACGTAGTGGAAGAGACGAGATCAGGGGCAAGAGTGAACGCAAAGCTGGAACGAGCACCTAAGCCCACCCGACCCTTGCTGCTGACAAACAAATGAGCTCCGTGTGGCGACAGGCGGGTGATTGATCAAGTCATAATGACTCTCTGCAGAGCCCACACACGTGCTTTTGTTGGTGTGATGATCGCGATAAAGTTCATCGTCTTGGTGAAATATTCTCATGTGATTGGCTCGTGCTGAGCATCTCGGAGGGACCCCACCGCACGCTGTCCGGCGCTTACACAAGCTCATCACGTCACATGCACGCCGAGTTGGCTGCAGCAAGCATTGCGCCTCACTTCCTAACACCACAGCGCTTCCCCGTCGGTCTAGGTACGCGGACGAACACAGCCACAGAGGATCAAAATTAAGCGTAGGCTACGCCGAATAAGATTTGCAGGCAGGATCACGGACACTATGTGATTCAAGGACGCCAAGAGCGTTGTTACGAAACGCATCAACTGCACGAACATGTCAGCAACCCAATCTTGTGGACCCGTCCTATCACTCACGTCTTGCAGCCTCGGCAATCCTTCCTCCGTGCTCCGCTCGAAGGTTTGCGATCTCTATTCGGTGCCAGATGTTCCACTCCAGACCGAGCACGGGATAGCGGGCGCTTCTTCCGCCTTCGAGAACAAGGTAGGCAGTAAGCTTCTTCCTCTTGTCAGACCTCTGTCTAGTATGAAGGGCGCGACTTACTGAGACGACCCGTCCGATGCTTGAAACGGAAGAACCGATCAGGAAAGTCTGCCGGAACGGAGTTCGCTATCGGTCCTCCATCTAGAGAGCGCGAGGGCTGATTTCAGTTAGCTACACGACCTCTGACTGTATGCAGAGCGGCAATTTACTCACGCGCATCTCGACGGAGAGCATCCCCAATTCGTTGGTTGAGTCGCTCGATCGCCAGCTCCATCGGCATCCCTCTCTCCCAGATGACTTCGGCTTCGTTGATGTTGACGGCGTGGCAAGCCCATATGATTGCTGCTACGAAGAGCAGGGTACTCAAGAGTCGCTTGAAGACTGGCATGTTTCAGTACGTGTCGACGCTACGGAGAGGGATGGCGATGTGTATGGAAGAAGGCAGGAAGTTGCGGTTCTCGCAGGAAGGTTATCGATAGTGATTGTGACTCTCCCTGATTTGCCACTGATTTGCCACAATCCAAGTGACAAGGAGCTCGACTGTGCGCAAGCGAGGATCAGCTTTTCTCTTGCCGTCACATCGGGCGTGGCGCAACCGGCAACCTCCCGCAGCGTGTGAATGAGGACGGAACTGTGGCGTGGGAGCACCACCCATACTCGTGACTTCATCACGGTTCATGACATTGATTCATCGTGGGACACCTTCGCCTCTCCCCAGTGCCAAGCACGTTGCAGCTTCCGACCAGCTAGGCTGTTGCGATAAAAGGAGACGCTATTGCCTTGGCAGGGCTCATTCCGCAACCGGCATCCCTTGAGGAGCGGGTGCGGGCGACGACTTCGAGACCACAGGGAAGTTCGCTTTCGCCTTTTGCAGTGGTGTCAACAGCTCGCTACACCGCAAGGAACCGACGTCTCCCCCACCAAGCCAGAATCGACAGTCACAAGGGTCATGCTAACAGCCGTCGATGTCAGACGTGCTGACGTGCGCCCGTCGGGAACCCTTCTAGTCACTCCAAAACCCGCCGACACGAACATCGACGCCACCCGACGGCGCAGCTTGCTTGAGGAAGCTGAAGCTCGCGACTGAAGCGCGCGGCAGGCATCCACATCCTTCATTCGAGCTTCCCACAGCGCACAGACAGCTCATTACCGGCAAACAGTCTCTCTTCCGAGGAAATCTAATGGCTCATTTGCTTCAATAAGACGAAGGTTGCCGCGTCTCGCAAAGTTTCGAGGCTTGGCGTGGGCGACCCTCCTTCCTCGGGACGAGACGGCCGGCGGTGGCGCGCTGTGTACCACCGCTCTTCTCCTGCCGCGTGACCCGCGCCACATACGGACGGCCGCAAGCCATTGCGGTAGACGGCGCCTGCGCTTGGCGAGCCACTTGAGCCGCTGACGATCCCTGCAGCTCAAGACGCCGATACTGAACAGCAAGGATGTGGGTATAAAGAGCGACTCCTTACCAAGCACAGAGCTCCTAAGGTCGAAGTGGGTTGTCTTCATACCGCTCCACATACTTCGCACTCAATGGTCCTGCTCAAACCTTGCCGAGCCTTCTTGCTCAGCCTCGTCCTCATGGCAGTCTCTGCTTCAGCATTGCCCAAAGGCAGCTCCTCTTCTTCTGAGGGTAGCAGCAAGCCCAGCAGGTGGACCTTGTTTCCGAACTTCCGAAAGTCCAAACTCGACCGCCTCCCGAGCGACCCACCCATCATCGAACAAGCACGAGAGCTCATGACCGAGCACCAGTACCTCGAGATCAAACCGCTCTGGGACCATGCCGTCAAGCAGAAGTGGATTCATGGGCACAATGGTAGGTTCCTCCCATCTTCAGACCCCTGCTTTTCAGACCAAGAACGCTGACCAGCATCCTCTCGAGGCTTTGAAGGCCTTCCCATCCAGGTCGATGGCAAGCGTCGCAAAGCGGAAGCCGAGGCAATCGATCAGCTCATGAGCAAGCTCGACCCGTTCATCGAGGAGCTCGGCAAGAAGATGGCCTGACTCGGTCCACCCTTGCGTTCACAATCAAAACACACCGCCTTGGTGACTCTTTCGCTCAGCATATGATCATAGACTGTGCTGAATTCGCCTTGACCGTGTGTGGCCTTGACTGTGTGGGGGCTTGACTGTGTGTGGCCTTGACTGTGTGAGAGCAACCTTACTCGATGAGCATCTCCTCCGCCTCGGCCCCGTTGAGCGTAACATCCCCCATTTCCCCTTCTCCCTCCTCCCTAGCAGCCAAACTGGCCACCTCGTCCGCCAACCGGGGCAAATCCGTATCCTCCAAAAAGCTCGCCACGGCCCTCGTCTCCTTCTGCGCATCCTCTGCCAACAACCCGACAAAGTGATCCGGTTCGCCCGCAAACCTTGCCTCGAGCACGACCCTCGCATCCGCTCCTTCCTGGGCTAGGTCGTTGACGTCCAGCCAAGCCTCGCTGTTGTCTTCGCTGAGGACCTCCTTTACGACCGCATGAAGCCCCGTTGCGCGCAGGTCTTCTTCGAGCACCTCATCCGAGACGTTGTTCGTCTCGCTGAGGGCGGACCAGTCGTCCCTGACAATGGCTCTTTTCCAGATAGCGCGGAGGGCGGCGTTGCGTCGGGTTGCAGGAATGTCGTTGGCCCGAATGAGCACCTTCACCGCCGTAGCTAGGTCCTCCAACTGATGCTCGGGTGTATCCTTCAAGGTCAACAGATCAATCAGATCTTCCGGACCCAAATACTGCCCGTCCAACAACAACCTTCCTACCAATCCCACATAGTGCTGTCGATACGCGGGGTATTCGGCCAATCGAGTCGCCGTCACATCCACCACCTGCTCTGCTAGCGCCACTCCGGCCGTCGACCCAGCGATGGGAAGGTCCATAGGCAATCCTTGCGGGAGACAATCCTCCCACAACGCAACCATCGAATCCTGCACTGCAACGAGATCCAATCGATCATCGAAGAACTCCACCTGCTTTTGCACCCCCACCTTGCCCAGCTCTTCCACGCCTAGCGTCGAGAGATAGCCCAACTTGCCGAGACTCAACATGAGTCGTCGCTGGGCTAGATCGGCTTCGACCAGACCGAGACGCTCCAGCTTGCCACTGGCCACGTCGAACTGGCGCAATCGAAGATCGTGCAACCACCCCAACCTGTCTCGTCCCGGTTGGGAGAGGAAGGCGCTGACGAGCGACGCATGCTCCTCCTTCTGACTGAGCAATGTCCGCGTTTGCCCCTGTTCGAGGTACCACTCGTAGAGTTCAAACGCAAAGGCTTCCCCATAGCGCTCCAAATACGTCTCCGTTCTCGCCTCGCTCCTCGTTCCTGGCTCCATACACAACTCGACCAGCGTGCGGTAATCCGCATACTGCTCGGCAAGCCCAAACGCCCGATCGGACCGCCCGACGCTCACCAGCGGTCGAATGAACTGCGGTCTCGCACTGCGATACGTTGTCGCAAAAACCGACCACTCCCTCTCCCCCACCCCCTCGTCCCGTGCAGCCTCGAGATACCGCAATCGCTCCGTGTAGCACGCCAACGCCAATTCCGCCAGCGAAACGAGTTGAGTCTTGAGCTCCACCTGCACGCGATACTCGCGTTTGACCTCTTCGCTCACCGACGAGAACTCGGTACTGGGCGCATCGATGCTGCTACCCAACTCGCGCGTTCGGTCCGGAATCAGGTTGACGGTCAGCGAGAAAAGGCTCTCGAGCAGCTGCACGGATCCGGTCTGGGCTGTCCAGGGTTCGAACACCGTAGGTGCGTCCAAAATACCGTACAGCGGCCCGCTTTCTTTTCGATACCGCAGAGCAGCTCGGAAGGCAGAGAGGGTGGTGCGGTTGAGCTCGACCACGTCGTTGGAGCGCACACGCAGCGCTTGGGTCGAAACGCTCTTGGTCTGCCTCCACACCCTCTCGAGCACACGAGTCGTCAGATCGGCGTGATGTCGGAAAAACCGTCGAACCAAATCATCGCCAGAAGCAGCCAAACCTTGCTCAGCCATGACCGCTTCAATCGCCTTCGCAAGCGGACTCTGCGCGCCCTGCGACGAGGAATAGAACTCGTTCTGGTAGACCCACAGCTCGTTGAGCGCCGCCGCCAGTTCCGCGTCCGCCCGCAGCTGTCGCTTCGTCGTCTGCGGTAGCTTCTCCAAATGACCACATGCCGCGACGAATTTGACCAAAAACCGCAGTTTTCCCAGTCGATCCTTGAGCGCCGCCCGCAAATCCACCGAGGGCGGCACACTTTGCGAGATTGGGTTGCTGAACGTGAGGAGCTCGCGACTGAGTTCCTCGCACGCCGTCATGAGGGTTCCCTGCAGCTGTCCCGGTAGTGCAAACGTCAGAGGATTGAGTGGCGACTCAGAGTAGTAGAGCGCCTGTTCGAGCTTGCCCTTGAGCCGTTCGGTGTCGGCGCGCTGGCGGTCGGCGGAGGTCGTGTACGCTGTGCACCGGTTGCGGATCTCGCCGATATTCGTTTCGATCAGCAGCGAGCCCGACGTGGCTGAGATGAGCGAGAGCGCGGCGACGGCGTTGGTGGGGTGCAGGTGGACGGTGTCGCAGCCCGAGCCGATGAAGCGGTTCTTGACGTCGTCCTTGAGCTTGATGATTTCTTCAAAGGTTTCGCAGCCGGACTCGAGCTGCTTGGCAACCACAGTGTCGGCGAAGCAGATGAAGGTTGCCGGTCCGCCATTGGGCAGGCTGAGCGTCGGTGTGGCGTACGGACGTGGGTCGGCGAAGCTCGAGTAGTCGATGGCGAGAAGGGAAGCCACGACAAACGAGCTCGTATCCTTGACAGCGTCGATGATAGCCAAGCCAAAGTTGAGCGGCTCGCGTTCGGTCTTTGCCTGCGAATACAGCAGCACGAGCCGGCCGTCCGACTGCACAGCGCCATCGAGAATGTCGAAAGAGAGGCTCTGAGCCGCACTGTACCGCTCCTCGCTCAGCTGCAGCACGCTGCTGGCCACGACCTGCTGGATGTCCTGTTCAGCGAGCAGACGCTCGCCGCCTTGATCGAGCACCTGCCACTTTTGCAGCGTCTTTCTGCGGATCGCGTAGATCTCGCGACCCTGCTTGCCGGGTTGCACGGGCGATACGGCGATGGAGGTGATCTGGTCGTTCGAGGAGCCCATGGCGGAACTCGACCCGAAGAGGCGGCCGAGCAGACCGCGCTGTTGGGAGAACGGTCGAACCTCGGCCTGGAGCACGCCGGCTCTGCTGCCCACCGACACGCGCAGCAGGCGAGACTGGCTGGTCGCCAGCACGACGGTCGACTCGTCGACACGTTGCAGCTGAACGATGGTCTCAGACGCCGAAGAGAGCGGCGCCGAGATGCGCTGCGCACGATCTTGACGTGTCAGCGACGACGAGATGCCTTCCCAGAGGCAGATCTGACCATCGGGAGCTACGAGCAGCAGCGCAGGCTCCCTGTTCGAGCCACGAGGGAGGAAGCAGCAGTGTGCAAGATCGTTGATAGCTGTCATACTTGAGGAGGCATACTGAGGGACGGGGAACACGAAGCATGTAGGCGAACCAGTGCCGATGCCCCGGCTCGAGTAGTTCCATACGAAGCACTGGCTGCGAGAAACGAGACAAGCATATCCGGTCTGTACGTCGAGATGACCTTGGAAAGCGTCGATATAGAGATCTGCGTCGCTGAGCACCTCCGGCACCTCAGTCGGCAGCTTCGAGTAGGTGGACACGTGCATCCACTGGTCTCCCAGCAGGACGGTGCCTTCCTCGAGCTGCGCCTTCGCATCCTTGGTCGCGACCGGTGGACGTCGGCCGAATCCAGCGTGGGAGGCAGAGTAGGTTGATTCGGCAACAGAACGCATGTCAGCGTCGTCGCTGATCACGGACCCCTCTCTGTCGTATGCGTTGCCAGGGCTGAGGAGCGAAACGTTGGGACCAGGAGCAGCTAGCATGGAAGACGGACGGGGTCGCGCTCGAGTCGTGCGGGCCCTCGTGTTGCCGCCCAGAAAAAGCGAGCCGGATGACACGTCCCCAGCATCGGTCGTGTTGTTGGTGTCGCCGCGTCGATATGTGTTTTGTGAAAGAAAGGAGGGAGGTGAGAGAGGATCTTGAGCGCCAAAGACGGGTGTCCCAGCACGTGAAGATCGATTGACGGAGCGAGATGCGCCGACACCAGCCCCAGCGAGCGGCGTCGATGACCTTGCATCCCTCGCTCGTGATGGTGTTGTGAACATTCTGCCTGTCCTCCGCTGCTCGAGAGAAGATGAGGATAGTGATGGAAAGGAGAAAGACGAGAAAGTCGAACATGGTCAAAGCATTTCTTCGCGTCCCTCGGCCAACACACAGACACAAAAAGCAGATCGGGCTGCTGCGCGCAGCTCATCGGGAGCCTACACATTCATGCAGGGACTTCATGAAGCTCTTCCTAACGCTCGACCGCTATCAATCAGCACCAGCAACAATGTCGTAGCAGCGAGTATATAGGACTAATTGATGAGATTGCTGCACAAAACGAGATGCTGGAGGGATACATGAGAAGACTGTGCGGAGGAAATGTTCAGACTATGGTTTGCTGGATGGGAAAGAGACGCGAATGAAACAGTTGCTTTGCGGGAACATGTTCTAGGGAAGGTGTTGTCGAATGTGAGCTTCGCTCGTGGCGAAGCTTCGGAAGGCAAATCGCTCGAAGCGATTGATGCAATGCTGAGCGGATCGACAGTGCTTCATAGGTAGATCTGGCATGGAAGACTTAGATTACGGGTGAAGGCGTGTTGACCTCCACGTCTTCTTCGTCCATGGCTTCGTGGATCGACTGCATCATGTCAGCTTCGCCGGCGGTAGATGCCTCCGAGAAGCTCCAAGGGAACGGATTGGCTGCCCCGCTGATTTCAGAGTCGTCCGACTTAGGGGCGGCGTCGCCCTGGAACGCAGCGGATGCCGGCAGTCGTCCCCCAGGCCGCCAAATTCGGACAGTGTGGTCGTCTCCACACGAAGCGACTGTGAGTGCATCCTTCGGATGCCACGCTACCGCATTGACGGACCCTATTTCGTGACCCGTCAGTGTCTCGATCAGTCGGCCACTTGCGCGATGCCAGATGTAGATCTTGGCATCCTCGCTGCCAGAGATGACAAAGTTCTCGTCGATGCCTCCGAATCCGCAGCCAATGACGTGCTGGCTGAGCTTGTGTCCGTTGAAGCGTCTGACCAGGCATTGACGGCTGATGTCCCACATCTGCAGCTCGTTTGGCCTCACATTGATCAGGGCATACTGCGAGTCCCGGCTCACCGCCAAGCTGACCACCTCTTCTCGCAGATAGATCGAACCGAGCTCCTCTCGCGTGCGGAGGTTGAGGAAGTGGATTCGGTACCGCTCGGAGCCCATCGTTCGCGAGCCTCCGGCGAGGTCGACGAGCGAGTCCAGATCGGCACGATCATGGCCAAAGCTGGTTGAAGTGGTAGAAGGCGACGAGCTGTCGCTGAGATGGTCTGATGCCGTCGAGGTGCTGAGCACGGTGGACGAGCTTGTGTGACCTCGGGTTGTAGAAGATGAGAGACTAGTCTGCGCGACTTGTCGCGCGCTCAGAGCCACAAGATGCTCGCCATCCGGTGTAGCCGCAACAGCAAGGACTCGGAAAGGTGATGTGCTCTTCTTGTGTAGCACGTAACCTTCCATGTCCCACCATACGATCTTGCCGTCCATGCCTCCCGTGACGAAGCCGGAGCCATCCGAGCGCCATGCCGCCGTAGCAACTGTATAGCTGTGCTCGCGAAGCGTCAGCATGCTTCCGTTCTCGAGCTGACAGAGGGTAACGTCAACGTCCGAAGTGACCAGGAGCTTCTTGTCATTCGGCGACCAAGATACCGAGGAGATGTTGTCGGACAACGGCACGAACTTTTGCAACAGCTTGTAGTCGTCTTGTACGCTCCAAATGAGAATGGTCTTGTCGGCACCAGCTGTTGCAAGCTTGGTGCCGTCGTGCGAAAACTCCAAGCACCAAACTTCGTCGTGATGATCTTCGATGGTGCGTGACACATGCGAAGGGAAGACGGATCGGTCGGATCGATGGTCCGTCAAAAGCGAGAAGTGAGAGCCATGCGGTGAATTAAAGAAGGGGTCCTGCTGTTTCTGGTAGCTCTGCGCTTGTTCGAGCAGCTGAGGCAAGCGTCGACTGGGAATCATGACGAGTGGGGATACGGCCGACTCGATCTCCATCATGAGCAAGCGGCGCGATTCGCCGTCGGCGCCGTCCCAGTTGGCACGGGCGTGCAGCTGTTCTGGTGATGCGGAGATGACGAGACTGGACAGGAGATGCAGCTGGGATGTGTCGTGGCTCAGAGGAGTGAGCTTCTCACGTAGCACGTTGAGCGCTTTCTTGGTCTGACGAGCCTCGAGCAGTTCGAGATAGCGCTGCTTTTGCAACATGAAGCGAATGGAACGGAGGCTGACAAGATGAGGCCTGCGAAGGACAGTGTCAATCAAGTCCTGATTCGGTGACTCCTGCGTGCCGGGAAGCGACAAGAAGGACGAACCCGCGGATGACGACGGAAGTGCTTCGCTGGACGGACCATCCAAGGCCCCGCTCGAGCTGCGTGAAGCCTGAATGCGCCTGGCAGCGTAGGTCAGGCCATCGATGAGGAGCCTCTCTGCATTTCGCCAATCCCCGCTGAGCACTGCAGTGCGGAAGGCTGTGATGGAAGGATGTTCGAGGGTGACGCCTGATTCGTTTTCGAGCGTCTTTGCCGCGGCGTCGTAGCCCATCTCGCGCAAAGATTGCAGAGTGAGCTTGACCAACTCTCTTCGATCGATGGAGCTTCCTGGAAACAGCGGCGCGAACGCAGAGACGTCTGCATATTCGTCGACCGTAGGAGCGGCCGCCTTGCCGTTGCGATGGCCATTGCTGCTGCCATTGCTCGATTCTGACTTCGGATTTTGATCGGTCACCCTGCCGTTGGAGGCGCCGCCGTTCGATTGGACGGCTGTGAATTGCGTCATTGTGTTAAGACCAGCAGTGAGTGCGTCTGAATGTGTGAGATCGGAGGAGGTGGGAAGGGTAGAGGTGGACGGCCCTGACTCGGGAGGACGGAAGGAGCTGGGCGAAAGGGATTCGAGCCTGGCTCGCTTGCGAGCTGGGGCCTCCGAGGGACCAAAAGGACGAGGAGGTCGGCGCGGCGTTCTGTCGAGCGCCCTGGCTTTGCCCGCCGAGAGGATGAGGGCGAGTGGTGCTTGACAATATGAGCGCGGGTATGCGTGCTGGCTGAGATGCTGGGCTGGTGGATGCGATCGTGTTGGCTGTCGAGGTGTTGGTGAGCTGCTTAAGCTGTCGCTGGCACCGGCTCGAGATCGTTCTGAGCTGAAAGTACGTCAGAGACCCTCAACTGATCCCCAGCTGCGATCTACCCGTCCGCTGCGTACCAATGTGGTCGAGATGGGGGGGCAACGAGGAGGTGATTGTCACAGGCGGCATTCACCAGCCGTATTGGCTGAATTGGGGCTCTGCCGTCGTCGAAGCGATCAAAGGTGGACCTCGTTGCCTAGCGAGAGTCGAAAAGGAGAGCCTATCTGAATGCTGTGATGGAAGGAGAGACGAGGGCGAGGAAGCAGGCGAAGTCGTGATCGCAAGAGCCACTCGAGCCAAAGTCTCGCTCGTTTGATAAGACCTCGAGGCCAGGACCCTGAATGTCAGCCCCAGCCGACTGCGGAGAACACACTCTGTGACTGGCTGGCTAGCTGGCTGGCTGTGCGCTGCTGCTGCTGTTCCACTTTTGGCTGGATCGTGCGTTGCTGCAGCTCTGTCTCGCTCCCACTCTCCCGCGCTTAGCCATTCAAAGCCAGCTCAGCCCCACGTCCTGACTGTGACTGCAGGCCGAAGGCGGATTTTTGAATTTCACAAGGCTGAGTTGCGTGAAATTGCACCTCCTCATCGTCAAGAGTGGAGGTTAGCCAGCCTGAGTTCACCATCCGGCCGGCATGTCTTCAGTGCATGAACGGCCTTTGGTCCCTCATTGATATCAAGCATAAGCTCATCTTCACCCAAAAGGCACGAGCACGCAGCACAGACCGACGAACGCCAAGTGAAAAAGGGATCCAATTACAAAGCGAACAAAGGTCGCTTGGGGGAGGGGGAGTTTGCGTGGTGTGAGGTCGACTGGACGGCAAGCCCGAAGGTGTGCAGGCACTTCAGGGCGACGCTTGTCCCATACTGAGGACGTTGACTTGAGCTGATATCGCCCATCACTTCTCGCCGCGAGTGACGAAGTTCTTGGCGAAGCGCAACATGGCTCGGAAGTCTGGCATGTCGGGCCCACCGCTGACCACGGTGTACCCACCGTTCCTGCCTGGTGCCCCCATCCTCCCCTCGACGCTGCGCAGAGGCAGACGATGGTTCGAAGCAGCGTGCGTCACCAGCACATGAGCCAGCCAATACAACGGCAGAGCGTCGTTGGCCAACGGCGTCGCTCCTGAAGCAGTCAGAGGTGTGAACAAGGTCTGCTGCAGCTCCTCAGGCCAGTCGTACTTGCCTGCACCGACTGGGAGGTCGTCCGAAGTGTCCATGTCGGCGTCGCCTTTGGACTTCTTGACTGACGCAAAGCGGCATGTCGGATCTTGATCCCATGCCTTGCGCCAGCGTGCCAGCGCCTTCTTGTACAGCAGGACCGCGGCATCACCGTTCGGCGCCGTGCCGTTGCTCTGGATCCCGGCCAACTTCATCCACCTGCTCAGCGACGATGGCCTGGCGACGCGCGTGGCTCGACCCTCGAGCATCTCGATGATGCCACGCAGCAGTGCCAACACCATCACCAAACGAGCGAAAGGCCCCAGCGAGCCATGCAGCGAAGGCAAGCCCGTCGCCCCGAAGGTCGCAGGCGATCCTGCGTCAGGAGAGAGCAGCTGCTGCAGAGCTTCGTCGAGCGTGATGCCCTTTTTGTGTTTTGCTAGCGCCTTGTTCCAGCTCGCTGCGGTGGGTGCACGCCAGACATAGTCTGGCGTTGGCAGCGGCAGATGCGAGACCTCCTTGGTGGCCAGCAGCGTCGGCACGGCCGCATCGAGGTTAGCCACGGTGTCCATCGTATAGATGATGAAGGCGCTCCTCCGGCGACCTTCGAGCTCAGCCCATCGCCGCCACACCTTGTCCTCGTCCGCATTGTCGTCATCGAAACAGGGCAGGAAGGAGTACGAAAAGCAGGTGTCGACCGATTCGAACAGCACTTGCTGAGTCACATCTTCGGCTGTGTAGGAGACTTCGCGCTGAGCGTGTTCAGCGTCAGGATCAAAGAAGCCCGCCTGCCGAGCCAGCGTCACCACGGTGCCGTGCGACACACCAGCCACCATTCGTGTGGTGGCATCGCTGCTGAGGAAGTTGTTGCTCTGGAAGAGCATCAGCGCCTGCACCACCGAGCACTTGTCCTTGACGCTCTTGCATCGGCTCGCAAACGCCCGCATCAGCATCTCGGTCTTTTCGCTCATCACGATGGGCTTGACCAGCTCCTGTCCATCTTCTTCGTCGATGTAGCGACTTGTTCCCTTGTCCATCAGACGGGTGAGATCGTTGACGGGCTCGGGAGCGCTGTGACTGTTGATGATGTGGATGGCCGACTTGGGAATGACCTCTTCGCCCGCCCACCATTTGCGGCCTGCCTCGTGTCCGCCGAGCATACACATGGCAAATGCAACGCATCCCGGCGTCGTGTCGATGCGGAATGTTGGCTCGTGGATGACGGGAAAGTGCTTGAGCAGGTTCTGCTGAGCATGCAGCGCCAGCATGCTCAAACGTGTGATCGGCGGCAGACTCCAGTGCAAGATCGAGTAGCATGGTCGGAACATATCCGGTGGAATGAAAAATGGGTTCTTGGCGTCCGTCAGCGCCTTTTCCAAGGGACTGGGCAGCATATCAAGACTTATCGAGTCAAGGACCGCCGCGTCTGGTGCGGTGACCATCTTCGAATTGAAATAGTCGGATTTGTCGGTGGTGTCGACAGTGCCCGATCCTGCCGTTGTGGTGAAGGCATTCAGCAGATGCTGGATGCTGGGGCTCATGAGCCAACCCAACGCGCTCAATTGCGAGCCAGGTGTGCCGCTGTTGGCTGCCGCGACAGCGATGCCGCCGGCACTTGGGTTGGAAAACATCGAGTGATCCCAGTTTGGGGTGGAGAACTGGGATGCACCGAGCGGTGCTGAACTGAGCGCCATGGCTGTGCCGTTCAGAAAGGAGATTTCGCTTCCATGGATTCCGGCTCTCAACTCCTGTACGCCACCCTGAAGCCTCAAAAGGAAGGCTTCGGGTCCTGGCGTGAGAGCCCCTCCATCAAAATACTGCTGCGACTCGTTCTTGACAAACCGGCTCGGCGTATCGAGACCGTCGGTGCTGATCGGCACGGGGGCAGAGGTCGTGATCGTGCCCGCGCTTCGCGTCGTGGCAGCCTCCGTCGACGGTATGGACGCCGCCGCCGACGTCGCCGATGTGGTGGACGCGGTCGCTGCTGAGGTCGCGACTGCCGCTGATGTGGCAGCAGCGGAGGCAGCTGCGGACTTGCTGTCATTGTCGTCCGCTGTGTCAGCCTTGTACGAGAGGCTCAGCTTGTCGCTCGAAGCGCTCTTGCTAAGCTTGCCTGCGGCTGTGATTCCCTCTGACTGTGGCGATGTGCTCTGGAAGGGAAGTTGAATTCCCTGCAAGCTGTTGTGCCGACTGACGCTGCGCGAGGCCGGTCGCATGCCCGTCCACTGACCACCCAAGTCCAGCGAAGAGAGTCCGCCTCCTGGCGTGGTCGGTATTTGCGACCGAGGACTCGAGACGAGCGGTGTGTCGCGGGCGTTGGAGAAAGCCGACAGGTACGGCGACATGGACGAGTTGAGCGCAGTATTGGAGAACGGCGAGAGTGGCCCAAGCGTGGACACCGAGAAGCGCATAGGCTCCTTTGGTGTTGTCGCTCCCGACGCCTCTTGACCTTGCGATGTGCTGGTCGCAGCCGTCGCATTCGAAGCCGATTGATTCGACGACGTGGCGCCTGTATCGGCAGACGATGCGGATGTGCCGAAGGAGAAGGCTGGACTGTTGCCGCTGTTGGAGCCGTATCCAGCCAGACTGGAAGAAGAACCAGTGCCGACACCGCCAGAGAGACCAGGAGCCGTGGAGCGGAAATAGCTGGCATCGGATCCCATGAGAGATCCTGTGCGCGAGCGGTCGGCGAGATGGCTCAAGGGCGAGGTGACGGGGAAACCAAGCGAAGCGAGCATGCTGGCGGTGGCACGTGCAGCGGAGCCTGGCGTGGTGGCAGCAGCGTGGCCAGGAGATGGCAATTTCGCTGTGTCAAGTCCCTCCCATATCGCAGCATCGGCAGGGTTGGCAAAGGTTGGGGCCTGTCTGGCTCCGTACTGATCGTAGGCACCCGCCTGCTGCCTCATGGCAGTGTAGCGGGCGGCGCCAGAGTTGCTTCCATGGCGGGCAAGAGATTGACTGGCGTAGCGTGGGCTGCCGTGCTCGCTTCTCGGCTGGTTCGACTCGGGACTGGAGGGTGGGTAGAGCTGATGAGAGTGGAGAGCTGCTGCTACCGCCGAGTGAACCGGAAGCGGGAAGGGAGTCGAAGCGTACGGGTTAAGTGCTCCCCTCCCCATTTGAAAATCCGGAGGGTCCATGGAGTTTGCGTAATGGTAAGCGGCTACGGAGCTCATCGCGGCCACGGTGGTGGCGGCCTGGGCCTGAGAGTCGGCGGCGATCGCAGGGTCGATCATGGCGGAAGCGTCTTGCTCCTGGGCTGACGAACCGACAGGATGGTGACCCGCTGCAGCCGCAGCGGCAGCAGCGGCGGCGGCGACTGCGATGGCATCGTGCGTGAGCTGGTCGGAGTGAGGAGCAGGAGGAGGCGGTGCTTGTCCGTCTGCGCCCGAGGCTGTACCGTTTGCACCAGCGAAGGAGGAGCCCTCTGCAGTGGCCATCGAGTCGCCGTTGCCGTTGGCGGCAGCAGCGGCCGCCTTGGCCGCTTTTGTGGAGCCCTTGGGCCTGCCTGGCTTGGCAGTGGTGGAGGATCGACGGGGTTTGGTGGCTTTGGGCTGCGCTTCGCCTTCGGCGGGCTTTTCGCCATCGGCTGTGCCATCTTGCTGCAGAACGACTCGGCATTGTCGCCTGTGACGAGACAACACATCACTTCGCGAGAAGCCCTTGCCGCAGTCGCAAACGAAAGGACGAATGTCGGCGTGTCTCCTTTCGTGGCGCCTGAGGTATTCGAGTCTGGAATAGCTGGTGGAGCAAGTGGGACAAATGAAAGGGGGCCCATTTGGCATGGAACCACCAGCGCCGTCGATGGAAGCATCAGCTACAGCGCCATCATCGTCGTCCTTGCTGTCCTCGTTGGATGCGTTCGAGGCCGTCGAGTTGCGCTTTTGCACCTTGCGTGCGGGACCGGATGGCGTGGGTGAATCTGGCCTTGAGCGGATGCGACCATTCTCTGGCTCGGCCGTAGCCGCGCCAAAGTAGTCGCTCTGCATGTTTGTTGTGGGTTGTGCTCCCCGCTGGTGTCAGAGACAGCCCGAACACGAGTTGGAAGGGTAGGAGAAGAAGGAGAGGCGTGTCTCCTTTTGGCCTCCACGTTGGATGGAGAAGAGGCACCAGATGCAGGCCCGCTGTTCCGGAGCGAGATGAGCAGACGACCAAGCCCGGCCAGAAGCTCCCTATGCGACGAGGAGGAAAGAGAAAGTAGTCCAAGCCAGGGAAGCAGTGCGGCCACGACCGTGTGAAGTGAAATGTCAAGCTGCGACGTCACGCCAAGAAGCGAGAACCAAAAGAGCGGCACTGCGAGGGCGAGAGTGCGGGCGACGGTGTGAATGAAAGTGACGACGCTGATGAAAGGATCTGTCGTCGAAGGTGAAAGAGGGGGGAGGTGTCGAGAGGATGTGGTGAGAAGGAATGTCAAAAGGGTCAGGGTGGTAGACGGTAAATGTGTGGAGGTGAAACGGGCGCGAAAGGGAGAGGACACAGCGGCTGAAGCTCGAGAGGTGAGGTTGAGGCTGTTGCGAGCCTTTTGCTTTTGGTGGAGGCATCAGGCCGCAGGAAAAATGGGCACGAGCAATTGCGGCTCTCTCTCTCTTTGGCACACAGCAGCAGCAGACTCTGGCGTGACTGTGAGGAAGGAGCGTCTGCTGAGCAAGCCCAGCCGGAATTTCAGATTTTTCATTCGTCCATTTTGGCCTGTCTCCAGCTCTGTGCGCAGACGCACGGACAGAAGTACCTTCAGAGCCCGCAATGGTCCGCAGCGACTCGATTCATGATGCCTTTGCTGTCGAGCGTATCCTCTGTTGCTCTCGCCATCCAAGATCGAGCAGGAGCGTTCACATGCGTGTAAAATGAAGTGCAAGTCAGAGTCAAGGAAGCGTGCTGCTGTTGCTGCGAGTCAGTTTGACAGGTGAACAATGGCCTCGAAAGGGAGCAGCAAGAGTTGGTCAGCACCCAGAGCGAGCTGACTGCCATTTTGAACCGCCTGTGAGCGCCGATCGTGGGTCTCAATTTGTTTTTAGAAAGAGAATCCTGGCTGCCGAGAGAGAGACCCTTTCAGACCCTTGGATGGCAGGCTGCGTGTCTCGCACGGATCAAGACGTGAATTAACAGACCGACTTCCGAACTTGACCTCGTGGAACATGCGGGGTCCAGCTCAGGAACAACACTTTGCTCTCTCACTCTTTTACCAGCGATATCATCTCGGGCATATCTCTCAAGAGCATCCGCATCATGGCCGAAGCATCATCCTCGTCGTCGGCGTCATGGGACGTCTTGCGGCGCAAAACACGCAATCTCGAATCTACCATCGATGCGCGCATCACCACCTACTCCCGCCTGGCTTCCAAGATCGCCCGCTCCGCTGATACAGCCGGATCCTCGTCCAACGCCGGCGGAGGCATTTACGCGGACCACACCACTCTCGACATGGATGGGAGCGGTAGTGGTTCGAACGGAGCCAAGGAAGATGCGAACGAGCACGTCGAGTTGGAGACAGAGCTGGATTCGTTGATCAACCAACTCTCTGATGCTGTGGATGCGTTGACAGCCAAGCTGGACGATCCTGCTGTTCCACCAACGAGCGCTCAGCTGCATGCCGTACAGAGACATAGAGAGGTACTGTTGGACTTTACGAGAGACTTCAGGCGGTCAAAGACCAATGTGAGGCATGCGATCGACAGGAGGGATCTGCTGGGCAATGTTCAGGGCGATATCAAGTGAGTCTGGCACCACGCGAGTTTTTAGCCTTTCGACTCGTAGACAGAATACTAACAGCAGCGCCGACACTTTCTCTCGTGCTACAGCGCTTACAAAGCGGCACAATCGACCGACGCAGATGCTCTCCTGGCAGAACGAGGACGCATCGACAACTCGCATTCCATGATCGACCGCACGCTAGAGTAGGTTTCGGTCCGCATCTTCCTTATGCCTTGCACCGCAACTGACAGTGTTTTGCTCTCCTGAACATCTTTGAATCCTATTGCCGTCCTTTGCGTCCTCCACTTGTACACACAGACAAGCATACGCCACAAGAGCCGACTTTGCAGACCAACGCTCCACCCTCGAAGGCATTTCAGGGAGAATGTCCAGCACTGCCGCCCAAGTTCCCGGTCTCAACAGCGTTATCACCCTCATCGGCAGGAGACGGCGCCGCGATTCAATTATTATGGGTTGCCTAATCGGCTTCTGTCTCGTTACGTTGCTGATGTTCACGTTTCGCTGAACCACATGCAATGGAAGACAGAAGGAAGACAGAAGACGATGTGTGAAGAGGCTGGCTGGTATGAGCGAAAGTACATTTTGGGGGTGTGGAGAGGAAGGTGTTACGGAAGTGTCGAGGAGAGTGACCATCTTTGCTAGCCTGTCAATAGAGCAAGTCGCGTATGAGTCATAGCTCCTCGTCCTCCTCCTTGATCTGCGAAGGCTTGAGCATACCTGGCACCGCAGCCGCCTTCTCTCGATCTGCAGCTGCCTTGCGCTGTGCTTCGGCCTCTTTGTCTTCGAGGAACAGGTCTGCATTGTCGGTCGAGCCCGCAGTGCTGCCAAACATCTCTCGCGAGGTGATGAGGAAGTCGCGCAGGTGCAGCTTGTACGCAATCAAGTCGCTCGAGTGCATGCAGAGCCCGTTGACAAAGTGCTCGACGTACTGGGCCTGCATATGAGGGAAGGCGTTGCGCAGCAAGTTCGTCGTGTATTGTCGGATGAAGAGTCGGTTGTTCATGTTGGGGTCCTGTTGCGTAGCCGAGTCCCACAGAGGCGCAGTGACGCGGTCCGTCTCGATGAGCTCAAAGATGCGCGCCAGCAAAACGCACTGCGTCTTGAAGCCGCTCTTGTGGTCCGAGTCGGTGAGCACAAAGAAGATGTCCTGGATGATGTTGAGCAAATACTGCTGGTAGAAGCCGTTGGCCACCTCAAGCGGTGAGCCCGAGATGTTGTTGAGCAGCTCGAGGCAGATGTTGAGACCCGTGTCGGCAATGTCGCGCATCGTATGCTTGATCGCCCAGATGATGCTGTCCATGGTCAGCTTGAACTTGGGTGGGGGAAGCTCGAGTAGCGCAGGGAAGCAGTACAGGTTGATCGCTCGTAGCAGCTTGAAGAAGCCAACGCGGTGCTCCGGGAACTCGGCGAAGTCCTGGTTGATCATGTTAAGCGTAGGTTCAAAGACGGCATCGAGAATGGGCGCGATCTTGTCCGTCAGCAATCCCTGCAGGCGCGAGGTGATGGTGGCCATTACGTTGAGCACCTCGGCGTCTCTCGCCGCTGGAACGTTGCGGTTGTAGTCGCCCAGGATAGCATCGAGCAGCGACGGGATCAGGTTCGTGTTGACAGCGTCAAGGTCTTCGGCACGCTTGACATAGGTCTCGACGAGGCGCAGGATCTCTTTTTTGATAGTTCGCAGGCCGCGCACCATGGGCGTCTTGGTTGCAATCAGACCCTCGGCCTCGACCTTGGCGCTGATGATGCCGCTGACACTGCGGTAGAGCGCAAGCATGTCGAGGTAGATGCGACCGATCTGTGGCAGGAAGAAGGTGCCAATCGACACACATGCCGAGACGTTGGTCTTGAGCACATTCGAAAGGATCTTGATGTTCTCGGGGCTGCCGAGCACGTCGACGTTGTTGTGCGCCTGCTGCATGAGGCTGTCCCAGGCACTGTTCGGCAGCTCCATGAGCTTGGCGATGAGACGCTCCTGTGTCGGTCGGTTGGGCTGGGCCGCGATCATGTAGCCGACTGCCTCGTAGAAGGTGTGCACCTGCAATGGCGAGAGGTCGAGTGTGATACGGTGCAGGTTGCGCAGGATCTCGTCGATGAAGGGCTCCTGCTCGCCGGCTTGCTGGATCACAAAGTGGCGACGGCACTTCTGGGCGATCTTGATGTAAGTGTCGCACGCCATGTCCTGGACACCTTCGTGGCTCTCGTGCATGAACTCGAAATTCTTGTTGACGACCGTCTTGAGGAACTTCCAGTGCGCTTTGAGGAACCGTGGGTACTGACCCACGATGTACATGATGTTGGACGCGACGACGGCCTTGTTGTCCTTGCCGCGCTTCATCTCGCACAATCCGAGCAGATCCTTGATGACCGTGACGAGGAAGCGCTTCTCTGTCTCCTCGTTCATCGCACCCGAGATGGAACCGATCGCCCAGCAGAGTGTGTTGAGGTTAGCCCACGACCACTCGGAGCCGTCGACTTGCTTGGCGAGCTTTTCGGTCATGATGTTTTCGGTGTCGAGCACGTCGAGATGGGTGAGGTAGACAAGCACCTCGCGCATGCTCTTGTAGAGCACGATCGTGTCGCTCTCCTTCATGAACTCTCGGACGATCTCGCCCTCGTCGTTTTCGACGATGAGCACCTCTTCTGGCTTGACCATGCGCTCGATCATGACGAGCCTGAGGTTGGAGAGGATGTCTGTGTAAATGTTCTTGCGCAGGTTGGCCGAGTTGGCGTTCGAGACGCCGTTGCCGAGGTTGAGACCCAGAAGCGGGTTCATCTCTGCGATGGGCTGTGACTGCTGCTCTTCGTAGAGCTCGCTGACGAGCTTGGACCAGTATTCGAGGCAGATCTTGAAGACTTCTCGTTCGGGCACTTGCGATACCTTGATGAGGTACATGTGTGCGTTGAGGAGGACGTCCTTGTTTTCTGGGTTCTCTACGAGCTTGAGGTGGGTGGTGAGGTAGTTGGAGAGGAAGAGCGCAAGGTTGAGAACGAGCTCTTGATCCGAGTCGGAGCTGGTCTCGTAGGCGGATGCGATGTTGGTGGCTGGAGGGATCATGCGGTTGACCGAGGTCATGACCATGTTGAAGAGCACTACAAACTTGGCGTCGTACTCGGCGCCGACGTTGAGGTTGGCAATTTCGGAGAGACACTTGAGCGTGACGTTGCGGAACTCGGAGACCTCGAGGAAACGACCGATGAGGTTGTCAATGACGTTTGTCTCGAAGATGTAGCCAAGCGGGATCCAGTTGAGGAAGCGCAGCATGGTTTCGAGGGTGGCCTTGATCAAGCTGGGCTTTTGCGCCTTTTCGAGCACCTCGGAGCAGAGCTGGAAGACCTCGCCGAATTCGCCACACATCTGGTTCTTGAGCGACTTGGTCTTGGAAGTGGTCATCTGCTCTGCCGAATAGTCGAAGATCTCTTCGGAAAGCAAGCGGAGAATGGCCATATTGTTCTCGCAGATAGACAGAGAGCCTTTGGAAGAGGAGACGATCTCGGGGATGAACGAAGGCCAGTTGTGAGGCCACTCCTGCTTGAGGATGGTGATGAGGGTGGTATTGAGCTTGCCGAGGTAGGTCTTTTCGCGCTTGAGACTAGCCTCATCGGACGAGTGCTGGATGATCATCTCGACGATGAAATTGCGGATGCCCTGCTGCTGGTCCTCGGGAAGCACCTTCCACCGTGTTGAGATGAGCTTGTCGAGGATCTGGAGCGAAATGTACTTGGTCTGTGGCGAGGAGCTCTGTTGGAGAATGGCAGGCACGCGCTGCCAAGCTTCGGGATGCTCCTGGAACTGGGCTAGCGTCTGCTGCGCCATCCTCTGGTCCTGACCGGTGCCTGTGTACATGGCGGCCACGACACGGTCGAGAAGACCAATGTCGAGGTCCTTTTCGAAGTCCAGGATGCCCTCCATGGTGTCGTGAGATGCAAGAGAGGAGTGCGATCGATGTGGTGCGGGAGCGAGAGCGGAAGCGGAAGCGGAAGCGAAATTGAACCCGCAGCGTCAGACCAAGATGCTGATAGCGGTGAAGAAGCGGATCAAACGCCTGGCGAGTGCGGGAAGCGTTGCGGCGTTTTTATTACACAACGATGCACTTGCGGGACGTTGTCGAGTCCGAATCGACTCGTCTGCTACGAGCAAGACTGCGCAATCGGGATGGGATCGTGTTCAGGACGAATCGGCAGTGGCGTCCGCAAGTGGAGAGTCGACCGGTGATCACCGCCGAAACAAGATCAGCCGCGAAACGTCGTTGCTAGCGAAGACAGCTGATGAACCCTGAACAAGATGATTGGCAGGAGCGGCGATGGATGGAATGAGACTGCAAGGAAGTCGCCGTGGATGATCGAGGTGATGGATGGGAGTGGAGGCGAAGAGAGCGAGCGATGAATAGCAACTTGATGGGACGCGCGATTGGACCGAGCGAAAGGAACACACACACACTCACACAAGCTGAGCCGCACCCTCTTTTTCTTTGGTGGTTGCTGAGCAATGAATCAGGGCAGAGCGGTGTTTTTTGAGATCGAGCCACGTCGGATTTGACCGCGCTGTGCAGTTGGATCATTTCTCGAGCCTTCCAAGCGTTAGCTGGCGGAATCCCTTTCCGCATCCAATTTTGATTGATCCGTGAGCGCAGCAGCAGCAGCAGCAGCAGCATCTACCCACAACGCGCTCAGTTTTGGCTCCACGGTTGTCAAAGCGGCGGTGAATTTCGGCTTGGGCAATACCAACACGCGATCTCACACCCTTGGACATTTTGCCCGTCTCTCTCGTCTCTTCGCAAAGGCTTGAACACCGACGATACAGGGAAGAGACCTTCATAGCCGATTCCGCCGAGACCTAGCGCAACTGTTTGCGTATTCACAACGCATTGACTTTGTTCGAGCGAGCTCGTGGTAATCACAGAAAGATACGGTAGGACATTGAGGCCGGATGCTCTGTCGATGATCATGGTTCAGGCGGAAGAGGATGCAACGGCAACCAGCAGCGTGCAGCGAGCCGAGCCTTGACCCTGACCCGCTCCGGCTACAGTAAGAAGCTTGTCATCATCAACATCGGATGCAAAGCCGGTCGGAAATCTTCAGGATGTTAGGCCTAGCATCAATGCTGTAATTTCATCAGCCGACGAATCAACGCAGGCTCAGGTCAAAACGTGCGCACGTTTTTTGGCGGCATTGAATCAAGATTTGGACGGTCTGCTGCAGCTACAGCAGCTGCCTGCTTCCCACGTCGTCGACTCGACACCGTTGAACCTTTCATCGCCTCTTCCCGCGGCATACGGCCTTGCTTCATCATCGTGTTGCCCTTGACGGAGAGGAAGCTTCTCCTCGCCGTGTCCTGTCGAAGGAAGCTCGAGCAATGGTAGAGATAGGATACGCACTGAACAGGCAAAATCTCCGAGCAGTGGACCCTGCTTGCTGCGAGCTGAATTTGAAGTGCTCTGTCCCAGCATCCTGGCTTGATTGCGCATGCAAGCTGCGTCGATAGTGAGTGTAAGAGCCAGATAGAAGGCGGGCTTGTGAGTGAAGAGAGCGGCAGCTGCTAGGTAACTTTCCGAAGAGCGGAGCATTCGGCTGTCTGTGTGGTCAGACTCGAGCTTCGACAAGCGTGACAGCGGACCGTGCGTCGCCTGTTCTTCCAAGTCCCAAAATGTGTGTGTGTGTGCTTCTGAGATGAAGCTGAGCAATGAGCAGCATACGCTCCCTCCCTTCCACCAACCGCATCCTTCTCAGCATATCCATCCCCACGCAGACGTAATCTTCGGTCTCGCCGAACAGCCATCGGCGACATCGCCACCATCAGTAATCGCATCCGACACCAATCACATCGACCAGTCATGAACTTGCAATAAGTGCGCACATCCGCAGTCTCATTGACATCCCCTCGGCAGGCTATCCGCATCGCATCCGTCGGTCGCACACGCGAACACGAGCTGCGCTACGGCTCATCATATCGCAACGCGCCCGTCTGCCCTTTCTTCTTCTGGATCTTCCGCTCTCTTGATACATATCCAGCTGCTTCTCCCCGGTCACTCCGTCAGCCAAGATGAAGTTCGGCAAATACATCCTCAGTCAGCAGATCTCTGGCTGGGGTGCTTACTATCTCGACTACAAGTTTCTCAAAAAGATCATCAATTCGCTCGAAAAGGGAAGACTCGCCGATGCTGCCCTTTTTGCAACAGGAATCCGTCCTGAAGACGTCGCCTCGGGCCAGTCGACCACATCGCCTCAGCCACAGATCTTGCCCAACATCGAAGGCTCGGACGAGCTTCAGATTCACAAGGCTGCCTTCTTCTTCAAGCTGGAACGAGAACTTGAAAAGATCAACAACTTTTACCTTCAGAAAGAAGCTGAGCTCAAGTCTCGCTTGCAGACCCTCATCGACAAGAAGCGCATCATCTTTGAATCTCGCAACTCGTCCAAGCTCTCCAAAGAGTCGCCCTCCTACGTCGCTCTCTACGAAGGCTTCCGATACTTCGAGAAGGATCTCAGCAAGCTGCAGCAGTTTATCGAGATCAACGCGACCGGTTTCCGCAAGATCTTGAAAAAGTGGGACAAACGCTCCAAGTCGCAGACAAAGGAGCTCTACCTCGCTCGTCAAGTCGAGGTGCAGCCTTGCTTCAATCTCAAGTTCATCGCCGAGCTCAGCGACATCGCTGCCGCCAACTTGCTCGAGCTGGAAAACCTCTCACATGGTCGGTCTTTGAACGAGACCATCGGCGCCAACGGCACCAGCCTCTCCTCGGACAACCGCCTCGACTTTGCCGCTGCACAGAGTCAGGACTTTGATGCGCTTGCCGATCTCGAGGCCAATCTGGCCGAGGCGGTCAAGGCAGGCCGAGTCGCTCCTGCCACCGAAATGATCCGCATCGCGGCACAGAACGAAGATGCCACCAGTGTCTCGCGTATCGTATGGCGTGCTCTGCTCGAAGCGCCTCACAATGCAGTGCGCGCCGCCCTCGAACATCATCTTGCCGACTACAAGTTCGTGGACGACATCAGCTCCCGAACGTGTCTGCACGAAGCGTCTATGGCCGGCAAGCTCTACCTCGTCCAGGCGTGTATCGAGAATGGCGTCGACGTGGCTCAACAGGACATCTACGGCCGCACTGCACTCTCCTACGCCGCCATGGCAGGGCACACAGAAGTCTGCCAATACCTGCTCTCGCTGCCTTCCATCTCCGCTGCCACCTACGATCTCGACGGCTTCTCTCCGCTGATTCTCGCCGTCATGAACGGCCGCACCGACGCTGTTCGCATCCTGCTCGATCACGGTGCCAGTGTCGAGTCGCGAGATGCTACCGACCTCATCCCGCTCTGTCTCGCCAGCTCTGGCGGCCACGCCGACATTGTCAAGCTGTTGTTGCAAAAGGGTGCCAAGATTGTCTCCAACGCGGAAGGCCTGTATCCTCAGGCGCTTGCCGCACGTGCCGGGCACGCTGACTGTCTTCGCCTGCTCGTCGAATCCGGCGGTGACCCGAACGCACCTGAGAAGGGAACACAATGGACGCCTACCTTCTTCGCCGCCGAGAGTGGTCACGTCGACTGCCTCAAGGTGCTGCTCAACGCAGGCTGCAATGTCAACATCGTCGACGAGAAGGAGCGAACCGCCGCCTTCTACGCCGCGTGGAACGGAAAGATCGCTTGCTTGCTATTGCTCCTCAAAGCAGCGCAGCAGCAGCAAATGCCACCACCACGCCAGGTCAAAGCCGCTGCGGCCAAAGCTAGCACGTCGAACGACGCGATGGATGACCTCGACCTCGAGATCGACGGCATTCCCGATCTGTCGCTCCCGCCTCCCATCATCCCCTTCCGCACCTACGGCCACAACTACCTCGACAAGCGGGCGCTCGTCTCGGTCTCCCTCACCAACAACTCGGTCAAGCTCTACAAGCACCAAGACCCAAATCGTCCGGAACAATTTTCAACATCGTCGCTCAAACTCGTCATGACGTCGCGGCCGGACGCATCGACCACAGCCATCCCACACAATGTCGTACTGCCGCTCGCCGATGAGCGCGAGGTCTTCTCCTTCCAAGTGAACAGCTTGGAGAGCTTCTCGATCGAGTGGGAGCTGATGCCCACGTTCGGGTCCAAGGTGATCGGCAAGGCGGTCGCGTTACCGAGCTCGTTCGAGGGTATGACGGATCGCAAGCGCTTCGTCCTACCGCTGCAGGATGTGTACCTCAAGGTGGTGGGAGAAGTGTCGTTCGAGCTCGATTTCGTCAAGCCGTTCGACAGTGTACAGCTCGAGATCGGCGGACGGGTCGAGACGTACTGGAAGAGCATGTTGCCCGGTGTAGCGGCTGCTTCGACTGTTGGGCCGACGAGGATGACGCCCAACAGCGGTGTCAGCGGGATTGGTGGGCCGCTGAGCAGCTCGACGGCCGCAGCTGGATCGACGCCAGCGGGTGCAGACAAAGCTTCGGCGGCCATCACCAGCGGCAATGGCGCGAGCGCGACGCCATCCGCTGGATCTGCTGGTGCTGCAGCCGCTGCACAACCGACACTGGTTACAGGATCTTCGCTTGCCGGAGAGTACTTGCGGGTTGTGGTGCAAGTGACCAAGGACGCAACAGCGATAGTCTGGCCTGCGCCATTCATCCCTCTCCCCGGCCTGCAAGTCTACGTGGGCAGTGTCAAGTCGGACGAGCTTCTCTCGCTCGCCACCTCCACCGGCCACTCGCTCGACTGGACTCCGGCACAAGCAGCTTCCGCCTCGTGGGCGGACTGGCAGCGAGCGCTCTCCACCTCCGTCGTAACCCTCGAGAAGCTCCTCTCGCTGCTCCCCGTGACGGTCGGCATCGACATCGACGTGATGTACCCCTCAACCGCCGAGGTCCGCTCCAACCCAGGCATGCCCAAGATGGAAGTCAACCAGTTGGTCGATACGATCCTGCACACGGTCTACGCAGCTGGTACGAGCAATCGGGAGCAGAGTCGCAAGATCCTCTTCTCATCCCGATCGCCGACAGTGTGCACAGCGTTGAACTGGAAGCAGCCCAACTACGCGGTTTTCTTTGCGTCCTTCTGCGGCATTGATGGACTTGCCAGCGAGAGAGGGGAGTTGTTGCCTTCGACGAGACACGAGACGGATCCCAGAAGGGAGAGCATATCCGAAGCGGTACGGTTTGCAAAGTCGAATAATTTGTTGGGCATCATGGTGGATGTGGCGCTGCTAAGACATGTGCCGCATCTGGTGGAGAGCGTTAAGGCGTCAGGACTGTTGTTGATCACGATTGGGAAGTTTGGGCAAGGGGCGATAGGCGGGGATGAAGAGGTGGTGGATGTGGACGGCGAGGTGGACGAAGGGATTGTCGTGTGTAAGAGTTAGAAGTTTCTAATGTCATATTGTCAGCATTTCATGGTCTCTACCACTGAAGAAAGAGAGTTTGAGTTGATCAATGTGGTGCGGATTGCGAGAAGGGGCGGTATATAGTACATGAGCGGGAGTCGGGCGAAGGGGTGTGCAGACGGTCGTAGATGCAAAGCGTACGTGGTGGAAAAGGATCCGAGCAGCATCCTGCTCATCGTCTCCTCTTGGCCTTGCCGTTATTCTTGCTCTTATGCGCATTGAACAGGCTGTTACCGCCGGAGTTCTTGTACCTCTTGAGACCCCTGCCGGTTCTGTACTCCTCCCTTCTCGAATTCCTCGGTCCTGAGGTGGAGATCTTCTTCTCTCCACCCTCCGTTGGCTCCGTTGCCACCTTTGGCTCTGCTACGTCCATCATCGTCTCTTCCTCTTCCTCGTCCTCGGTGGACTCAACGGGCACCTTGTCCTTCTTCAAGCCCTCAGTGAGGCGGGCGGAGAGCGCGTTGACACGCGCAGCTTCCGCAACGGCATAATCGCTCTTGGGGTTGGTGCGCTTCTGATTGCGCGCCTTGAGCTTGCTGCTCGATCGGAGGGATTTGGCCATCGTTGTTGGTGTCCCTGTGTGACGGTATTACGTGGATCGACTTGGTGGCTGTTGCAAGGATCAGCTGGCCTTCGTGAGGTGAGCTTCTCTCTTCTTGCGTGTTGGGATTCAAGTGGACGTCGTTGGGTCGAGAGTGCTTGGTTTGACGGTGAGAAGCGGTGATGGTGTCTACAATGATGGTGAGTGCAACTTGTTGAGGAACCCTTTCTGACAGCGTAAATTTTCCCCTCTCGAAAAGCGAGCTGCAGGACTCAAAATTCGAGCACGTTTCTCGGATTGCGGGATACCCCATCCACCTTGTTAAATCGGGAAGTGAACGCTGGCAACTTGACCTTGCCCAACTAACTCTCCCTTGCCGTCCACGAGGTCAGGTCCGCAAGCTGCGACAGCATATAAGGTCAGATGGGAGAGCGTCGAGGTGGACTTGAAACGCGGCACTCGGATCAAGGGGACGATGCCAAGGCCAGGCGCGGATCCCGTCTTTTGAATGGCGCCGGTTTTGCGTAAGCGAAGCGAGTCTACCACCTTTTTTGACAGCGTGCCACGTTGGATGCGCGCTCCCCCTCGGCCCTGACCGAGCACCGCTTGATATTTGTGCGCCTTTCAGCTTCATCACAGCCAGATTCTCACTACAAACCGTAATCAATCCGATCGAATGTCCAAGGTCGTGGGAATGTGACTGTCAGCGACGTCGGCGTTCCAGAATTGGCTGACGTGTGTGCCTGAAAGCAATTCTGACTTTGGGTCACGTTGAGCAGCGCGTGATGCGCTTCCCCGCCCCACGGCCCAACTCTCGCCCTGTATCGAGCATGAATGGCGGGGCAACACGATGGTTGCAAACACTGTCTTTGCTTGGTCAACAAACAGCATGCCTATGCCAAGACGTCACACTGCTGACCAGGATGCACAATATCTCAGGGCGTTGCAAACTGACCCGTTTCCACACAGAGCACCATCTAGGGTTGCCGCCGCCTTTGGCGAGCAGGCGAGGTGAGATGGTATCTGCGCGTATGCTCATGTGAAAAAGTTAGGGTCCAAACCCTGCTTTTTAGCAGCAGCCCCTGCGTGCGGTTCCGTCCTCTGAGTCGCAGTTCATTCCAAAAATTGCGTCCAGTCTGGTCGGCTTTGACTTTCAAGCGGACTGCAGCTCGCTTCTGCCGGTTGCCATTGTTCCCATCGTCCCCCTCATTGTTCCTTCAGTCATGTTCACCGTCTCTCCTTCCTGATGACTTTCATCGGCGGCCCATATCACCGACCACTTGTAGCTTCCTTGTCACCGTCCAACTCCCTTTAACCTCCTTCTTGCAGCTATTGTCTTGCGGAAGAGACCCCGCGCTCCCTTTTCCCCTACCGCAGCTCATCGCACGACAACCTCACTCGACCCAACACCGACCCAACCCAACTTCGGCACTGCCTTCTCAAACATCGACCAGGTCGTCCGCTTGACTTCGCTGCTCGCGTCTTTCTTCCACCTTGGTATCATTTCGAGTGTCTTTGCTTCGGCGCTTCAGCTTCGACCCTCGCCTCGCGCATCGTCTCCGGCTACGACAAGCACCATCAGTGACGCCGCTCCCCTCTCGCTGAGCCAGGCCTGCGCAGGCGCACGCGATTGCTCAGCACCCCAACTACCATCAGCTTCACCGAACATATCTTTTCACGATGCGAGAAACAAAGCTTCACATCCCCATGACCACCGCCACAGGCGAGACGATTGGCATCGTCGGCATCCTCGCCCAAGCCGCGCTCCCACCGCACAACCCACAGGAACACGAGCCGCATCCCATGTACACCTCCCGATCCACCACCTCGCCCATCGAGCCGCTCCCCTACCACCCTGCCCCACTGTCCCGCCCGGACATCGCCAACGACCCGTCCGGCTCGCTCTCGCATCTCAGCAAGCGTCTCGTCTCGCACGAAGAGGATCCGGCCACCATGCAACGCCTGCGCAACAAGGACCAGGCGTTCAAGCGTCGCGGCTACCCACTGTACCCCATCGACAAGCGCGACACGCGTGGACTCAAGATCGCCATCATCCTCCACGGCGTCCTAGCACACAAGGATCAGATCTATCACAAGCAGCTCGCGCGCGCCCTACCCGTCGACTCGTTCCGCTTCGACTTCCGAGCGAACGGCGAAACACCCGGTACGTGGTCCATGGGCAACCTCGCCGATGACGTTGAGGACCTCGTGGCGGTAGTCGACTACCTGCGCACCAAGCTCGAGTACACCGTGGAGATTGTCATCGCACACAGTCGTGGTGCGCTGGACGGCTTTGCGTGGTTTGCGAAACACTGTCCAGATGCGCTACCGCCGAGTTTGAGGGTACCGTTCTTTGTGGGTCTCAGTGCACGGTTTAATATGGCCAACATTCTGGAGCGCGATCCAAAGTTCCTCTCCGCCTTTGCCAAGGAGGGGTTTGTCCGATGGCAAGCAAGGGTGGCGGGACACGATAAGGAGTTGCACGTGTTTCCGGAGCAGGTGGAGCAGTTTGCTGCCTGGCCAACGAGGGAGATCGCGCTGGCATTTCCGTACAACACCGACGTACTGCTGATTCACGGCACGGCGGACAAGAGCGTTCCTGCCAGCGACGTCGCTTCGTATGCCAACATTCTGAGCGGGGTGCACCGGAGACCCGGGAGTTGTTCGGTAAAGCTCATCGATCACGCAGACCATTTGTTCAGAGGGTTCTATCCGCAGGTGGTGGAGGCGATCGTCGAGTGGTTGGCCGAGAGGAGCGAGTTGACCAAGATGGGGTTGAGCGCGGCGGCGTTGCGAGACAGGGAAGTGTTGGGATTAGCGAGGTTCAATCCAAGTCACTTTGCCCAAGGGAGAGTGGGGGGGACGGGGATGTGGGACAACAACCTCGCCGGGGCAGGGTCGGCGAGGAACGGCGGGACCGGTCAGGGTGCGCCATGGTTGGACACGAGCAGCACAGCAGCGACAACATCGCCATATCAGAGGTACGTCGCTGCGTCGGTAGGCGTGCCCGCAGCGCAGCAGCAGCAAGCACAGCCCGAAGAGCCGCAACAGCCACAGCAGCGCAGTCCAGCGGAAGAGCTGAGGCTCGCCGAAGAGGACGCGGCCAACACGACCAAGGACCTCGTCGCCAAGGCGGCCAAAAGACTCGGAAAGCCAATAGGCACCGTCGTGGAGGCACGATCGGGTTCGTCACCAATACCACCGTCAAGCAGCTCCAGCAAAGACAGGTCGAAACCAGCGCCGCCAGACGAGCACAAGTCGACGAGCATTCCGATATCGGTCTCTTCGCAAAGGGCAAAGTCGCGGTTGTAACGCCGGTCCGGCGCTCGGCATCCTTTATGGACTGGCCGTCACTCTCGCATCCCGATTCGTCGTGACGTTCGTGGGTCCAGTCATGCTTCTGGCACTTTCGTTCTGCATCTCATCATCGTTTTCGTCTTCTATCTCGTCATCTTCTCAAGGTCTCCTGCACAGTGTATTCTTACTTCTCGCCCTTCGCATGCCGTGGAATTGCAGCTTAATCGTCACCATCCAATCGATCAGTGCTGTGAGAGAGGGGTGTGTCAAGGTTCGTCGTCGGAAGAGTCGCTGATGGTGATAGCTGAGGTGCGCGGTCTGCTCGGACCCACGGACCTGGCCAGGGATGCGCCGAATTTCGGCGCGTTCATCGCCGTCTCACGCTCGTCATCCGAATCGGGCTCGGCAAGGGCTCTTTGACTAGACGTCTTCCTGCGTGTAGGTGAAGCACGCAGCTTTTTCGGTGATTTGGTGTGTCGACCCGATGCGGCGTCGCTGTCCGACGTGGGGGGTGGGGTGGAGGACCGTTCGTGCACGTCGCCCGCCGACGCGCGGACGGACGACACAAAGGAGCCGAGGAACTCAATGCTCGAATCCATCTCGTCCACTTCTGGGTCTGCAGTTGTCGGAAGGGAGATGTGACGATCGAGCCCTTTGCGTGTGCCCAAGCCGCCCGTTGCGACGGGGACAGATTCCGTTCGTCGCATGCCTCGCTTCTGCAGGCCGGTTGGGACGAGCAGCTGACGCGGTGTGCGTGATGCGCTGCTTCCCACTGTATCCGATGGAGCAGCAGCAGCAGCGGTGAAGCTCGGAGCAGGAGCAGGAGCAGCGAAGCTTGAAACAGGAGCAGCGGCGGCGAAGCTTTTGCCCATCGTGAGCTTTTGTGCCAACGATGGCTTGGTTGGCCTGACGAACGAGGTCAACGTCATCTGCCCGCTCTTGGACTTTGGTGCTTTCTTGGCTTTCGATGCAGCAGCTTTACGCTCGACCTCCTGCAAGAACGCGGTCAGCAGCGAAGCGCCGCTATAGCTCAGCCGAAGAAGCGGTTCGGGGATCCACATCAAGAGGGGTGCGTCCGGCGACGGCTTTGCTGTGCCTGGTTTGCGCCGAAAATTCTCCTCCTCATCAATGTCGGGGGTGTCCGTATACGAGCCGTCGTGGAGTGCTCGGCTGGCTGCGAGCTCTGCATCAAGCCGCGGGTCTATCCCCGCTTCCGCCGCGCGCGCGTGCTCCTCCATCGACATGAGGACGCGAAAGTCAAGGAAGGGGTCGAGCGCCGCGTGCCGTCGCTGCATCTTGATGGCCAGAATGTCGACCGAGCGCATTTGGGAGGTGTGACTGCCTGACGGCTCGAAGACTGGGTCGGCAGGCGCAGAGGCAAGGGCGGTCTTTGCAAAGAAGTCGGTGATGCGTGTTGCGTTCGGACTCTCGTGCAAGGGTCGCTGCTTTTTTGGACCCACGGAAGCGGCGGTGGTGTTGGACGTCGTACCGGCATCAAGCCCGAGCATATGCCGTCGGACACTTTTGCTCGCCGGACTTTCGACGAGTGCACCCCAGGGTCCCTCGTCCGCCCCTCCGTTGTGCTCGAGCACCTCCTGCCGCAGTCGTCGCACCACCACTCCCGGTCCGAGGATCGTGCGGAACTTGCCCAGGATGGCCTCCTTCGACCAATTGAAGTAGATTTGCGACAGGCGCGCCAGACGCCCCAGATCCGGTCCCGCCAGCTTCTGCACCAGGTCCACCGTCTTGCTATCGCTCTTTGAGGTCAATGGGTAAACGTAGAACGCCAGCACCATGCGCGATTCCTTGGTGGACAGGAAATGGTCTTCGATGGTCGATGCGAGCTTTGGTCGTCTTGACGGAAGGAAGCCGCGCTCGTTGGTGCGAAGCTCTTCACGCACCTCCTCCAGCCATGTTGCCAGAAATGATGCAAAGGTGGGACAAGACTTGGACGCCGAGCCCTGGTCCGGATAGGAACGCTTGAATGCGTGGATGAGTGTCGTGCCGAATCCGCCGCGCGCGAGGGCAAGCGCGATCTTGACACCACAGTTCAGCAGGCCGGTGGTATCGTAGTCTCCGCCAGACATGAGGGCGATCAGGATGAGGCCATCACGGTCGATGCCCATGTCGTCGCCGGCGAGATCGACAGCGTTGTACAGGGTGATGAGGTGGTCACGGTCCGATCCAGAGAGCTGGACTTTCGAGGTGGACGCCGTAGCTGGAGCTTCGTGCGAACCATCTTCGAAGACGTCGCTGCTGGTGGAAGTGGTGCGGCTGAGCGCTTTGGTGCCGGACAGATTCTTGCCCCAGTTGCGAATGAGCACCTGAGTCCCGAAGAGCAGTGCATCTGAATCGTCTGTCAGGACAGCATCGACAAACCCCGCCTGGTTAAGGTAGGCCAGCTCCGCCTCGGCTTCACCAGGCGCACGACGCCATTGGTACCCAAACGCTTCGATGAGCTGAGTAAACGGCTGCTCGATAGCGTGTTCTCGACCTTGAACCTGCTTGCCTCTCTTCCAGGTCGGTCGGCTTGGCCCGTCGAAGACGAAGAGAGGTAGGACGGGCAAGCTGAGCAGCTTGGCTAGTCGGTAGAACAACAGCCGCAGATATGGGTTCGCACCGCCGGAGCTCTGCTGAGCGTGAAACAGCCAGAGAGATGCATCGATGCCAAGACGAAGGCCTCGAAGCTCGTTCTTGTTTCCGACGAAGGTCGTGAGGCAGTACGAAGGGAGGGTTGTGGTCTGGGCCGCGGGAGCCAGCTCGGCCCAGAGTCCTGGGATGCCCATTACGTCATGCTTCTGCGTTGCGGTCGGCCAGGTTCGGTAGGGCGCCGCAAACGATCCGGATGTCGTCCTGTTCAGAAGATGATGGTGCTGAAGAAGTCGCCAAGGTGTTGTTCGTCCAGGATCAGGAGCTGAGTGCGAAAGCGGAACGGAAGGTGTTGTTGTTGATGAAGGCGCGTTTGATATGCAGCGTCAAAAAGGTGACACAAAAATGGATTTTGGACCCTGAATCGAGATCAGCTGGGCGTGCAGCGTAGGGGCGTGTACGACCGCCGCCTAACGACGGTTGCCGAGGCCGGCTTCTTCTACTTGCTCCGCACCATCATCAAGAGCGTGGTAAGCAAGCGCTTGTTCTACTTCCACCATCAAAAGCATCGGTTCATCGCCGGGCTGCTTATCTTCAAACAGAGATATGTCGGTCCCTGGCCTCGACAGCGCGTCGCAAGCGCAGTCCGCCAACGGCTCCACCTCCAACTATGACCTGCTGCTGCCTCTGCAGGGTCGCATCCGACCGCGCCGTCTACACCTGTCAGCATTCACTCCAGAGACACACGAAGGAAGCGTGCTGGCGTACCTGGGCATTCCCTTCGCTCAGGCACCGATAGGCGAACGTCGCTGGCAAGTGCCTCAAGGCCCTTTGCCGAGCTGGTCTGCAACGAGGGCCTCGAAATGGCAGTCGGACCCACATCAAGACTTTGCTTCAATGGAGGGCATGTACAAGGGTCGAAAGAATGCCAAGACAGCGATACCACGAAGCGAGAACTGCCTCTACCTCAACGTGTGGGCGCCAGAGACGGTCGACGATGCCAAGAGACCCGTGCTGGTGTGGATCTATGGCGGGGCCTTCTCGGTCGGCAACTGTTCTCGACCCTTGCACGATGGGGCGAGGTTGGCGCACGAGAGCGGCTGCATTGTCGTCTCGCTGACATATCGAGTTGGCGCGATGGGTTTTCTCGGATCACGAACCCTGGCTAACAGCGCAGCGGGAGAGTGGCCGCTAGTGACGCTCGAGGCACTGCGGAGCAAGCCCTCGGCCAGCGACAGTATCGGCGTGGGTGCGGGCAACTGGGGCCTCTGGGATCTTGTGAGTGGCTTGCTTTGGGTGCAGAACTCCATCTCGGTCTTTGGCGGCGATGCCAACAATGTCACGGTCTTCGGCGAAAGCGCAGGGAGCATCGCCATCCACTACCTTCTCTTGTCGCCCTGCGTCCCTGAGGGTGTCTTCCACAAGGCGATTCTCGAGAGCGGTGTGGTGGCTACTCTCGTTCCGCGCACGACACAGGCAGTGCAGGCGACGTGGGACTTTCTCGTTCGCTCGCTATGTCCTCACCATCTTCAGGATGACGAGGCGGCGCAGCTCGAGTATTTGCGGACACGAGTCAGTGCCGACGACATTGCTACGTGCTTGCGACCCTTGGTAGGCAAACGACCCCGATCCGAATACACGCCGACGCTGTCCGAGCTGCAGCGCTTGCCTCAAGCCCGAGAAGACCTGCAAACCGAGGCGTTTGGTGTGACCGACCAGTGGGGCCCTGTATGGGACGGTGTCTTTGTAGATGCCGACTTTGTCGAGCGGGCATTCACTCCACTTCCCCCTAGAAGCAAGCTCCGGAACGGTCGAAGCGGCATCGCGGTCGGCATGTGTGCAGATGAAGGCACGATGTTCAACTTCCTGATCGCCACTGCGCAGTCGCTGGCAGCTCATCAGGACCTCTTCCATCCTGCCCTGTCGTCCGATCTGGGCCGCGTCTATGGCTTCGACACTCGCGAACTGAAGACAATCAAGGCAAGTGGAAGCGAAAAGGCGCGACGGGACCAGCAAGCGTTCTACACCTGCGCCACCTATACCGGAGACACGCAGTTCACCGCCCCAATTCTGGACTACATGGCCATGCACAGCGGACTATCGGCCCAAGCAGAGCACGTCGACGTGTATGGCTACCTCTTGGCGTACAGACCGTCATCAAGAATGCTCGAGGCGCTGACTGTGGTGCCCGAGATGACGGAAGAGTGGGCCGCTTTCCACACGCTCGATATCCCGTTCGTGTTCGGATTGGTTGGCTCGCCTGACGTCGACGGTCATGCTTTTGTGTCCGAGATGTCGGAGTATGGCGTCGATCCGGATGAGGATGATGGTAGCAAGATGGCGCCTGGAACAGCACCGCCGACGGCTTCGAAGGGGATGACCAAGGCAGAGAGGGAGCTCAGCCTGTACATGATGCGAACGTGGACCACCTTGGCACGGTTGCCAACGACGGAAGACGGTGGTCGGGAAGGGGTCAAACTACCTGATGGGTCGACCTGGCTTCCCCTCCGCTCTTATAGGGCAGATTCAGAAGACCCAGCCTCGATTGACAACATTCATCTTCTCGCTATCGGCGATGCTCCGCAAGCGCCCGTAAAGGTACGAGCAAGACCGGCGGATGAGCCGATCCGTGTCTACCAGACTGCGCTCTCACAGCATCCCTTTGCTCAGCAGCGACCTGTCGCCGGTGAAGCCAGTAGCCTGCAAGAGCGAGTCGATTTCTGGATGCACAAGCCCATCACCGGCACAGCGGCCAAGTCGGACGCTTCCGAGGGTGACAAAGACCAGCTTCGGATGTGCCGATATCTCCAGAACTACTACGGATTTTTGTCCACGCCGCCTCGCTTCATATCCTGGTCAGCGGCCTAGAACAGGGTTCCCACCGCTCTGTCATCTTGTAGACATGCATCGCTGTCATCATAGACAGGCTCGACTGATGGACGGTACTCAATCTGCTCTGCCATGCCAACGATCGCACACTTTTTCCAAAATTCAAGCTTCTCCGCGGCATTTGCGCTCCCTTTTTTCGGCGCGCGATGCACGATGTGCTGCTGACAGCTGCATGATGAGTGGAGGACAAAGCAGCCTTTCCCCACACACCCTGCTTTGATGACGCCGTCCTTTACGACTTCGCCATCTTGGCCCCAAATGATGCCGCCTTTGCAGAGCTGTGCTTCGGGATCATTGAGAGGGAGCTGTCAAGATGGAGAACGATATCTGGTCTTGGAAGAACCTGCCTCGCTGGACGATGGGACGATGGAAGAAAGAGCTGACCGCGTGGGCCCACTGGATTACAAATCGAGCTCGTTTCCAGCGATCGTGGCTGCCCCAAGCGCAAAAAGCAAGAGGGCCGCGCTCTCTCCGCTCCGCCGCTCCACCTTTCAGTTAGCGCAGCGGATCATCATGCTGACAATTAGCAGCTCTTCTTCCGCTTGTCTCAGCAGCGAGCAACGTGCACTTACGACCCTTTGGCGCGCTCGCACAGCCTACCAACCGAATCTATATAGCTGCTGATCCTTTCCTCTTTCCTCTTCACGTCTTTCTCACAATCTCAACCATCCCCGGCTGCCGTATCTCACTGCGACAATGAGGTTTGCATCTCCCTCGAAGGTCCTCGTGGCCTCGCTCTGCGCAGCTGGCGTGCAGGCCGCTCCTGCCATCGACCAGCTCGTCTACAACTCTCCCGCTCCATCTGGCCTCGAGGCTCTCACCTTTGGTCTCTCGTCCAAGCTCTCCTCGGCCTTCAACAATGTCCTCTCGCACGTCTCGCGCCCCGCCGCGGCCACCTACGAGGACGAAGGAAAGACCATCTGGGAAGTCATCAACGCGGACGAAGAGTTCAAGCAGCTCGCCCACGTCCTCAACTATTCTTCGGATGCCACCAAGGACATCCTCAAGAAGAAGCAGAATCTCACCTTTTTCGCTCCCCTCAACTGGCATCACCACCGCGATGGCGGCGATGACGACAAGGACGCCTTCTCCGACTTGTCATTCGGACCTGCTTCGATGCAGGAGTGGGGCCGTATCCAGAAGCAGATCGCCGACTACGAGCGAGACTACAGCGCCGAGTCCAGCGACCACGACGACGATGACGATGACAAGGAGAAGAAGCGTCGCCGCGAGCTGATCCGTCACCTCATCGACGCTGCTGCCCTCTACCACCTGGTTCGCTCCGACACTGTGCTTGACGCCAAGGCCATCGCCGACAACTCGAGCGTTGCTACGCTGCTCAACACCGGCAAGTCTCACGCCAACAACGATGGCACCGACTGGCGTGTTCGCACCGGCAAGAGCCTACTCCCTCTCCCTGCCGTCTACCTCAACTTCTATTCGCGCATCGTCAAGCCCGACATCCGCACGAGCAACGGTATCATCCACGCCATCAAGTACCCTCTCATGCTGCCTCCCGATGTGCTGCAGGCGCTCTTCTTCGGCCAGACCACCTTCTCCACCTCGACGTCGGGTCTGCAGAAAGTGCATGCTGCCAAGTATCTCACCTACCGACCTTGGCACTCGCACCACGGCCACCGCCAGCACCATGGTCACGAGCACGATGGCAAGCACGCCATCTCGGCTTGGCACCACGAGACCAATGGTACCTTCAACGGCGTCCCTGCCGAGACGGTCTTTGTCCCCTCGAACCTGGCCTGGTCGCGTCTGCCGTTTGTGTTCCGCGCCTACCTCTTCTCGCCCTGGGGCTACCACCTGCTCCAGAAGGTGTTCATGCTCCACTCGCTCCCCTCGGACATTGTCTACGCCGATTTTGTGCACCATGTCAAGCACTCCGGCAAGGCGGCTCCCGAAGCGGTGCACACGACAGTTGAGGGCGGTCGCGCCAACAAGACCTCATACACCTTCGACACGGTTTTGCCTGCCATCCACGGCAAGAAGGGCGAGTTCGAGACCCTCGATGTCGACGTCTATCGCTACTACCTGCTCCCCGGTGGAAAGGGCCCGCTCCAGACCAGGATGGTGGTGCAGAACGTCTCGATCATTCTGCAGGACATTCCGGCTAGCAACGGTGTCTTCCACACCATCGACAGGATTCTCAAGCCCAAAGGTCATCCTGAGAAGGGCATCTGGGCCGAGGTCGCTGCTGCCGCAGAGGAGGCTGGCTTTGGTACCGTCGACCTGCACGCCGAAGCCCAGGCTGACTTGTGGTAAGCGACGACAATCGAGATCGGCTTAAACTACGTAGTGCTGCTACAAGTATTCTCAGCGGACGGATGCCACTCATCTCTTGCTCGCAATTCATCCTACCTTCCGGATCATGGTGACCGTGATACTGAGTGCGTCTCGAGAGTGTTGCGGTATGACAGCTGTGAAGACCACGGAGAGAAAGGCTGTCCCGGCCGGAAACGCATCCTGAGCTCTAACAAAGCGGCGCAAATGCAAGCCGTTGGTCGAGGTCACGCCATCCGATTGAACGCAAAAGCGCATCTCGAGCGAACCGCAGCGCTGATGGCGCGTGGGGGAGCCAATCAAGACCAGCCTTGGCAAGATGGCACAACGCCAGGTGATTGGATCCAGGCACACAGATTGGGGCTGCAAATTCAATCGGCGCTTTGGACGGCCTCTTTCTGCATTTGTGATTCGTAGGAGTGCAAATTGCAGGCGTGGCCCCCACCGACTGCTCACACTAAGTTACCGCACTGTTTCCATCCTTCTCCTGGCGAGCTCGCAAGCTACGTGGGCCCACGGGTTGTGTTCCATTGTTCTCCAGCCTCGGCAGCCGTGAGCCGATTCAAAAGGGACCAATTGCCTTGCCGATGGGAGAACAATGGATGGAATGGAAAGCGGGTTCAGCGAAGAGCACAATCGAGTGTCGAGTCATCACTCAAAACGCATGAAATGGGGCCTTGCAGGGCGACCTTGCGGATGGGAAAATCCAAAAAGGCACGCGCCGACTCGGTCTCACCACAATCCGATTGAAGGCCTCGCACCAGCCGAAACGGGCTACTTCATAAATGGGCTCTTTATTCGCCCTGCTTCTCATCGGATCGTCTCCGAATGGATCTGCATAGTCCGAGCATCGAGAAGGAGGGTGACTGAGGCCGATGGGAGCATTTCGAGGGTCGGAGGAGCCGCTCTCGTGGGAAAGGGCCACACGCGATCCATGCGAGCGTGCGGATGACTCGACCTTCTCAGAAAGAAGTGTGTGTGTGCCGCCGCATCTCCTCATCCTCGGATCGCTGCCGACGAGCGGGATGTCAAATAGGCTCTCTGATCGCGTCAATTTTGCGTCGCGTAAGACGGCCTGCTCCATGGATCAGCCATCGTGTTCGCCAGGCCGGCACAACGACGTAAGGCAGCCGAGGTCGCTATGTCCGATTCCTCGCAAGCCTCCGTTGGAAGACACGCCTTGACGACGTGGAATCCCTTCAGCATCATCCTGCCGATAACAATCGTGATGTCCTCCGTCACTGTCACAAGCCGGCAACACCGAGAGCCTATCGGCGGCTGTGCCTTGCATGAACCATACGGAGGGGCGCTCTCCGTAAGGAACAAGCTGAGCCGTGTTGACAACGTGTACCATTTGTGCATGATCCACCGTCGCCTGATCGTCTCAACCCGCCGGCTAAGTTATGACAGTGCCTCTCACAGCCCGCTTGACTTCCAAAGAGCTCGCTGGTCTTGATCCATCTCCTGGACCAAACATGGCGCAACCTGTCCTGTGACATCTGGACGGCCCGAGTTGCACTCGTGTAACCCAAGCGGCTGCCAGGGTGAGAATCGAGTAAAGCATGCTTCCATACGGACGCAAAACCTCAAAGTTGCTAAATCGACGCGAAGAGCAAGCAGCCGCTCTTTTCACCGGGAGCCTGGTGATGATTTGCGGGTCTCTCCTCGCTCTATCTGCTCCTCGCCCTCTCGGCTCTGGCTTGCATCGCGAGGCCGACTGGTGTCATGCTGCGATACGGACCCTCTGTCTGTCCACCACCCTTTTGGAGCCTCAGAGGATCCTGGCGTTTGCACCGGCACCACCGCTTCAGCATTTCATCTGGCTCGCAGCGCAATCGTGGTTCACATTGCAGACGAGAGGGACGGTGACTGTGCAACAACGCAGGCCGAGTAGGCGCTCCAAGCGGGCGTGGGAAATACTCGTACCATGCAGTTGCCAGTGCGAGGTGGGCTCGTGAGACAGCTGTCCATACGGCTCGTGACTTGGGATTGAGTTCGACCGAGTTTGACGCTGCTGCCTGACGCCAGTCTCGGATCGCGCCCATGTTCATTTTCAATCACCCTGATTTTTTTTGGGCGTCTCGCCTGTCAACTTGGAAACAAAGCGATCAGGCTCTTCACCTGTCTTCTTTTCGAGGCGATCCTTTTGGACCATCGTTCTGGCGAACAGGGAGTGTCCCTCGTTTTGTGTTTGCTCGGTTGACTGCTCTTTCGCCTGAGAGCAAGCAAACATGATTCCTGTCCCTGATCTTCTGCTTTTCTTCCCGTCTGTGATCCTCCCTCGAGACTGCCGTCTGCTGCCCTTTCCCTTATAACACGAGCCTTCCCTCTTCCCATACCTCGCTCCCTTCTTTCCTCCATCTTCTCCAGATTCCTTCCAACCAACACCATCTCAATCAGTCTATCTTCACCTCGAAGATCTCTTGACTTCTACGGAAATCGATCTCTGCTCCGCTACAGATTTCCGTTGTTCACCACCTCTGCCTAACGTATCGCTCCAAGCGATCTCACTATTTCCTACAGCTGCTTTTTCACCCCTGACCACGTAGCTGGCCCACCATGTTCTTCTAAACGGTCTCCCCGTCTAGACGCGCTTGATTCTTTCTCGTTACACGAAGAAAGGACAGACTCCCTAACTCCATCGTTACAGCCTCTCCCCCCTACCACCACTTCCACATTGTATTCCAATCTCCCTACCGGGTTGATTTCTACGTTGTCTTCTCTGACCAACAACACCACCGTCAACTTGACAGCTCCTACTAAGCTGTCCTTAAACTCGCCAATATGGTTACCCCCACTACCCAGTGCAAGCCTCGCCTCGGCCACCAACAACAATCAAGTCTCCAACAAGCTCCCCAACAGTCACTCGAACAGTGCCAAAACACCCTTTTTGAAAGGTGCCCACCACCCGACCAACGATAGCGCGTCTGCTTCCTCAAGCAACCCTTTTTTGAAGAACTTTTCTCACCATCACAACAGCACAACACCCAGTGTCGCTGCCCCTATCTCTCTGCGTGCCCATCTCGAAGCCGCTATCTCGAACCCATCGTCTGCGTCTGCGCAAGCCAACTTGCTGAACCACCTTCAGTCTACCCTGGCCGCCGTCCGTCCCCTGCCCCGATCCCAAGCCGCCGCTACCACTACCCCTGCTAGCCCGGCCCACGCCTCCACGCCAGCCACCCAGCCTACATTTGCTCCAGTGCCAAGCATCACCCCTGCTGCTGTCGCTTCTGCTCTTGCTGCCGCTACCGTCGCTGGTCGTCGTCACACTCTGTCCTCTACTCCCGTTCCTCCTGCCGCCTCACACATCACTGTGGCTCAGAAGCAACGCCTAGAACAGATCCGATACTATCAACAGCTCATCGCACAGCTTAACGCAACGATGCCTGCTGCTACTGATGGCTCGGTCCCGACGCTGCCTTTCGAGGCGCGTCCCATGGACTCTATCAAGACCGAACCCGCCGGTTTCAACGCCGCCGCGTTCGGACTCAACCCCATGTCTGCTGACGACCCCTCGTGGATCGGACACGGATTCCAGGCTGCCGCCGCCGAGGACTTCCTCTCTTCACCAGAGTGGACCGACCCTTCGCCGGCGCTGACTGACTCGATGTCTTTCGAGATCAACTCGTGCGACCCCAGTCCGCTGCTGCCTCTCGACAGCTACGAGGATGATTTCGGAGTGCCCGGCATCGCCGGCGCTCCCCTCTTCCCTCCTCAGGATGGATACGCCTCGTCCAACGTGAGCCCGCTCGAGCTCGCTCACTCGGACTTTGGCACCACCACGGTCGGTGACTTTGGCGCTCCCGAAATGGGCTCCGACTTCACCCTCTTCCCCGAGACCAAGCCTGCCAAGCTGCCCATCGAGATGGCCTTCAGCAAGCTCAGCAAGCCCGCTGCTGGCATGAGCGGATCCACCGAGGACCCCGCCATGACTCTGCTGCGAGCTCTGAGCAGCGCTGCTCTGTCCAACTCGTCGTCTTCGAGCTCCGCCAGCGTCACTGTCTCCCAGAGCAACGGCGCTTCGGCTCCGGCGCTCACGGCTTCTCCGCTGGCCTTCACCTCGATGCCTGCTCCTTCGGCACCGGTGCTTGCCCCTGCTCCCTCGAGCCCGCCTGCTCTGGACCGAAGGGTCTCTTCGTCGTCGTCGCTGTCGACCTCGTCCTCTCACAAGGCGAGCGAGTCCCGCGGTACCAAGCGACGACTCGAATCGAGCGACCTCCTGCCTTTGGATGCGCCCATCCAGAAGCGTACCTACTACACGGCCTCGGCCACTTCGCGACGCGACACGGCTCCCAACGCCGCCGCCGCTGCTGAAGAGGACGAGTTCGCGGAGGAGGAGGCCGCCATCCGACGCGAGAAGGACCCTCGCGTTGCCAAGCGTCTGTCCAACACGCTGGCCGCCCGACGCTCTCGTCACCGAAAGGCGGAAGAGCTGCGCCTGCTCCACGAAAAGATCGAAGCCCTCACGGGCGAGGTCGAGTCGTGGAAGCGACGATGCGAACTTGCCGAGAAGGAGAGGGACGATGCGCGAGCACTTCTGTGATCGCATCGCCTCTTTCTCTTCCTGTACTTGTATCGTCGCCGTCGCCTTTGGCTCTACTGCCTCAGGCCGACATCCCAAAAGGTCTCTCTTTAGCTTCTTCGGTGCTTCTCTTTGCTCTATTCCGTTGACCAGACCCAGAACCGTATTCTCTCGCGATCCTTATCTATGCTCCGAAACCGTCGTCTCGATCGTTATAGTCCAAAAACCCACAAAAAAGAAATATCAGTCCGTCGTCGAGCTACCATCCTCTTGTCCGTTTGCCTTTTGTGGTTTCAGTATGAGTGTTGAGGTTCGCCAGTATGCATTGAGATGATGGCAGTGTAGAGTGAAGCGGGTTGCACTGATCGCGAGCAAGCGCACAGCTTAGTAATGCGAAAATCGTCCGATCGGGAGATTTTGGTGAGCAAGGAAGTCGGTGGAAACCGTGAAATCCTCCACACGGCCTTCTTGTTGGTCTTGCTCGTAGCTCTCTCTCCCGCACCTCCATCATTCATCTCTATCCACGACGTATTGACCTGATTGCATTGTCAAAGATGTCGATGTTCGCTAGACAGACTTTTGGGATGCTGGTGAGTGCTTGTTCGACCATGCCCATCCAACTTCGGAGCAGTGCGGGCTGACTCCATTTGCCCTTCCTCCCTCTCATCCTCGCCACAACAGCGTGCGGCACCAGCGCGAAGCACCTTCCTCGCGGGCCCCCATGCCACACGATACGCCGCGCCCACCTTCCAATCTCTCACCAGCCTCCGCGCGCTCTCCACCGAAGCCCGCTCGAAGATCGACAGCGCCGTAAAGTCGAACCCCTTGGTCGTGTTCATGAAGGGTACACCCGAACAGCCCATGTGCGGCTTCTCCCGTGCCGTCATCCAGGTCATGCAGGTCCAAGGCGTCAAATCCGACAAGCTCAAAACCTTCAACTGCCTCGAAGACCAGGAGCTTAGGGAGGGCATCAAGGTCTATTCCGACTGGCCCACCATTCCGCAGGTCTATGTCGACGGCGAGTTCGTCGGTGGTTGCGACATTGTTATCAACAGTAAGTACACCGCTTCAACCATGCGGAACAACGGCTTCCCGGTTTATCGAAGCGATATGGCCAGGAGGAGAGGGACAGCAATGGAGCGTTCGAGATGAGATGGATGTAGAGGGATCAAGTGCTGACATCGCCTTGTGAATTTGTTCGTGCAGTGCACCAATCGGGCGAGTTGGAAGAGCTCCTTCTCAAACACGATCTGCTTTTGCCGCTCGAGGAGACCAAGAATGCTGCGTAAGACGGAAGGTCGAACAGCAATCAGTACCGAACAAACCATCTCGAAGGTTTTGTCAGGCAACACAATGAAACCCATGCACAGCGATCAGAGCTTGTGTGGCAGCCACGGTTTGAGCACGATTCTTTCCATCCGACTTGAGTCTGCTTTTGTCTCACTCTTCTCACGATCTGCACACGTTCACATCTCCAATCTTCCGTTTGAACGGACTGCAATTGCATCCGCCTACATCTCGATGCCCGCCTGAGCGAGCGCGACGGTCATGTCCGCATCCAGATAGCTCGCCACGCCGACACCCTCTGGCAGACCCTTCCTCCTCCTCGTCTTGACGACAAAGTCCTTGGCCAGTCCCAGCGGGGGTGCGGGTTCCAGCGGCCTGAGTTTGACGCTCCCATCCGTCGGGTTGCCGGGTACAATGCTCCAGTGGCTAAACATCATGAGCACCATCGCTGCGCCTTGGGTGGCGATGCGGAGATCCGTCTCGAAGCCGTTGGCGTCGATGACGGGGATGTACGCTTGGACGGTGACGAGCGTCGAGCCTGGTTTAGGGGTGTCTTTGACCACGTGTCCCCTGCGTTTGGCCAATATCGTGTAGACGGCAGCGATGCCCGCTGCGGGGGTCTGGACTTCAACGGAGTAGATGGGTTCCATGAGACGCGGGGTGGCGAGGAGGAACGCGGCATAGGCAGCACGGCGGGCGGTGGGGATGATCTGTCCTCCACCACGATGGATCGCTTCCGGCGCCAACTCCGCATCCAAGATCCGGAACTTGACGTTTCGCATCGGCTCATCTGCCAACGGTCCCTCCCGACACGCCCACTGGAACCCCTGAGCAATGCTCTCCTTGACCGTATACAGCAGCTTCTTGTCCACCTCACTCGGCAGCGTATCGTCCACCAGAACGTTCGCCCCCCGCTCATCCGGTCCGAACGCCCACACGCTCCGACTCGCTAACAGATCCCACCCGTACTTGTCCCTCAGAATCTTGCCAAGCTCCTTCGGCGCCATACGCATTTCCAACACCCCAGCCTCGATGTCTTCCGCAACCCCCTTCTCGAGCGGTTCGCAGATGATCGTCAACCGGTTCCGCTTGTTCGGCGTCCCCGCATAGCACTTGACGGACGACGTTTCGACCACCGTCTCGCAGAATCGCACCACGGGGTCGCTCACCCGGATCTCGATCTCCGCAAACAGCACGCGCAGATCGTGCAGCACACAGTCGAGATAGAGCTCGCCCGTGCCGAGAATCACGTGTTCGCCCGATTCTTCGACTTTCGTCGTCGCCAGTGGGTAGGTCTTGTTGATGCGTCGAAGGGCTTCGAGCATCTTTGGCAGTTCCGATGGGTTCAAGGGCTCGACGGCCACCTTGAGCACGGATTGCGTCATGTGATCGAGGGGGGAGAAGATGTGTAGGTCTTCGGTCGGGAGCGATGCATCGACGATCGTGCCGGTTTTGGAAATCGAGGCGTCGACGCCGGTGAGGAGAACCCAGTTGCCAGCGGGGACGCCTGTGGTCGGGACAACGTAGCGCGTCTCGTTGATGCCGACATCCTCGATGGTCGCGAGCGCGAGATCTTCCTCGTCGTCCTGGGAGAATTGCTCGCCGAGCACTTTGACGCGCATACCCGGGCGAGCGGTGCCGCTCATGACCCGACCGAACGCACGGAACTCCTGCGCGTCGAGCGTTGGGTAGAGCTTGGTGATCTGCACCACCAGGGGCGCATCCGCGTCGCAGGCTGCCATCGCTTCGTGGATCGCCCCCTCTGATGGTCCAGTATAGTTCTTCGCGGGTCGTTGAACGGCAGCCTCCTTGGGCGAGGGCACATTGTCCACGACCAAATCAACAAACCCTTGGGAGGGCCCAAAGAACTGGTTCAGCACGATCCTCAACAAGGGTCGCACATCCACCTTGTACGCCGCCGGCTTCAAGCGGATCCCCAGGCCCGCGAGCGTCCTTTTCAGCGAGTCTGTATCGGAGGATAGCACCGCGGTATACATCTTGTATAGCGGCTCGAGGATGAAATGCACGAACGAGCGTTTTGTTTCTGCGTCCGGCGCCTTGCGCGAAAAGTTCCTCGACTCGGCGTTGTAGTAAATGTTGCCCCACAGCCGCCTCGCGAACGCATCGACGTCGACCCCGGCACCGTACGTCTCGGCGTACAGCTTGGCGAAGCTGCGCAGCGTGAAGCAGTAGCCCATCTGCGTGGATGCGAAGGCGACGTTGCCGCGCTCTGGACCGACTTGAAGGGACGGGTTGGCGTCAAACGAGGCGATGCAATTGTTGACCTCTTGGATGGTGTGTCGGATCTTGTAGTATGCTTCTTGGGGCGGAAGACGAAGTTCGAGGATGAGACGGTCGAGCTTGTTGAGGACGAGCACGATGGGGAGGTTCTGACGGATGCAGTGCCGGATGATCTGGATGGTGTTGCACATGACACCCTCGACGACGTCGACCACGAGCACAACACCGTCGGCGAGACGACAGGCTGCAGCGACCTCGTCTTGAAAGTTGGTATGCCCAGGCGTGTCGATGAGGTTGAGAAGGTAGGACTTGCGCTTGGTGCCTTCCATGACGAGCGAAAGAGGGGCTGACTTGATCGAGATGCCCCTGTCCCTCTCGAGCAGGTGCGCATCGGTATAGCGCAGGTGTGTGTCCATGTCCACTTCCATCTTGTGCGTCTCGTACACCAGCGTGTCGAGCAGACTTGTCTTTCCGTGATGGAGGTGACCGACCACCGCAACGTTCCTCACCATGTCCGGAAAGTTCATGAGGTTGGACAAGAAACTCCTGTCGAAGCGCGTCTCTGGGAGACCTTCCTCCTGCACTGCAAAGCGTCGAACCTTGACCGGCTCGACGATGGGTACGGACAGCGGCTGCGCGTCTTCCTCCTGCACCATGGTCTCGACGTCCTCGCCGTACACCTCGGACGCTGAAGGGTAGTACTGCTTGTCCTCGTGCAGCACGACTGCGTTCGACGGACCTTCGTCGACTCGTATCAATGCGTGCTGCGGCACAATATTGCCCTCCTCGTCGAGCTCCATGCTGCCGAGGCGCTCGTCGTCCACGCCATCGTCGTACCCTTCGAGCGGCGCAGGCTCCTCGAGCGGTGGTGGCGCGTCGGGCTGTGCATCCTGAGCGTAGTCGTCCTCGGAGCCGAGCTCAGAGTCGGAGAGTGGGCCGATGTAGTTGCCAAATTCGTCGTAGTCGTCCATGGCTGACGTCGACAGGGGTATATGAGAGGTTCAGGTAGTAATGCTGTGAAGTGGGAAAGAGACAACCAGAAGAAGAACGCTGAGCAGCAGCAAAAGTTGGCCTCCGACTGCCGAGATTTTGAGCGAGGATAGGAAATGAAAATTAAACAGAGCAGAGAAAATAAGTGCTGGGTGACGTCGCGAATCGGCAGATGGGAGACCCTGCAGAGCCTAGATCTCCTCCACGCAAAGTCAAAGAGTGCATACAGTCGCACTTGCATCTTGACCCTTCACACCATCATCCCTTCTGGTGAGCTCGCTCTGCCAGCTTGTTCATCAATCGGCCGAGGCTAGGCTCTTTCGCCTCCAGCATTCGCACAGGCCTTGAGCCGCTGGTCGATTCAAGGGACGTTTCCTTCTCCTGCTCCACCTACGAAAACCTATCTCTCGCACTGTCATGACTTCCTCGTAGCTTCGCCAGCATCAAAGCCAAAGAATCAGCGGCGAGCCAGGCTTCTCTCAGAATGCCTTCGACGTCGTCTCCACCATCGACAGAGCCGAGCGGCAGCGCGCAGTCGACGCTCTTCTCGACTCCAACCGCGAGCAACGTCCGCATACAGACACCCGAAGCACCCGCCAGTCTCGACGACCTTCTCAAGTCGCCCCACAATCCTGCCTTTCAGACCAGACAGCCTAGCTCGACGTTCAGAGGCGCTTCTGCTGACGATCCACGCCGTCGGAGTGGCTTCCACCTCTGGCGCACCGAATCGGAAGATGCTCGCACCGTACGGCTGCGTCAAGCGGTCGAAGCGGCGGAAGCACAAGCCAACGCTCCTCAGAGCTTGTCACGGCGGCTCACAAACGTCGTCAAAGCTGCGACCGATCGACTGACATCGCATCGTCTCTTCAGCCTATACCGACGCAACTCGATCCATCTCCCCGACGACGAGGAGGAGGGGCCACCTACAGAAGCCTTCACCCTGCGCGAGCCTCGCCTCACCAAAATTGGCCTCATCGTCCTCACCATCAGTCTTGCCGGTGCGCAGGTCGCATGGACGCTTGAGCTCGCCTATGGCACACCGTACCTCCTCTCGCTCGGTCTCAGCGAGCAGAGCACCAGTCTGGTCTGGCTCGCCGGCCCGCTCTCTGGTCTCATCGCCCAACCCGTCGTCGGCTCACTGTCCGACCATTCCACCTCGTCCTTCCGTCGACGCAAGTACATGATCATCTCTGCGTCGCTCCTCGTCATCTCGACCATCACGCTCGCCTACTCCGTGCCCATCTCCACGGCTCTCGTCGACCTCTTTGGCGGTGGACTCGCCGACTGGGACCCTCACCGTCACCAACTCGTCCATTCCACCACGCAGATCATCTCGGTCGTGGCCTTTTGGATCCTCGACTTTGCCCTCAACGGTCTGCAAGCCGCCTCGCGCGCACTCATCCTCGACACGGCCCCCTCAGACCAACAGACGATCGCCAACGCCTGGCAGGGTCGAATGACGCACGCGGGCAACGTGGTCGGCTACTTGTGCGGTTGGGTGGACCTCGCCTCCTGGCGCGGGCTCCGCTGGCTAGGCGGTGGCCAATTTCGTCGATTCGCAGTCATCTCCCTCCTCGCCATGATCTCGTGCGTCACCATCACGGTTGCGTGCATCACCGAATCGCCGTCCGAAAATAACTTCGACAACAACGCGCGCAGACAGTCCATGTGCACCTCCGCATGGCAGGCGACCAAGGCGACGGCGGAGGATGTGTGGCATGCCATCCGAAGACTGCCTAGGTCCGTGAGGAGGGTGTGTCTCGTGCAGCTGTTTGCGTTTATGGGTTGGTTTCCGTTTTTGTTCTATAGTACCACGTATGTGGTTCAGATCGCTCAGTATGAACGCATGCAGAAGCGTCGTCAGCATCAGGATGCGTTCTTCTTCGAGCCGGGGGGAGGGGAGGGCAGACCGAGTTCGGATCGAGATGCCGAACGTGGGTCGTTTGCCATGTTGATGTTTGCCGTTGTTGCGCTTGTCTCTGGAGCGCTGCTGCCGTACCTCGCGCTTGCGGGGGAGAAAGGGTCGTCGCCACCGCAGTTGGAGGACGAGGAGCCGCCGACACCGCCGTTGCAGCTCGACATGCACTCTGCGCAAGAGCACGGACGGGGGGATCCGGAGGCGGAAGAACGGCTTTCCCGCAGTAAACGCCTTGTCCGCGGGTTGAAGCACGGCCTCACCCTGCGCACGTTTTGGACGCTCGCCTCGCTTTCGTTTGCGCTGCTGATGCTGGTGGGCACAGCGTGGGCGTCGACGGTTCGGCAGGCTACGGTGGTGATCGCGCTCGTGGGGGTGCCGTGGAGCGTTGCGGCGTGGGCGCCTTTTGCTATGGTCGGAGAATTCGTTCGCGAGGCCGAAGACGGAACTTCACCCTTCGAGTTCGAAACGGATCACTGGAGTCCGGCGCGAACGCGGGCGAGGGTGGAAGAAGGTCTCAAGCGACGCTCCTTCCCCTCTTCTGCGGTCGACGGAGGAGAGGAAGGCGCGAGGGAACGGGTCCGCGCATCGCTCGTTCAGTGCGAACCCCTACCCCACACCCTTACGGACAGCACCGAATCGCCCGACGAATCCACCTCACATGCTCACAACGAAGCAAGCGGCGCAGGAACCATCCTGGGCATTCACAACCTCGCCATCGTCGCTCCCCAATTCGTCGTCGCCATCATCGCCAGCTTGATCTTCAGCGCAGCGCATTCCAACCACAACGGCGTCCACCTCGTGCTGGGTGAACGGTTGGTGGTGCAAGAGACAGCGGGCAATCCGGCAGAGGGGACAATGTGGGTGTTGCGATTCGGTGGAGCTATGGCGCTGATCGCCGCTTGGGCCACGAGGTACGTGCCCCTGACGCTGAGCGAGCGCAAGAGGAGGTACGGGGCGAGGGGTGCGAGGGACAGTGTGGTGGACGGGGGATTGTATAGGGACGATCCGGAAGACGAGATGTAATGCAGACGCTCATCTGATTGAAGCAGCCGACATGTGACGGCCGTCTCCAAGAGAACTCAAAGATGATGCGTGAATGGCAGAGAATGGTTTGAGAGTGGCAGAAAGCCATGCAGGATGCGATTGATGCAGGTGTAGAAGTACAAGATATGCGAATGTATGGTATGAAGAGATGCAATGAGAGCGTAGCGGTGACATAGATGGGAATGCAAAAGAGATGCGAGCAAGGAAGGCCAAGGGATGATCCTACGACTCGTCCTCGAACTGGGCGAGGATGACCTCTTCGCGCCAGCACTCGTCGCCACCGTCCTGCTCGCCGTCCTCGGAGGCGCAGCAGTCGTTCTTGCAGACAAAGACAAAGGCGGTGCTCCAGACGAGGCCCGTTCGCGCATCGAACGTCGCCTCTCCACTTTCCTTCTTGTCGGAAGGCAGACGTCGGCCTAGCGCCTGTTCGATGGCCGCTTTGCGCTTGGCCTCCTCGTCGCCTTCGGCCGCGGCGGAAGTGTGCGCATCGGCGTCGACCGAACCATCCGCAGCCTGGATCTTATCCGCCTTGAGCAGGTTGATCAGATTCGGCATGAGCTGGGCTTCGAACACCCTCTCGCCACCGCAGTGCGGGCAGGGCGGGACACCTCTGGCGCTGAAGGCTCGCTCGCCCTGCGCAGGAGCGCCGCTCTTGAATTGGCTCTTCGTGACAGCCACCCCTTCTCCCGCCTTCGCCTTGGGCTCTTTGGGCCACAGCAGATCGTACATCTTGCCCTTGGCGTGAAAGGCGATAGGCTCGCCGCCGAACTCGTATCGAACAGCCTGTCGCGGTTCGACGGAGACGCGCTTGAGGAAGCGCTCGAAGGTGTCATCGATGCCGTCGAGCAGCATCTTTTCGTACCCCTCCTTGGCGAAGCCTCTGAGGTCGGCGTCGTCGATGTCGTTTGAGGCGAGCGCACCGGTCGCAGAGGCCGATTTGAGCATCGCTGCTTCTTCTTTGGAAAGCTTCTTCGAAAGCGAGGAGGAGGAGGGCTCAGGGATGGTGTTGAGGTAGAGAGGTGGGTAGCGGGCGCTCGACTCGACCCAGGCGGAGTCCGTGGAGGGTGTGGTGGCAGCGAGATCGGATTTGAGGGCCAGCTCTTCGGCCAGTCGCTCGCTTTCCGACTCTTCTTCGTCTTCCGAGTCTTCGTCGTCTTCGTCCTCGGACTCGTCCTTCTCTGCACTTTCTGCGGTCGCAGTGGAGGCAGTCGGAGCAGCGAAGGGGTTGTCTGCCCCGCCGCCGAAGAGCATGCCTCCTATGCCAGCACTTGCACCACCAGCACCTGCGGCGAAGGGGTTGACCTTGGCCCGTTCCTCCTGCTCCTGCTTTGCCTTCGCAGCAGCGGCGTCGCGTTCTTTCTTGGCCTGTTCTCGCTCGAGACGCTTTGCCTTCTGCTTCTCCAGCTTAGCCGCCCATCGTTTGTTGAATTTGAGCGTTCGGATCACCCGCAGTCTGTGGTACGATGAATCGCAGGATGGAGATGGTCAGCAAGAGACATTCCATCGATCCAATGTTGAACGCAAGAGAGGAGCCATCTTGGTTCGTGACGTTGGCATAGGAGGGCATCATTGTTAAAAAGCTCGGTTGTCAAAGTTGTTAATCTTTTCAGAACCCGAAGGGGCGTCAAGTGAAGAAATTGAAACTAATCCTGTGCCCTCGCCATCGCCAGCAATCACGAAGCCAGTTTGGTCTTCTGCTCTGTCATCGACAAAGGGGAAACTTACGAAGAGGTGTCTTTGCGCTGGCATGCTGGCCGCGCGCAGCCCCAAACGAGGAGGCATCGGTCGTAGGACGACTCAACGAGCGGAGCAAAGATCTGAACGAGCAGTTGCATCTGTTGCTTGCACGAGTTGCATTCGGCGACCTCCTTGGTTGGGCTTGAGGTCATGGGCAGCCAGGCGGCACGACCACCAATGCGTGAGACGAGCGGGTTGACCTCATCGTCAACTTCGAGCGGGCCGTCCGCCAGACCGAGCTGCACATCCGATGCCTCGAATTCGGAGCCAGAGTCCGAGTCGTAGCCGTCATCCGAGGGTGGACGAGGCATCTGTATCGCGACGCGAGCAATTGGACGAAAGCGCGATTGGCAAGTCAGTTCACTTGGTCCAGTCAAAACTTGGAAGCAGCGATGTCGATAGGATGAGGTGGTTTCAGGAGTAGGTAGCCTAGGGTTATAAGCATTGAAGTCCCACAGGCGTCTCGCACCAAAGTGGTCAACGTGCCTCCCGTTTATGCTGGGACTCTAAGACTCGTCATCTAGTTTTTGTCATCATTGTAAGGGAGGCAGGCAGGTGGGCGGTCGTAGGTATCAAGAAGTACTGCTTTGCGGTCGGAGTAATACGTACGATGACGGTGTGAGTGGGTGATCGAGTGTCCTGAAACCAAGGGATAGTCTCAGAACGGGTATATGGGTGATGGGGAATCGATGAGGAGAGGAAGAAGGAAGGGGTCAACGTGAAGCGCTGCCTGAAGAAACAAAAAAAAAAATTGGTCCTGGCAAGGGGAAGAAAATCTCGAAATGGAAAAAAAAAAGGTGCTGCGGGCAATTTGAACGGAAAATCCCAAACTGCAAGATGCGCGGAATCTCACATTCCCAAATTCGAGGTCGAAAATCGATCACCATGGAGATGGGAAGGAATCTGGACGGTAGATGCTACATTTTTCTTTCAGCGTTATCGAGCTGTGCCAACCAGTGAGGACGTTCCTCCTTCTCGAAGCATCTTCAAAGCGCTGTCGATCTCTGCATGCGAGGGCGATCTCGTCAATCTGTAAAATGGATGTTTCGGGCAGGCTTCACTCGCTGCTCTGAAAGAAGTGCCAAATCCAATCACAAGCTGCTATTTTCAGAGGCTGCAGATCGACTGTGTGAACCCGCGTCAAGCGGCGGCTCAGCGAAACGCAGCGAAACTGTGAGCCAAGAAGACTGGAAATCTCCACATTTCGCACGAGGGTCACCGCCAGGCACAAGACTCAGTGCACGGCTGTTTCAGCTATCACAATCTTCCATCAAGGTGTCTTCCTTTCCTTTCACCTTCGCTATCCATCCACAGACTCGCGGCTCCTACGATCATCCCCAAGCGACATCCTTCATCAACAGTCGCACACTCTCACGGCACGCTCGCTCGTCCCTCTGCCCTCCTATCCGCAGCAGCATAGCAATACTCAGGCCCTCAACTTCGTCTATCACCCAAGCGTAGCGTTTTCAAGATGTCGGGAGAAGGTACGTGACATAGAGACAAATCGCAGACACCGAGCTGCTTTGCGCCTCGAAAGCAAATGTCACGAGACAATGGCTGACGCCTCTTCTCTGATTCTCTCTCCTCTGATCTACCCCGGGTCCTGCCTTGGTTCTGCTGCCTGTTCTGCTCTTCCTCTTTTGGTCCGAACTTCATCGCAAACCTGACATCCTCTGCACACCTTCGCACCGCGCATCACGGACATGCCCGCATCTCAGGCTGGTTGTTCCTTTTCTCGGTCCTGCTTTCGGCGGTCCTCCTCTTCACCATGGTTTTCTTCGTACGCTTCAAGCAAAGACCCGCAAGCTCTTCCTCAAAATTTGATGGCTGACTGACGACAACCTTCTCGCTCTTCTCATCCCGTTGGTAACACTGCCACCGCCGCCCACAATACGACGCCGATGCTTCGTTGTGTCGCCAACAGATCATTATGTTCTCCGACCTCGAATGCGACTACATCAACCCGATCGACCTCTGCAACAAGCTCAACCAGGTGCGTTCTCACTCCCCCGTCCGATTCCACACCGTGAAACCGTCAACTGACACCTTGTCTCGTTTGCCTTGACGGATGACAGTTCATCCTCCCCGAAATGGCAGCACACGCCGTCCTGACCGTGTTCTTCTTGCTCAGCGGGCAATGGGTGGCTTTCCTACTAAACGCACCCTTGGTCGCCTTCAACGTCAACAAAGTCATGAACAAGAATCACACGCTGGACGCGACAGAAATCTTCCGAACGTTGTCGGCGCACAAGAAGCAGTGCTTCATCAAGCTCGGATTCTACCTTGTCAGCTTCTTCTACTACCTGTACAGGATGATTCTGGCTCTTATCGCCGACACCGAGTAAGGTCAAAGAGGAGATAAGAACAGGATCGGGGAGAAGGAGGAGGAGGAGGCGGCAGGCGAAGGTCGCCATCGGACAGACGCCAGAAAGGCACTGTGCCAAAGTGGGCAGGAGGAGCGGCCCTACCTCAATCGTGTCGCAAAGATATGTCAATACCATCTTCTTTCAGAATGCGAACGGAACAGCGCATCGAACCGGATCGTGCGTGATGCTGCTGTGCAGCATAGACTGTCCACGACTGCGACAGGGTCACCACTCGAACGCGATGAAGCGCAAGACCAAGCGCCAACGGATCGCCGATGCGAGAACGAGCAGGTGCGACCCGACTCACACCTGAGACCTCACCAGAGCCAACCACTTTGTCACAGCGAGCTCTGGCGCTCTTCCACCTGCATTCTCAACGTGGAAGAATCACAATACCAACGGCAGCTTCAGTCGATGCCTCCAGCAAATCCGATGAGAAGCAACAACGTCGACAAGACGCACTAAATGAAAGCGCAGCCCAGATCTGCCCGAAGCAGCCGACAAACAAAAAGTCTCGCGAAGGCAGAAAGGTGGCAGCGGGTTGAGCGAGAGAGAGGGCAAGTTGACCGCCCACGCTCGACACGCGCCTGAGGATAGTAAGTGGGCTTGAAATCGAACATCGAGACTTGAGAAGGTTGCAGCATCATTTCAATCTCGAGGATCCATTTCAAATGCTGGCTCGCTGTCTTTTTCAAGTGAGGGAGAGGATGCACCGACCAACGCGCCGTTCTGGCAGCGCGCGCCCTATGGCAACTTGTGTGTGATTTTGATTTTGGAAATGGGTTTCGCGCTGTGCTGCGTTGGGTTGCTGATTTTGAGGCGCGGTACTGCTGCTGGTTGAGTGCCTGTTGGCCTGCTGTTCTGAGTGAGCTGTGTGTTGTGCTGTCTCAAAAGTCACAGACAAAGAGACGTTCCAAAGTCAACCAAAAGCGGGCCTGTTCGCCGTGCTGTTGCTGTCAATTGGTCCAGACACTGGCTGAGAGCCCAACCCATCTCGCGCTCACTTATCGAGATTGAGCTTGCTTCCAACCACGCTCGTCCCTCAATCTCGTCGTCACCATCACCATCACCATCACCCTTCCTCGCATTCGAGCTCGATCGCGATTCTATTTCGTCGGCCTTTCCGATCTCCTTATCACTCTTCATCACCGTTCCTTCAGCGCACACCCATCGATCAGCTACACCGCGAGACTCAGCGTGCCAGAACAGGCCGACCAACCATTCGCTAGCTGTCGTGTCTGTCATCACAATTTTCATCGTTGAGGCCGCCTCCGTCTAGCATCGCCACCATCACAGCTGATCTTGCTGCCTCTTGCGATCACCATCGCGATCAGATACACATCTTTTGCCACTAGCACCGGAGCCTTCGTCGCTCGAGTCCAGCGACAGCATCACTTCGCCGTCGCACTCGCAAGCTAAGCTCCATCAAACCTCGGACACGCGCTTCTCTGCATCATCCAAAGCGGAACACTCTCGTCGTTCCACCTTCGTGTGTACAGCATACACCGCCCTCGTGTAGAGCATCGTCACAGCATCATCCTGATCGAGCCTTGGCTGATTCAGCCTGCGACTTTCGCTCGATTCGACACTCGCAACCAGAGTGTACCAGCTTCTTCCTTCATCTGCATTGCCCATCGCCGTATCGACGTCAGTCACATCGTCATCATGAAGGGCCTCAAGAAAGCTATGGTACGTGCTCTAGTCTTTCGGTTTCTTGTCAACTGCTTCACTGTGCTCAGGCCATTGAACTCTCGCAGTAGGAAAAGTAACTTCCTTATCGAATACGCTCACTGACCCGCTGACCCCTTTCCCATCTGTTCATGGCTACAATGTCGTTTCTCCACCCCGACCTCGACCTGTCATCCACTTTGCAAACACACAGAACCTTTCGCGTTCAAAATCAAATGACTCGAATGGCAACCGCAGCAGCACAGCAGGCGGAGGAAGCGTCCCAGCACCTCCTCCCAAGGGCAGCATCGTCCCTTCCAGCCCTGCTTACCAAGGCTCGCTCAAATCTAGCAAGAATGGCCCCAGCTCGGCGTCCGGCTCTTCCCACTCCCTCTCGAGCTCCGGCAACTCAACAGCGCCCTCGCATGCACCCTATGGCACTCCTGCCTATCCTGGAAGTCAAGGTAAGTCTCCACCCAAATCCGTCCATTCTGCTGCATTTCTCTCGGCTAACAAGACTCCGCCGCCTCCCTGTCTTCTCCAGAAATGCCCGTCGATCCGATCCCGCATTCGATTGCAACCGCCGGTCAGCCTTCTTCGTCCATCACCCCTTTCCATCACACAGGCACTCCAGGCTCGCCTCCACCTCCAGGCGCAGCAATGGCTTCCTTGAGTAGCGCCGGCATCGCACCTTCGGAGCTCGCGACCCCTCCCAAAGCAGGATCCCTCAACCGATTGCGCCAGAGTCCGTCCAATGCAGGTCCCAAGGATACCATCCCCATCACCGCCAAAACACCGCCACGAAAGCAGAGGAGTTCTCGATTCCACGTCTCCGAGAAGGTCGAGCTCGAGAAGCTGCCTCACTTCAACGAGGTCGTACCTGCGGATAGACCCGAGTTGTTCGTCAGAAAGTTGCGCCAGTGTTCCGTCGTCTTTGACTTCAACGACGCCAGCCAGGACATGGACGGCAAGCAGACCAAAGCCGCCGCGTTGCACGAGATGCTCGACTACATCACCACCAATCGCAAGGTCATCACCGACGAGATTTACCCGGAAGTGGTCGCCATGTTCTCCGCCAACCTCTTCCGCTCCATTCCACCACAAGTCAACCCCATCGGCGACGCCTTCGACCCGGAAGAGGACGAGCCCGTTCTCGAGCTCGCCTGGCCCCACCTCCAGATCGTCTACGAGTTCTTCCTCCGCTTCGTCGAGAGCCCCGACTTCAACACCAACATTGCCAAAAAGTTCATCGACCACCACTTCGTCTTGCAACTGCTCGAGCTCTTTGACAGCGAAGACCCGCGAGAGCGTGACTTTTTGAAGACGACGCTGCATCGCATCTACGGAAAGTTTCTCAACCTTCGTGCCTTCATCCGAAGATCCATCAACAATGTCTTTTTCCAGTTCATCTACGAGACGGAACGTCACAACGGAATTGCAGAGCTGCTCGAGATTCTTGGATCGATCATCAACGGTTTCGCTTTGCCGCTCAAGGAGGAGCACAAGACCTTCTTGACACGCGTGCTCATCCCGCTGCACAAGGTCAAGAGCTTGGCGCTCTACCACCCGCAGCTCGCCTACTGTGTGGTGCAGTTCCTCGAGAAGGACAGCGCCCTGACCGAAGAGGTGCTGCTCGGGCTCTTGCGGTACTGGCCCAAGGTGAACTCGCCCAAGGAGGTCATGTTCCTCAACGAGGTCGAGGAGATCCTCGACGTCATCGAGCCGTCCGAATTCGTCAAGATCGAGGTGCCTCTCTTCCAGCAGCTCCAGCGATGCATCAACAGCCAGCACTTCCAGGTCGCCGAGCGTGCACTCTACTTCTGGAACAACGAGTACATTGTCAACCTCATCGGCGACAACGTGCAAGTGATCTTGCCTATCGTCTTTTCGGCACTCTACCAAAACTCGAAAGCGCATTGGAACCGCACCATCCACGGTCTCGTGTACAACGCGCTCAAGCTGTTCATGGAGATCAACCCGGCGTTGTTCGAGATGTGCACCAACGAGTACAAGCAGCAGCGTCAGATGGAGAAGCAGAAGCTCGTCGACAGGGAGGAGGCGTGGAAGAGGTTGCGCGACACTGCCATCAAGAACAGCAAGGCGATCGGCGTCGAGATGCCGGCGTCGCTCAAGGAGGAGCAGGCGGCGCCGGCGGGGAGCGTCAATCCGTACGATCTGGACGGCTTTGATTCCGCGGCCGATCTCACCGCGGGCGCAGACAGTCTGTTCCAGGCGATGGGGCAGGGTGTCAACGGCGAAGTGTCTACGGCTGACTTTGACGACGTCGAGGCGAATCGCGTCGCGCAAGAGACGGCGCAAGAATCGGAAGCCACAGCGGCGGAGGACAGCGTCGACGACATGAAGGAGTTCCCCGAGACGGCGCGTCAGCAGGTGGGCAAGTCCGAATCGCCGCATGTTCGACGCAAGAGCGTAATTCCCATGGACCCGACAGTGCTGGCCGAGCTGGCGGGACACAAGAGCTTGGACGGTGCGGATTTGCGACAGCAGCCGTCCGAGGGAGCATAGTGGCGCGGTACCACTGTGTAGCATCTCATGTTTCACCGCGACGTGCTAGATGTGCCTTTGCGCCGGCAGCTTTGCCCCACCGCCGCTTCATTGCCGAGACGGACATTCGCAACGAAAGACGGCCGCATTTCGCTCGCGGCGTTTCCCCCTTGCCCACTTCCCACACACACTTCACCGATCCAACTTCATCACCCCTTCTTCGTTTCTCCCCTTTTTGTTTGGTTTCCGTGTTGCTTTTTCCTCCCTTTGGCATGTCTCAAATCATATGGTTTTATCAAGTCCCATTTCAACGTGTGGTGTGGTGATTAGAGCAAGTCTTTCGATGAGGGAGCTGTGTGCTGTGCGCAGGCTGAATGGTGGGTGGTTAGTGGGTGGTGTGCAGATGAAGATGTGGACGATCAACCGCCCACCGACGGCCGCACGACTTCATTTCGCGCCGATCGCCTGTTCTCCGTCCTCGCAACTGCATCTTCCTACCTGCGCACTTTCCTCTCCTCCTTCTACTTCTTCGTCCATTCCGATCTCACTGTGAACCCTCGTCCACCTCCAGCAAGTCTTGATCCCGCGCTCGAGTCCCCACATCACCATGCATCTCCGCACAACGACATCGCTTCTCCTGCTCACCTTCACCTTCGCACTGGTCGGCGTGGAGGGTAAAACCCAACGAGTGGGCGACGAGTGCAATTGGAAAGTGAACTGCCAATCGCACGCGGACGGTGCGGGCCCAAGTTGGGCCGGTGGCGCCATCACCTGCGCCGTGCCCGCTGACAATAAGCCCGAAGCTTGCGGCTCAAACGACGGGCGCAGGAGCGATTTCTATGGGTGAGTAACGGCTTTCCGCCAACATGTCCAGACAGGACGGAGCCAGGGGGGAGAGATGAGGAGAACTGCCAAAGGCTCGTGAACGGTAACTTACAGTACATCGTTCAGATCGAGAAAAACCCAACACTCTGATCCACACTCACAGATAGAGAGAGAGAGAGAGAGAGAGAGAGAGAGAGACGCATAGAGGCCCAGAGAGTGTACGGAAGATCGCTGACCCAGCCCCTCCATTTGTGTTGTACGCAGAACCTGTAAAGCGGTCGGCACGCTCGAAGCGAACGAGTACGGTTGCGGTTGCGGCGTTCACGGCGGCGATTGTCCTAGCACCAGCCCCTTCAGTCGCATCTTTTGGCCCCAGAACTGGCTCAAGAACGCCTGGGGTCATTAGCCGATCCACCGAGACCCAGCTCGACCACACACACACGAGACAAGTCGACAAAATATCACTTTTCATTGCCATACATCTCCCGCGACGCAATTCGCCTTCCTCATCTCACCTCCTCTCCTGCCACCTCCCTGCCTCCACCACCACTCCTCCTCCGCCAATTTAGGGGTTAGGTTTAGGGTTTCTGTGCGTGTGTCTCGTGCGCCAGACACCGCTGTGATGTTGTGGTATCTTCGTTTTTGAGCGTGTTGAGCGTCGAACGAGTGGTGCTGTCGCACTAGCGTCGGTCGGTTAGTGTGAAAAGGAGCGTAGACATGCTGCGGGTTGGAAAGAAAGTTTTGCTGGAGGACTCTGTCCCCTTGCCATCGTGTCAGATGCTCATGAAGATGCTCGAAAGGGAGTGTATGAATGCGTTGCAGGTGCGTCTGAAGGATGGTGGCTGTTGTTACAAATGCTGTAGTGCTACGATCTGATGGCAAACGGATCAGGTGGTATCTCGGCAAAGCTCGGTCGACTCAGCTCGGTCCAGGCCGATTCGCAGCTCCACGTGAAGGCAAGAGCGGCATCGCCCGGATTTGCAGTCCTCCGCCGCCGTTGGCCATAAAGGGACGATTCAGGGTGATCCTCTTCGCGGGCGGGACTCCCGCTGCGGATGACGCTTTCGATACCGCCATCGCACCGGATTTCGGTGATGGTCGACCTGCTTTGGCCTTCATGCCGTTCTTCGATACAGACGATGGACGAATGGACCCAGATGAAGCATCACCGTCCTCGTACGCATACTGTCCCAAATTGGCAGCAGCAACGGCAGCGCTCTTTCGAGGCGCCGCGACTCGATCCTGTCTCGTCGCGGCTGTTGCAGGCGACTGCGCCGCCGACCCGGGCTGAGCGGTACGCGGACTGTCTGCGATGAACGAGTTCCATCCGGGGCCCCTCGCAGCGATGTTTCGAGGGTCAAAATCCGTCTTCCTCGTCTTCAGGAATCGCTGACAGACATCCACGTACTTGTCGGCGTACTTGAGAAGCCACTGACTGTGCTCGCCCTTGCATCCGAGCCGAAACGCCGTCGCGCTTTCGGGTGGGATTGCAGAGATCTCCTGCAGGATGTGATCTGGAATCAACCAGCCACGCGTCTGCTTCTCCTTGAGGGCGAGCCGGGCATCCAGCTTCTTGAGCTCCTTGTAGCACTGCTGATTCGGGTCCGTCGAGCGAGGATCGATCTCGAAGTCGTCGTCGCTGCTGCCACCCATCTCGCGGCGCGTGTTGGTCGCTGCTGGTCGGCGACCGTTGCTAGGTCCCGGACCGCCTCCCGAGTTGGAAGCTGCGAGTGGAACGTTGTCGTCAGAGTCATTGTTCGGGTCATAGCTGTCCTCCAGCATCTCCACCGGAATCCAATCGTCGTCCCCGATGCCATTCACGCCGTTGACTGCACTCGTGGAGGGTTGTGCTCTCGAGCGAGCAGCGTTGCCTCGAGCATTCGGTGGGGTCAAGCTGACGTGCGAAATGTCGTGGGCGTCGTCGTCGAACTCGGCAAAGTCGGCATCTCTAGCCCGCCTCTGCGGCTGTGTTTTCTTGCCGTTCTTGGCTGACGAAGCGGACGACGACGTTGGCTTGGTGGAGAACTGCATCTCGACAGGCTGCTTGCCGCTGAGAATCGCGTTCGCCTTGGGTCCGAGCCTGATGTAGGCCGTGTTGAAACCGGCTCGATTCATCACGTCGTACACGCCAAGGGCTTGCAGGGAGTGCAGATGTTCGAAAAGACGGACCAGCTCGGCCTTGGGGAGAACAGACCCAGCACCGTGCATATCGAGCTTGTCGTGGCCAGCTTCTCGAATCTTCTTGGCCTTGCTGCCGAGGAAGACGTCAACACAATGCGACATGGTCCAATGACCCTTTTGTTTCTTGATGGTCTGCACCAGCTGGATCGCCTTGATGCAGAGCTCAGTGACATCCTTGACTTGAATCGCACCGGACTGGCGACAGCAGTTGTCACACGTGCTGTGACACCTGTCTGCGGTGAAGTCTTCGCCAAAGTAGCGCAAGACCTGAACGCGACGGCATTCGATGTCGTTCGTACAATAGCTCTGCATCCTTCGCAGGGACTCGAGGCCACGTTCGACGGCCTCCTGGGACTTCTCCTCCTTGTTGTCTTGAATCATATTCTGCGCTTTTGTGACGTCGCCGAACGAGTAGTAGAGGTAACACACAGAGCTTTTGCCGTCGCGGCCCGCGCGTCCCGTCTCCTGGTAGTAGCCTTCGAGCGACTTGGGGATCGAATGGTGGATGACGAAGCGCACGTCGGGCTTGTCGATGCCCATCCCGAAGGCGATGGTCGCGACGATGATTTTGATCTCGTCCTTCTGCCACTGTTGCTGAATCGTCGATTTGTCAACTGGGCCCAGACCGGCGTGGTAATGGTGGGCGGAGATACCTTCTTGAATCAGTTGATCGGCTACAGTCTCGCACATCGTTTTGCTGTTGCAGTAGACGATACCGCACTCGTCCTGGTGGGAGGTGCGAATCAAGCTGAGAATCTCGTCCAGCAATTTGCGCCCGCCAGGCTTTGGACGCACTTGATACTCGAGGTTGGGCCGGTTGAAGCTCGAAGTCAACGTGAGCGGGTTCTTCATGCGCAGCGAAGCTTTGACGTCCTTGATGACCTGCTTATTGGCGGTGGCGGTCAGGGCCATGATCGGGACTGTCGGGTACTTCTCCCGCACGATGCCGAGCTGTGTGTAGTTGGGTCGAAAATCGTGGCCCCACGAGCTGACGCAGTGCGCCTCGTCTACAACGAATCTTGCCAGTCGTTTTTGCGAGTAGAGGAGGTCCATCAATTCGATCGCCTGCGAGGTACCGGCGATGAACTCGGGCGTCAGGTAGAGAAGACGCAATCCGCTGTTGCGATCTCGGACGGCGTTGAGTGCGTCGCGCTTGTCGCTGCTGTTCATGGCGCCGCTGCCCACCAGCTTGACGGCTGGGATGTCTGCCATGATCAGGTGATGCACCTGATCCTCGATGAGCGACAGAAGAGGCGACACCACAATCGTGATGCCGTTGGCAGCTCCGGTCTCGACGCATGCAGGCAGCTGGTAGCAAAGGCTCTTGCCGCCGCCCGTTGGCATCAAGACGAAGACATCTGCGCCCCTCAAGGTGCCGTTGATGGCTCGCAACTGATTTGGACGGAAGTGCTTTAGCTTGAAGAACTTTCGCAAGGCGTAGATGACGTGCTTCGTCCAGGGATAGGTGGGCTCGCGCGCGGTCTCGTCTCCTTCTTCCGGCCCTTGCATGGACGGACCGAAGCGCTTGTAACGGACATCGACTTTCGAGTCTTCCACCTCGATCACCTCGTCTTCGTCGTCGCTCAGCTCGAGGATTTCTGCGTCCGCAAAATGACCGCCGTTGCGATCGTCTAAATCCGGATGATGCTGTCGCGGAGGGAGAGGACCGACCAGGGCGTTCGAGGTACTCACGGTCGGCTCGTAAGTGGCGTTCGTCGTACTGGCAACATTGAGGCGATGCGGTGGGTCCAAGTCAAGAAGGTCGTCCGCTTCGGATGGCCACAGATCGTCGTCGTCGTCGAAGGCTGTGGTATCATCAGGACGATGTTGAGCGTTCTGTGCGACGATAACCGGGTCCCTTGGCGTTGGCAAGAGGCTCGTCGACGTCGATGCTCTTGACAGAGGTGGTGCCGCTGGACGGACTGTCGTGGCATCCGAGGCGATATTCTCGCCCACGATCTGGAAGGAGCTGGACGTGGTTCTTGGGGTGGCGTCCGATGGAGGAGGGAGAGGACCCGGGAGCAAACGCCGAGTCGGCGATGCTCTCGCGGAAGAGTGCTCGACAAGGTGTGCTGAGATGGATCCGGACGAGGCAGCATGAGCGGACGCAGGTTCGGACGTGCGGGCCCTGATCGCTCTGGCGAGCTCGTCTACCTCGGCCTTCATCTGATTGGCGCCTTCAAAGGCGTCGGTCCATTGGCGCCATTCCTCGTCGTCCTGATACTTGGTCTGCTGCTGGGATAGCTCGGCCAGAAGGCCCGCCAAGATGCCTCGTTTCAGTGCAAAAAGGTCTCGAAGGTCCTTCTCTTTGTAGCGGTCGTAGTTCGCATCATAGGAACGTGGCACGAGCTGCGAGGTGTCGAGCGACAGGTGTGTGCGGGTTGACGACGATCCGCTTGAGACGGGATGCGGATCCCGAGAGCTTGAGAGCGGCGTGCCGTTGGCATTGGACCTCGAGCCGACCTGTTCTGTGGCCCTTGGTCGCTTTTGCACTGAGTTAGCGCTTGGATCTCCGTTGATGGACCTTTTAGGAGACGGACGACTGCCCGAACTGGGCTGCGGCTTGATATCGGCGAAGAGCGCAGGGTCGTCGCCTTCGTCTTCTAGAAAGATCGTCTCGGACCTGCGGTCCTCGGCTTGCTTGATGCGGTACTGAAAGGCGCCGTTAGCATCCGGCATAGCTGCAGGATGACGACCAAGCGTTAGGGAGCTGGTAGCATGCGGGAGGCGCTAATATCGAGGATGTGATGAAGGATATGATGCGATACTTTGACATGCGAAGCGTGGCGGATAGGAATGCCGAGCGGAGTTGAGCGTTGTTGTGATGATGAAGAGAGGTGAGGACGAGCGAAAGCTTAACCTGTTTGGAGTCGGCGCTATGCGGTCCGGTTGCAGTGTCGGAGAAGATGTAAAACGGTGGTGCGGGATTGTCGAAGGGATATGTCGCGATGCTGGAGAGGTCACGAACGGCTGATGAGAATGATGCAGTGCTGAGCCGACGAGCTGCGGGCGCGAGAAAGATAGTCTATCACGCGGGCCCACTGATGGTGTCGATGATGGTGGTGGTGATGATGGCTGGTGGCGAAGAAGTTGCGACCGAGGCTGTCGTCTGAAGTTCGGATACAACTCGTGACTGTGACGAGGAAGGCATGTAGAGCTGAGTCGGTGCTGCTCCCACCGCTGCTGAAGGTCCGAGTGTGTGATATGATGAAGTCAAGTAGCCACGAGCGAGCCAGGTCACAATCGAAAGGCGCAGCAGCCGGCACGCTCTCTTTTTCTCAACACAAAAGTGTTAATTGCGGGCCTTCCGCCACCGGTGCCTTGCCTTCGCCGTTCGAGACGCGTTCCGCGTTTTGGAACCCTTGAAATTCTTCCAATCAGTCACACTAGAAAAAAAAAAGTAGCACAGCAGCTGGCGATATGATTTTGCAATGGTCTTACTGCCCGTCTGCTGCCACCTTGACTGGCGGTGTGGAGGTTAGGCTGAGCAACTCACGTGATGCTAGGAAGAGGCCAAAAAAAGTTAGGTTGGCCAGACCCTTTCCAACTTTTTCCCTTCGAGTTCGGGGACCAAGCAACTCCCCATTCTCGATCCAGCTCATCTTCTACGACCTCACCGACTGCACTCGACACTTCGCCTCGACGATTTCGCACCTGCAGGAAGGCTATTGCAACTCGATGGACGCATAAAGCTCGCTTGGCAGCTACAAGAAGCGTTACGCGGAAGCTTGCGAGCCATCGGTGAAAGCCGCCGAGGCGTGAGCAGTCGAGGAGACTGCTTGAAGAGAGCAAGTGGATGGACGCATTAGTCGCTCGAGGCTCAGCCGGTGGTGTCCATGGCAACGGTGACGCTTCCTTTACGCCGGAACTCCAGCATACCAGCTACGTCTCGGGAGAGTCCGACAATGGCTCGGCTCATCCTACACCTTCGGACATGACAGTCGCGGCTCCACCCGGCCCACCGGAGGCATCGTGGTTTGACAGCAGCAAGGCGTCCATCCACGCAGGTGATAACGTGCAACCACCGAATCATTATCCGAGTCAGACCGCAGCAGCGCTCTCGGCCATCCCGACGGAAGGCAAAACTCCATCGACTCCTCCTTTGCACGTCTCGGCGCCAGCGCCCGCAGCCATATCTCATCAAGCTGCAGCAACGGCACCAGTAGCAGTAGCGCAAGCCACCTGCACAGCACCCTCCTCGGCCGCATCCACGCCAGCCTCGACACCCAGCGGGACCCCACAGAACTTCGCACGCAAAAGAGGCAGACCGCGCAAGCACCCTCTCCCCGATCCAAACGCTAAAAAGGCAAAGCGAACACTGAGCTCCGACAGCATCGCCTCGGCCGCAGCCAAGAAGAAAGCCACCGAGGCTGCAGCCGCCCGCTCTGCTGCTTCCAATGCGAGCTCGCTTCTCTCCATCCCCGACCTCGGCCGTCTCATCCCGCAAGGCTCTTCGTCGGATCACGCAGAGACTTTCATCCAGAACAACCTTCGCCTTTTTGCTGAACTCTTTGTGGCGCTGCAAAAGCAGGCTACCACCGACAATCCGACTGGCGATGGATCGCAGGGCACAGCGCAGCTCAGCCTCGACGCGTCTCTGGGCGCCGGAAATCGAGACGCGGCTACCAGCCAGATGATTGACACTTCCTCGCAGGGCGACGTCGGTAGCTCAGCACTTGCATCCGACTCACGTCCGGAAGTCAGCGGCGTGGCTTCCGACCCAATCTCATCCAACACCGTTTCCGGTCCCAGCGACACCATCCGCGAAGAGATCAAGTCCAAGCTCACGGACGTCACAAACGGTCGCTCCGCCATCCAGGCCGAGATGCTTCAGCTCCGCGTCGACGCGAGCTTCTTCGAGAATGCCCAGAAGACGGTCGATGAGCGCATCAGCGTTCTACGCGATCGCATCGCCAAGCACACGGCTGTGCTCCAGCGAGAACGCGAAGCAACACGGCAGGCGAGGGAAGCCAGTCGAAAAGCCAAGAAGGACCGCAAGGCGCGAGAGAAGGGTCTGCGCGATTCGGAGCGCGAGGAGCGTCGCTTGGCCGAGACGGTGCTGCAGCTCGAAAGGGAGATCGCGGCCGAGGAAGAGGAAAGACGGCGGATGGACGAGGAGTCGAGCGACGAGGAGGGTGAGGAGGCTGGTGTCGCAGCACAAGACCTGGATCCGGAAATTCTTGCTGCCAGTACTTCAGAAGGCACCACTCTATCCGCGACGGCAACACCGTCTCTCGCTGCCGACATGACTCCCGATCGCACCATCGGCTTCAGCGACGAAGAGCTTGCCAAGGTGCTCGGCATCTCGACCAGCGAGCTGGCAGGGTTCAGCCAGACCCTCGATTTGCCCAACACCCTGCCACCCCCGGCACCGGAGCCGAGCGAAGCGACCATCCCTGATCTGCTCCCGCGCACCGCCGCCGACGACCAGGTCCTCCCCTCAGACGCCAACACGGACGACTTTGACGTCGCGGCGTTTCTCGAGCTGGCCAGCTCGTTTGGCGCCACACAGACCGCGGAAGAATCCGCTTCGACGCAGTGACAACAGTCACGAACCACAGCATTATTCCCCGAACCCAAAAGTGTCATCGCATTCGATGAACCGGCTCTCTACGCATCATGTACTTTTACGCATCTCAATCTGACTCGGTCCTTCCTATCTCATTCGGCAGCGCTACGCTGCGCGTGCTTCCCGAGCGCTGATTGCGAAACCTCGGCCTGGCAAGGTGTATGATATCGATTCCGGGTAGTATACAATCGTAGATCGGGGAGCGAGACAAGGGGGAGGGTTAGAAATCCGTCGCCCTTCCGCCATAGGTCCATTCCCTCTCGTGTTTGAGCGGGTCGTTCTTGGGACCGCCGATCTCGCCCGTGTTGGGGTTGGTTTCGCCATCGAACTCCGGTCGTGGCTTGCGCCGCGCATCCGGGTGCATGTCGCCCTTCTCTGGGTCCGAGGCTAGGAATGGCGATGCATCTATTCACACGCAGTTGGTGAGAGAAGAATGGGTTCAGTATGAGAAGAGTGTTCGAGAAGGAAAAGGTGGGAAAGGGGAAGAGGGAGGGCTTACTTTGCTTCTGCTTCACGAGCGATTCGAACTCCTTCTGCTCTTTGGGCGGGAGAGGCGGTGGGCCGGGTCGGTTGAATCCGCCGGCTGCGCGCAAAGGGGTGGTCGAGAGCGTGCGAAGCGAGGTGCTCGCGATGACCGATCGACCTGTGAGCATGCGTGCCGCTGGTGTGAGTGTCAACATCGTGGTATGCTGTGATGGTATGATGTGTTGCAGAGGAAAGAAGATGTTGGCTTGGAGGTCACCGGCAAAGTGTGGAGGTGTGGCGCCAAAAATAAGGTTGGTGTTAGAGCTGCTTACGTGATGCCAGTTCGGGCTGGGCGTCGGCTCAGGTCTCGGAGCGCGCCGGGCACCTGGCCCAGCCAAACTGGACAGCTCACGATCAGCGCTGCCAAAACCATCATCTCAAGTCACTCGAGGGTAAATAGCAAGACACCAGTCGAATTTGCTAAAGCGCTAAAGAAACCCTAGATACAGCGAAGAAGAACATGAAGAGAAGCGTAGCCATGATTTCGTAATCGTGGGGGATATAAATGTGTGTGAGGAAGGATACATTGCGATCGGATCTCCACCGATTCGTTTTGAGGAGAAGCTTAGACGCGCGAGGGGACACGAGCGGCGGTGTTCTGAGCAAGAGCACCGACGGCGTCGCCCTGGATGTCCTGGGGAGCGAACGAGTCGCGCTCCTGGTACTTGGCCTCCTTGATCTCCTGGCTCGAGGTGTCGCTCTCCTCGTCGCTGTTCTTGAGCAGGCTGGGGTCGATCGTCTTGGGGTTGAAGGCGAGCGAGCCCTTGGGGATGAAGGTGGCAGCGATGATGATGATCGAAAGGATGGTGAAGTGAACACCACCGACGTACTTGAGAGAGTCACGAGCACGCTCGATGGCAGCAACGCCGCTGAGGCCACGGAGACGTCGGTCGACCCATCGACCCAGGAAGGTCGAGATGAGGGAGTACATGACAATGTAGGTGACGTAGAGGAAGGCCATGACGGCACCCAGAGCGGAGACGTCCTTGTCCTTGGCCTCCATGCGGGCGAGGGTGGACTGGATGTAGGCAGCGAGCGAAACGTCACCAGCAGCCCAACCGAACGAGATGGGGATGAAGACGGCAGCCAGCTTCCAGGCGGACGAGACGGCACCACGAGTGTAGGGGAAGAAGGGCATGACCCAGACGAGGTTGAGCAGCAGAGCGTCGAGGCGCAACCAGGGCATGGGCGAGGGGACGGCGTTGGTGAAGATCATGACCGAGAGAGCACCGAGCAGCTCACCGAAGTTGGAACCACCGACGATGATCTGCGAGTAGGACGAGACACCGATAACACCACGAGCGTAGATGGGGGCGAGACCGTTCTCGAGGTATCGGTGACCGTAGAGGGCGAAGGCGTAACCGGGCACGAGCCAGATGAATCGGCGGTCGGTGAAGATGAGGTAGGCACCGTAGTAGAAGGCCTTGCCGAAAGCACGGACACCGTCGAGCATCGACATGGCGAGACCACGGTTCTCGACCTCGACGCGGGCAAGGCGCGACTCCTCCTCGGACTTCTGGCTCTCACCGAGCGACGAGATCCAGATCCAGATGCAGGCAGCGAGGGTGAAGAGGACGGGCGAGAGGAAGGCAGAGTAGTTGTAGCCGAACTTGCCAATGAGCGAGGTCGAGGTGAAGGCACCGGTGGTACCGGCGACCTCGTACATGACGTGGACGAAGGCGTCCATCTTTCGGAGACGGTTGACATCACCACCAACAATGTCACGGGGGATGACACGGCGGATCAGCTCAACGGTACCGTAAGAGATACCCGAGATGACGTAGATGGGGAAGAGACCGTTGGGGGACCAGGTACCGTAGCGAGTACGGTTGTTGGCGGTCTTGAACTTGAGAACACCGCCAGTGGCGGCGTCGGCGATGAGGGGGATGGTGGAGATGAGACCGAAGGTGAGGACGGCGCAGGCGAGGACGGAGCGGGTGGGGAAGCGCTTGATCAAGGGAGCGACAATGATGGAACCAATGCACTGGGCGGCGTAGTTGGTACCGGTCAAGATGGCGATCTTCTCAAAACGACGAGCACCGAAACGCTCGTTGGCCTGGGTGATGAAGGAGCCGTTGAAGTACTCAAGGGCAAACTTGTAGCACATGATACCGAGCGTGTAGATAGCGATGTTGCGTCGCTGCTCGGGCGTGAAGGCGCCCCAAAGCTGAAGACCCATTGTGACTGACTTTTCCTTCTCTGTTGAGAGATTGGCAGGAAAGGTGTGTTGGTGTTGGCCCGTGAGGGGGAAGGAAACTTGGTGGATGAAGAGTTGGGTGCGGGTCGGAAGGGGGAAGGAGTCTAGAGTGTGATGTATCTTATATCTTCAGAAAGGACATGATTGTGGCGCATTGCCGTGCGCAGGAGCAAAGACGCCAAGTCGAGCTTCCACAGCTGTAGTGTGCCTGCAGCTCGCCACGAGCAACGCCCTGACAAGAAACACGGCGTGACTGCACAAAGCTGCAGTATAGACTCTGCAGCAGTGAGCCTTGCGGCGGGCGGGCCAGACGGTCAAGAAGAAGAAATTGCCCGCAAAGTTTGAAGGCGGAGTCCAAGACCACCACGTTCCATCGCTCGAGCACAGCGATGTGAAGTTACCAAATCCGCCATCATAGCTTATGCTCTGCGAGGGCAGAACTGCGACAGACAGGCAGCCTCAGCGAAGGCGCAGGAATCCCTCAAGTGCAGAAGCCTCGAAGCGGATGAGCGGAGATTAGCAGTAAAGTTTTCGCGAAGAAACAACAAAAAAGTCCGCATGACAGGGCACAAGGTGAAGCCCAAGTTGGGCAAGGCACGGCGAAGTTGGATTCCGATGCTCCAAACTTGGTGGCAGCCCTCGCTTTGAGAACCTACGGAGGGCCCAGGGGCAGACGCACGTTGCGAGCGACGGCCTGCGCGGGATCGCCGGCCCCATGGCTTGGCACAAACCTGTGGGAAAGCGGTCAGGGTTATCACGACAGACTGAGGCGCAATACGCCTGATGGAAGCGGTCGTGCTTTCGCAACGTCTCGGATCGTATGGATTCTCGAAAACGTGCTCACTTCGTTGGCGAGGAAGGGATTCACTGATAGGTCAGCGAGAGGATGAGATGTCGGGGAAGTTCACTAGTGTAGCCTCTTTAGCTTCATTTCTGGGTCCGGGTGCTAGCCTCCTCGCCACCAGCCAGAGAGAGACAAGCGATTCTGAAAGCATCGCATTCACGCATCACAATTAGCTCCAACAGTGGCAGGTCAGGCCCCGACCTCTCCCGTCGTTACGATTTCACTCTCCGCCAGCAAAAGATGATAGCAAGCTCAGACGATCTCGTCGATCGGACCATGAATAGGTGAACAATGCTCCGCTGCTCGTGATTTGGTCTCACGAGTTGCAACAGGTAGTTTTGATAGCGCTGCTCTTGTCTGTTCCTCCACGTTGAATGACCAGTTGCCTCTCTTTCGGTGGTACTTGCAAACAAGACTCACTGACCGTCGACCGTTTGGTTCGCGCCATAGACAGTCTGAGAGGCCCAGTGCTGTCTTTGCCAAGAGGTAGGCATGTCAGAACCGATCGCATGTCGGTGAACGTGTTGCTCTCTCAAGCTCAGTCAGGTGGATCTAGGCGTTGTGGAATGATAGCATGGCTTGTGAGACGGTGTCCGCTTTCTCACACGAAGGCGAACTGGATGATTTGAGCACAGCGGATTCGAGTTGGTCTGGCGTTATTCGTTTGCGGCACCGTCGGTCAAGTAAATGCGGGTCAAACGGACGCAGTAGGTCGCTCTGGCAGTCGGAAGGTGTGCTGCCGAAGGGGGTCCCGACCTTGACAGGTCTTGGCGAGTGGCTTTAGAAGAACGTGCCGCACCCGGACTCGCATTCTCGTCGCGGAGAGGGTCGACGATAAACCGCCGCAGACTCAAGGCGAGTTGAACATGACCTGGTCTGGGGAAGGAAGTGGGGTTGTGGTGCCTGATGAGCTAGTATTTGTGTCCATGCATAGTGGACCACGAACCTGGGTTTCGTCCAAGTCCATTTCAAATTCGAATCGCAGGCTGACGACAAGCAGCAGCAGCAGCAGCGATGAGCTATCAAGACGACAACGAAGAAGTGTGATAGTCGCGACGGCTGGCTGCTATGCTGCGAGGTACATTCCTCGTAGTAAACGATGAGATGGCAATGGCTTCTTGGGTCGAGTGAGCACGTTGGCTTCTTGGCATGAACCCGTTTCGCGGTCCGCCACTGCGAGTGACTGTCGAGCTGCCCACGCGACCCTAACGAGCAGCGCCAAGAACGCGATGGCACTTCTTGGCATTTCAAATACCGTGGCGGATGCGCTGTGACAGCTGTGGACCCTGAGACCAGAATTTTGCGCCGGTCGCAAATCCTGCTCTTCTCAAAAAAGCTTGGCAAAAGGGAGCGGTGATGGATGGCCGCCGCTCTCGTCCGAGATGATAGCGCTGACCTTTGCTCTCCAAGGGACGTCGCTATCGAGCAAAGCTTTCAGCGTTGCTTGCTCAGCGTTGGAAAGGTCCGTGGTCATCTGGTATCAAGCGTCAGATGCTCGGTCAACCCGGTCTGGACTCGTCAGTAGGCGAGACCTCGTCTTGGATGGGTCCCTCTGGGGTGCCCGCTCGCGTCTAGTCGTCCACGCTAGTTAGGAGACCTTGACCGATGCAGCCTTCAAGAGATCTACGCTTAGAGTGGTTGTCGCGTTGGCGAGTCCCCGGACGCTTAGTCTGTCAAAGTAGCGCAATCTCTTTCTACAAGTCACTGGTGCGTGGACCACGTTCTGCGGAGCCGAGGTTTAAGCTCGCTGCAGTTCGTGTGCGAGGGCGAGAAGGCCAGACAGAATATAATACTGTATGAACGAGAGCGGGCGAGAAATACAAGCCCATATATCGGGACCAAAAAAAGGAAGGAAAAGAGCAAAAAGAGAAAGAGCAAAAGAACTGCAGCACCTAGGATTCCCGCGTGGTCCCCCACCGCAGTACTGATTAGGCGATACCTTGCTTAACTTCGCAGATCGGACGGGATGCGGTGCTTTCAAGGTTCTATGGCCGCAGATATTTAGTCCACACACATTAGCTCATATATACCTCACACCATTGATGCGGCTTCATCTGCTCATCGCGGCGTGAGAAGCTCAAGGAGAAGATCCATTGCAACACAGAGGTCCGCTCGCAGCGACTTTGCTTGTCATCGTACGAGATGATGGGTATAGTTTCGGCGCCGCCTGCCGAAGGTGATATAAGTACAGATATAGGAAAGGCATCGAGGGACCTTCACAAGGGCATGGTGCGCAGACGCTTGACCAACTTGGCCTGCTCGTTGGCTGCTGTTGCTTGTTCGAGGATGGACTGATGACGGAGCAAAGTGAAGCGAGGCAAAGACGAAAGACGTCGAAAGAAAGGCAGTCAGCATCACTGTGACATCGGCATGGGGCTGCAGCGTCGTGCTTGTCAGCTCGGCACTTACCACTTGGAGGCTGGTGATGTCGACGACCGAGTGTTTGAGCGTGTCTGCCACCTCTGCTTTCCTCTTGAGGTCAATGTTGATCGGCTTGCTCTGCTCTCGCAGCCTGAGGGCATGCTCCTCCTCTGCAGCTCGGCGTTGCTCTTCCGTCTTGGCTTCCAATGCGCGAATGACGGCGGCCCTCTTCTCCATTGCCTCTGCTCTGCGCGCCGGTAGCGCCTTGCGGAATGCAATGACTTCCGTCGTGAGCGTATTGGACTGATCGTTGAGGACCTGGAGCCGTCTGGAAAGATCCTCGTCGAAGGGCTCGACGCCTGCAGCGGAACACCAGTTTGCAGGAAAGATCCGAGGTCAGCATGATCTTCTCGACGACACCATTTTCGCATTCGAATCGAAGCGCAACCGATCGAGTCGAGCCGCCAGTGATTGGACAGCGTGCTGCCAGTCGATCGACTCACCTTTGCTATGCCGTGAATATTCGCCAGGTGACATGCCGTTGTACAACAGGTTTCGCTCGATCTTGGCTTTGGTTGCTCCTGTCAACTGTTGAGAGTGGACGTTGTTGAGATGGGGAGAGGCTGTGTCAGATGCGCAGCGTGGATGTTGTGGTTGCTCTATCGATCCAGACTTACGCGTTTGATCATCTTGTCCACCAGAGCTTTGAGCGCCTTGTCACGTTCGAGCTCGCTTCCGAACTCCATCTGCGCCACCTTGTGAGCATGGTCATTGATGACGTGGAGCACATGATCCAGATCCGCGGGTCGATCCAGATTCAAGCGCGGGAAGTGGCCTGACATTGTGACGAGGAGTGGTGCAATGCTGTGATTGCGACGAGTCAGTTCGAGAGGGAGCTGTGCGGGTTGCCCGAGTTCGAGTCGTATGCGCCAATGAGTGTCACGCGACGGGCGTGGGAGCGATGTGATGAGCCAAGAGTGAAGTCTCGATGTGATGAGAGTAAAGGAGAAGGATGCAGTCGGCGGATGGACCGAAGGATGACTGGTAGTCACAAGGATACGGCGCATCCGAAACATGGAAATCAACACCAACACGAGCTTCAGCCTCGCTCTCTCGGAAATGCCGCCGGACTCAGCTGGCGTGTGCAAGCCAAAAAACACGCCTAAGTTCACGCGTCACAGCGAAGGTGCTGCATGACGGCCAAGACAGACACCCACCACGAAGACCCTGCTTGACTCGGTAACTTTCTTTTTTGGCTTTTTTGTGACGTCTTCCGCACACGGGGATCTTCCGCATCTCACACACCCGCACCATCATCGTCTTACTCACCACCATCCGACTGCTGCTCACACCCTCCAGCAGTCTGATGCTCAGCAGTAGCGTCGCTCTGCGAGCATGACCGACGACGACAAGTCGGCTACTCCGACCCGCAAGCCGAGGCGTCCATTCACCCAACTGCCCTCAGCACTGGCTCAGCTCGTCGACGATCGCTTCGATGAAGACCAATACGATCAGGCAGTCGACCTGCTCGACCAGCTCAAAGCTGAGGGTCTGACACCAATCAAGAGCCTCATCCAGAAGCTGGTCGCTCTCAACCTCTGCTCGCTAGCGCCTGGCCAGGTAGCTTCCACCTCCAGATGGACCCTTGACCACCAGCTTCACGACATCTCTTCCCGCCTCTTGACGCAGTCCAGGGACAGAAAGGGCGGGCAGAATGCCATGAAAGCTGCCTCTGCCGCATCTGACAAGCCTTCTCCCTCTGCTGTCCTCAAGGCCTCCTCTCTGCTCATCCAATATTCACGACTTGGCGCTGACATCACTGGCCAAGGTGGCGACGCGCAAGCCGAGAGCGGTCGCCAAGAGTGCCTGCTGGCTCGCCATATGCTCGAAGCGCTTCCCTCGCAAAGAAGGCCCCTGCAGACGACCAGCAGATCGGTCTCCCCGGAGTCATCTCGCAAAGGCCGCCGTGGCTCAGCCCGACTCGACGACGACGATCACGACGCATCCTTCAATCTCAGCTCCATCGAGCGCTGGGTGCGCAACGACTTCCATCGCGCAGAAGATGTGTGGGATTTGCTTTGCGATCGAAGGTTCTCCAATCCTACCGAGATCGAGAACGTGGCTCTGGCGCGCGTCAGCGAGTTCTGGATGAACGAATCAGAGCGGAAACGCTATCAGAAGCAATTGCAGTCCGCCAGCACCAGCCACAGGCGGCTTGAGGACCGCCTCAAGGAGATTCGCTGGAAGAAGCTGAACGGTGCGCAGAGCAGCGACTCTTCCGACACCGACACTGATGACAGTTCCGACGACGAAAACGACGACCTCCGCCTGAGGGTCTCCCTCCCGGGTCGTGCCGCCAAACGTTCTTCCGCCAAGACCAAGGGCAAAGGCAAGACCACCTCTCCGTCCGAGAAGCCGGCCAAGCGCATCCGCATCGCCAAGCCTGCAGCAACAGTACGAGACGACGACGAAGCACATCAGAGCAAGGTCAAGATGACTGAGGGCGCCTGGCGCACACTCCCTGTCCTGCTCCGACTTTGGGATCGTGCTACGCCACAAGACGTGGCGGCAACCGCAGAAGCCACCGCAGCATCGGACGACGAACCAGCTCTACTCTGGCAGTTTCCACGCAGCCATTCGGCTAGACAGAAGGGCGGATCGGCAGTCAGGACCGCATCCACCAAAGACACAACTGACGAGATCGGCAGAGCTCTCGACGTGGCATTCTCGTTTCCCGGTGTCCTGCCTGCCTACACCCCAGCAACGACAAATACGGAAGCAACCACCAATCTATTCGACACGGCAAAGTCGCTCCACACTCGTGGCGACGCTCGCCTATTCTCATCTGTGCCGGAAGGTGAGCTCGTGCATCGGCAAGAGGTCGGCGATCAGAAGGAGGAGCGTCTCATGGCCCTGCGCGCCATCAGTGCCGCATGGCTGCTTGCGTCCATCTTCCGACTGGTCAAGCTCAACCACATCAGCTCGGTTGCTTTCACCGAAGGCGTGTCGGACCGCATCGGAGCGCTGCAAGGGCAAGAAGTTCAGTATCTCATGCTTCCACTGCTCACCAAGGAGCCGTTTGTCGTTGCCAGCACGCTCACTGCGTACCTGAGCGACGCTACTCGCACACGACCTGACAAGGCAAGGTCACCGGAACCGACAAGATTCAACTTCGAGGACCAGGGTGTGATCACGATGGACGGTGCGCTGGCATATGCGATGCCCCAGGAGCAAGCGGCCATTGCGCTGCTCGAGGACGCCTCGATGCGACAGCAGGACACCGACGCAAAGGCCATCCTTCACTTTCTGTCGCTGCACAGGCTCGAGCTGGACGAGTCGGCGGATCTCAGCTTGTCCGCGACGTTCCCGGACCGATCCGAGAGCCGCAAGTCACCCGTGGTGCAAAAGCAGAGCCGTCGCCCGGTCAAATCCGGACCCTCATCGCGCATCACAGGCAAGCTGACCGTCACGCTCAAGAAGCCGGACTCAGCCTTCGAGGCTCCACTGACCGACGAGATGAAAAAGGGCGGTCTGGTGGCATTTGCCTTCGTTCGCATGATGCAGATGTTGGCACGCGACCGCATCAATCAGATGAAGTTCTTCGTCGCGCGAGCGCTCGTCACGATGTATGATGACACGAAAGGCACATCAAAGAGTCAGGAATCGTACACGTCGACCAACGGATCCATCCCCGACAGCTCGCAGGGCCAAGACTTGGATCTGAAGATGCCCAAGGCTGGCGGATCGGAACGCTCATCGCAGCGGCGCAACCTGCAGCTCTACCTCACGCGGCTCTCGAAGGCATTCGACCATGACTATTACGACTTCAGCCGATGCTGCGCGGTCATGCGGACGCATCTGGGCAAGGACAGCGAGCATCGACGACACAGGTATCTGGCCGGCCTGCTCGACTCAAGCGGACCCAAGGACGGATCGGGAGCGATGCCGTCGCTCCAGACTGTGGCAGAGCGATGCGCAAAGTGTCTCGATGCCACGCACGAGCTGATGTTCTCGATGCGTTTGCTCATGGAGTCTGTCAACCCGAAATGAACCTCTCCCAGTGTCCTTCACCCAGTGTCCCTCACAATCACTTTGCAAGCAATGCATTCGTCGTTCCAGGTTCCGTTGATTGCGTGTAAGTAAGCGACCCGGCCCGTGATGCGAGTAATGTTTGAGCACGCGGCAGGAACGTCGCTTGACGATATCGGCGGTAGGCTGCCGCAGCGGTGCTAAGGGAGCGTTTCCTGTCTCTCCCCTTTCCCCGCACTGTCTGTCCCGATCTCGCCATCCATCAGTTGATGCGACCCAACCTCCTCTCCACGGAACCCACGACCTTTGCCCATGCCCTCAATCCCTGGTATCTCGCCGCAGGAGCCAAATCGCCAAAGGTCTGTCTCCACAGCTGCCTGTTATAGGCTCTATGTCTCGCACTGTTCGCCTTCAACCAAGCGCTGTAGAAGGTAGCTAACGAGTCCGAATCCAAATCCAGTTCGTTCTCCTGTTCATTCGTCGTGTTCCCCTTCCCCGTTGTAGCGACTGCCTTACTCGACCCCGTTCGGGACCGAAACTCGCCGAGGGCTTGGATGAAGCGTGCGTTGTTTTCCTGCCAGAAGCGCTGGTTGAAGCTGTCTGCGCGCGCCATGCGGAGTTTGTGTGCCAACTCGGCGGATTCAAGTTTGGCCAGAAGACGCTCGAAGTAGAGCGAAGGGGCGCGGGATGTACCAGGCAAGGTCGAACTGGACGAGGTGAATTCTTGGAGAGAGTACGGATGTGAGAGGCTCGCAGTGGCGGAAGGGGAAGAGACGGAGGGAGAGGTGACTTCTTCAAAGGCGGATCCGTAGCGAATGGGTCGAAGGTTGCTGATCGGATCGGGAGGACCAACCATGTCTGCTCCGGGTCGCGCTGCGAACCGCGCCGACCGCCGTGGACGCGAGGACGATGATGCGGATGAAGAGGATGCCTTTGCGGATGATGCGGTGGTCATGCTGCGACTGGCTGAAACGGTCGTGCTTGCTGTGACGTGAGACAGGGCGGTGGCCATGACGAGATGTGACGCTACTGTCCTCGATGACGAGGCGACGGTGGTGGCGGACATGGCTGCCAGAGCGCGAAGCGATGATAGGATGAAACTATCAGCTCTGTGTGTCGACGATAAGAAACAAGATGGTTTTGTGGTTGCACGAGATATGGCGGCTGAGCGGATGAGGATGGGTGTGTTATGTAGGGGAAGGTTGAGACGAATGCTAGAGAGGATGGTGTTCAAGGCAGCCGAGCTTCAAGTGACCCTGAAGCATTGAAATTTTCGGCGAATTCCAGTCGCTGCCGCCGCCTCACGCGACGCTGTGCCTTTGCCGGCTCTCGTGTTGCAAAGGCTGAGAAGTGTAACTCTGGAATTTCAAGGTTCAGCCTTCCCGCAGGCAGGAATGCGGGGGAGGAGCGCAACGGAGCATGCATTTTTCGGTATGAGATGTTAGTTCCCGAATACCCCCGTTCGGTCACGCAAAATCAAGTCGGAGCCGAGACAGAGCGTATGATAAAAGCAGAGACACGCAAAGACCTTTGTTTGCTTTCTTCTTCCACACCTTCTGCTGCGCCATCACCATCAAGAAGCATTGCATCGCATCCCTACCGCAGTTCCTATCGCAAAGCGTTTTGTGCCGTCCTATCTGCGTGCACGACCATCTCGTTCGTGACCTCGCTTTCGCTGATCGCACTCGTCTCGTGGTTTCCTGAGGCCTGCGTCATTGCTTCCGTGCCTGCGCTTGCTTTACGTCAGTGAAGTCTGTCTCTGTGCGTCCATAGCCTCAGCGAGCGTGCGCGAGGAATCACGCGAAGAAGTACATTCTGCACAAGCACGAAGCCGAGTGCTAGGGCACACTGCCACGCGCAGCGTCAAGACACAACACACTCGAAAGAGCACAGCTGTACAAGCAGCTCCATAACACATCAAGATGGCGGGTCCACAACGAGGCTCGCGCGTCGTCTTCGTCGGCAACATTCCATATGACATGTCAGAGGAGCAGCTCACCGACGTCTTTCGAGAGGTCGGCAAGGTGGTCGGATTCCGTCTGGTCAACGATCGTGACACTGGCAAATTCAAGGGCTACGGCTTCTGCGAGTTCGAGGACCCCGAGACGGCCGCATCCGCGGTGCGAAATCTGAACGAGGTCGAAGTGGGCGGACGTCCTCTGCGTATCTCTTTCGCTGACATTGATCCGCTCATGGAAGGGCGAACGACGCAACACGGAAACTTTGACCAGGACGACCTTCGGAGGAGAGCTGCAGCGGCAGGACGTGCCGGTCGACCAGGGACTTTTGGTCATGCTGGTGGACCAGGTGGACCACCAAGAGGCGGAGGAGCTGTCTGTGGTGGCTGGCAACAGCGCGGTCCCGCGGATGGCGGATTCGGGCAGAGGCAATTTGGCGGCCCGCCGGGTGGACAGCCATACGGTGGACCTGGAGGCCCTCCGATGGGTGGCCCTCCGGGTGGCTTTGGCGGCGTACCGAGCGGCGGCGCGTATACGCTGCCTCCGAATCTTCCCGCTGGCGTTCCTCTTCCAGCCGGTGTTGGCTCGACAGATGCCATTACAGAGACGCTCGCCACGCTGCCACCCAATCAGCTGCTGGACATCATGAGCCAGATGAAGTCGCTCGTAGCAAGCTCACCTGAACAAGCGCGTGCTTTGCTCACGGGGCATCCGCAGCTCGCCTACGCTCTCTTTCAGGCGATGTTGATGATGAACGTCGTCGATCCTGACATTCTGCAGCGCATTCTGGCTGCTTCGGGTGCGGTCCCTGGCGCTGCTGCGCCTCCACCCAGCGTTCCCCCACACATGCAGCAGCAACCCACCAACAACAACGGCTCCGCCACGCCTCCTCAGCACTACGGCGGTGCCCCACCAGGCGGACGCTACCCACCCCAAGCACGACCACCACCGGCACCGTACGCTCAGCCCGGATACGGCGGCCAACCACCTGCGCCGGCTAACAACGACCCAGCAGCAGCACTGGCAGGCCAAAACCTCCCCGAAGAGCAGAAGGCGCTCCTCATGCAGGTGCTCCAACTGACACCGGATCAGATCAACGCCCTGCCTCCCGACCAAAAGGCCAGCATCTTGCAGCTCAAGGCTCAGTTCGGACAGGCTTGATGTGGGTTGAAGGCGCGACAAGGAAGACAAGGGTTGGAGCGAGGACGCGGTGTTGTACTAGTAGATGCATACGAATCCGCTCATCAAAAGTTAGACGCGATGCGGTGCGGTGTGCTTCGAGCTTGGTCTGACCGGTGATCGTGATACTATTCCTTGCTCTGTGATCTCAGTGCTGTGGTGTGCCACTGATCGAGGGACGGATAAGAAACCTTCCGAGTCAGGTCTCAACCTTGTGTGATGAGCCTCGTCAGCCTAGAATGCACAGCTGAGACACATGGCATGTAGCGTCATTCCCGTGCTAGGTCAAGACACGTCGTCGTCATTGCCACAAATCATCTGCTCCTGTCTGGCAGCTGTCAGGGGAGTGAATAAGGTTGCAAGCACGCCGTCTCTGTCTCGCCAGGAGATGAAAGCAGATTCCGCCTGCTGATTTGGTCGCCGTGACATCTGGCTCCAAACGAGAGTCCGTCTAGTCATCTGATTGTTTCATGCTGCCCTCGATTCGTCGGCCGCCGATCGCTCTAGAAGAACAAATGATCTTGCGAAGCGAGGATATGTATTGGTTTCCGAACTGTCGGCTAGGCCTAGACTGAGTCGGATGATCCGCACGACCGCTGTACAGCAGGGCTCCTCGGAACAGCATCAAGTGAGGCTCGAGCCGACTTTTTCACACGCAACGGTCCTCGCCGTGAGCAAAACCGTACGCTATGATGTCTATTTCAAATTGTGACTGCGGCGGGTGGATTTGGCGTGTGGGTATCTACGCGATTTCGTCAGGGTGCATATGATCTTCGGATCGGCAGTCGATTGGCGAGCCGACAAGCTGGCTTCTTTCCCCTCGCTTGGTGCTCGGCTCGCGCGTTCTTCTAGCGTCGCTTCTGGATTGCGGAGTTCGGCCTGGCCCTGAATCGGGCCCCACAAACTCGAAGCTTTCGGTGTCGACCACGATCGTAGTGCATCAACGTCATCGACTCCATGGGCTGAATATGGAGAAAGACGGAGTGAGGAGGACGGACAGTCGGAGTGTGAGTCGAAATCGATCGAGAGGAAAAATTGCAAGGCGGCAGACGAGTGATGCAAGTGAGTGAGACAGCTGCAGCGCCCGCATAGCCGCCGCAGCGATCGTCAGAGCATGGTCCGCTGCGATTTTGGCCTTCTCCTCGCACAAGCCTACTTTGCCCTCGTGTCGGTCTATTCGCTCAAGCCGTCGGCTCATCGAGACAGTCAAAGCACATGCCAGCCAGCTCTATTGTGTCCGAGTATATTTGGAACAGACAGGTGCGATCGCCACCAGAAGACGGGGAGCATCCGAGTGTGTGGGTACGCGCCGTCGGAGTTTAATCCGATCCCAAGCATCAGCGACACGGCAAGGTCACGGTGTAGTATGTCGGTCTCGTCCGACAGCTGCTCGCCAACTTGCACCATCACATGCGGCATCACACAAGTGGCTCGAGAAGCGACTCAGCATACCTCTTACAACGCCACGCAATGCAGGGATGAGTCTGCCAAAGACGCGCCTTTCCGCAAGGCCAACCCACGCCACGCGTACCGTGCCAAGCAAAGCCATGCCCGAATAACATGACAAACAATGCCATCCGTCGCCTTGAGTCATATCACGGGTCCCCACCCGAGAGCTTCTTCGGTCTTGCTCAGCATCGACGGACGCTGTTCAACGTTATCTGGCTCGATGGAGCCTTGGGTGGATCAGAAGGAGAATCTGTGGGATATATGCACGTCAATGCACCTTTCAAGCATCGGAAGCAACGCCCGCCTTTCGCTGCACACTGACTCAGAGGCTGCACAAGGCGCGTGTCTCTCGATGCTCAAGTCCCTTCTCCGCCAAACCGCTTGAAAACCGAAATCACACACTTGTCGGCTGCATTTCTTTTCGTGTGTGAATTTCAAGTTCGACGCCCGCCTGCTTGCCCCCATCCGCCTGCCCTGATGCCGCCTGCACCCTGATGCTGCTGAGGCTGCTGCTGCTCAGCTCCACTTTTTGTCGATCTTTGCGAGCCAAGCTGGGCCCTGAACTGCTTCGACTGCGACCCTGTGACCGACTGGCTGGCTGGCTGGCTTGGCTAGACGAGGCCAATTCATTTTAAGGGTTTGCGGCTCGTTTGTTTGTTTGGCCTGCCTCCTTTGTTTGCCAGCTCGAGCTCTCGACCTTCATCCATCATCATCATCACAAGCTAATGCTTGACTGACTCCCATCGCAACCTCTCCTCGCTGGCTCCGTCTCTCAGGATCCCATTCGATCATCGACATGCTGGATATACTCATGCTTTGCTTCCTCTAAGCACCCACTCTCGACCCCGACCACGACCACGGACTCTCCTCGATCATCTTCGATCCCGCTCACTACCGCAATCGGTCTTCTTTCTGCTTCTTCTTCCTCTTCGCACACGGCCGAGGAACTCATCTAGGAAACGTCTGGAACGTCAGCCTCGGTATCGATCTGGATCGCATTTCTTCGCCTCTTGTTCCGATAAAGCGTAACTTGGATCTGCTTCTGTTCGCACACGCATCGCAAAACTCGGGCTCGCGTGTCTCTCAAAACAGCACCCAAGCCTTCTTGCTTCTCCGACCGATCCTCTCGTGACGACGACAGGAGCGTCTGCTTAAGTCCGAGCTGCAAACTCCCTCGTCTGGACCGCCAACAACTTGGCTGCCTTGCGCGCTACATCGCTCATTTACCCGTCAGGAACGTCCGGCTCTTCGGCTGTCACTATCTCACCGCAAGCCGAATGAACGACTTCCTTCTAGACCACCACAGCTCTTGCCAGTAGCAACGCTGAACTAGTTGCACGGCCCTCAGGTGATCCATACCTGTGCTGGCCGTCATGGCGCCAAATCACACGTCCTCCTCTGCTACACCCAGGGTCGAGACCACACCCTCACCATCTCGTTCCGAAAAGAGCCAGACCCGACGCCCTGGAGCAGTCAAGTCGTCGCGCACGCTCTCCAACTCGTCCATTCCGACGCTTTCGACCACGCGCCTCGCTCGACAACCTTCGCCCTCCACCTCCAATGCTCAACACATGCAGAACTCGCCACTGCCCAGTCGCCGACCCGCGCGCTCCGGCATCTGCCCCTCGTCTTCTCGTCCAGCACTGATCACTGCGGCAGCGCAGGATCCTTCGCAAGATCACCATCGAAGCGACTCTGGCAGATCCACCGGCTCATCGCGTTCCACTGCCACCACAGACAGCTTCTTCCTGCCACAGCATCCCCACACGCTCAGTCGCCGCTTCAAAGATCTTCCGAGACCGCCATCCTCTTCTGCGATCGTGGATGCCTCCAAGCAGCATGCTCGTGCCTCTGTTCTTGGCATAGATACGGCCATAGACCCAGCCGCGCCTTCGGCTGTGCTGCCCTCAGCGCATCTCTTCCGTACGAAGAGCTCGGTCAGCACCACCCCGACCAGCCCGGAAGAAGGAAATGGCTCCTCTCTGGGAGGTCCCGATTTTCCACCTCAGCAAGATGATGACGGCAAGCTTACAGCTCAAGACCGAGTCCTGGACGACTTTTGGCGCTCAGAGTACTCGAACGCTCCACCTTCGACGGATCCTCTGCAGTCCTCTTTGCCGCCTTTGATGCTTTCGGATGCACCGATCGCCCCTTCGCGCTCACAGTCGCTCGAATTTTTTGCTGCGCCTCTGGACGCGGACCGCATTGACAAAGCTCCCGAGGATGATCTTCTACTCCAGGACCAAGGCACATCTATTGGATCTGCGACACCTCTGGTCGCGGCAAACCTGCAAAAGCTCGACTTGCAGAACGACGACAGCGCCGTCAGTCCCATAGAGGCTTACAGGCTCTCCTCTCCTGTCCTCTCCTCGCCCAGTGGGGCTCCTACTCCAACCAAACGCAGTGATGACGGTCGACCTCGCATTTCTCCCTATCAGCACTTGGTCACACCAGCGAGTCCATCCAGCGCCCCAATCGAGCCCAAATCATTCCCCAGCAAGTCCAGCTCCAGCCTGTCTTCTTCGTCCGCTCACGATCATGACAAGACCGCGTCCGCGCACGCGTCCAAGCGCTCCTCCACCTCGTCCAGCAGTTCCTTCCGCATGACGCTTTCCAGGCAAGCGAAGTCCTTGCGCAGCTCGTTCCTGTGGACTACGCCCACCAGCGCCACAACACCGTCTCCAGGCCGAGAGCAGGTCACAAATAGTCCTGCGTTGAGTGGGACAAGTTCGTCTACCCCGGCCTCACAAGCCTCCTCTAGTCCAAGTTTGGCAGGCGCCAGCCCTCATCCGACTACCGACGAGCTTTCCTCGACGGACTCTTCGTCGCAGCGCAACATTGCTACCCAAGGAATTGCTGGCAGAAGGACCGTCTCTGCTGTGACGCCGGGCAAGAGTCCTGCGCGCACCGCATATTCGAGCTCCTACATACCTCAATCCAGACCATCAGAGCCCAGCAGTCGACTCGATGCGAGGTCCAAAACATCGCCACCCAGGACCAGCATAGGTGCAAGCTCCGCGTCGAAAGAACCCACCGACTACGGCAGATCGGAGGATCGACCCAAGTCGCGTCTGTCGTCGCGTCTCACGCTTCACGGTGCTCAATGGTCGATGAAGATGTCCCATCTGACTACCAAGAAGACAAAAGATGCAGCGCTGTCCAAGTCTGCGTATTCGCAGACCGCGGTGGAAGCGAGCTCCCGCACTGTCGGCAGGCATGCGAAGAGTCAAGCAGCGGCATCCCCTGCAGCCAAAGCTTCGTCCGCCCCTGTCCTGAACGGAGCGTCACAGGAGACAGGAAAGGACTCATCCGTGGCCCAAGCCCCGAAGCGACCCGGACCTCTTCCCATCTCATCGCCGCCGTTCAATGGAAACCAAGGATCGAGCACAGCCGCTCAGATCTCCCCTTCATTTGCGGCCTCGTTCGCATTCCTCAACAGCCAGATCGAGTCTCCGATGCCGTCACCGGCTCTCTCGACTTCAGCGCTGCCCCCGTCCTCAGCTGCTCCCGCGTCGGTCGAGGACCTAGCCGTTGTCAAGGATCACTTCAACCTCGTCCCATCGGCGAACACATCCGCCCCAGTGGACCCAACCATCGGCAACAGCTTCGACACCGTCGCTCGAGCCGCCCTCTTTGATCAGCTCGCCGACTCGCCAGAGGCGGTCTACAAGACGCTCGCCTTCCCCGAGCCTGCGACCATGCCCGCCTCGCAATCGCTCGGCAGCGTCGCCGCCTCCTCCGCCAACGCATCACGGAAGATCGGTCACAAGAAGCACGCCTCGCTCGGTTCGACTGCCTTGATCACCAAGTCGGCACGTGCCGCAGCTGCAGACCTGGACAAGCGTGCCGTTGCGACACCTGTCGTCTCCTCTGGGCTGCCCTTGTTCAAGGGGCACTTGATCGCATCTTCCAACACTTCCATGATCGCGCCATCTTTCGCTTCCCCCAAGGAGGAAGGTCGCTTCTTTGACGCTCTCACCTCGCCTTTCGAAGAGCAGCCGCCCGGAGCAAAGACTCAGAACGGGGCTGTCCTACCTGCGTATGACACGGCTGGGGAGTTCTTCCCGTCCGTGGGCACCGAATTGACCTCTCTGATGCATGATCGTGCGCCTGCGTCGGGACAGGCGACATCAACCGTGCCGCAGCTCAGTAGAACGTCGCTGGGCCGCCGTCTTTCTGGCGTATTTGATTCAACCAAAGCTCGCGCTACTAGGAAGAACGCGGTCGCTTCTCCTCCGCAGAGCCCTCGCGTGGAATCCACCCGAATGGATGCGTTGCCAACCAGACCGGAAACCAGCCTAGGCTTCCATCTCCGCAATCCCTTGCGTAGGGACCGCAAGGAGTCTCTCAAGACGGTCCGACCGCCACCGCCCTTGCCGAAGGACGACATGCAGAGACCTGCATCGACGAAGAACGGATCTGCTGCGTCTACCCCTCGTATGGTGTCGTCTGGCTCCAGAGCCGAGCCATTCTCTTCAGCAAGGAAGGAGCTCCCTCGTTCGGGCACATCGCTCGGCTTTACGACTCCGGGAAGGAAGACATCTCGCGAGTTTAGCAGCAGGATCACAGCTCCAACGAAGAGCTCCATCGCCAGGAGCGTGCAGCCTTCTCCGGCTTCAGCTGCTCGCCCGACAGTGAGATCCACGTCTGCCTCGTCTCCGAGCGCCGCTACCTCGGCTTCTATCTCGCGCTCGCCCCAACGACCCGCCTATCCTCCTTCTTCCTTCCGTTCGGGCTCCTCGACTGCACGACTCTCTTCCTATGCCAACGAGTCGCCTTCCAAGACTGCGACGGAGGCGTCCAGCTTCTTGTCTAGACGTCGACAGCCTTCGACGGAGGACGCGACAGCTTCGCTGACATCCATTGTGAATCGAGGCACATCATCGCAGCCGCTCCAGGGCGTCACGACAGCACCTCCGCCAAGTCCGACCGAGGTGCGTCGCCGCACCACCACGCTCGACAGGCGTGTTCTGAACCCGATCCGCACTTCGTTCGCGCAAGACCCCGTCATTGTTCGTCCAGCCACCGCGAGCGGCTTCCGTGGTCCTTTGACTGCTCAGGATCGCAAGATGAGCCAGCCAACCCTCGACATGCTGGACGATCGCGAGTTCCTCGAGGCACTCGAGCAGGTCCGAGCTGTGCAGCGCGAGCGCATTCAGGCCCAAGCCCAGGAGGTGGAAAACAAAACACGCCTGGCTCGTCTCGGGATGATGTCCGGCAACCACCTCAAGACGAAGAGCCCGGTCTCGATGCTCGATGGCGCAGATCTGAGCTCCTCCTCGGCTAGAAGGAGTAACGACAGCGGCGAGAGACAAGAGGTTGATGGTCGTGTTGCCCGCCCGGCTCACGTACCTTCCAGACCCAGGCTACCTCACAGACGGTCCGCCAGTGCGGACGCCAAGCTGAGCCGGTCCAAATCGGCGTTCTCGACCTCTCCAGAGTCAGAGAAGGCCCTTGACCAGCGGCAGAAGGACATCGTCAAGGCGTACGCCGACAAAGTTTCCCCTTCCCTTGGCGCGCCGACGACGGGTCTAGAATGGGGCGTCGGCAAAGCCAGTGGCAAACTCCACGACGGCACCTTTGTCAACGACGACGACTGGAAAAAGGAAGTCAAGGCGCTCTTCCTCATCCGAGAGCTAGTGCAGACCGAGAGGAGCTATGCGCGACACCTCAGTAGCCTTCTCAGCGTCGTCAGCAAGATGCAGGTCCCTTCGAACGGCAGCTCCCATCTTTTGGGTGCGAAGCGCAAGTCGACCAGCAACCTATTTGCGGCCTACTCGTCCGCCTACGCGAACAAGACGTCAGCCAACTCCGCGCCTCCGAGCCACGTCGCATTGCTTAAGTCGCACTTGCCACAGCTGATTGCGCTCAGCAACTCGCTCGTCCAGCGTGTCGAGGAGAACCCGACGAGCGCTGGCGTTGGTGCCGCTTTCGACGTGCTGTCCGCCGAGCTCGAGTCGACCTTTGTTAGCTGGTCGAGCGTTGCATCTCAGGCCCTCAAGGATCTAGGCAAGACGGAGCAGGCCAAGACCAAGTCGCCGTACAAGATCGGCTTGGTACCGCTTATGCCTCGTGAGTCGGCCGAGGTGGGCGCTTCGACTGGCGAAGCGTTGAGCAGCAGCGGACACTCGTCGCCTGGATCTGGGTTCAAGAGTTCGACACTGCGCATGACGTCGCTCACACGGCCCGCTTCGCCGGTTGCTGTTCGACAAGAGCCAGCAACGATCGCATCGGGCCAGACGGAGCAAGCAGCTACATCGGCAGTGAGCAGGTCGACAAAGCGCCGCAGCACCATCACGAGCACCAGCTTCATTCCGCCTCCTCGTGTTGTTGTAGCTCCCCCTGTCGATACACCCGTGGTCTTTTCTTCGAGCCCGGAGCAGGAGAAAAGTCTCGAATCATCCAATTCGACATCATCGCGACGCTTCAACCACTCTCGCAGCCAATCGACCCTGGTCACCCCTCTCCAAACGCCCACGTCGGCGACCGCACCCGATTCGTGGCACCATCCACCCCCTGGTAGCAAAAGCCTCACGCCGATGGACATTGCCATCATGCCCACGCAGCGCATCCCGCGCTACGGCCTCATGCTGCGCGATCTTCTGCGCAACACACCGCCGGAATCCTTGTCGCATGCTCGGGTGCAACGGGCCATCTCGTTGATCCAGAAGGTGGCGCTGCTATGCGACTCGGCTGCGCCCGTGACGGGGGTGAAGACGGCGCCGAGCTCGGGCGCTGCTACGCCGATGCGCGCGGGTAGCGTGCTAGGTATGACACCGACCGTGGAGGTGCCGCTGCTGACGGCGGGGACGTTTGGGTTGACGAGACGCGCCTGACGGATGGAACACGGACATCATTTGATCCTATTGAGATCGCTTCCTAGCCCACCCGCCCGACGTGTGGGCAGGATCTGTATTTGTACAACCCTCTTTGCATCGCATGGATCTGTTATGACGGTATCATCGGCCGTGTGTGCGGACCGCAGAGTTGGAGTTTGAGAATTGAGGACGAGAGACTATGATACAAGATGCTGGAAAACTTAGGCCTGCTGTTGCTGCTGCTGACGGTTGACGCTGGAGAAAATGTCTTTGAGGTGCGATTGTGCGTCCTGGCCTTGCTTTTGGAGGTACTGTGCGCGGGTGCGTCGAAGTGGTATAGAATGGGTCAGTATGAGACCGGGAAGGAGTTGGATGTGGGGGTGAGGGGGGCTTACCTTTTGCTTCTTGTGCAGGGCCTCTACGTCGCTTGTGAGGGCTTGTTGTTGAGCTGTGAGGCTTGCGAGCACCTGCGCCTGGGAATCTTGCATGAACCTGTGTAGCGAACGAGGTGAACCCACTCCCACTTGTCAGTATGACATCTGGCGCTCTCTTCTCGCTTTCGAGTGAGGAAGGGTTGTGAATGTTGTGGATACGTACATCTTCCCTACACTCCTGTAGAAAGCAGCATTGGGATCCTGAATGCCCTGCAGCTCGGTGAGCGTCAAGGTGTTGAGTTTGGCTTCTCGCTCGCGGGCCGCGATCTGCGCCCGTAGCGCCGCAAGCTGTTGGTTCGTCTGGTAGACCTGGAGTTGGATCTTCTCGAGGACTCGGGAGAGCGTCTCGTCGGGTATGGCGGACATGGCTGTGGTGCGTTTGCTGGTGGTGAGGTCGGGCGAGGGGTGCGGATGATGGTGGGTGCGATGATGCTGAGTGTGCCGAGTTCGATGCGCGTGACACTGCTGCCGAGTGCGCTGAGGTCGATGTGCGTGATGCCGCTGCTGGGCACGCCGGGCCTGAAAAGGGGTGGAATGTGGGCAAACGAAGGTAGCGGCAGAGTCGTGATGGTAAATGAGAGACGTTGGATAAAGAACGAGAAGGATGAGAAGATGGCGATTTTGGACATTTGAGAATTGCACTTGACCGTGCGCGATAGAAAGTGTTGCTCTCAGCCCTCTCTACAGGAGAGCCACTACTCCAACACACTCACACTCACTTTCACCTCTGACATGCTCAATCACAGTCTCGATCGTTACTGTCGTGTGACGTGCTGGGTTTGATCCTTTCATTGCGGAGCTCACGCCTCAGGCTGTGACCCCAGCAACCCCTGCTCCACCGACCGCTTGAACTTGGGACTGATCTCGCCTTTGTCCGCAAAGTACGCGAGCACGAGCTCCCTGCCCACCGTGAAGCCCTGGTACTTGTCCTCTAGCTTTGCCACATTCGACTCCACTTTGCCCCCATACGTCTGACCCTCATACTCGAACGTCAATCCCATCCTTGATGGCTTGCCTTTCTCCATTGGCGCGATGACCACATCCAACGCGCTTCCTTTGGGCACGCTTCCCTTAGGCATGCTCTCCTTGACACCACGGATATCCTCCTCGAACTGCACTTCTACCTCCCTCGGTACGCTCTCCGACTTGAGCGCCTTCTTGAGTCTCGCCTGCAACGCACGCACAAAGCCGTCCCGAAGGTGGTTGAAGTCGGTATTTCTCACGGGGACGATGCGGATGATGACGGGCACGCCTGCATCGAGCAAGGTCCTCATGTGCTCTTCCAGGCTCCCTGACGCTGGCATGGGCGGTGAAGGATGGGACTCGTCGATGTAGAGCGCAGCAACGTAGACGCGGACCGAGAGGAAGGACACGGTGCGGACGCCTAGACCTGCCAGTTTCAGGCGTGGCGCAGCTGTGGTCGAGGACAGCGTGGCGGGTGTGGCGAGGTACTGGGAGAAAGAGAGTCCGGTATCTGGGTCGAGGACTTGGGTAGAAGCGTCCGCGGGGGGCGAGGGAAGATTAGAGGCGGTCGGAGGTGCAGCGTCCAGGTGGACCGGCGAAGAGAGGTTGTAGACGGTCACGATGCCTGCCAGCGCCGCTGCTGCGAGGAGCGGCGCCCATCTCCGCGACTCAGCTTGAGTGGAGTTGACGTAGATCGAAGCGGCAATAGACGGATGAAACGATTGCTGGAAGAAGGTCGGTCGCTGGACAGCATCGGCTGAGGAGGAAGGCGGGAAGGCCGGGTAGGAGCGCGTGAAGGTGGCGACGCTTCTCCTGGCTGTTGTGCTGGACGCAAGGAGGCGTCGTGAGCCGGCCAGAGCGATGCTGGTGCGACCGGCAATCATATTGACGTCCACAATCGAAGCAAGCAGGACAGTGTGTGGATGAGGAGCGAGAAGGAAGAAAGCATTGCCCAGAGACAAAGGGAGTCGGTGCTTGCTTGCTCGGTTGAAAGGTTGACCGGCGATTTACGCTCTAAATTGTTAGCAGGGCGATGCTCACAGGGCGCGACTGGCTGCAAACGCCCGAAGGCCTCTCACTCGCCAAGACCCGCATCCGAACGTAGCCGACGGCCCTATGCGACGATGCTAGGCCGAGTCCGCGCCATACGACACTCTGGCTGGCATGATGAACCGAGACCTTAACGAGCGGAGTCGATGTTTAGGAGAGTTTTTTTAAGGCGAATTTCAGGGCTTCGCGGCTGCGTGGTTGGCGATCCTTGCATCGAGACAAACACTCTTTTTGGATGCTGCGCCCGTTCGCTCGATTCCGCACGCGTCCAAAAAGTGTGAAACACAGCCAAAATGCAAAAGGGGCTCACAGCGCAGCACTTGAATCACAACCAACACCACCCTCGGCTTGGTGACTGCAGCCGATCAAAAGGGCCTAGTCTCCAATCACCACCACTACCATCTTCAACAGCGTCACAACCTACAGCTCAGTCTCATCACACCTACGCAATCTTCTACAATACACGCTCCATCTTGCTTTCCACCCATCATCGAATATCAAGACTATCGACACCAGAGCCACACCACCTCAGATGCTCGTATCACAACGTCCTCCGGTCTCTACCGCCGACGCACCTCGTCAACACACCATGGCCGCCTCAACATCAAAGCTCACTCCAGAGTCGCAACTGCAGCTCGCTTTTGATTCATCGTTGATACCACAAGCATCGAAAGACTTGCTACCCTCCGACGTCATCGTTCGCCCGTTGGCCAGCGACGACTATAACCGAGGTCACCTGCGGGTGCTCTCAGACCTCACACAGGCGCCGGATATTGGCCTCGCGGCGTGGCAGAAGCAGTTCGCGCTTCAGATGGCTTCCCCCAACACCTACTATCCGATCGTATTCATCCACACAGCCACAGACCAGATCGTAGCATGCGGCACCTTGTTTGTCGAATTCAAGTTTCTTCGCGGCGGCGGGCTGTGCGGACACATCGAGGACATCGTCGTCCACCGCGATGGCCAGGGCAAAGGCTTGGGCAAGAGGATCATCGAGATCCTCACAGACGTAGGCAAACAGCGGGGCTGCTACAAGGTCATTCTCGACTGTAGCGAGAAGAACGTCGCATTTTATGAAAAGTGCGGGTATCATAAGGCGGGCGAACAGATGGCGGTTTACTTTGTATGACCCGAGACGAAATGGACAATGGCTTATCACTCCTTCCAACGACCCACCTCGACCTCGCATATCGCTTCGAAGCCGAGCAGGCTTTGAGAACCTCGTGTCTCGAGATACGGGAGAGTGATCCAGGATTCGTACGCGGATCGTCGCTGCTTGCTCCGTCGCTGTGTTGCTTCGTCGCTGGGCCGAGATGATGAGGAGGCAGGAGGCTCGCCAGATCGAATGAGTGTGGGAACGAGCAGCTGAAGGTGCTGCGTCGATATGCGGTACTGCGATGCGAGTTCGGACGTTCGCTCGACGAATCGTTCCAGCGGCCAAGTCGCCCACATCGGATCTTGAAATACGAACTCGAGTCCCTTGCGCTGCGCTGCTTCTTCCAGCAGTGATCGCAACGAGTCGCTGGCCGTTGTCAACTTGGTCAACGCCTTGTTCTGCAGATAGAAAGGTGCACCGAAGAAAGTGTGAAGGTCAGCCACCGATCCATCTCGTTCCAAGAAAGCTGCATCTTGGTACCTACTAAACGTTCCATGACCGTCGTCAATCCATCATGAGCCGCCTCTATCCGGCTTACCGCATCCGCCAGCCTCGACTCTCTCAACCCTCCTGGCCCCAATATTGGATCGTGTGCCTGCCTCGGGTCCAGCTCCAGAGCTCTTCTCTTGTCCTGTGCCCTCGATGCGGTCGCCGATGCCGGCCCTCTCGCCTGCCTCGTCGTCCCAGCCTCGCGCTGCCCCAGCTTGTTCGCAGCATGCACATCCTCCCATCCGTCCACGGCCTCCTTTGCCCACTTCAGCCCGTCGAACGTCGCCATCTCCTCCCACATCCTCGCCGCCGCCACAAACGCCAGCAACAACGTGCGGCACTGTCGATGATACGTCGTCTCAAAGTCCCTACTGAGTAGTCCCGTGGCGTCGTACATGGACGACGAAGGACCGGGTGTGGCAGGCGACATCTGTCGATTCGAAGGGGCCGGTGAGGAGCGGGATGATAGTGAGATGCTGCGATTTCCAGAGCCATTGCCGCTACCGTTGCCCAAGTTTGAGCTCTTTGAGCCTTTCGGCGTAGACGGCGGCTGCTTGTGGGAGCTCGAGGAGGGGGAGGAGGGCGGTGGGGTGGCTGACTTGTTGGCTTTCGCAAGCAGAGCTGCGTTCTGGCTGTTGCGGCCGAAGGGCGACATGGCGGCCGCCGATGGACGGTTAGGCGCTGGAGAGGGCATTGCGCTACAGCCTGAGGCGGCCCTGATGCCGCACGATGCTTGACTGCAGTGATTCGAAAGGTCGGTCGGTGTCAGGACGGATGTCAGGGACCTCCCATCAAGGGGAGCGGCAGCGCCAAATTTTGATCACAAATTCGGAAGACGGGGCGTCGAAATTCTCAAAGTGTTACGTCTGAGCGCGGTTGGGCCCCACACGGCTGAAAGCGTCGACCGGCTCATCCGGTGACAGCAAAAAGGCGACTGAGCAGCCGACTCTCATCTCCACATCCCCATCCCATCCTTCCTTCCTTCCTTCATACCGTCCTTCCCCTCAGCTGCACATAATGAACAGCGCCCAGCAACGAGCGGTGTCGGCGCTCGCACAGCGATCCGCATCTGGACTGGCGCGAGCCGCAGCATCCTCCAGCAAGGTCACTGAAAAGCCCGACTTCCTCGACCCTACCGACGATGCCACCTTTCAATCCCTCAAGAAGCTTCTTTCAGCTCCGTCTACAAGCACGCAGCACCTGAGCCTACTTTCTGACAGCACGCTCTACGGAAGCATCACCTACTACCTCAGCAAATTGGAGCTCGAGCATGTGGCCGAATTCGCCGGCGTCATTAGCTCCAGCGGCTGCCTCTGGACGCCTCCCCCTCCAGCGAACAAGCCTCCCTCAGCGGCGTCTGGCGCCGACAAGAAAGTGACATGGACTACCGAGCCTGGATCCTCTTCCAACACAATCGACAAGGCTGCCCCTGGTGGCGCGGGCAAACCTCATCCGACAGGCACTCCGCCGGGTGCACCCAGCTCGCTGAGCACCTTTTTGATTTCACGGTCCACCAACATCTCGCAAGCCGTAGCTGCGGCGCTCACAAAGCGAGTCGATCTCATCGTGCGGTCCAAGAAGAATTCGACCGGCTGGGCAGCTCGCTCCGCGCTGTCGCACTACCTCAGCGCCATCATCCAAGGCATGGACGATGCGGAACAGGTAGGCACACCAGAGTCTTGTCGAGCAGCAAAGGGTCTGCCGATCCCCCGCTTCGCCGTCATCGGAGGTCTGCTCAACGCTCTCTACTCGCTGAAAGATCAGAAGAAGCGCACGAGGGACATGTCGATCCTTGAAGAGATGGCTGCGCTGCGTGCGAACCCTGTGCTCGGTCTCAGCGTCCGTCGTCACCTCAGCACGGTCGAAGACGAATGGATCGTGACACTTGCAGAGATTCTCGACCATCTCCATGGACACACGGCGTCCGCCGGAGAAAGCGTCTCAGCTGCAACTGGCAGCAACGATGACGATCAGCACATCGACGAATGGGAGGCTGAGTTCCGCAAACGCACCGCAGCCGTGGCAGGCCCCGCAAGCATCACCTCGTTCGGCTCTAGACAGGCTTTGAGAGCCGCGCTCAGCGATGTCCGCGACGTGCCTCTGTACATGGCAGCGCAACTGGCACCCTTCGTGCCTGACCGCAAGATCCATGCTCTCGACCCGGTCCAGCTGACATCGGCAACGAGCGATGCCATCCTCTCGCTCTTCGAAGGTCCAGATCGCACTTCGTTCCTCTCCTTTCTCGCACAAGACGTTCACACGCAGACGTGCGGTAGCGATGAGCAAGTACAAATCACCGTCGACGCAAGCGGCGACACCGCCAAGGTGCTTCAGAGCATCCTCGACTCGACGCTCTTCCCGCTGCTCGGACCGCTATCCAAGCTCATGTCGCGGGCGCTCGCCAAGGCAGTCACCTCGCTGACCCCCGACGAGCTCTCTTCCCTCCTGCTCGGCACAGCCGACACCGCGCTCGTCCCGCAAGGCGGCGAAGCCGAGTTCTTCCCTCTCCTCGTGCGCATGTCCCGCCTCTCCTCTCGGCTCGAAGCCTCCTGGCTCGACAGCCCTTTGGTTGGCGCGACCGAGGACCAGATCGTCGACTCCAGCCGCGCACTCACCAAACAACTCTGGTCCGTCTTCAAAACCCTCCTCTTCAGCTACACCATGGTGTTCGACTCGATGATGGATGCGCTGGTCGACATGTGCCCCTCTCCCACGCTTACCATCCCACCCACGGTCATCTCCGAAACGGAAGCGCTGGTCGATTCGTCCCTCGCCTCGCGCCGGTGGCCGTACGCATCCACGTCGAACCTCCCCGCGCCCTACCTGCTGATCGTGCAGCACGTCCTCGCGACCTACTCGCACCTGTACTGGATCACGAGCACGTTCGGCTCGGATGGCTTCGATGTGTATCGCAAGGTGTTCTATTCTGCGCTGGACGTAATCGGGCGGGATGGGGAGGCGTGTATTCAGCTGCTGGAGCTGATTTCGCCTCCTTCAATCGTCACGGGGGATGTGGAGGGGAACACGGCGAAACGCAGTGCAACAACGTACTTCCTCAACGTGGCAGAGCAACTCATCCCCGTACTGCCGGATGCGTTCATCGAATCGCTCATCCTGCCCCTCTGCCGACCGTATCTCGAGGATACGCGGTTCAGCGACACGTTCGAATCGGCTCACTCGGTGGTGTTGGCGCTGTATTCGGCGCATAAACGGTGCATTCTGGATTTGGCACCCTTCTACGTGCGGTTGCTGATCGACAGCTTTCCAGCCAGGTTGACGGCGGCCCAGTTCGAGTATGCCATGTCGACGGTGGTCGCGGCGATCAGTGATCGGAGCGACAGTGTGGCGTGGTGGGTGATGCGTCAGATTGCGGAGGAGGTGGATCACGAGCGGCTCTCCGCGCCGACCGCCACGATGGGGGGAAAGATCATCCAGTCGGGTGGCTTTGCAGAGTCATCAGGTGCAACAAAGGCGGATCTGGTCGAAGCGACGGAGAACAGCGACTCTGCTCATCCCGGCGACGCGCCCGCCTCAACTGACACCACCACAACGCCAACTCACGAGGGTGAGGGAGAGTACGATCGGCAAACGCACCTCCAATTGTGCCTCATCAGCTGCGTGCCTGGCGTCAACCTCGTCCTCCTCCGCTCGGCGCTGCGTCTAGTGGAAGCGTACATCGTTCAACACCGCAACGCCGAGGGCGGGGGGGAGAGGATCGCGCTGTGCCAAAAGACCTTTGATGCGCTGCAGGGGTTGAACGCTGCCACGCGCGAAGAGGGGTTGCGGTGGTGGTTGGACAACCGCGCGCGTTTCGGCGTGTGAGCCGGTTTTCTCTCCCGTCCGTTCTTTCGGCGTTGTGCGGTCTTCGAACAATAGCTTGTGGGATGAGTGTTTGCATCGAGAAGCCATGCACGTTTCTGCGCCCCGAACCCTATTTTCAGCCGCGGGTCGATCCCAAACCCCCCCCCCCCCCCCCC